CTGAACCCCCTATAACTAGCGTGTCTCCTATTAGCTAGTGAGAGAAGGCCCTTTTATACGTTCTTATTGGCCAGAGAGGTGGCGTAAGCGCCATTGAGGGTACTAGTAGGGGCTTGTCCCTGCTCAGGCCCCGCTTTTCTCCCCATCCGAGTGAGCTTAGCTAAGATAAATGTGTTTGTGTTCGGTTGCGACTTACCGGAAAGGTCTGGCCACCGCCTGCTGACGTGTGCGGTCACTTGGTCTAACCAGATCGAAGTGCCGACCCTAGACTGCAGCGATAGCCGAACGAAGCTCTTGTGGGGTGGGGTAGACCTTTTAAGTGCGCACTTTCGCTCGCCCGTCGAGTGGATTGAGTAAGTAGAGAGCAAGATGGCAGATTTGGGCTGAGCCTAGGAATAATAGGTTAGAGAGCCATATATCATTATGATTTTGGGCTCTTTTGTACTGACCTCATGTTGTTCCTTGAGGTATGCAGGGGTCTTCGGCGACGCCCTATTAATCCCTCATCGGTCTGGACTGGAATTGAATATCATGCTACCATGGCGCGTGCGAGCAGCACTATTAATACTGCTAGTCTAATCTGCTCTTTTCCCCGTGAAATACCTACACATCGCGCCTAATGTTGAACGACATGACTCAGCACAGCTACCCGTACGAGCCTCTTAAAACGAAAGATTCCTTTCGTGTCCTCGAGCTTCTTCCTGGAATCTTAGATGACCCTTTACAATGTCGGATTCGAGAGACAATATGGAGCCCAGACACCAAATACGAAGCTTTATCGTACGTTTGGGGACCACCAATTTTTCCGATGTCCATGGAGGAGACCAGTTCAGTGTCGATTTTGTGGATTACTGAGAATCTGTTCCACGCTCTGCGAATTCTGCGCTACAAACATATGCGTCGCACTCTATGGGTTGACGCTATATGCATTAATCAATCAGACAACGTCGAAAAGGGGCACCAAGTTGCGCTGATGGGTAACATCTATCGCAAGGCACAATCTGTCGTGGTGTGGCTCGGCAGAGAAGACTGCGATGAAGCAGTCGATCTACTGGAGGAGCTAGGACAGAATTACGCTAAGTATGGAGTTCCGGACACCGTGAATGGGAAACCAGTGACCTCCAATGACGACACAGTGGCTTCTCGGTTAGAGCTGCTCTTTCATCCCCGAGGGGGCTCGCTCAAGGCTTTCTTCGAAAGGCCCTACTTCGAGCGGGTCTGGGTGAAACAGGAGTTTGCGCTGGCGAAAATGTTGTGGATCCGTACTGGACACCGCACGCTTCATTATGAACGATTTCGGAAGGCGGTGCATGTTTTATGGATACTCAGGGACCAGGGTGCTCTGTTAAATCAGGAAGAAAGTTCGGCTGGAGTTTTCGGGTCTCTACTTCTATCGGGCTTAACCGCTATGAGAGCAACTTTCGACAAGCTCCTCGGGTCGCTGCAGATGGGTACAGAAAGCCAAAGCCAAAGCCAAGCCCCCAGCATCCATCGTGCGGGACCCACTAACAGGCAAGTGGGCCTGCAGAATACCACATTCCGCCTCATTGACAGTCTCCATGAGAACCCTACAATGCTTACACAATGCTACGCATTGATCCTCTTCCGTGATATTCGTTCTATTTCTGAGCCTCCCGACACCAGATTCGACCTTCTCTTCCAATGGAAAATGCAATTCCATGCGAAGTGTTCGAATGAACGAGACCGGCTGTTCGGGTTGCTTGGATTAGCCAATGCTCACTCCATCGTTCCAGACTATGAAAGTCCTATCGAAGAGGTCTGGCATTCTATAACCCTTCAATACCTTCGCGCAGACGACCTTGTGATACTCAATCATGCCCGAGGTTTACCGAAAGGCTCTGGTGAGATTGCAGACACTCCATCTTTTGTCCCAAATTTTGCTGCTGCGGACCGACATAAGCCTATATGCATGGCCTACGGAACAAATAAGTTCTCACACGATATTTCTCACTCTACCGCAAGAAACCCTCCAGTGTTATTGGACGGTCGGTTTCCAGAATTGCCTGGCGTACTCGCAGATCATGTCATCAGGGTTACTGAGCAGGTTGTCTCTCGAAAGGCAAACGAAGAGGTTGGAATCGACTGGGAGTCGTTGGGGAGATCCTGTGATGAGGCTCAACAATGGGTTACATCTGTTGCCTGGCCGTACAACGAAAGTGTTGTTTGTGTGCTGGCTCGGACTTTGATCGCCAATAATTTCTTTACTGCCTCAGACTTACCTTACCCTGATAGTTGGATCTGTGTAGCCTTCGTTTTATTCCTCCTTGGTCCTTGGAAAACCAATGTTGAAGATACTGCTGCGAAGGTTGCTACAGCTGAAGAGATCCTTGGCGGTCCCCTACTCTCTACGATCCAAGCAATTTATCCAGACTACGTGCCTTACGATCCAGAAACAGGCGTCTGTATGTTTGAGGAATTGTTGGATCGGCTCGATGAAGAAGCGTTGGGATACGCAAAATTTGGGGTCCTGCCAGTGATGATTGGGCGTGTCCTATTCCTGACTAGCAAAGGATATCTTGGAATCGGACCCGAGCAGATGCGAGAAAGCGATTGGGTCATCATTCCGGATGGGGCGTACTCTCCTTTTGTGGTAAGGCCAACCGGTAGCAGATTATATGAAAATCAAGGTCGACATTCTTCCACCGTCCAAGTAGTGGGCGATTGCTACCTCCACGGTTGGATGGAAGGAGATTTGTTCGGCACGGTTGAAACAGGAAATGGTGATGATGAGGTACTATCGGAGAGCGGACCCATATCTGGGTGCAAGTCAAAGCAGGGAACCAGTGCGAACACTTTGGAACGAGGCCTTTTCGTACTTTGCTAGTGATACTGTAGTTTAGGACGACAAAACTATATTGAGTGAGTGTTAGGTCTCTCCTACAAAATTGAACACCCAATGCTTTAAACCTTCTTGCGTAGCTGCTCGTGCTTCTCCTTGCCTGCGGTAGCAGTATCCACCACGTCCTCATCATTATCGGTGAACGCCCTGTCTCCAAACGCCATAGCAATCTCCTCCAGGCTGTGCTTCGCAGTTTTGACATAGTAGAAGTGCGCTAAGCCAGCACAGAAAAGGCAGCATCCTGCGATGACCAGATAGAAATAACCACCTATTCCTGCAAATGCATACGGAGAGACCATGCCGATGACAAATTTGAAGATTCAATTGGACGTGGTCGCCAATGCCATGCCTTTGCTGCGTCCACGAAGTGGAAAGAATCTCAGCGGGCAATAGCCATGGCATCGGACCCCATATGAAGCCGTAAACGATGTTGTAGACCATGATAAACGCGGATTGCCCGTTGGCGCGTGTCATGATGGGAATGTTGGCCTCAGTGAATGCACACACGACTCCAAGCAAAACGACCATCGTGACTCCACCCAGGATAAGAAGAGGCTTCCGTCTCCATCTGTTAGCCAACTACGAAGTTAAAATGGTAGCCGCGGTGCATGTTAGCGCATTTGCGACATTATAAAGCAGCGATTTGTTGTTGTCGAAGCTAACAGAAGCCAGCGTGCTCAGAAGATAAACCGAGATGATGTTGATCGCTGTTTCCGCGTAGTATGCTTCTCAACGAGTGATGAGGTTAGTGTAGAACTATATACCGTTAAGCTGAGCAAACATCTAAAAAGTTAACTTAATGATGGTGCATTTACGATAGCGAGTGAGGCGATCGTCAGGGGAGTTGACTTCTTCAGAGTTTCCTGATTCAGTAGCTGAATTATAACGATTGTCGCGATCCTCAGGAGTCCATGCGCACTCGGTCCGAATACGATTGATAGTAACGTAGATTGAACTGCGACAATCTTCCTATACTATTGTTAGGATTCATAGGCGAGCAATGTAGATAGGTATAAGACGGGCAACTAAAGTAGATTATAGGAGAGACGAATTATCCTTAGACTAGTGTTAAGATCCGCTCGCACGCGGTATAGGGCATTGGCTATATATACTCCTAAACTACTAACCTACGCCAGCTGCCAAGGACATTACATAATCGGTCATGGGTCCTAAAGATCCCAGGACTGTACGGGCCAGAATCCCGTATGGGACTCTAGGACGTATGTTACGATCACAGGAAACGCAAACACGGAGTCGGCAGGAAATGACGCCACCAGAGATGAAGCTAATAGTGAGCAATAAAGGGACGGCTCGATCTATTAGGATTGCCAAGGACCAATGTCACGTGATTATTCTCCCGCCAAGACTGGGTTCTTCGGGGAGAACAGGTCCTTAGCGGGAGAATAGAACATTCTCCCACTAGGGGACGATTATCCCAGGATAATAGAGTTAGCCCTAGACAACGAAGGATGGGACGACTAGTATATAGTCGAGGACATTCTCTAAACATTTCCTAGTCTTTATACTTAACTTCAAAAGCTTACTTTTATATTCAAATTAGAGCCACTCATCTCTATATGAATTATTAGTCTTCTCTTAATATTTGTTGTATAGTATTACTATAAGATATAGGATATTCATACAATCCTTTTTAGTACTGCCATCCCTCGCGTTCGAATCACTGAATACCCACAAGGTACGAACCTACGGTTAGGTACGTGGAAACCCCTTGTAATAGTATAGGACTTTGTGAAATCTAGAAGGGTAGCTAGTCTTAAAGGGTTAGGGTTGGCTCTCGGGCAAGACAACTGAGGGGAAGGGAAGGGGTCTTATTAATACAATAGTACTAGGAGAGATATAATGAGTCAATAATATGGCCTAAGTGTAATCCAAATAAAAGATTGATTAACAGGTTAAACACGAGTGTGAAGGTTCATACTCGCGTTCCTATGGACTAGTCCAGGAGCCAATCTACTATAGAGCGCTCTCTATAGACTAGTCACGTGACTCGCTAAGCGCCCTCACGCGGAGTTAGCAAAGATATGGGTATCTTCACGTGTACGCTCCCATGGCTGAGTACAAAGTGTCGTGCTTTCCCTATATTTGATCTGGATCCTAAAAATAGCCTATATAGTGAGATTTCTTTTCTCACTTGCGTAAATTTTCGTGAGGCAAGTCGATGCGCCATAGTGGTACCAGTGCGATGACTATTCTGGGCAGCGCTAGCCCAACTAGCACTAATTTTGTTGTCGCCTTGGCTTATAAAATGTGATCGCCGATATAATTACATAGCTGACGTTACGGGTGGGTTTACCGAAACGAGAACCAGATAACACCCAACCAAATCCACAGCTAGGTTTTCGCTGGTGGGTTTTGTCCTAGTACTATGCACCTTGTGCTAGTTCATAATGCCAATTAAAGGTATGCATGCCAGCAGTCAATCCGAGAAGAGGACTGGATTCCACAAGCCGATAAATACGTATTCATGTTGCTAAAAAGGTGAAAATATAAGTTGAGTTGATTGAGTCGGGATTCATCTGAGATGACTAAGCAGTCATATGAAATTGAGTATTGGTAGATTAGGGTAAGTTTAACCAGGGCGAGCATAGTATTACGCCAGTCTCCAACTCCAAATCTATCTAGGCCAAAAAATCTGCAGCCACTAACATGTTAACTCCTAATTCTGCCTTCCGCAAACGGCTAAAATAGCCACTCTTTTTCGGTAGGCTCGCTGCATACCCTTCCGCCGTCGAGCAGAGGGTCGAAAGTATGTCAGAAATATGCCTCTATCCAATGGCATTGATGTACAACAAAGAGAAAGCAAGTTCCTCAATTGCTAGACCATTAACCTGTAGCGAGACCTTGCTTCGCGTATCAAGACCAGTCTATTCACGATAATCTAGACTGCGCCACCGGATTAACATAGATCAGTCCCTTGTCGAGGCTTACTTCACCTTCCCAGTCAACTAGATCTATATAGGTCGCCTACGTCTTCCGCTATCCCAATCGTATTTATATATATTCGTTACACAACAACCACTCAGCGAACTTCTCTACAATCGCATCAAGCAAAGTTCAACATAGCATGCAGCCTGGCATGTTTTTTGTGAATTACATTAGTTATTCTGCAATCTTGTCTATACTACTATTGCTCCCATGGAAAATCGGAGCAGCAACCACCTGCGGGGCCGCCGACATCTCCAGCAACTCAGTCAAAAACTGTGACTGCCTCACAGCCACTCCCGGAACGGATTGTACTACAAGTTTCGAGGACCGGTCCTGCAAGGTCACTTTCCCGCCAATACTCAATCAGTGTAACACAGGCTGTATTCAGAGAAATCTTGAATGCTCAGCCTGTTACATTTACTCCGTCAGGTTGTGTGGCTGTGTGAAAGGAACTATACCGGGCTGCCTCAACAACGGCGATTGGTGGCTGCTTCGGGGAAACGATCTCATTACCACCACAAAGCACATACCGGGTATCTTGCAGCTCGGCTCTGACAATGACGGCTGGCAAATGGGGCAGACACAGCTGGCGAAGGGGGTTAAGGTAGCTGCAGGCCTGGCGACAAGGGAAACCGGTGCGCTGGCAGTCAACTCAGTACTGGTGAGGAGTGAGGAACAAATCCATATCCACGTTTGTTACCTTAAAACCAGCAAATTCCGGGATTACTTGTCGAGTCAGGTTCCAAGTAAGTTCACGCAATTATCGCCGTTGCAGACGCACTTTACGGATTATCCTACGGTGCAATGTATAGCGTCACAAAAGAAGGGGGACAGTTCTATGGATGTTGCGCGTATTACGGCAGGTTACCTCATAGGCAAAACATGTGATAAGTATTCTGTCGGAGCAGGCCTTATTATCGACAAGAATGATATTTCATGGGTATGTATGACGACGACGGGTAAAGGCAGTGCAGAAGGGCTGTTCTGTGGTACGTGATTGGAACAGAGGTAATACAAATGTTTAGTATTGTTTGTATTTAGTGACATGGAATGTACTGAGTTGATCTATCGTGTCTCATGGTATCTTTGGTTATGGTCGTGACGACCAACCAGTGCTGGTGCTGGTGTTCTGCATTCGACGCCCTGGTATTGATAACACTAATTAGAAGGTGGTGAGAAGGATATAGGAGGCTTGCGAGACGTCCACTAATCGGAGTCCGAATCTGAATGTTCGAAGAGAACTTAGCTCGTAGCACAATATGTATGAACATCGAAGATATCAATGTCGTCAGTCGGGCCCCAAACCCAAGCGAGACAACAAGAGGTCTAAAGGTAATATATATAGAGAAGATAACGAAGATGAACTATTCGTACGCATATCAGCCACAATGTTGCTAAGGACCCCACTGGAGCAGGTTGGGTACCAAGTATCGACGTTCGCATTCTTACGGACCGTGAATGTAAGCAACACCTGATCGAATCTGAAGAGGTGTCAGGCGAATATGATTTCAATTCCGTTATCCATGATGGTTTCCGATCAAGTGAATGTCTTATTAGGGACAGTAGAAAGTTTGGTTATATGGATATAACTCTTTAAGGCAGAGTCCGGCCTATATATTTGCATCTCACCGATCTTGCGAACGATTGGAATATACGGTTCCCGCTCATACCGTTACGTGCGGAAGTTCAAAGCCCAGAAAAGCACGTCTGTTACATTGGCAACGGTCATGATGGGTCTCTTAGATCAGATCGTCTGCAGTTCTTTGATCCGTAGTACTTGACCATGAACGGGACAGAGAAGGTGGGTGAGACGAATTTGGTGACGATTCCGACGCTTAAGAGCGTGAAGTGGGCGTGGTTGCAGCCATTTGAGGTGTTGCCGACGGAGGAGGATGGGGAGGAGGGGGCAGAATATCGAGGTGAGGAGGGAGCGGGGAAGAAGGAAGCGTTGGGCGGAACGGATCCGGTGGCGGATAAGTTCACGCAATATATGGCGCTCGGGGTCACACTGTCGGATGAGAAGCCGAGATATGAGGTCGGTCCGTATACGGCAATCGAGGGATATTTGCAGCTGTTGGAGCCGCTTATGAAGGCGGAGACGACCGGATCGTGAAACGTTCATTGTAGTCGATAATCCAATTATTTCGATACGCTCTATCCGCACTTTTGAACTAGTTCCTCATCCGTCACCATTCAAGGGTTGCATGATCCAGTATTTTGCTCTCTATACAATGTACAATCCATAATAATACCCTCTGCTAATTGAGATAGCCATTCAGAGCCTCACATTGTAATTGGCCCCAATAAATGCTATGCATGCTGCAGGCTGGCTTCGAGTAGGGCTTGTGATGCCACGACACTTCCGTAAACCGCGAGGTAAGGGCAAGCCACAAAATGAACTCTGATACACAGATATCGCCCATCAGACTACATTACGCGCATGTGTGAAGCACGAGGTAGTTCCCAGAAGCTCTCCGAGAGTTATCATGTCAACTGCTTATTCATCACCGCCATGCCCGATCACGACCTGACAGCGCTGAACAAAGAACACTCGCAGGCATCTTAGGGCATCATGGATATCGATCCGCGGTTTGTTGCAAAGCTGTGCGAGGTGTGTCAAGCTGCGATTGTAAAGATAAACGATCCCTCCGTGACGAAAAGGCAAACCATATCCTGGTATGAGACAAGTGAAGCGCTACATCACTCAGCAAGACTGAAAGACCTTCACTCCTCGGCGGCTGGGGGCTGCGGCATTTGCATTCGGCTGAAGCTGTGATCGCGTAATATCAGTTCTTAGCAATTCTGATAGATCAAGCTGTCCCTTTATTGCTTACCATCAGCTTCATCTCTAGTCGCGTCATTTCCTGCCGACTCCCTGCTTGTGTTTCCTGTGATCGTAACAAGAGGTCTAGGAGTATAATAAGCCAGTGTCCCGCGCCATACGCGAGCGGATCGTAACAATAAGCCGTTATTTCTCTTCGCCTATAGTTTGGTACTAATGGCTACTATACGATACAATTTCAATAATGCGGCCATGTACCTCTGCTCGCCACTTCACCTATATGACCGTCGAGGTCTTCGAAGTACACGCTTTTCCCACCCCTTTCCCAGTTGTTAACTCCTAAGATCTTAACATTAACATCCCGGAGATGCTTTTCCCATGCATCAACTTGAGCCAGATCGGAAACGGCGACGCAGAAATGTTGCTTCAAGGTTGCAGAAGTATCATTAGGCTTGCCGCTTTTGGGACACAGATAGTTTAGGATCTGTTCCGTAGGTCCATGGCCTGGTATCGTACCAGATGTAGATACGATATCCGTGGAGGTTTGGCCGAGTTGGAAGAGGAGGAGGGTAGTGTCGCCGAGGGCGAATGCTGCAGTCCTGGACTGTGCGCACAATTAGCTCGACGTTGCAGGTTGCGAGCCAGTAATTACACCTCGCTCCATTTACTGTCGCCCATCTTGGCAATACCGAATGAATCGAATTCCCAAGCGTGTTTCGTGGATAAAGGAGGAGTTGATAGGTAGGAGGCTAGAATGCTTACTGTCTCCGCGATGGGCTCTACTCTTAACAGCTCTTTGTAAAACTTAACTGATGCGACTAGTCCCCGAACGTAAAGGCACGTTTCTAGAATGTGACTTAGTGGGGGTAGCGGAGGTTCACACACTGATTTTGCGGTGGCATGCGCAAGTGACATGATTTGGCTTTTGCCTTGAGTGACTTTAAGGTCCCAGCTCGCTTCGCGCTGATTGAAGAATATGATGAGAGTGAGGTACAAAAGAAATGCCTGATGCTGAATAAATTCAGCTGTTATCGGAGGCAGATCCATGTTTGAGCACGCATGCAAATACGTGGTGAATTACAAAGAGGGTCGATCCAGATGCCTACGCTGACACAACGCTATCTCATTGTGAATTAGATCCGTAAGATCAATACGAGCCTGGAACTAGTTCATCGATAAGCATGTTTACACCCTACGGATCATAACTTTCGTATTTAAACCTTGTTAAGATCGAGGTTTCGCACAGATTGATGCCGACTGCTGACACAATTTTGTATGCGCTAGGCTCTTAGAAGCTTAGCGTTATGGCTGACCAATAACTTGGTGACTCGGCAGCACCTGCTCTTTCTTGACCTAGAACCGGGGCAAACTAAAGATTATACTTTCTCTCACTGCAAACTTGTTTTATGACGATTCTCGGATCTACTTAGCTAGCTACAGGGCCCGCAATGGATTCCGCAGTGGGTCCTGTCCCGGGAACCTGAGAATCGCCATCATGCTCTTCTTGTCCTCGACCGCTAGAGTCTCAAAGCCTACGAGAGCAGAGTCTTGGACGAGCTCAGCCATGGATCTGTTCCAACGCCGAATATTTCGATGTTGGCTGTTCATCTTCTCCTTCCTCGTCATCGCATCGACGTCACTGCGGGGCAGCAGTGGCGGGGGACCCCGAGTTCTGCTCGCGCTCAAGATGCGGCAGGAGATAGCTCAAATCCTGAACTTTTTTTTAGGAGTCTGGATTGAACGGCAGATCTCCGTAATTAGTTGAACAAGTTGTCAATCTTGGTGATGACGTTGAGGTGCGGCAGGTCTATCTGCAGCATGCTTTGCAGGGCGAGGAGCAAAGACGAGAGGTAGAAGAGGGCCGCGCAGCACCATGGAATCGGTCAGGTGGACTATGCCGAGGCTTTGGAGGCGTAGGAAGATGTTTCTGTGACGTGAAACGCCATTGGGCAGCTCCTCTGCGGAGCTCCCTTGTATGCTCAGAGAGCTTCCTGTACGTATATGGCTAGTTCTGCGCTTAGACCTGGCAATATCTCTATATATATGGAGCGTGGGAGCTCTCTCCCACACTCCAGTGATAATACTATAGATCACCCTGAACTGCTTGCCAAGCTCCCTCCAACAGTTTCGCAGTGACGAATATTGTGTAAAGAGCTCGGCTTGGCCGAAGCAGCCGAAGAGGAAGTAGTCACCGGCCAGATCTTGCAGGGCGGCCTCGAGCCGGTCACAGTGCTGCTCCGGCTCCTCGAAGCCATGCAGCACGCCGCCGTTGGGGCCCAGTGCCTCCTGATCCATGATGTTGCCCATGGTATAAGGTCGCGCACATCAACGGCGGGCGCGTACTACGTGCGGGCGTTGGCGGGATCAGGGTTGACGACGGCGCATTTGCCGTCCATGGTGCGCATGAACAGCTGCATGCCGTCGCAGTACGTCGACTTGCCGGAGCCCGAGCGGCCCGATGACGAGCTGGGCGAAGGGCATGGGTGGACGAGCGCTATGAAGGACAAGTGCCTGTCGATCGGCTCCACAGGTCAAGAGGAACAAGAAATGAAAACCGTAGCTCACTTACTGTCGCTACACTTCAGGAATATTCCACACTCTACTCCTCCTAAGTTATCGTAGTCCCTAATATATCCTCAATAGACAGGACATCGTCACGTGATATCATTGTATTGCTAAGTCCACGCTTAGGTGGGACGTCACATAATGTCGGTCCTTGGCCTTCCCAACGATTATGCTGATGCTGCGTTCATTACTGTCAGCCTCATCCCTTCTCGTGCCATTTCCTGCCGAAAACGTGTCGTGTTTCTTTGTCACCGTAACACCCAGCGGGCGAGAAGACTTCATAAATGTAGATTTGAAATTATAGCCTCGCTATGTCTACATCTTAGACTCGTCCAAGACAACATTGATAGACGATGTCGCTTTCAAATTCTATAAAGCACCTTTTGACAGGTATACAATACCATCTCTCTAAAGCACAATATGGTTCGGTCGCATAGATAATTTATGGGTTCCACCTTATAACTGATCTTAGGTGCGATGTTGTTCATGGACGGAACAAGGATAAGCACTGTTCTAGGAGGCGTCTCATGTCCCATTTGAATCGGAATCGATTGTGTGGAGCGCTGTGCCTGCCGTCTCCGCCCGGTCGATGCTTATTTGAGACGTCCTCACATTCGTATCTTCGCTGTTGTCGCCTGTCGAGCTGATTTCGTTGATCTTGACGGAGGCGCCCGGGCTGCGTGGGCTAGTGCTGATTTGAGCCTTCTTGTTTCCAGTCCAGACGCCAAGAGAAAGGGTGTTGCTGCCGAGAGCCCTTCGATTGCTAGTTATGTCCTTGTGCTTGACGATGCGGACTAGACGGTTGAGGACAGAGAATTCCATTTTTAACTTGACGCTGTATACGGCCGTCTTGTACGTCGTCTGAAGCTCATAATGACCGGAGAACTGGACAGCAAGGAGGGTGATATCGAAGACTAGAACCATGACGTTTACGAAGATAAGGTGCATAAGTAACTTCTTCAGGGGTCTTGAACTGCTGCCGCCGCCCGGTCCTAGCAAATGTACTGTTTCGTAGATGTAGATGATAGAAATAATGGTCTCTTGGACAGAAACGACCACGATTTGGACCTTGTCGTAGATTAGGAAGCCGGGTAGGAAGCGAGCTGATTGCTTAGAGTTTGTACCCAATGCCAGGATGATGAGGGGACAGCCGAGAACAACACCGTTGAAGACAATCATGCATAGTACCCAGCGGATCTTAGTCTTATCCTGAACGACCAGATGCAGCCGAGAATACAGCACGACTGATTGTCCTATCACCATGCAAGCCCAGCCAACACCAATTATGGCGCTTGATAGTAGGTCTAAAGTGGTGACCTGGAAGAACTTTAGGATAAATCCAACGGCGTGAGGGACGATACCCCAATTGGCAGTGAGGCAGCTCCAAAAGTACATTCCCTTCCGTTGTTTAAAGACGATGAAAATCAAGACGGTGATCTCGATGACATTGTACAGCGCAATGGACAAGAACGCCCCCATGGTCATCAAAACTGGGAGGCCGACATTTACGCCGCCGACGATGCCCACGTCCTCCTTTTTGACCATGGCCGGATGCGAAGACTCGTTGAGCCCGAAGATGCGTTCGTGAGAAATTGAGTAATTGCTTCGAGATAAGTAAGCTGACATGCTCTACAAACAGAATATTAAAAGAGAATCCATACCACGAGTTGTATGCACAAGCAATATCGCATGCAACAAAATAGTATCGGTTGCAAAGTCGCTTTGGTTTGCATGACTGAGGCGCACCCACGATACAACTTCGCCTGCGATTGAATTGACACTGACCGATCGCTGATGTAGGAGGCTGCACAAAGCAATCTCTCGACGCCCTGCTACCATACGGATGCTGTTTTTGCCGCAAAGGCTCTTGAAGGTTTGTCTGGACCTCGGAACCAGATGCGCCCACTGTGATCCTTCTCGCTATAGGGAGACGGATCGCGTTCCCCGGATTCCCATCAGCCGGTCATGATTGGACTAACAAGTCCGTGCGCGTGATGGGCGTCGTTTGGTTGCAAGGGTTTACGCCATGACCCGGGATTTGGAGGCACCTGCATCTGCGCTAGTCCAAAAGGGTAGACGCAGCCCTTCTCATTCGCTCGGAGAGCGCCGAGGTGCACCGACCACCTAAATTCATGTTCCATGCTGAAAGCGGGGCATGTTAAGAGTAGATCGCACCTCGGGTACCCTGGAAAGGGGGTAGGCAACCCACTCACCACAGTGAAGTAACTTGGCTATTCCTGGTACAGGGGCCTCAGGGGAGACAAAGGGATAACACGTAGCCAACGCGTGGCGGCGCTGGGGCGCCGGCCCGCCGAGACTGAGGCACAGACCTCTGCATTCAGCGTCCTGCTTCTTACCAATTCGGAAACTATTCAGCTCCGCAAACGGTCGACCGCACGTCAGACTTAATCAACAGAATCGTGGTAAATCTGGTACTATGGAACCGCCGTTGCGGCCCTAGCAGGAACGGACGCACAAGTCCGTCAGCAAGCTACACAATATGACACGTTCATCGAACGCAGCAACAGTCATCTAGTTCGGCAACATGAAAACGATGATAGAGCCCAAACACCTCCCAAGCAGAGTCGCAACATATGGTATACATTTTCTGATGGGCTGACCTGGAAACCCATCGCCAACCGACAAGGTTCGCGACGTCCCCGCAACGACGAGCCCTCGATTGACCGGCATCGCTTCTCATACGAACCATCTCATGGAATACTCAGTATGCTATCATCAGTAGTACGCAATACTGCAGATTACCAGACAGCCTCGTCCGCTATCGACCCTATTTCATGTCGAAGGAGTGGTGCCCCATCGACACATCCGACAAGGTCTGAGGAGATTTGCAAGAGAGTTCTCATTCTTAGTAGATCTGACGGCGCGCTCGAGTGGAGCATTGCTGTTGTGAAGCTACATTGCGACGGAATGATGCTGCCGCTGCGCTCCGCGGCAGATCACACCACAAATCACGCTGATATGTGCCACATTCAGGCTGCTATTATATCGAATCAATGAAATCAGGAGAACCATTCAAATAATGCAGTGGCAAAAATGCACAGTTATGCGGTCAACGTTGACGCGCGCTTACCAGGCGATCACACAGCTGTGTGCAGCCAGCGCGCGCAGCCAAAGAGATGCTGAGGAGGAGCAACTACGACTTCGAAAAGCTGAACCAGCAGATTCCCGTAGAACCAGCCAACAGCTCAAAGCTCGATGATTACAAGAAAGGCACACTTGTTGAGGAATTGCTAGAGATGCACACGCGAAGGGGAAGGCCAATCAGGCAGCTGAGCGAGCACGTGCTTAGCAAGCTCGCAGGAGGGAAAGATAACTCTGGAATCGTATTAATTTATCTAAAAAGGGCAACAAGAAAGTCTCAAAGTCTTCTGCTAGATCTAATAAGAATGAGGAACCTCAGCGTGCGGTTATGGATATTGGTGAGGCCTCATCAGTTGCATCCGTCTCCCAGTTCTTTTTCTTTTTTTTTCTTTTTTCTTTTTGTCGTACTCGTAATCGGCCGCGATTTCTGCGGCTAGCCCCGGAAGCGAAGGCTTAGAAGACAGCCGACGCTTTGCTAAACGAATCAGCCAGCTGTCCCCTTACCTTTGCGTCGTCTGGCTTGTATCATTATCGCGCGCATTAGCTTGTGGCATAACTAGCCCAAGTCCTTGATAAAGCTCTCAATGTTATGTAAAACCAGCCTACGTTCCAAATTAGACAAAGAGTAATCGATAATTAATGTTACCCGTGTGCGAGAAACAGTAATAAAGGTGGCGAATACGGAAGTCGCTAAATAGACTATCCCACAAGGCATAAGGAAACGTGAAGGGGCTCCACGAGGCCGTGATTAGAAGGCGCCGGGTATGGCAAGCGGACGCCAAGATGAGCGTCATCATATTCTCACTAGAGATGGCTATGGGAGGCTGTATTCGGCAGATGGCCTACAAGAGCAACATGAACAACAATTCTGAGGCGTGTGGTACGCATTAAGGAGAGTACCAAATGATGATAATTGGTGTACTAAGCTTCAGTAACTCCAACAGTGCAGGTTCCCTCACTTAGCTCCATGACCCTTTCCCTCGTTGGCTTGCACTCGCGATAGTATCCTCTACGCTACGTATCTGTTCTGCCCTTACCACAATAACGTTCAAACCCAATGGGAGACCTTCTGTCTCCACGTCTATCCCACTATCAGACGTCGAAGCTGAAACAATAGTCACGACCCATGACCAATGGCAATGCGTCACTTCCTCGCACGACGGGCCCTGGTATAATGAGTCCGGCTAATGTAGTCTCTTAATTTTGCTCTGTCCCAATTCATGCACATCTTCCATTTCCTGTCCTCGCACCATCTGTATCGGCTCTTCGGGCATGATTCTGGCCGTCGCACTATCCCATGACTCTGCTTTCTGTTGCAAAAGTGGGCGCTCGAGTACCTGGCTTTCTGTAGCTCGAACGATAGACCCAGTGACGGCGGCATACTACCTCCGGACGTGCCGTCGAATGGGAGATCTTCGTGGTCCGGGCAGCCAAGACCAGGAAAGGGAAACTGGTGATCTGTGCGAGGGAGGATGTGGACACCATTTGGACTGGTGCGGCCGTCTGGAGAGGAGACCCAGTGGAGGACGAGGACGGAAAAGAGGACTGTATCGGTGGTTAGTCGGATGGGTAGCTGAGCTGGCTGCTAAGGTAAGATAATGAAGATGGGATGAGAAAGGTTGACTGAGCAAGGAAGGGTGACAGGAACTCACTATCTGCGTTGCAGCACATCATGCAAATCCAGCCCGGCTCTCCTTGGAGGGCCATAAGGATGGTGATGTTGACAACGCTAGAGGTGAGGGTTGCGCAACTACACAAGAAGGTACGGCGAGCAATGGCGCGGAGGGCAACGCTGATGTTGTGGCGAAACGAGGATGTTTCTAAGTGATTGAGGTACCTGGTCAGTACTGCTGGGCGGTATGAGAGGCGGCGAATTACTTAGTATTGGGAGGATAAATAGTGATGTAAGATAGACCTGTGCTTTGTTAGAGTCCGTTCATGTTGAATAGAAATGTATACGCACATTGACTAAGATCTCGAATGATAGTAATGGTATCATAGCTATTCTCTTCATGCCAACAATGCATGCCCCCTTTTCATCAATATAAGCAAATCGGCTAGGGTATGTGAGTGGACTTAAAAGGTAAAATGTGTCATGGGATTATTACAATACGAAGTTCATAACAAACACGCCAATGTAAGGGCCTATTAAGCATGATTAGCAGTGGAGTTTTCTGCTCCAAGGGAACAATTACATATCATGCCGAAGAAGTTGAAGAGATATAATTTATCTTTTAAACGAGGCTGTCGTCTTCCGCGCACAATGTACTAACCAAATGCAACCGTTAATCAGAGACCTAGAGAATTGGGACGAAGACGTACCGCTTTCTCGACTAGGAAGAGATATATAAACTATGGTATCATGATCAACCTTGGTCCTAGATTAATATGTAGTTCATACTTACCACCTAAAGTGAGATAGTCAGCAGAATAATTATCAGTTGTAGGTTTTATAACCCACTTTTGTCGACATGTAGCATACCAAGCCTGCATCGGAGGTGAGTATCTCTACTTTTTGGATACGGTAGGGCACGTACAAAGTATGATGATACTGCGGCATATGTTGAGAACATTCAGATTGAAGCCCTTAGAGAGGATCGCTGTGACAAAGACAAAGACAAATGAGTCGCAATAGATAATCACGAGAACTAGTGACATGTCAATCCTCATAGTCTCCAGACCACTCACAGAAACGACGACGCACTTACGCCAACCTGTGAGTGGAAGTCGTTTCCAAGAATTGATGGATTGTAAGCGTCGAGCTACCCAGACTAATTAACGCTGAATTCTCAATGTTATGGAAGCATCCTTACTGAGACATGTTGCAAGCGCGGCAATGGTTATCATAGAGAGCGCAACTGAGATGATGTTTCCGACCAGTGGAACTGGCGAGTTAATTGCGCTTCTATCATCTAAGATAAGGTGCGCAGAATCAGACATGATGGTTCGTAGAAGGCTGAAAGCTCTGTGGATGGGAGAACCAGAGATGGATATACGAACCATGACATATGGGTTTAGGCTGGGCCTGCCGCGGAGGAACCGCTTGACACCGCAGGGGACGGCCCGTAACGAGGTTAGCCGTCCCCGGAAAAATAAGGTGCGCTTCTCTAGTTAGTTAATTATTATTGGCTACTTTAGCTGATTGGCTCAACCACGAGGTTTTTCATGAGCTGAGTCCCAGGTCGCCGACCAAAACGCGTCAAGGGACAAAGTTGGTAACAACAAAGCGGAAGTCTCATTCAGAGCCAAACTTTGCTAGGTTGGTTTTTCCCCCTAGGTTAGTGCGATAAGTGCATTGGTCCTTGCTCAATTGTGCAGATCCAACCTCAACGCACTCGTTCCATCTGACAATAGTGCGCTTATCCTACCTACAAAATTAAGATAGCGCTCCCAAGAACATGTCATTCTTTAGACGTGCGTCTGGTTATATAGGGGCCAATTCTATGTCTGTACTCGCTGCAACCCACTATAGTTGTCCTTGGAGCCCCGGTTTCTCATTATAAGGCAACGGTAGGCCTAGTGGTACTATTAATCGTGGCTTTGACTGCACTCGGGATCTAGAACTTTGAAACAGTTGTTCCACCAGAAATGTGTGCGTAATCTTTGACCCACTATCTAAAAGAAATCCCGATCCAACTTTCACTTCAAACAAGCGACTTGCCTTCAGATCAGATCCATGACACCGTAACGGGCCACCAATCTAGTAGCCAGATACTCAAGATACCTTCAGAGAATCGTGGAAGATCCACGCGCCGATTTGATACCGTTTCCTTTGCAGTAGAAGCCAGAATATTCCGCTATACCCTATCATACCACCATACGATGGTCATTCCCCAACCCTGCGTCTGAGGTTTATCGTCTTCCAGACATCGGTATTGATATCCTGAATTACGAGCCGTCATCTACCGATCCTCCCCATCCCCTCCTTAATGGGTTCGGTTTGCTAGACAGTCAGTTATAAAACTAGGCTCTACTCAATCCAAGCACCACGTCCTCGTTATGTATCAGTCCCGAGTCAAACATCCTATATAGTTCCCATCATCGCGATCAACCTGCTGTTCAGCTTGGAATAATAACAGCTCCATTAATCACCACTCCAGGACCTCCTTCAGCAGAAGATAAACAGTACGCACAACCTGTACAAATGCAGCAAGAGGGATATGTGAGAGGTGGCCGGGTGGCCGGGGAAAAAAAGGAAAGGATGTCAAGTCCAAACCTTCTTAGGTGACTTTGAAAGTTTGTCGCGTTTGTTCTACCTCCGATTTATAACAGCTGCTTCAAAAGTCCTGAGAGAAGCTGTGCAGCTATGGGCCAGTTTACTGCGCAAAGATTACGGAAGCTTCAAGGACCGCACCGACTACGATGTCGACAGTCCACGCGAACTAAATTGGTGGCCTGCCGGTGTGCAATATAAACCGACCGAATATCTACCATTGCTCGGTACGTACGGACGGGCCACAAGAGTGACAAAAAAAGCTGAGGTTAGCGTAGAAGTTAGATTGTTAGCTACAGATCTGATGTTAATACATTGATCTCAAGATTCCGTAAATCCAGAAGCGTGGATACAAAAGCTGGAAAATGTTAAACCCCGTGCGGTCCGCAAGATAACTAAAGAAGTCTAGGACGAAGATGAACGCTTCTCTGATATGAAATAGGAAGAGAAAGGAGACGTACCTACCCATATCGATTAATCCGTTCAACAAGGAGTAGTACCGTAATTCAGCAGAATAAATGTTCTTCATCCAACGTTGATATGCGTTCCAAGCATACCTAAGCAACACATCCGATCCCTCGTAGCGAGGTTATAGCTCTGGGCGTCCGGCGGGAGCTCCGATGGGGCCGGTGCAGCTACAGAGCCTTAGCTTACGCTCCTTTATCGGTGAAAGACATGCAGTCTTCAATTTCGCACATTAACTTTATTACCTCGCGGTCTAACGATGGTTTAAGCTTTAGTCGCTGCTAGCGGCGGCAAAAAGCCGCGACCCCAGATTTTACCCCCAGAATCTTCCCCACATCCTTGCCCCGGTGGGGTAAACATCAGCTTTTTCCTCCAATTGTAGACGCTTCGTTTTACAAATGGCTTTATTCTTGGACAGATCGTCCCTCACAGTGATGGTGGCATTGCAAATGAAGATGCAGGGTGTCAATCTGTTGTATTTATTGAGATGTAGTCCAGGCCAACAAGCTGTTATCTTCACGTTCGCACATTACCCGCTGCACCATGGTCCGTCTTTGTTCTGCAAGTGTTCTCTTAGCATTGGTTGCTGTGAAGGCTACGACGGCCGCACCTCCCAAGAGGCAGTCTAAAGGTACAGCTACCATCGATCTGAACACCAACATTGGTTCTGCAAACGCTCTAGGTGCTGGCTTTATCTATGGGTTTCCCGACAATGGCACAGAAGCGAGCAATGCCATCCCTGATCACTTCATGACCGACATCGCGTTCCGAGCGAGTCGCGCAGGAGGAGCCCAGATACCGCCAAAGGGCTGGATCGGCGGTCTCCAAGCATATGTTGCTCGCTTCAACTCAACCCTATCAAACTATAGAACGACCCGGAAATATGGAGGGGATTTCATCCTGCTTCCACACGACCTATGGGGTTCTGACGGCGGCGCCGGTGTGAATGCGCTTTACCCAGGAGACAACGGCAATTGGACTGAAACGGAGACCTTCCTCACCCGTCTTGTTCAAGATCTCAAAGCCCATGACATGCTTGAAGGCTTGGTTTTTGATATATGGAATGAACCCGACATCGACAGTTTTTGGGCGCGATCATGGGACCAGTATCTGGAGTACTACGTACGAGCGACTACCATCATTCGGTATGTAACATGAGGCAAACACAAGTCAGAATCTTCGTATCTAACGGAATGATTGTAGCAAATTGCTTCCGACAACCCTCATCAGTGGGCCATCTGCGGCACACCCGCCATCTTTAGACGATGCGAAGTGGAAAGCATGGCTATCAGCCGTCAAAAAGAGCAAAAGCCTACCTGACATCTACTCATGGCACCAGATCGGCTCATGGTCACGCGAGCCTGACAGGGTCATTCCAGACTTTACCACGCTGCTGAAAAATCAGGATCTACCGCAAAAACCTATTGATATCAACGAGTACGCTGCGCTTGAGGAGCAGAATCCTGCAAATTCAGCATTTTACCTTGCCCAGCTTGAACGGCACAATCTACGCGGCTTGCGTGCAAACTGGGGAAGCGGTAAGAAACTGCATGACGAGATGGGCAATCTCGTCTACAAGGGAGCCTCTGGATACGTTCCCAATGGAGATTGGCAGCTGTACAAGTACTACGCCTCTATGAAGGGCGACAGGTTTGCTACTACGGTTTCCAAAGATCTGCTCTTCGATGTGTTTGCGACCAAGCAAGACCGCGTGGTGAAGATCATCGCGGGGACTAGAACGATCAAGGCAGCATATGATATCAGTATCAAGGGGCTGACAAGCCTGGGTCTTTCGGCTGATGGCAACGTCAATGTTCAAGTCTATCGATTTGACTGGGCGGGGAACCAAGCGAAAATTGGAGATCCCGTCAACCTCGGCATCTCTTCGTACAAGTACTCAAAAGATCAGGTATGCAGTCATCCTCAGTCTCTCTCACCCTTCTTTCAACGGCCTAGCGTATGACTACTAACCCCGTGTCAGCTGCTGCTCGCAGTGGATCCTCCTACCAATTCAACAGCCTTTGCATACGAGATCCGTTATTAATCTCATCGAGCAAAGTATCTATGGTTGTGTACACAGATGGATTCATTTTGGAGTTTCATGTAACTCTAGGTTTGAGTAGCGATTGATATACTATTTGATATGCTGTGGTTTCGATGCCGTAACTTCCTACTGTGTTATGGAACGACTCATGAAACGCCCAAAGGCCATGCTTCCAATGAAAACCCCAGCAAGAACGGAAAGAAAGTAACCAACATTCATAGTCATAACCGCGATCATCCTAAAATCGGTAAGCGAGGGCAACACTCTGACTCGGGAGGACACATACAGGAGGTAGCTGACACCTGCGATCACTACATCCATAGCACCGAGCGCCACGGCCTCATTGGCTCGCCACGGCCGGTGCGCACCTTTGTATTCGTCCGTGTAGAGATGTGCCTGGTTGTCGCCTCGAGTCGATGCGATCTTGGCCGAGAAGCGGTCGAAGTTGAAGCGAATGGCGATGAGAGCACGGAAGATGGCGGCAAAGGCGATCAGAAAAATACAGGTGCCAGCGTACTGGCCTGCAGAGGCTGGTGTCCACGTGGTTGAGAAAAGTGGTGTTGTAGTCGAAGAGAAGAATGTCATAGCCATCGTGCTCATGGCCATCACACTGCTCGATCCCATGTCCATCGAACCAGAGGTCGCACTTTCTGTAGCCATGGGCATGGACATGGACATTCCGGCCATGGTACTCGTTACAGTGGCCATAGACATGGATTCCATCGGGACTGGACGTGGTGGGCTGGATGAAGTGAAAATCAAGGAGGGAACGCACACAAGAGTGATGTAGAAGCCCACCGCGCCGGGTACCAAGCGATCGTAGCAGACCTCTGTGATGCTTGTTCACCGAAACGTGTGCTCGTGCAGAAGCGAACGCGAGGATCGCCGCTCGTCTTACATGAGACGCAAAACTTTTGGGCTGTGATTGGTCGCAAAATTAACTTGCTCAAACTCGCTCATACGGCGGAACAGTTTATACGTTCTCATTCAGTCATCTACAGTTTATGAGCCTATCAGAACGTGCGCTTATTCCCGATCACATACATGCCGCGTCGGACCCTGTGCCAAACGTTCGGCTCAAAGCTTAATGAAGCTTCCTTAATCCCAGGCTCGGACCCTGCTCCTCGCGTGAACATAAACGCCGACGACACTTTGCCGGGTCGCTGCTAACTGAAGATTTGTCGTTTCATCTCGTTATATACTACCTTGGATGATGTTCATTCACTGATCTTCTAACTTTCAGTTTCATGACATCTTTTTGAGATCTGGTAGCAGTACTTATAACCAGCTGCCGATGTGCTGCGTCTTCGGATTAGGGAACCCTCAAAAATACTGGCAGCGTGCCGTTTCCTTTTCCTTGAATTGAACACTGGGGCGCGAAAGCAATACAAGAACCATTTTGAGTGGAAGCATTCCAGCCTCACAATCGTCAAGATGGATATGAACATGGCATGGCTCACATATCCGCTAGCACTGCACAGCAGCCGCGAGTTCGAGTGCGGGGACAAGACCGCTGAGCAGTGCAGCTGGTACAAACAACGATGGCATTTCTGGTGTGTTGCTGCAAGCGAATGGCACCGTGTTTGGTCTGACATTAACACCGTTTATTAGGTACATTGCCGACTATGTCTTCGCCTTATCGACTATTGCATTCTTCATGACTGCGATCGGGATTTTCATAATCGCGCACTTCACTTCGTCGCACATCCTTGGTCACCGTCGCTTCCGAGGGCCGAACATATGGCGCAAGCTCATCGCTACTGTCAGATACTTATCTTATCGCGGGTTCCATGTCAAGTCACTTCGCTGGAATTCAGCTCCTGTCGGAGTGCTCTTGCTAGGGCTTTCGGGAACCGTGTTCTTCTTTTGTAAGACCCCAGTGAAGATACCGGCGCCAATCACGGCATGTGTAGAATGGAAGCAGACTCATTCAGGTGACGCTTGCAGTAAAGGCGACCGAGTTTATCCAGCACTCACCGTGAATTGTATTCTCTGCTGACGCATACACAAGGCATGGACTTGGCCCCCCAGCCATACTACTGGCCAGACATTATGTTCGGCGGATCACCGCCTCTGGCGACCAGATCCGGATGGATGGCGTTGGCGTGCATGCCATTCATCTTTGCAACCGCGACCAAGACTAACTGGATTACCTTGGTCACTGGGGTGACTCATGAACGATTGCAGGTCTTCCATCGATGGATTTCGTATGCCTTTTTTGTCCTTGCGCTGCTGCATACCTTCCCCTTTATCGTATACCACATTCGATGGCATGATATGGAGGAGCATTTCTCCTCTAGTCTGGTGTTCTACTGGACCGGCATCGTTGCGCTTATATTCCAGGCATGGCTTACTTTCATGTCGCACAGTACGGTCCGGTCTGTCGTGACTCTCAATCCCCCCATGCTTTAGCATGCTGATAGCTTATGCAGATCCATCCTTGGTTACGAGTTTTTCAAAGCGACGCATTTTCTCGCCGCGGTGGTCTTCATGGTGACTTTCTTTTGGCACTGCGACTACACCCTCACTTCATGGTATAGTCCCCCTTGGAAGATAACCTCGCAGCAGGGCATGCACGACTTTGATCTGGGACCTAATGCACACAGCACATGCTGAATCACATCAGGGACTACTTCATCGCGACCGCCGCAATCTACGTCCCCTCCTACGCCTACAGCTGGTTCCGCATCATCTTCGAATACGGCTTCACACAAAAGGCACGCATAAACGTCGAAGAAAACGGCTTCACACGCATCGTGGTCCCCGCCAAGTTCAAGTGGACGCCCGGCCAACACTGCTTCCTGCGTTTCACGAGTCTTGGCTTGCTTCCAGCTCTGTCGTCCCATCCATTTACTATCTGTTCGTCGCCGTCGATCGAGGAGGACAGGCCGTCCGAGCTTGTGTTTTATATTCGGCACCAGAAGGGATTTACAAGAAAATTGTACCAGCATGCACTTGAGCGGGCTGGGGTGGAGGTGCCGGTGCAGGTCGATGGGCCATACGGTGGGGCCACCTTGCAAAAGTATCGGGATAGCGATCGTCTCCTCGTGGTCGCTGGTGGATCGGGCGCGGGCTGGATTCTGCCCTTTGTAGAGCGCTTCGCTCGGGCTGGCTTGATCACGCAGAAAGGCGAGCGGAAAGAATCGTCTGCCGACCCCGAGAAGACCTCCGCGCTCGAGACTGGTGCAGCCCCGGGCCCAAAGTCGCTGCGCGTGATACTAGCCACGCGGGATACCAGCAGCCGTAAATGGTTCCTATCCTCCGTCAGCAAACTCTTGGCCAGGTACCCCTCTACCCACGTCCATGTCGAAGTGCACTCAACAGGGTCCGCTGCAAAAGAGGCAGATCTTCCGGAACAAGCAGAAGCACCGCGCTCGATATCTTCTGCGGATGAGATTGAGATCCACACGAAGGGCCACGATGTACATGTGCCGGGCAAAGAGCTAGAAGGCCGGCCACGGCTTCCAGCGATAATTAAGGAGGAGGCGGCCAAGGCAGCGGAGGCAAGCGAATCACTGGGCGTATTTGTCTGTGGGCCGGAAACGATGCAGAATGATGTACGGAACGCTGTTGCTGCGGAGAATCTGGAGATACTGAAGGGCTCCAGGGCGGAGGGGGTGTATCTACATTCTGAACACTTCTCTTGGGCGTAGATAGAGCAATGGAAAAGAACTACGAGCGAGTTGAGCAAAACCACCGGCGTTGTGTTTATGCAGCACTAGGGACATGAGGAACTCGTGAACGAGCAGAGAGCCTTGTGAATGCTGAGGCCGATTGTAAGCGAGAACTGAGATTCTCGAAGGGAACATTGATTGGAATCATCCGGTACACCAGTTTACAGTGATAGCATACTGCACTGACATTGGAACATTGCTATGAAACAGGCACTACACTTTCTGCTCGGTAACGCAAGGCGTTGGGATAGTGGCTTCACAGTATTGATGGAGAACAGTACGAGACTGACTTTACGTTCACAGCCATCAGCGGCAAGACTTTCACGCATAGAAACCCTTGTTTGTTACGCGCGTCGCTGTCAAAACGTGACGAATACGGGCAGATGACAAGAAACTCATGCAGGTAGATCGAAATAGATGTGGTCTCCTTGTGATCCTGTTCAGAAGAACAAAACTCCTACGAGAGATTCTCGAAGAGTAATTCAAGGAGATCACTACCCATGCGACCCGCCCGTACAACGTGATTGTCACCGGCCCATACCCGTCAATTTTCGACACCGAGGAAAGCTTGATTACGACCCAACCGTACACTTGGCACTTGCTTTCACACTGCCATCACCCTCACTCGTCGCCGTCAGCGTAACAACCGCCTCTCCACCCGTCTGATACCCGCCTTTGCTTGTAGTCCCCACAGCAACCCTCGCCACGGTCTCCTCCCCAAATTTTGCCCACGCGAGCGCATTCGGCGTCTCCACCTTCCACCCCTCGCCCTCGACCTCCGCAGAAAGCGTATAGATATCCGCGCCCGTGTACGCAGACAAGTCCTGCGGATGTGCCGAGGCCGCGTAGGTCGCTGCCTTACCCGTGTTCTTGAGAGTGAACGTGCACCAGGATGCCGACGTGGAGTTGGTAGGCTCGACGGTGCCGGCTGCGAGTTCGACGCCGTAGGTAGCTGTGCCGTTGGAGGATGCGGTGGACGACACGCCGACGGTGTAGTGCAGCACCCCGGTGTCATCGCGGTTGATGTCCAGGACGTAGAAGTGCAGGCCATTCGCCTCGTCCACGTGCTCGTAGGCGGAACCGCTGCGCGTGCCAGCGTGAAACAGCGCGTCGACGAGCTGGCGATAGTCGCCGATGGACCAGTACCTCGCCGTGCCGTTGGGGTAGTAGAAATCCACCACATGGGCGTCCTCCGGGTTCGCGTCAATGATCCACTGGAACGGTTGGCTGCGGTCGGAGTTTTTCGTCTTGGAAATCATGACGCCGGAGTCGGGGGTGAAGGAGTCTGCGCCCATGCGGTCGACAACCTCGACATTGTAGTTGTTGTATTTTCCGCCGTCGCAGAGGGGGTCGGTGGAGGTGTTGCACTTGGGAGCGAGGTCGCCTGCGGCACCGAAGGAGATGTTGAAGCCCATGAGGCCTGTGCCGGGGTCGACAGAGCGGGCGGTGAGCTCTGCGATGACAGGGCCCGATGCGGCGAGGCCGGAACGCGAGATTTGCAAGATGGGCGTGTCGTCAATGAGCTTGATTTGATGCTTGTCGCGCATGGTGTGGAGGGAGCCCATAGAGGCACCTTGCACGGGGGGAATTTGCCAACGCGTGTGAGGACCACCAGGTCCGTTGAAGCTGCCTCGGTCGAGCATGGAAAACGGTCCCGTGTAAGCTCTCCGTGCGGGATCGCTATATGGGTTATTGTAATTATCCCCAATACCTAGCAAATGGGAAAGCTCATGCGCAAAAGTTGCCATGCCCGAACTCTCACCCTGCGTCGACGAGCCTCCCCCCGCATTCGGCCAGATGGTCGATGCGGCCGCCCAACTCGTCCAGTTCACATACCTCGTATGCGCCCAGTTCGGCAGCGAGCTGTTCGCCGGCGGGCCAAACTCAGGAGGCACATCCTCGGGCGACGCAAATTTCATCTCGCCGAACTCTTGCCACGTGGACGACTCGTCCTGCCCGGCGGACAGGATGAAGGCGAGCTCGAACGCATCTGCGGTCTCGTTACCGACTTCCTGGCGCCAGGCACCGAGGGCATCGGTGCGAAGGTCTACTGTGGTTCCGCAGTTTCCTTGGCCGCCGGGGCACGCGCCCTTGTTGAAGCCGCCGTTAGGGTCGTCGTCGATGCCGTACTGGTACGACTTGCTGGGCATTCTGTAGGGTCCGAAAACGGTCAGGTTGACGCCGTACTTGCCGAAGGAGTCACCCATCCAGTACTCGTGGATGGTGTGGCCCTGATTCAGCTCGTTCGGTGTGTTCAGCAAGTCCCTGTAGAACGCGGGTACGTCCTCTCTCTTGACTCTTGGCGCAAAAGGCTGCGGGTTGCCAAAGATGTCGGACTCGGGCTCCAGAGTCATGACGAAGGGCGAATCCGGGTAGTCGACCGTGACCATCGCGATGTTAAAGTTGCGGTCGCGGCCCTGGCGGGAGGGGTCTGACCACGAGGTCCCCGGCGGTGCCTTGAAGTCGGCCCAGGTCATGTTGTCTGGATTGACCCATTTTTGCTCATCCAAAATGGCGAACGGATCGGAGGAAGCGCGGCGGAGGAGACGGGGCGCTGGGGCTGCAAAGGTGGTCGTGAGGAGTGCGGTCGTGAGGACGACGCGCGAAACCGTCCGTCCATTGTGCCTTGCCATCGTGTAGAGTAAGCTCTTACGAGCTATACTCGCAATGTTTTGATTTGACACGGCTTCAGACGGCACTGAAAGGAGGAAAGCCGCAGAGCCGGTCGCAGCGGCACTGCGTACTCTTTATCCGCGTTTCCATCCTTGCACGACAAAGTAGCACCGCGTTCCTGGGCAGGGTCGTTCAATACGGGTAGGTAATAATTGGCATCCCTACGTAACTGTGCTGATCTGGGGATGCGGGACCTGCTTATGCAGATGCCTGAAGTAGATTAGAAGGCCTTGGCTTATCGTGCCACCTGCTGAAACGAGGATGATCTGTAAAGTCGATGGAAGACCGCTTGCTTGGGGGTTTGAGAGTCGTTATGTTTCTGCGCGATGGACATGTCGCTGTGGCGAAGTTGAGCGCTGGCGATGAAGCTTGAAGGCGATGACAAGGGCGGGATGGCTGAGCTTGTCGCGTAAACGTGTCGGGCCAAGACTACCGAGATCCGTGAGGCGGGTCGAGTTACACTAGATCTCATGCTCGATTACATAACAACGTATAAACCTCCAAATCGGTAGGCGTGTAGAACTTTTTTGCACAGGACGGTAGAGGCAGGTCGTTAGACCCTTGCTTACATACCATTGCGACCTATCCCGACTGCGTAATAATCCCTAAATTTCAAAATTCCAAACTGGCAGCTTTTCGTGTCCATACCCATGATCCATAGCCGTCAATCATATGCTTCCAACAAAAAAAAAAAGGACCGCCACGAAATGCATATGCAAGGTATCTTCCAGTAAAACAAGTGAAGAAGCCAAAGATTCAAAAAGCACGAACGCTCACGCACTCGGCGCATTGGGAAAAACATTGCCACTCCCACTCCCGCTTCCACTTCCCCTCTCTCCACTCCCCCTCCTCACAACCTGCGGCCGTGGCGGCGGTCCCATGCTCCCAATGTTGCTCTCCTCAAATCCACTCGCATCCGCCTCGTAATCTCTTGCGCTCTCGGTCGTGCTGAGCGTGCTCGCGCGCTTGCTCTGCCAGGGCATGCTCTCCTGGGGCGTGCTGGGTCTGCTACTACTCTCCGGTCTATTGGTACTGCTGGTGGAGGAGAGGCGGGAGGAGGGCTGGCGGGCGACGGAGGCGGTGGCAGGCCCGGAGCCGGATCCGAGGCTGACGGAGGGCTTTTTGGTCTGGCCTCGTGTGGTGGGGCGGGAGGACGCGAAGGAGGCGGTGGACCCGGCGGTGCTGTTGGACCATCTGCGCTCGCGGGAGTGCGAGGCAGCGCGGTCGTCGTATTCGGGCGCGGGGGTTGTGCTGCGCGAGGAGGAGCGCGAGTTGGAGGAGCCCTCGCGGCCGCGGAGCGTGCTGGGTCGTCTTTTGCGCTCTTTGAAGCTGTTGGACGCGGAGAGGTGGTGCGAGTGCGAGTGCTGGTGGTGGTGGATGTCGCTGCTGCGGCCGGTGACGGCCTTTGCACGCTTCCACCCGCGCCAGCCCGTCCACCACAACCACCCGCCCTCGGCGCGGGCGACTTCGCGCTGGCGGGCGCGGATCCGGCGGCGCAGCTCGCTGCGGCGCTCGTTCTCGCGGCCCCAGTATTCGGCGCGATAGATTTCCCAGCCCTCCCTGAAGTCAGGCGTGAAGGGCTTCGGCAGGAGGATGAGCTTGATGAGGTCCCCGCCCGGCGCGATGTCCTCTTCGGCGTACTCCTTTCCGTCCTCGACGATCCTGTGTCTGGGAAACCCCTCGGCGAGATCGTTCTTCTTCTCGTGGCTCAGGTTCACGAAGTGATAACTGCTCCCGCCCGTCTCGCCGCCCCAAAGCCCCCCACTGAACGGCAGCATGAACGCGAGCCACCCCGCAATCTCATGCGCCCAGCTGCCCCGCATCACGACAATCTTCACGTTCATGCCGCGCAGGCCGCGGTTCGCAACGCCGACCCAGCGGCGCGGCCAGCGCACGCCGCGCTCCCACTGGCCGGTCGCCCAGAACAGCAGCGCGGTGACGAGCCCCGTGATGAAGCACAGTTTCTGGAACGAGTCGACGAGCCAGTACTTGGAGCCGCCGATGCCCTTGCCGTCCTCGCGCGGCCGCAGCCACAGCAGGTAGAAGAAGAAGGCGATCCATATTGCGAGCAGCGTGAGCACGAACGTGTTCTGGCGCCGGCGCGCGCGGAGGGTGAGGTACTGGCTGCGCAGCGAGGCCTCGAGGATGAGCAGGTTGAGGTAGATCTGCGGCGGGGCGGAGGGCAGGAGCGAGGTCGGGTCTGCGGGCTGGTAGGGGATGCGGGGCGTCTTGAGGGAGGCGAGGCGGTCGTGGTGGGCGCTGGACGCGGACGCGGGCTGGAGCACCGAGTAGGGCGGGGGGTTTGCGTAGGCGGCGGCGGCGGCGGGGTTGGGCAGCTGGTTCCCCTTCACCATCTCGTCGATGGCCAGGTTGGACGCTGGGAGAGCCATTGCGCCTCTCTACGCGTGCGAGACGAGCCTCCGGGCAGACGGGTGCACGCCTCTCGCAGGCATGTGACGATGCGCGGGCGGGCTTTCGCGGCGGCGGGCGGCGTGGCAGAGCGTACAGACGTTCTGCCCCGGTCGGCCGCTGGTTGAGGTGGATGCTGGAAACCCCACGAGCCGTGTGCGTGGTGGCACAGAGGTGGGAGGCACCGCGGCGCACCTGGTGTGCTTCGGTTTCGGCTGTGATGTCGGCGGCTCGAGCTCGCCTAAAGTGCGGTGAGTTGCAAGGGTTTGCTGGCACTGCTAGTCGGAGTCCGCCCCGCCATCTCCATCGCACCATGTGCAAAGGGGAAAGCACTTGGCCCTTGGCTTCACCGTCTCTTTGGCCTCATGCCTGCGTGGCACTCGACGCGTCGGCAGCGCCGTCGCGGTCCTAACGAGACATGTTCCCTGATGACGCCCGTGCCTGTGGCCGGGCCATCATGGCCATCATTCACGTCGTCTACGTGCAAAAGCGCGCTGGATGGATGCGGAGGTGAAGATGCCTGTGGAAGCTGCTGTTCTCGCGCTTGTACGATCCATGTACGCTACAGCTTTACAAAAATGCCATGCACAAGGGCCCAAATGCCCATCTACCCAGTCGGCCCAAATCCCAAACGCCTTGCCAACCCAGATGCCTTCCTGCATCAATGCTACCGCCGCGCCTCTCTCCGCTTCACGTCGGCCATCTCCTCGAGCATAACGCGGTTGAATTGCTCCCAGCCATCCAAGTACACGTGGTGGCCTGCCTTGTTGATGATGACCACCTTTGCCTCGCCGTTGTCTTTCTGGCGCTCCTCGGCCGTCGCCTTCTCCAGGATGCGGAGCCGCTCTTGCTTGATCTTCTCCTCCGAGGCAAATCCGCCGGCTACGTCCATCCAGTCGACTTCTCCGTACATGAAGACTATGGGGATGCCGTTCTCGCGCTGGCCTGCACGGGGTGCTGCGTCTTGCGAAGCTGAGGATGGCTTGGGCCGAACGTCCCCGTCAACGATGGCGCCGTCGTGAGGCTGTATCCATTGGCGTCCGACGCCTTGTATCCGCCGGATCAGTGGGTTCCGTGCGAAAGCACCGGGGGCTAGAAGGTATCCGAGCGCGTATTCGGAGCTGCCTCGTTGCCGGAAGATGGAGTAGCTGTAATCGTGCAATGCCTGTGCCTCCTCTTCCGGGAGATGCGAGAAGCGCCGCGTCGTCCAGCCCGAGACCAGACGCGGGCCCAGTGGTCCGCTCCAGCGGACGAGAGAGAAGGGCGAGATGACGTTGGCTTCCCAGACGTATGCAACCCATCCGGGCAACCGTCTTCGTGGCGGCTCCTTTTGGTCGTCCGCCTTGGCCTTGGCGCCGTCGCGCTGTTTCATGAAATTGTTATTGTCTTTGGTGGTGGCTGCCGCATCTTGCGTGAACTCGTTGCCCATTGTCGACTCCTGCGGCTCAGGCATGGCCTCGTTGACCGCATACGGATCCTCGGGGATTCCAACCGGCGACGCCAGAATCAGCTTGTTCAAGCGGCCCGGGTACTTGAGCGCATAGGCGACGGCCAGATAGCCACCCAGACTATGTCCCAGCAGCGTGAAGCGCTCCAGCCCGCGCTTTATCCGCCACTCTTCCAGCGCATCGATGAACCAGTTCTCGGCCTCGGTGATCTTGCCCTCCTTGTCCTTTGCGTGGATCTTGAACGCAGGGCGGCTACTCCGGCCCATGCCCAGCAGATCCAGCGCGTAGACTTTCCAGCCCGCTGCACGTGACAGGGCTTCGTAGTTGCGGTAGAAGAACCCCAAGCCCGCGCCGTATCCGTGGAGCATGACGAGGTGGTGTTCCGCCGCTTCGCCCACGCGCTGCACCGAGAACTCGTTCAGCGCGCGGTCCTTGCCGCTCAGCGCGACCATCTCCGAGTTCCACTGTCGCGGGCCGTACGGATCAGTCAGGATTGAGGTCGTCTCGTGGGCTTCAGAGGTCCTCGGCGGGGCAGTCAGGTCAGCGGCGGAGGGCACGGCAGAGACGGGCGCAGAGCCGGACTGCGTCTGGGTGGGCGGCTTCTGCAGGTGCGGGATGAAGGAGAGCACGCGGTGCTCCGTGGCCATGGGCGAGGTGCCTGCCCACTGTGTTTGGTGATTAGCATGCGGCTTGGGAGGTACTGTGGCGGGCGGCCTACCCATTGATTGAACCCCTCCTTTGCGCCCAGCGGGAACCATTTTGCGACTCTTCCCTGCTGAGACTGGCCCTGCTCTTTCGCCCTCTGCGACGCCAGGGGCGCCTGCTGCGTCCTCCCTCTGATCTCCTCTTCCTCGTGCGGGGCCGCCATGGTCGACGAGTCGCGGATCCTGACGGGCGTAGACAGGCTCAGCGAGATCCAGCTTGCGCCTCCAAAGCTGGCAGTCCTGGCGAGCACTCTGCGCGCACCAGGCCGTGAATGCAGATAACGCCGCAGCAGGTGCAGCGGGGAGCGGGTGTGGGCGGTCAGCGTGGCGGTGGGTGGAGTTGCAGCGCGGTGTCCTCAGACACCACGGCCGCACGCGCTGTATAAATTCGGGGCGACGAGGGCTGACGTATGGATCCCGCAGAGGGCCGGCGGACGTGCGACGCGCGCTGCGGCGGCCTGGATGGACTTAAGAGCGGAACTGCGCGAGCGGCGGGCCAAAAGCGGACCGGCCGCAACAACACGCCGTCATCCCCGTTGTGGTAGCGATGAAGGGTCCTGCCAGGCATCGCGTCCGCTAACAATAGCCTTTGCTAGCTCCATCTGGCCAGCAATGTGCGCATTGATTTCCGTCTGTCTCCACCACGCGCTCCTATGACGGCGTTGCAAATGGCCACGTGACTTGCAGCGTCACGGCCGGCGGCGAGACAGAGGAGCCCGTCAATCTGGAAAGGTCCGAAATGGTCGAAAGCCCCCGGGTCGGGTGTCGAGGTATTATCTGAGAGATTCAGTGATGGAACTGATCGGGTCGTAGACAGCGCTCGCGCTCGTGGTGACGGCAGATTATGTGGCGGCTGCTGTACTTGCACCCCGGGATGTTACCCGAGCGGTTGCACGTGGGGCAGAGCTGATGTTGATCAAGCGCGACACCGGATCGCGATGGAGGTTGCAGGTCGAGATGCCTATCCGGCATGCTAACAGGTGAACAAGAGGAGGCCGCACGTTGCTCGGTTTCCCAAGAAGCCTGTACTCCAGTCCCGCAATCTTGTCCTTGAACGCTATCCCAGACTCCATAAGAGTGTATCGAAGCAATCACATTTCTAGGTTATATTGCAAAGTCAAATATCGCCTCTCTGATTCTCGTAAACGCCCCTCGGCTTTTCGTAAGCCTCAAACAACCCCTGATCTACCGCGTACGCATCGCGATATTCAACCAGTTGCCGCCAGTCCTTGCACTGCCGCTGCACGCTAAAGTCGGGCTGTGGCCACTTCATATCGGCATACCAGTTGTAGGTGTAGAAGCCTGTGTCTGCGGTACATAGCAGGTGTTGCATAAGCATGTCAACACAGTGGAGAGTATGTTCTCTTGCGCTTCCGACATTTGCTGTGCCGTCCAGAGCCGCTTTTCGAAGGCGATTTAGGCAGTCTTTACCAAGTCAGAAGTCGTGACAAAAGTAGGCAGTAGATGATCCACTCACGCGCTTGGTGGAAGATGTCGAGTCCGCCAATATATAGATCATTCCCCTTGCGGAAGACAGAGTCCTCCAGCTTTGCGCATTTGGCGGGGTCTTTGCCCATGTTTTTGACTTGTTCTCCCGTGAGTGGAATTGCCCGGATGTGTTGGAGGTCGTTCCACAAAGCTTCTTTTTCCTGATCTTCTGGACCAGAGTTCCAAGGTGTGTTTAGTGTCCGGAGCACAGATCCGTTCAGACTCGTTGACTGCAGCCGGAAGTTCACATGGTCGAACACGGGACTAGGAGTTGATAACCTCCGTAAAGCATCGTTGACTGTCTCGCTATCGGCTGCACCTCGACGTAGACCAAGGGCCATGAATATGAATGAAGCGCACATGATGAGTGTGTTTAGAAGTGTGAGCGGATGGGACAGTGGACTGAGACGTGTTGGCTTTTGGCGGTATGGTCCGTCCTCTGAATCGATCTCGTCAGACAGCAACTTTTCTTCTGCATCTGGCGCTTCTTCATATATCTGCCGTAGATGAGCAAACATTGTATGCGAGTGCGGCTATAGTAGCAGGGTATGTTTTAATCTTGTACAAGATCTTCCTTGGAGACAAATGAATCGACTACAGCGAGGTAGAGTGATTCAAGGAAGAAGTGAGAATGGAAATGTAGATCAATGAGCCACAGAAGTAGATTGTGAGAACTATACTCTGATAGGCAGCTCTGAAGCGGCATTCTCGGGAATGGACCCAAGCTTCGCCCCCCAACGCTACTCCAATCGTACCTGCAATGTTTGCAAAAGTCAGCACATTGATCGACTATAGGTAGCCAATCGGATATCGCGCTGCGCTCTACCAGAGCGCTCGTGAGCAGTCTTGAAGGATGGACTATCTCGTACGAATGTCATTCTAAAGTTGGGATTAGCTCTCATCGGACACGCTAGGCATCACCACGATTATAAGTACCACCGAAGGGCTGCATCATGTCGGCATCGCAGACATCAGCGAATTTGAATTCAGTGCTCACCACTTCCTCCTAGCCAGCGATCGAAGCACCAATCCAGAATGAACGCCTTCTCCATCATCATTGCCGCTATGTATGCCACGGTGACTCTTGCTAGTCCTGTGCCCAAGGCAGATGCTGAGCCTGCTGCGAACCCAGGTATTTAACCTTTACTTGTTCCTTCTTCCAAATTGATTGGCTAACAAATTATCCGAACCAGGCGAGGACCTTTGCTGCTGGCCACAATACACCAACGGAGCTCATTAGGCAGCACATTGCAGTCAGATAGGTTAGAAGGGATCGTCGTCAGCTAGTTATACTCTGGTAGCTCTGAACATGTAACGACAGGCCTTGTGCCAGAATCAAGTCAGCGCCAATGCGGACGTCACTCTTGAGAACTTTCCTGATCAAATCGTGTCTGAAAGCCCGTGTGTACTGTGGCGCATCCGTATTGCCTCCTGCCAGGTTTCGTGATCGTGCATCCCCAAATCCCGGGAACCCAACGGTTGATAATTGAAGTGCTCGTGTTACTTTCGTGATGCCCGGGTGTAAGAGGGGCATCTCACCACACGAACGCTTTAGCATGGAAACCAAGCTTTTGCTAATGCGAGATAAGCTCTGGCAGGACAGGAACAAGCACCTGCCAAGATGGAAATTAGCGTTGTGCGCCACACGTATCTAGGTACTACGTATGTACACTAGTGTACGCTTTACCCCTCAATCCTTCTTCACTGGAACTTCGGTCAAACCGCGCAGCAGGACGCCTGACTAGAATCCTTCGCTTCTTGCCAACGTCAGTCTACGCGTTTAGTTTCGGCAACATAAAAAGATGACTACAAAGTGTTCGGGTGGTCGCCGTACTTTTACCAGCCGATGGTCCAACTCACCGCACCCCTCCGATGATAACCAATAGGCGCGCCATGGGTAAGCATGCATTTGTGTAGCCACCATTAGAAAGGTTCACCTGATTACTGAGACATGGTGTTAAGGCAGGTGGGGTAGATCAGAAAACCATATGTCATGGAGACCAGTATACGTAAGCGTCTAAGTAAGGACACGGCGGCTGACCGAAAAGGGAATGTTAGTATCCTTTTTCCTGTCTTGACTCCTATTATATATATAGACTCATAACATATCAAGTCAGCGCAGAAGTTCAAACAGAATCTCAGGGACATTGATTGCTAATAAATGCACCTGTGAGAGGTATTGGAATGACAGTGCCTGCTTGCTGTAGTGTTTACAAGCGCTTGAAGGCATAATGACGAACGGCTGCGTAACTCAAGCTGCGACGGGCTTGGCATCCAACACCTCCAAATGCCATGCCTGCTCGATCTCCTTCAGCCAGGACTCAATCTCCTTTTCCTCTCCCCCGACAAGCACTTTTTTGTTACGAGTCCGGTCCGCGCTCTCCGGTGTCCAAGCGGGTACATGTAAGAACTCGTGCATTGCATCGCATTCCTCATGCTCGAGCTGTTTTTCTTGGAGCTTCTTGAGACAAGCTGGACAGAATTGTACATAGACGCACTCGCAGCAGACGTAGAAGTCGTCCGCGTACGTCCAGAGTGCCTCACATCCACGTCCGCTGCACAAGTACCACAAAGGACCTTCTGGTTTCATGGACGTGTTGTCGCGCTTGAGCCGCGCAAAATCAGAGGAGAAAGATCCATCTTCGCGGGCCGAGGGTGACGCATTGGCATCGCTATATGTCTCGAAACTCGGGTCGTCCTGAACATCATCTAAAGAAGGCCCTTGGGCTCTTGGAAATGTTTCAGTAGTGGTTGATCCGCCCAGCGATGGGGAACGCTCACGCAGATGCGAATCTTCCTGCTCAGGTTGGATAAGCGACCATGCTGCTTGTGCTTCTTCTATTGCGCCGCAGTCCATGAGCGCATCTCCAAGCTTTCGATATCCCTGCCAGTCGTTGTCGGGGTCGTCATCGGATAGCAATTTCAGAGCAAGCTCCATGTCCGGTCGGAGCGTCTCTTGCGCTTTCTCAGAGTCTCCCACGCTTCGGTAGTATCGAGCGAGCAGGGCCCGTATTTCCGCTTGAGACACGTCAAATTGGCCAGTCTCCTCCTTCCATTCCGGAGAGAAAGCTTTGATCTTCGTGATCATAGCGTCGGCAGTGGGCGAGCCGGGAGCAGCCTCTCGGGCTTGCGCAACGTATATCTTGCACAGTCTCCTGACACATTGGACCCGGTGGCTAAGCACATCAGAGTGGTCCCTGACCGACTTCTCCAACAGGGCGATGGCTTCTTCTCGATCAGCGGGTCCTGTGCCATACTTGATTAGTATTGACGCCAAACCCTCGACAAGGGACCAGTGAAACCATCGTGCAGAGGGATTGTTGTCGGCAGCACCGTCTTTGATCGCCAGGCGGTAGTATGTTTTCACGGCTTCAAACCGGGTCTCCGAATCTAATAAGGAAACAAGAACCGAACGCCATTCATCGCTAAGGGCATGATTTTGCAAGAAGCGCGACACGGCAGTGTTGTTCGTAGCGTCATCGATCTCGCTCTCCAGCGCCTGGAGCAACTCAAAAGCCTCAGCCGACTTTTGAGACTCGCAGAGCAGGCTCATAAGCTCGAGACGGCTGGGGTCGTCGCTTGGATCCTCTTTGAGCGCGTTGCGGAGCAACTCTTCGGATTCATCGTGTCTCTTGAGCTCTCGTAGCCAGCTTATCTTGGCTAACACGAGACGCTTCCGCGATTCTTCCGGGTCCTCATCAGCATAAAGCTTCTTTCCGCCTGCGAGCTGCGCAATGACCAAGTCTTTGTGGCGCAATGCTTCGTCCAAGTTTGGCAGGACCGATTGCGCTTCGTTGCACATGGCATACGCATCCGCCAATGAATCGCGAGCGAGTAGGTCATCAGGATCAGCGGTAACGACTCTGTTGAGCGCATCGATGGCTTCTGCTACAAGCCTGTACTCCAGGAACGTCAGTCCTAAGCTCCGCGTGCTCTTCAAATCCGCAGAATCCATCCCTACGATCAGTGGTGCGATATCTTTCTCGTAAATTTTCATAATTTCTGCAGAAGATGTCATTTGTGAGGGGGAATATTGGATTCTCCTTGTTGGGTCATCGATGCTTTCGACCTGTGACGGTTAGATCACATAATACTGGAGTACAGACACGCAGGCACGCTATTGTGTCGTGAGATAAAGCACTCAGATTCTTGAGAAGATACTGTGCCTGGCTGGGAGCCGTGCGGGTCGACGCACATACCTTGTTGCAGTATCCGTACCACCACGTAAAAGCCTTGTACGCATGAAAAGAAAGTTCCGCCGTGAGCCAAAACTTGGCCATTATCGGTGCCTGAGAGCGCAGAAGTTCCAGAGTTGGGTCTTTAGCGCGAAGGACCCGATTAATCCAGGCCTCGCCGCCCTGCTCCCTGACTACGTTCTTGATAACCGCAGAGCTCTTCAGAAGACGCACGATCTCAGATAAACCTTCATCATTGTACACCCACGAGGACTCATCAAACTTGTCTAACCTAATTACTTCTTCATCGGTAAACATCTTAACCAGTAGAGGGCCCATTTCAGCCTTGATAGTAGGATCCACAGTGTCAAGATCGATCTGTTTGAGATGGTACGTCAGATTCAGCCAGGCGTAGACTCGCACGGTGTTCGCTTCCTCGCCCATGCCACCCGCTAGGGCTCGTAGACAGCATAACGTGATCCTGGCCTGCGCATTGTCACAGTCCACAGCAATGCTCATATCACTTTTTGCCAACTTCTGATCAAAAAATTCAGCAAGGCCAAGCTTGTCATACAAGTCTTGCTCGCATAGCTTTTCGACAAAGTGACGCACAATCTGTATTTCGCCTTTTGACAACGTTTGATTTGACGACCAATTGGATGAGGTGCGCTGATTGGATGCATCTTTGAAGTACTCAGCATGAGCACTTGACTTGATGCTAACAGTGGCGTAGTCGTCATCATCTAATCCGGAGAGTTCGAAAAAAGGAGAATAATTTTCTCTGATCACTTTTGCTAGCGGCTGGAAAGGTTTGTACTGCTCCTGTACGTAAAGGATCGACTCCAGCTCGTAAACCTTGAGCTTCCAGGCTGCATATATGACCCATAGGAGGAGCGCATTGAGATGGCGCACCTGCTTCGTGCTGAGTACCTTGTTGCACGCCATAACTTCCTTGTCGATAGAATCGAACAAGCTGGCTCCATTTCTTTTCAATTCATCTATAATCTGCCTGACACTTTCTGCGTCCTGGCACTGGTTGATCTCTTGTAGTTTGCGCTCAGCAAGAAGAAAGTTTCCGTTGACAGCTGCTGGAAGTTCTGATATTACCCAGCTTTTAAGCTCCTGTATCTCATTTGTTCTTGCTTTGAAGCAAGTGAGCACATTAGCCTTGTTTTCGACATAACTGTGGATATCTGTCATGTTCTGGCCCTCTATTTGGATTGTCACTGTAGATGATAGAGCATAGGATTCAAGCTCGCGCTGCAGGGACGGCTTCGCAGTCATCATAATTCTGAGTGAACTGAGGCTTCGGCTTGTTTCCGACAGATAATTGAGCATAGTGGAAAGCTCCGAGTAACCGTCTTCATCCATTTCATGCGCTCCGTCCAGCAAAAGGAAAAACACGGCTCCTTTGGGGAGCTGATCTAGGAAAAGCTCTCGTACGAAGTCTTCGAGCTGAGCAAAATCTGCGTTATTGCTGAGCACCCTGTGCACGTCCTTTCTATAGAACGTGTCGTTTTCCATGATCTGGCACGCCCATGTGCGGAGCATTTCCTTGACGGAGGGAGCAGCTTTCGCACTTCGGGTTTCCCGTTGGCTATCATGGCTTTTTTGGTCCCGTTCAGGGTCCCGTTGAGTGTTCCGATTGCAGTAGAAGTATGCCACGGAGATCCGTGTAGAGTCGTCGCGACCTTGTGGATATCTCCTCTCAAGGTCTTGGATAACCGAAGTCATGGCATACGATTTGCCGCTTCCTTCACCGCCAGACAGTATCAAAACCGGCACCGATTTCTTACGAGGATCAGACCATTGCGCGTACTGTGAGTGGCCTTTTAACCATGCGCAAGTGCCTGTACGCAGTTTTTCCCGACGAGTGCGATACTGCAACTGGAGGGACTTCACAACAGATTCCTCCACACCAAGTTTTGCTTTGAACTCTTCTTTAATCCTTTCCTCTGCTGTTGCTACATCATCCTTTGATAGCTTTTCGCTGATCAGCCCAACCCCGGTCGCTACGTTCGTAACATCTGCCCTGACGACCCCGACGTCCACGGCCGTCTTCTTGACGGCCGTGACTGTGACTGCACTGGCCATTTTCATCTCCTGCTCTTGCAACGTGATCAAAAGGTCGATCTGGCTTTGGACACCGCTATCACTTTGGAAGAGTGCTGCCTCAAAGAACATTTTTGTTTTGGATCGTTTCGAATGGGGAGGCCGGAGAAGGCTGATGCAATGCTGACAAGTCTTGACTACCGCGATCAGCATCCTATGGGTCGTGAGTTCCATCTCTGGTCCTATGACTTCTCGATCTTTGATGTAAACTTCAGCACGCTCCATGATTGGACCGATGCGACTGAAAAGATCGTCAATGTTGTCGGCAATCTTCTTGTAGGCAAATCCAGCGTCGATAAAGAACGAAACACAGTTCATGGTTACATTGGCCGGCCCTCCGAAGCCTGTTAGCTCCGCACCTTGAGCAAGTAGACTCCCAATGGTTTGTACGGCGCGCAGGGTATTTCCCACGGCGCGCTTTGCCTTGCCCACTTTTGAGCGACTCTTCGCTTCTTTGGCTTCATCTAGCTCATCGAGCTTTGCGGTAATCTGTTCTGCCGTCGGCGATTTGACGCTGAGATCTATTTCTGTGGCACTGATAAATTCCCGACATGTTTCGCGCCACTCGGCCTGGAGATCAAAAGTGCTGGTTGACATAGTGTTATCGATGGCCAGGAAACGTGGGGCGGCGCGGCTACTGTAGTCGCAATAAAATAATTGGCAGGCACTGACCCTGTCCCCGGTTCGGCGCGACTTCCAAATAGGCATAAGGTCTGTCATCAAAATCCCATGGTATCCTTGGCCTTTTCATCTCTCGTTCTGAGGTCCATCGGTCTCATCGATCGCGCCACGCATCTTGTAGTTGATGTGAGTGGCCGGTGTTGGTTGCGTTGCGCTGGCTAGTCGAGCGAATGGCAGTTGGAGATCCAGGCTGTCTGGCCCCCAAATCTGCGCCTGTGCCGCGCGTCTTAGCCTACACTAGCATTTAAGCCTCACACTAACGAGTTGGGCTGTGCCGAGACGGCACTGCCAAATGAATTCCAGCAGCTCTCTCCTGTTTTTATTTTTTTTTATACAAGACGTTGTGCATACCTTCATCACATCGCCGATACACTGACGGGCATTCTATATCCACATCTCCATTGGAGAATTGTCCTGTGTACTAGAAGTGGAACTTCCTGGTCTCAATGCTTCATTTAACAAATCCACATCGATTTTCACCCGCTTCATGTCGATGAGGAGTTTAGATAGGCGCCGCGCGCAATGAACAATACACATTGAGACTGGAAGAATATACCCATTGACGCGCACATTGGCATCGCAAGATGACTGACTTGTTTACTTGTCAAAACAGAGACTCTCGTAGTGACATTGAATGTAGATTGTGTCAGCATATGTGTTTCGCTTCGGAGCACGTGGAGAACTCTACTACCCGACGCTCTTCCATGCACGCAAGAACTGGGTCAATATGGTATCGCAGAAATATTATGAAGAAGTTAAAGCGAGAAGTGGCGATCCCACTCTACTACTATTCGTACAAGACGCTCGCAAACTGTAACCTCACAACGCTTGCGGGGTAGCTGACAGCGAGCCCGATCAGGCAAGTGCTACCGAGGTTAGAACATAAACACCATCATACGCCACCCTGACGATTGCGTGCAAACTCTACTTCCAGGATTCGACATATTTCAGACCACTTCTCGAAAGACACTCTAAGTCTCAACCCACTATGCCCGCCGCCAAGCCGACCTACTTCTCGCCATCGAGAAACCCTGCCTTCGCCCCCACCTACTCTCAGATCTCCTCCATTCCCATCTCCCCAACCTCCACCCTGATCTCCATCGCCGGCCAGATCGGCTATGATGCGGCCACTCAGACCGTTCCGCCCACCCTCGCTGAGCAAGTCGCCCTCGCCTGCGCAAATGTCGATACATGCTTGGAGGCCGCGGGTGCGACCAAGGCCGACATCGTCCAAGTACGGCAGTATGTTGTTGATTTATTGAGAGGGGGAGTGGGCCAGGATCCGGAGGGTCCGAGAGTGTATGCAGAATGGTTGGGAGGATTGAAGCCGCCAAGTACGCGGGTGGGTGTGCAGGCGTTGGCGAGGGAGGAGTTGCTGTATGAGATTGAGGTCATTTGTGTAGTGAACAGGGACACGTGAGAGACTTATGTGGGTTGCATTGTATTGAGCGGCTAGGCGGCTGTGAGTTGTGGAGGTGAGCTAAGTGCGTGCCGTGGCCAAAACTCAACGTGACTATCTTGGGCTGTCTGACACTTCCAGAAGCGGTAGAGATCGCCTTTGGTGATGTACTATTTCAGAGATAAGACCAAGACAAAGCATTGTAAATCCAGTATTCCATTCCAACCTCAGGAGAGCTTGATGCACGGAAGTGATACGTAGCGCACTTGAATTCTGATCTGCGTAGATGCGCAAAGTCGAACTTAGCTACAGAGCCACTACAACTGCGTACTAACGATCGCATTCACCTTGAACGGTAGACTCTTCCACAACGCCTTTCTCCCAAAGAACCACAGACAGTCCTGCCATGTGTTCCACGCGTGGTACCCAAACGGCACGACCCGCCCTAAGAACGGCACCGCATTCGCCTGGAACGCCGCCTCGAGCCCACGAATATCATCGAACGCGAAGTCATACAGCCCAACACTAGTGAAGATACCTCTCTCTCGTAGAGCAGGCTTCGCCGCGATCATGCTCGCGTTTACGTAGCTCCCTGGTCCGCCAAACGTCGCGCCAGAGAAGATGCCGAAATAGCCAAAGTAGTCCGTCGCGTTGATGTACATCTCATACGTGAGGCGGCCACCGAGAGACAGCCCAGCGAACGCGCGTTCAGAGGGCGTGGTCGAGACCGCGAACGTTTTCTCGACGAAAGGCATGAGATATTTCATGTAATTCTCGCGCACGACGGGCGCGGATGGTGCCACGGCAGGAGGGTTCCTGCTTCCATAGACTTGCTTGTACTCGGGAGCGATGTTGTAAAAGGAAGGCATAACGACCACGGTAGGCACAATGTGCTTCTCCAGGATGAGTCGGTCCAGGATGTGCGAGGCTTGCGCAAGGTTCTGCCAGTCTTGAGCATCACCGCCGCCCCCGTGCGAGAGATACATGATGGGATATTTCCTGTTTGTCACGTTGTTGTAGCCATAGGGCAGGTAGATTACGAAGTCATGGACGTCTTGCGCGGGATGGACTGAGCCTGGGGAGGTGTAGTTGACGTTATGTACGGTACCCCGATGGGCCTCGTCGACAGGAAGCGCGTAATCGAAGTTCACATTGATGTCAGGGTCGTATTGGAATTCTGGGTCGAATGGTACTTGGAACGTCGACTGAGTTTGATCGCCTTGAACGTTCAAAAACGGCGGCTCATCTGGATCGATCACATATTTACCGCTGTCGATATCGCAGGTCGTGTTTCCCAAACAGTCAACCAAGTACGCATAATTGTACGTTCCAGACGGTAGCGGTGTTGTGTAGACCCAAGAGCCGTTTCCCATATTCATCATTTGGTAAGGCAAGTCCCAGGGTGGTCCAAAATAGTTCGCAAAAAACCATCCCGGCTGATAATCGCGGGGATCAAAACGGGCGCTGCCGAAGGGAGTAGCATGGTATAAGTCTGTGAAAGGCTGGAGGCCGCTTCCAATAGTGATGCTGCTAGCAGTGGCATTCTCATAACGAAACGTTACTTCGTACCCGGTAGGACCTTGGCCTGTCTTGCGGACTGTGACCGATGCTCCGGCCAGGACACCGAAGAGACTGATAAATCTGGAAAGCATCATAGTACTTGACACACTCGAACCATGCGGAGCCGTATCACTATATATGTACATGCGGTCATCTTGCTCACCGCGAGTATACTGTGTACACTGCCGAGATTGACCCGGTCGTGGAGAATCTTCATGTTGTTAGCCTCACGTGTGAGCTCTAGCGTAGTCTGATGGGATTTGTTGCTTTCGGATGTGGGGAAATAGCCGGCAATTGTCTACCCCATGATACCCATGCATGAACATATTGTACTAATCGTTCTGGTCTCCCGAATTACCCATTCAGTGTTAGATCATCGCACACGGAACTACGAGACGCACCATTGGAGCAACTAGGATGAACAGCCAAGGATACGTCAGTCTGGGCAATCTTCGAAAAGGACGGGTAACGTTAACAAAGAGGCAGGTGAGGAAGTATAGGCAGATTGAGCAAATTGACTCAATACAGAATACCCAGTGGCTATGTCATAGATCTTACTAGCAATACTCAGTCAGGTCCGTAGGTCTTGGGTAGTTACCCAATCGGTCATATCATTGCAGTTCGACCACGGACGAAAGCCGATCTTTGTTACAGCTTTGTCTTTACCTTTTGTGCTTGCCGATGCAATTTGAGTGCCTCACGCACACCGAGATCGATAAGCACGTCTTCCGAACCACCTGGCACAGTATAACTAGGAACGCTCCGATAGAACGCTTCTATTCTGGCCCCTTGTCCTGTCTTCGTCAGACCCAGTCTATTAAGGTTAGTCCAGCCCGCGATAGTCCCTTACGATCACTTACCCTCCCATGATCTTCAGACACTCTTCTGCGATATACTTGCAAACCATGCCGGCTTCGACCTTGAGTAGTGCAGTGGTGCCACCCAGAATGCGCGCTCCTTCGGCATCGCTGAGATGCTCCAACTCATACACGACTTGTTCGGTCCATGCTTGTAGAGCTTCCACTTGCCGGCCACAGTTGCCCAGCTTGTTTCGCACAACAGGTTGCTCTATAAGTGTCTTGTCGAATGCCTCGCGCTTCATGGCCCATTGGAATGCGTCATTCAGTGCTATTCTGCAGCCGCGAATGGCTTGGAACGCGATCCATAGACGCTCATGGTTGAAGTTGACCATGGTTTGACGGAAACCGTTCCCTTCTTGGCCGACAAGGTACTCAATAGGGACCTTTACATCTTCGAATGTGACATATGTGGTTGCCGAAAGAGGCCCAGCAATAACTTCGATCTTGCGCGTTCGTAGTCCTTCCGATCGGGGAATCAACAGCATGGAAATGCCTTCTGGCCCCGGTCCCCCGGTGCGCACTGCTGTCATGAAATAGTCAGAGAACATGCCATTCGTGATCCACTTCTTCTCTCCATTAACTATGTAATGCTTTCCGTCCGGTGTCTTCTCGGCCGTCGTGGTTAGATTGCGTACATCCGAGCCAGCTGCAGGCTCGGTCACTGCGAGACAGATCCTCTTTTCGCCGCTCAGGATCTCTGGGAAAATTTTGTCCTGGAGCTGCTTGCTCGCAAACTTTAGAAGCGGCGGCGCGCCAACGACAAGCCCGATGAACAACGATGCAAGGCTACCACCTCGCAGGAGCTCATCCCATAGTACGAAGTCGTGGAAGCCATCCCACTCTTCAGGCTTAATTCCACCGATGATCGGGTAATTGGACCACTGTTTTGGGATGGCTTTGCCGGATGCAATAGGCACAAGAAATCCTGCTTTTGCACATGCCGTATATACCGAAGGAGGTACTGCGCCGGCAGCTACCCACTCTTCCGTGTAGGGTGCGATATGCTACTTATTGTTAGATTGTTCCATCGCATATATGGGGAGGGGTGGGGGGGGGGGGGGCTGAATATAGTTGCATATGCTCTTACTCAAACATACCTCCTCGCACCACTGCCTCACAGCATCGCGCAACCTTTTGTGGCTTTCTTTATAGTAAGGTGTCGGGCGTCCAGTATACCTGCCAGGATGTTAGTATGATTGATCATAGTGAAGATGTACAAGGATGTCTTACCAACTGGGCTCTGCCCACGGAAGCGTGCTGCCGTATGCTGAAGAAGCCATTCTTCGTAGTGTTTTGGGCCAGGAATTTGATTAGATTGAAGTTTCGTATCCTGAAGAGAGCATTAGAATTCCACTTTTGAAAGTTGGCTACATGCTGAATCGAAGATTCGATACCGAAGTTAGCTGAGTCGGTTGTTGTGAGATGGATGTGTTCACAGCCGAGGCAGCCCCGCTCCAGGGCTCTTACCGCTGCACGTGGTCAGCCGGGCGTCCACCAACGCATCTACGGCGCTGGCAGGGTTAGACTTATTAGCACGATCCTGTAACCTACATGCATAGGAGCAATGGCATCGAAAGAGTTGCATGTTTCCATTGCGGGTGGGATTGTCGCCTTCGAGAAATGCAAAGAAATCTTGAGCAGGAAAATATGATGTCACCGCACCTGTCATATGAACACAACTCCTACCCCTCAGGAACCTGCATGGGCCTTCCAAATTGAGACGCTGCACATTTGATATATAGTACATCGGCAGCTGTTAGGATTATAAAGGCGAGCTTGAGATGTAACTAAATATGTAGTAGGTCTGTTTTGGGCATGATGGGTTGGTATTTCTAAATTCATTGGACCGCAAACGCCCTATCGAGTTGGATGTTTCTGATATAACTACAGCAATTTTCGTGGATAACAAGATCCATTCCTTGCGACTTTGGCCCAGACCGCAAAGCTTGTTCTTGAACGCGCACCGGAAGCATCACGTGAGAGTAAGTGCGCTGGTGCTAGCCTCGCACAGTAGCTCCAAGCCATGGATCCCGTGCCACTGATCACATACAAGCTACGCCAAAACAATCTTCTTCATCAGCACCGCCGCCTCTTTAAGGCTTCCACAGAACCGACGCACGCGCTGCGCGTCAAATCCCACAGCCGAAAAGTACACGGTTCCATCGTAGACCTCGTAGTGTGACCATATCGCGTCGGGATGCTTGGAGATACATCCTTTCTCCATCATGCCCGTCTCGAAGCAATGGCTCTGCATCAGACGTGGCCTCACCCTATCATGAACGGGATCCTTGTACAGCTCCGGCAGCTCGTTCGGCTCGGCCAGTGCGCGAAGGGCAGTCAAATTGCGCTCCCAGCCCAGGTTTCGGCTGGCCTTGTTCACCAGATTGACGTGCGCACGGGTAGCATCGACCAAGAGGGCGCGGCGCTGCGATAGTGGGATTGATTCATCTTGGGCAGCGTGCACGAAGGCGGCGACCGCTGGGACGACGACCTGGATAATGTCGACGCGGCCGAGATGGTAGTGCGCCTGGTTGACTGTCTCCCAGCAGGGCGGGAGGAAGCCAAACGTCGCGAGCGAGGCAATTTGGACGACCATCTGAAAAACGCTCTTCGGAGACAGCTTCTGCGCGCGTAAGAGGCTGGAGCCGTACCCGTCAAAGAGCAGATATTCGTGGCCGGCGCCAGCGATTGTTGCCGCGAATTCCTTCCTGATGCAGGAAATGCGTGTGTCTAGCGCCGTGGACGTCTTGAGGGTTAGATGCACAGGTGTGACGCCTGACTGCCCTGCACTGGCGGCCCGTGGGTTGTACTTGTGGATAGCTGTGACTTGTGCATCCAATAGTTCGGTGATGGTGAGAGCATCCAGCATAGAGTGCTCGCCGATCATGCCAGAGACACCATTGCTACAGACGACAAACTGCAGAGATTTATCGTGCCAGCGGTTGGCCGCATCTCTCTCACCCCCAAAGTGGAACTGTCTGGCTCGCTCGTTAGCGGTTTGGGGGGCAGCTTCGTCCAAAGCGACAATGAAAGCAGAGGACTCGATAGCGGCGACGGTAGTAGCGTTTCCAGCACTCAATTGCACCAGCACCTGCCTCGCCTCTGCCCATGTAGGCCGGTTGTCAGACGTAAATATGTTCACCTGTGCGCGGTCCAGTTCGCGACTCAGTATGGATTCGAAAGCCCCCAACAGCTGCTCGAACGTCGCAGGCTGTCCGCCCACTACGAGATCTAGCTTGAAGCTGTGGCCTCGCCAGATCACCACGCAATGATCGATCCCCGGGTACCGCTCCATCTCGTCACTCCCAGCCTGCGGCAAGCGGACCGTATTGAAGATGTACGGATGATACGCGGTAGTCAGCTCCCGCTCGTTCAACACTACTGGTTTCACCAGCCCTGCTTCAAGCTTCAGCCTGAACTGGTTCGCTGTAAATGCGAGCAGTGCCGCACGCTCCGCCTGCGAGTGCGCGCGCTTGCTAATAGGGTGGCTGAACCAGAAGCTCGTCGTCGGAACGAGCGCGATCCGGCGGTCCAAGAAGCCCCGCCGGAGCTGGAGCTCGTGCTCCCAGTTCTCACAGACTGGGTCTGCGTGCCTTGCTGCTGCGCGGTCATAGAGAAGGCGACCTTTGCTACCCTTTGTTTGAAAGTCTTCTGTGAGGCGGAGGGTGTTGGCGAATTCGGTTGGAGTGGTGAAGGCTTTCACGCCTGTGAGATAGGCATCCATAAGAGAATCTAGTGGAGGTAAGGGGAATTTTGGACATGCGTTTGGAGAAAAGTAATAGCCGCGTTTTGGTGGGTCAGGGGAGTCTGAGACGGTAGTGCCATTGGCGACGCCGTTTTCCTTAAAGGCTGTGAGCACACCTCGGGATCCCTTCGTTTGGCCATTCGCCGCATGATTACCGTTCACCGCTCCTATAACTGCGCTAGGCGCATCAGATCCCTGGGATTTGGACGTCTGGCGTTCTGCAACAGAGGTAGACTGTTTTTCAGAGTGTGCCGCCGGCGAGGCCTGGATCGGTTCTTCAGGCAGGTCACTGGCGATGAACCTGGACTTCTGAGCTACTAGGTCGGCCAGTGCTATTAGGCCGTCGGCATCGAGAATATCATGGACTCTGATATCGGCCCCCAAGCTGCGTCCCAGCCAGTCCTTGAATTCTATCGCGATCAGAGAGTCGAGGCCAAGATCTGCGAGCGGCTGGTAAGGATCGAGCTGCTGCTCATTGACCGATACGAGAGACGAAAGTTTTTTGGTTTGCTCCGTGAGAATGATTGTGCGTGCCTCTTCGAGACTGCTGGCAGTAGCGAGGCGTCGTTCTATGTCCACACTGCCATTGATGGCGGGCGGGGAGGCGCCATTGCTGTGATCTATGGGTGCATCAGACCCCATGGCTGCTGCGTCTCTTATGGATGCAATCAACTCAGCTTTTTGGGCTTCAGGCAGAGAGAGACCGCTGACGATCTGAATGATGCGATTGACGTGTGCAGGACTCACGCTTTGGGCAGCCACTTCTTTCACATCAACCACTGCGTCCTCATCGGCAATCAACACCGTTTTTCCAATGTTCTTTTTAGCTTGTACCGCTTTGAAAGCCAGTGCGGCATCGGTTATGGGTACCGCGATAATGGGGATCAAGCCGTCGGAATTTTCATCCGCCAGCAATGACAGCACGGCCTTTGAAGCGGAACTCGCTGAGGCAGAAAGGTATCGAAGGAGCTGTCTTGAGTCGAAACTCATGTATCGGATGGCGCGATCTCCAACGGCTATCGATGTCTGATTGCCCAGATCGACAACTGTACCAAAGGCCTTGACGGAAGCAAACACCTCCGCGGGAAGCGACGACGAGGACGTGTTGATGACTGAATCAACGCCTGAGCCTTCCGTCCAGCGCAAGATAGCTTGCCCTAGCGCGAAATCGCCCGAGAAGAGAATATGAACTGGTCGTATAGCGCTAAGTGACACCAAAGCATCTTTGTCTGCTTTTGTCTGGACGGTGGCGATGACCGCAAGCCCAAGCAAGCCGGCCACTAGTACCACCGCTTGGCCAAGGGCTCCACCCGCATTGTGGACGAGCACAGTTTGCCCGCCCTCGACGTGAGCACAGTTGCGCAACGCATGGTACGCGAGCGCCGTATTCTGCGGTAGGGCCGCGGCCATGGCGAAGGACCATGACTCCGGCATCTTCTGCGCGAAGAGCGCTTTAACTCGTGTACGAGTTGCAAGAGCAATGTTGGTATTCCAAGCACATACGCGCTCACCGATGCGGTATGAGTGCGTCAGATCTGAGCCCACGGCAGTGACAATACCAGCGCACTCTCCTATTACGGTAGCATCGCCACTTCTCCCAAGAACCGTCTCGACAGATGTGTCGTCCAGACCAAATGCTAGAGCCTTGATCTCTATCTCATCCGGGTGGAGCGGGGCCCTGGCCGCTTCGTCGTCGACGAAACACAGGCTGCTCGGTACCCCCGGTGTTGTCGCAATCATCTTGAGGGGTCTGTGGACACTATGGAGCGGGCCTCGGACGCATGTCGTTGGCACGGAAGACTGGCTGGTTGCTATGCCTTGGAATTTCTGGCCGCGGAGGAGGACCACCGGGTTGTCGTGCTCGAAGGCAGTGACGTCCACTGAGCCGGACCGTGGACCGGAAGGGGACAATAATGCGCAAACTTGGAGGCAGGAGCCTGGAAATGTGGTCATGTCAGCCTGTGAGGGCACAGTTAGTGTCAGTCATGTGCGCCTCTTTGTACCAGGAAGTGCTCACCGAAACTGAAACCTCCTCTATCGAGGTTAACATGGCCGTGCCGACAGTGCAGTGGCGGAAGTATAGCGGTAGTACAATGTGCATGAGAGCGTCGAATGTAGCCGGATGGATCGTATGAGGCTGCAGGTACCCCGAAGGCATGCACTTAGCCACATCTGGAATCTCGATCTTCCCAAACGCCTGGCACTCGCCTATCCGTAGCTCCTTGATGGTTGCGAAATTTGTGCCGTAGGCGATGCCGTTATGGCGCATCTCGTCGTAAAGCGCTTCGTGCTCGATGGTCTGGGTACATGCTGCGCTAGTGCGAGGAAGTTGATCGCGCAGCTCGGACAGCGACTGCAGCTGTGCGTGGCCCCCGTCGACATCATTCGAGTCTGAATGGTACTCTACGCGGATACCACCCACGCAGTTGAGATTCCACGTCTGCGTGTCCGCGGACGATGTGATACGGAAGGTCTCCCACTCAGCCAGGTCTCGCGGGACTCCAGCACCAGAGCCGCGGCCCTGGAGACTGATCATGACCTCAACTTTTTCAGGGGCCTCTGGTATCATGATGGCTTTGGAATACTTCACCTTCCGCAAGTGAAAGCGCTTGATGCGAGGTGCGCCACGCTCATCGCTGAGCTGGCGCACGGCTTCCATGGCCATGGTGAGAAAACTGGAGCCGGGCAGAATGGCAAATCCATCAATGACATGCTCTGAGAGCCAGGGCTGCGCAGAGAGACTAAGAATGTTACGCCAAATGGGCTCTAGCGGCGTGCTGCCAACTAGGCGGAGGCCAAGCAGGTCGTGGTAAGGGTGTTTGCGGAAGCGATATTCCTTGCTCAGCCTCGATTCATGCCAGTAGCGGTTTGAATGGTCCCACGAGTAGAGGGGCAGGTTAGGGATGGTGCGGTGTGTCATCTTGCTGTCTGACATGGTGTTTACGGCATTGATGTCAATGGGTAGGCCTGATTCGAATAGCTTACCCGCAAGGGTGAGTAGGGTTGTGTAAGCGTCTTTCCCACGCACCAGGGCAGAGTAGTACTTATGGTCCACATGCGGAGTCAAGGTCTGCCGTGTTGGGCCTGCGAGTGCAGCATGTGGCCCGATCTCCACAAAGACTCGTGGTACAGCCCTTGAACCACCGCTGGGGCGACACGCCGCCATCAGGGCATCCGGGAAGCGCACAGTAGACACGAGGTTCTGCACCCAGTATTCAGGGCCAAAGCCCGAGGTCTTCTGCTCGCCAGTAACGGACGAGAAGAGCTGGATGTCGTCGCAAGCTTCGGAACTCTCCAAACCCTGGAGCGCAGCGAGATACTCACCTGCGACAGCCTTCATGTGGTGGGAATGGTACGCCACGTCCACGGCAAGGCTCTTCGCCATAATGGATTCACCCTGTAGTATGGCCTTGAGCTCCTCGAGCGCGCTTTTGTCACCAGAGATAGTCGTGCTGCTTGGGCTGTTGATGCACGCAAGAGACAGCCGGTCGCTACCTATCCGCCCAATGTAGGCATTTGCATCCGCTTCATTGAGGGTAGTTACCATCATGCCTCCTGGCATACTGAGCACCTGTTTCACCAGCCGCGCCACCTTGCTGCGATGGAACGACGCGGTGAGCGCTGCGGCGTGCGTTAGCGCTCCGACAGTATATGCCGCTGCAATCTCCCCGCTGGAGTGCCCGACGACAGACGCCGGGCGCACGCGGAAGCTTGCCAGCAGATCAACCAGCGCGATTTGGAGCGCAGTCGTCGCGGGCTGGGATATCTCGCTCTCATTGATGCGGGAATTGTCTGCGTCGTCGCGGGAAAGCTCGGTGAAAAGGCTCCACTCGGCGCCTAGGCTTTTCAAGATGGCCTCCGATGCTCGCAGCGAGGTCGCGAATGCCGACTGGGTGTGGAGGAGCTCGCGGCCCATGGCATACCACTGGGCACCCTGGCCCGTAAAGACCCATGTTAGACGAGGTTGTCCTGTCGTCCGCTCAGGGGGAGTGATACGCTTGGTCACGGCGAGGAAGTCCTCGGGTGTGCTTGCTAGGAAGCTTGTGCGGATCGAGAAGTTAGATCGCCTCGTGGAGAGGGTGTATGCGAGGTTTCGGAGTATGTCTGGGGACAGTGGAGACTGGGAAGAGACCCACTGCTGTAGATTTTCGATATTTCTCAATAGAGACTTGGAGGATTTTGCAGAGACGACGATTAGGCTCGGGATAACATTCACCGTCTCGATACCATTCGCTCCATTCGCAGGGTGCCCCCTCTGGACAGGCTGGTAACTCTCCAGAACTGCTGCAACGTTTGTGCCTCCGTAGCCAAAGGAATTGATAGCCGCCCTCCGGACGCTCAGGGCCGGCCAGGGCTCGAGGCTCTGTGGGATCCGGATGTTACGGTTTTCTAAATCGAGGCCTTCTTTCAAGTCCAGCACATCTGGCGTTGCTGGGATCAGGCCCTTCTCAAGCGCCAGAACTGTCTTGATGAGACCGGCGAGCCCGCTGGCGCTTTCACAATGGCCTAAATTCGCCTTGACGGACCCTACTAATAGTGGATGCAGTCTATCGACGCCATTACAGAAGACGTTGGTGATTGAGGTGATTTCAGCTTTGTCGCCGGCTTGTGTGCCCGTGCCATGGGCTTCGACATAGGCTGTCAGGCTTGGCTCCAACCCGGCATCCAGGTGTATTGACCGCATGAGTTCCTCCTGTGCCGAAGAGTTAGGTAGCATGATCCCGTTGGTCTTGCCGTCCTGGTTTATCCCGGTGTTCCTCACGACGGCGCGGACAGGGTCTCCGGCCTTGACTGCGTCGGAGAGGCGCTTGAGTACGATGGTGGATACGCCCTCAGAGCGCGCATAGCCTTTCCCGCGACTGTCAAAGGCGTAGCATTTACCGTCGTCGTTCAGCATACTAACTTATAGTAAGCTCGAACTCTCCAGACCTTAGCTTGATGCTTGACTCACTGTAGCTTGCTCATTGCGATCGTCATATCCGGTGAAAGCAGCAGATTGGTTCCACCAACAAGAGCCATATCCGTTTCTCTTGAGCGCAGTCCCTGTATAGCGAGATGAAGGCCGACCAAGCTACCTGAGCACCCCGTATCGAGGGAGAAGCATGGGCCCCGGAGGTCGAACGTATACGACACTCGTCCAGACGTGATAGCCTCTCCACAGCCAGTAAGCTGGTACTTCGCAAGATCCTGTGGATCTCGGTACGCATTTCGATCGTAGTCACGGCTTACGGTGGCCACGTGGACTGACGTTCTCGAGCCCTTCACACTTTCGAGTGGCAGGCCAGCGCTTTCTAGGGCTTCATACGCTGTTTCCAGATGGATCCTCTGTTGGGGATCAAGACCATTGGCTTCAGCGACGGGTATGTTGAAGAAGGCAGCGTCGAAGGCCGCCAGGTCGCGGTCGATGTAGCCGCCGCCTGTCTGGTTATGCGCTGCTTCAGCATCGGGACTTGGGTGGTAGAAGGACGTCCATTTGTAGCGGTCGGCTGGTATTTCAGACCACCCGGAGCGCCCCTCAGCGAGCATTTGCCATAGTTCTTCAGGGCTGTTGGCTCCGCCTGGAAATCTGCAAGCCATGCCAATGATGGCTATGGGCTCAAGATCGTCTTTGACGAAAGGCATATTACTGACAATGATGAGGGAGAGTATGCAAAGATTGATGTTACTGCCCGAAAGTGAAGGCAAAGCATGAGATTTTGATTGAGAATAGCAGATGTTGAGCTTGGGAGAACCTTGGCGATATGCGCATTCCCGTCAAAAGGCGGCTCTATGGAAAGGTACCAAATCTTGGATTCGTCGGTAGCTAGTCTCCCTGAGGAGCTACAATCTTCCCCGTTTGCGCATTGCGTAAATTACATTCCTGCGAATATACTCTACTGCAAAATCTGCATTGATCCCGCTCGGCTTCATAGCGCGTCATGGATTGCGAGTGTCAATTTAGGCATGGTATATGCAATCGATCCTTGCGGAGACCTCCAAATTCCCTGACTCAGTTAATCAAAGACCTCCGTCGTAATCTTGTACGACCTCGAACTTCAAGATCCCGGATGTCCATGTCCCTTGTAATCGCCGAAGACGCGATGTTGACCTCGCTTATGTCCTTGCACGAGTAGCGTCAATCCTATCGGACAGAGCGTTCGAAGGATCGAGGCTCTGCATTCGCGCCAAAGGAGTCTGTCCGTGCCACCCCGGATGCACCGGCGGTGAAGGGCTAAATGCCACTTTCAGCCAGGCATGACTTCTCTCCGTTGAATCTTGATACTAAGTTTTCTGTGTCTCGCGGTGCAGCCTAGTATCGCGTTTTGGCGTTTCGCACTCCAGTTTGCAAAGAAATCCCACTGTAAACTCCCAGTATCTCTATGTCTGCCACAATCCAAGACCAAGGCGATGTTGCTGCAGGCGAGAAGCGAATCGAAAGTCAGGGTTTGACGGCAACAGAAGCGCTCGAAACCAATGAATCCACAGACGAACAAACCACCGTTTACTTGGATGGCTGGGCACTTTGGAGTTTGACATTTGCCTTGACAAGTACGGCATTCATGTTGTCTCTCGATAACACCATCTTGGGTACGCATCGTCCAGATCGTGAAGCAATTGCACTTCTGACAGACCACAAACACAGCAACTGCTATTCCCCGCATCACCAGTGATTTCAAGAGCCTCAATGACATTGGCTGGTATGCCTCCGCCTACAGAATCACGCAGATGGCTCTGCTGCCTACATGTGGTCGTATTTTCACTCTATACGACGTCAAATGGTCCTACACCATTTTACTACTCGTCTTTGAACTTGGCTCTATTGTTTGTGCCGTCGCCCAGAACTCGATAACACTCATTGTAGGCCGCGCCGTCGCAGGCATAGGGGCTGCGGGGTCGATGGGTGGCGCTGCCATTATCGTATCATACTGCGTCCCCTTGGGGAAGCGTCCTGTACTCATGGGTGTCATCTCACTCATGTACGGAATCGGATCGATCTTGGGACCGCTAGTTGGTGGTATTTTTACCGACAATGCCACCTTGACATGGCGATTCTGCTTCTGGATTAATCTTCGTAAGTTACTCTGAATATTCGGTTACTATGCTTGGGTCGCTAAGAGAGACTACAGCATTTGGGGCTATTGCACTCGCCCAGATATGGTACACACTCCAAACACCTCCTCCAGCGGTTAAAGCAGAACTGCCACCCAGGGAAAAGATACGCCAACTGGATCTACCAGGGGCCACCATTCTCATCGGATCCGTGGTGTGCCTACTGCTTGCTCTTCAATGGGGCGGGATTGTGTATCCATGGTCCGATGCAAAAGTATATGGTTGTTTCATCGGCTTCGCATTGATGCTTGTCCTATTCGTCTTTATACAGATGAAGGATCAAAACAGGTGACTTCCCCCGACCTCGAGCTTTTATTGATACCCACTGACGCAACCAGTTGTACTGTTCCCCTCCGTCTCTTCCGAAATCGTACCGTATGTGCATCCAGCGGTTTCATGTTGTTTCTTCAACTTGCCGTAGCCGCACAGGCCTACTACTGGCCAATATACTTCCAGGCTGTCAAGAACACCAGCGCCAGAGATTCTGGTATCTACATGTTTCCTTTTGCAGTCTCCAGCACCCTTTGCACTTTGGCAAGCGGCTGGATCATCTCAAGGATAGGATACTATGTCCCTTTCATGTGGATAGGTACTCCAATCCTTGCTATAGGTGCGGGGCTTTTCCAATTACTCGACGCCTACAGTCCAGCTCTACATTGGGTGGGATATCAAATTGTCACAGGCATTGGCTTTGGCGTCTGCGGGCAGGTACCAATCGTGGCAGTACAGGTAGTCTCACATAAAGAGGACATACCGACAGCCGTCGTGCTCATCCTCTTTTTTGAAAGTCTGGGGGGCGCTTTGGCAACCAGTATCGCTCAGAATATATTTACTGATAGTCTGCTCCAAGATCTGGGAAAGATCCGTGGTGTAGACGGCGGAGCAGTAGTCGAGGCTGGGGTCAAGGAGTTTAGACGGCTAGTTCCATTGGAGCTGCTGGATCAGGTCATTTGGGCCTTTGAAGAAGCGTTAGGAAATGTCTTTTGGCTAGCTTTGGCAAGTTCGGTCGCTGCTTTGCTTATCAGTATCGCTATGGAGTGGCGTAAATTGTCAGATGAGACAGACGAGGAAGATATGGATACGGAATCGATATAGCAAGATGCCACGCATGTACAGTACAAAACTTTAGCTGCGCTTTCGGAGCGATCAAGAAAATGAGTCGGATTCAAGCATAGCGCGCAGCACTGCAGCGGACGAGCATTCTTGGAGTCAAACTTGAAAACTTTCTTCTTGACTCTCAATGCGGTGTCCGTGCAGATGCATGGTAGACCGATTACTCATGCAGCATGTACCATTCACGTCCCTCTTCTACGGCCTCACCAACTATGAGCATGTTACGGACATGTTCTAACAAAACCTGGCATCATTCCGCGGCAATATAATCCTGTCGATATACCATAGGTATCCCCAAGGAGATACTTGCCCGAAAATCGATTCGCCCTCCCAAGTAGTCCGCTTCGATGCGAGGACAGGAATACGCAAGAGCGGCAATGTAGACTCAGGCATTATTACCTGTTTACAGACCTGTACCGCTCTATCTATGCATCGCACAACATGCAGCTTCATTACGCGTCCAATGCCCGATCGGGTAGAAGAAGCCAGCCTCGGGTAGTTGCCTTATCCGAACGAGGCTGAGACTTGACTCGCGGCAAATCTTCGTCAGATCAAGTGTGGGCCGTAAGGATCGGCTTCAGCAGATAACCCAGCACCTGAGAAGGGAATCCCATTGGTCAGATGCCGCATTGGGTGGATAATTCGCCCCAACAGCTTGAACAGGCATGTTGCTCCTTCCCTTCTAAGGCATGGTGTCAACTCGCTTTTCGAAGACCCCACGCCAAGGCTGAATATGGACCAACTAGAACTACACCCTCCTAGGAAGTTTGGGTCCACAAGCGCAAGCTGACCCACCATTTTTCTCTTGTAAAAGATCATAGAGAGGTCTGATCTGATCACCACCAGTGAATATTTAACCCTATCATGCTATCCACTATACTTCCTGTGAGTGTATACTCAGTAGTCTATTACTCCTACACTAGACTTTGTAGGTACCAGCCCAATTAATGCGCTAGCGGCGGGTCGACTATTCAGCGGCCCGTTCCTCCGGCACTACATCCTCCCAGGAAGCATGGGGCCATAGCGTAGTAGGGTTGCATAGTCATAATGAGGCCTCTCCGTAATCTTTTAAGAGAAAAATTGTGGATTTTAGCGTGCGGCTATGCACCTGGACTTCCTAGGAGGTTGTAAACTTAGTACATACCAGCCCAGACCCTCCTGCATTGGACTTCGTATGCTCCAGCCCAAACGTTGATGCGCAGGCTGAAACGAAGGATTGCGGCTCATCTTTATGCTTACAGGCAGCCAGCAGGCTCGACGGACTAGCTCGTCAACGTTCGCAAGGCCCCGGAGTGGGTTTTCCAAGTGGGTTTTCCAAGCAATTTGCCCCTTGAGAGCAGGGCGGCCTAGTCTTATGAGTCCCCTGGGTGAGTGTAAGGTCAACGTACACAAGGAACATCTTCCTCATAGTTATGGACGTTCATGTTGGCAACGCGGCATCCAATAGTTTTCGACAGTACCTCCGTGCGTGCAAATCGCCCGTGCGCATTTGTCTGCTTATCTTCTGCCGAGAGGCTCATGCATGGACGACTATACCACACCGACCTTTGTAGCGCAGTCCGATGCTAGGCTTCCAAGCTTTGTACACTCGGCTGTTGCCACTGTATACAACCTTTTCGATCAAGATAGTGCTTGCGCTAGGTAACAGAATAGCCTGAAATCACCGAGACATCACGCTTAACCAGATATGTTTACAGTCAACTAGTGAGCTGGGAAAATTAGTGTATCAAGGTTTTGACTGCCCTTCGTGCTTGATAGTGACGAAGATCCTTGCAAAGGATTGGAGCTAATATGCTGTGCTTGTACGATATGTTCAGGACCGCTAGTCCATCTTGCTTTCAGAAGCGATCAGGCAGTCTTTCTCACCCGCACCGGAAATATTTAAAATTCTCGACGTGAGAGGTTTTTCGTGATATCATCACCTCTCCTGTTCATTACAGCCTGGTAACTATACTCTACCGTCATTTACGACGCACAAGATGCTTTCTGGGTCTGCGTGCAAGATATTTTCGGGTATTCCACTCCAGACGCTTTTGGAAGACAGAACCATCACTTCTCGACCACCACATGATGTTGTTCGTTCTCGCCTTGAGTTCGATCAAACGGACAGCTACTGGTGGGATACTACTGGCGTTGTTCTGAGTAAACTCATGACTCAAGCTGGATATCCTTTAGCTGTTCATTACAAGGCGCTTGCATTCTTGTATGATAATGTCTTGCAAGCTTGGGGTCCTATTCCCCATGGCACAGATGGTCAGTCCGATGGCCGACCTTGGAAGGCTACCTTCCTTGAGGATGGCTCGAACTTCGAACCTAGTCTCAACCTTTCAGCCACGGGTACCACCGAAACTTGCGTTCGTTTTACCATCGAGTGCAACAGTGCGCTATCCGGTACATCAGAGGACATTCTCAACCAGAAAGCCACCCACGCTCTCATCATGCGCTGTGCAGATGCACTTCCGGACTTCGACCTCACTGTGTACAATTACATGGTCGAAACACTCATGTGCGACGATAAAGAGGCTTTACGCCTCATTCAAGACTTTCCGACCTGTCGTCATCCCCAGATTCTCTTTGCTTTTGACTTCGAGCGGTCGGGAAGAATTCTCGGCAAGTGCGTTCCATTTCTCTATTGGAAGAGCCACCAGCTGGGCATCACACGCAAGGCCCTTGCCACGAAGTTTATTTCTGGTGTTCCTGAGGTTGGGCCTCATTTTGCGCCTTGCCTTGCCGCCTGGAACGATTTCATGGTGTCAGTCCCGGCCGAACTTGGCGGTGAGCCAACAACAGAGTGCATGAACTTCGACGTTGTGAAACCTGGGAAGAACTCAAGGATAAAGATCTATATTCGTCCTCACAAGACATCATTCAACTGTGCGAAGTACTTTTACACCCTTGGTGGGTTGCTCAACGATGATGCTACGCTGGAAGGAATCCGCATTCTTCGCATCTTCTACGAAGTCTTGTTAGACATTAAAGAAGGCGAAGAAGATAAAGAGCTCACGACCTATCAGTCGGGAAGTGGGAGTCTGCTGTTCAACTGCGCTTTCAGACCAGGTGCTGCGTTGCCCATACCCCAATTCTACATCACCATATGGAAATTCATGCCGAGTAACGCAGTCATCATGGAGCGACTCACTGCGTTCTGGAGACGCATCGGATGGAACCAGCAAGCCGAAAAGTATGCACAAGACTGGCAAGATACGTTGTGAGTCAAATCCATCCGGGGTACTGCACCCTATTGCTAATCACCTTCAGCCCATGGGTTAATGCCAGTGAATGTGGTAACACGACTGTGCTTTCATTCGCGTACAAAGCTGGTGGGTCTGGCATCTACCAGAGTGTGTATTACTCGCCCATGGCACATGTCGCTGCCGAAAGGTTGGGCTATGTTTGAGGACATCCATTGTCAAATTCGATGGCCCACTGTCACTACGTAGGGTTTTCGAAACTTCCCAGAATTACGGCTTGGTAGTACATCTCTCATGCTACTGTGAAATGATCCTCATTTATATGCCTTTCCAAGTAGCCCAGGCCGATTTTCTGAGACCTTTCCTATACTACCTATCATAAAATCGAAGATAATGCGCACGATGACTGCACATTTCACAACACGCTGGTAATTATCCCGGGCCGCAGAGCACACAATGTCATCGAGTAGCAGCCGAAGCTAGCTCAGCCATCATCTTTATGGAATGCCTGAGCTTGCCGCAAGTGGTGATGATTGCGAGGTCTCCACATGCTTTTGCAAACTACGGCAAAATATAATCAGGAACGCGATAAGACGTCAACGAGGAGGAGATGAAGATAATCGCAGAATGCAATCTTGCTAGTTGCATCCTGAGACAGCCAATGATTATGTCTACATGTGAGCCGCTGCGACGTGGTGAAGAATGTTGCATATTGGATGCGCAAGTCGAATCCTACAAATGCATAGCCCCCACGAAAATCGTGCACCTACGGCCTATCATATCAAGAAATATCATCTTGGAAGACTTCTGGACCATCCCCGATCACCCGGACCACGCTACGGACCTTCCCTCAAGCCCAACGTTCGTCGTAAGGGAGAGTAGCTAGCTAGAGTTTGTGGGGCCCTGTCTAGTTTTGGAAGTAATTTTGGCCATTGGGGTTGGGGGGGGGGAGAAGTGGGGCGTGCCCGTATCTCGGGCCTCCTGAGGGATTCTGGACCAAACTTAGACTGGTTGTTCCTCCACCGCCATCTACGCCTTCACATTCGCCTTCCTAGAGAGCTTAGTACCCATATTTACCCGATGGGAAGATATTAGACACGTTCGATATTGGTTAGTTTTGATAGATGTTGATCCTTGATCAGTGGGTACTTCGTTTCGAGTTGTCTAGTCTGGCTCCGCAGAGGATCAAGTCCAAGGTGCGGAGTACAAACAGATCCGCATAATTGCGTCAAGATATCACTCGATCGTACATGCATCACGCCAGTCGCACGGAGTTTCCACCCCTAAGGCTGCAGCTTGTACTCTAAAAGGCATTAGGGTTATGTTCATACACATCTTGCATATGCGTGTTCTCCTTGTCCAGTGCAGCTGCACCTACGGAAAAGCCGAAATGTGGCATGCACGCCTTTGGGATTTTATCCGCTGCTGCAATCAAACTTTTTCATTGCATTGCTGGCATAGACCTACCGCTTACTCCAATAGATCGGCATTATACAGGTTTAGTTTTAGAACAGATTGTAGCAAAATACCTTACACAACATCGAACAAGCCCGACGCAACCGCCACATGAAGCATCAAGAAACTTGGTTTCTCCCGGGTCTTTTCCCGCCGACTCGTTGAGGGAGTGAGAGTATCATACTAAAGGACTGTTCGACCGCAACCTTTCTTCTACAACTCAGTATTAGCCAACACAGACTATATCACTCCCTCCAAAAAATGGATATAGCTCTAGGATTTTTATGGTAATACATATGAGACGTTCTTCAATCGATAGGGGTCTAATCATAGTGTATAGGGCCTGGGATGTCTACCATAAAGTTCTCACATCGTACCTCGCCAAGAAATACAGAACCGTTCCTTTGCCTGACACACCTTCATACCACTGTAATGAAGTGAGCATCATCGTCCCAACCATTGAGACCGAGGCAACTTTTACGGAATGCGTTCGTCTCTGGCTGCGAAGCAACCCCCGCGAGATCATCATTGTCACCGTCCCGCGATACAAAGCCCACGTTGAGCAGCTTGTGCAGCCAGTAAAGGATCTCACAGATAAGATTACAATTTTGGTTGCACCCGTGGCCAACAAACGCCAACAGATCATGATGGGGGCAAGGAAAGCTACAGGAAAGATCATCGCTTTGGTCGATGACGACGCCTATTGGCGGGGCTCTGGAGTAATGCCCTACATGCTTGCTGCGTTCGAGGATTCAAGCGTTGGTGGAGTAGCAGGGCTTCAGAGGTTAGTAACTTATTATTCATGTCACCACAGCTCTATCACTGACGATAAAGAAGCCCTGAGATTCCCCTCGAGCGTCAAGATGCAAGCGTCATTACAGTTTGGGAAGCTGCTGCCGCCCTCGATATGTTCAAGATGAACCATGATCAGCCTGTACGATTCACAGCCGATGGAGGCTTATGGGTTCTGTCCGGACGAACTGTCTTCATCCGTGCAGCTATTTTGAAAGACCCGCACTTTGCAGAAGCCTACACCCATCAGGTTATTGATGGTAAGATTGTAAACGGTGCAGACGATGTCTGGGTGACGGAGTGGATTTTGGATCACGGCTGGAAAATTTGTGTGCAGAATGCACCAGAAGCTGAAATATTTACGAACGTCCCACACGATCGGAAGTTCTTGCTGCAGAATCTACGATGGGAAAGAGGCAACTTCCGCTCATTTTGGGAACGCATTTTTGGTAACCCTGGATATCGCACAATGAAACAGTAAGTCGTGTCACTATAAGATAAGAAGTACCAGACTAACAAAATTGTACAGGAGGCATCCACACTTAACAAGCGTAATGATTGAGAAGCTCACTCGACCTGTCTGGGTTTCTGCGTATATTGTCGCTTGGTCGACCACGCTTCAGACTGCGCCATGGCTTGCGTAAGTGGGATATATCTTGACTCATGCTACGACATCCTTCCTAACGGTTCATACAGGGCTACGTTTTTGCTGTGGATGACCTTAGGCATGGGCGGATCATTCTGGACGTACCGGGCTTTTGTGAAGGAATACCCGTACATGGCGGGAAAAGTTTGGAAACTGATGCTCATGGGTAATATGGGACCTGTCATGGATATCTATGCATTTATCACTATGAAGGATGATAGGTGGTTAACAAGGGTAGCTGATGCTCAATACGTTAAGGCTTAGGGGCCATCGGAGTTGAACGCGTAGCGGCAAACTCATAAAACTCCCGAACGGGCTCAAGTGTATGTCCATATAGCTCTGGTTTTACTCTGCCTCTATTAAACTCACCTCGCGGTCGCATGGATGGGATATTGCTGTTTAGCTCGTTGACTTTATGAAAATCCCTGGTATATGACTACAAGAACTCAACACTCATCCGTCACCTCACTGCGCTTGATCACTTTTCACACACAGAGATCATCATTAAGAGTACTTCACTCCAGTTGAACAGACTCTCTCGTGTGTAGGTGGGTTAAGAACGTTGGCAAAGGGAATCAATAATGAAAGAGTAGAGCGTCGTCCGGGTCGAGCGCCTCGTGGCCTTCTCTAAAACTTCTGTGTGAACTCTCTGTCTCATATTTGTGTAATCAGTGCCAGAACGGCAGCTTGAACTCTCATGCGATAAATATGAGTCGTAAAACGGGCACTGCCACTAACAAAGCGTCTGCGATGGTCTTCATTTGACCTTACAGAGGCTCTCTGTGGTGATAATTTGTCGCGGTTTACCCTGTTAACCTCAACACCATGGCTCGGTCCAGCATCGCTTACTCATGCTCTGTACTACATCGCTTCACGCACACATATATATACCACAATAGCTAGTATTCAATCAATCTTCAGTGCCTAACAATTTCTTCTGCCCAACGTGCGGTTTATCCTCAACCGCAACATACGATGTTGCAGGAGAGAACGAGAGGCCACCTGCAGATGCCCTATGAAACTATCCGTAGGCAAGAAGGAGTACGCGTCGTTGTATGGTGGAGGAAGATTTTCGTCACGTGGAATCTCGGCCATACTTTCGGAGCTTCCCTCGTGCCAGACTAAGTGGAGGTAGAGGGTCAGACTAATTCGCGTTCCCACTTTGCCAAGCGTAAACGCGGCTCAGTTCTTGAATGTATCAGCTGTTCTTTTTCTTTAAGCTAGACGCAGTGCTATCGGAACAGCTTGGATAGCAGCATCTAAGTAAATTCAGGGTCGAAATGTCATCAATAGCCGCTGCACTAGAAGATTCTCTCGTCCTTCGCACTGTCTCCAAGGTCACAATCTCGCCGAGTCACAGGTCGTACATACCAAGCGTTTTAGGCGTACGAACGCATTAGTACACGTAACATCCACAACGCGAAGGCGTTTTGACTATCTTCCAAACAGGTTTGGCAGGTACCGCTAGAGACTAAAATTTACTGATCCTCGCTTCCGACTCGCTGTCTAATCTTATCAGATGAAAATTCTCGCTGTGTGCACGGGTGCGTTATCCCCTAAAGACGTCGTGTCCCGCTCACTAAGCACGCGCTTGATCTTATCAGATGAGATTCTCCGTGCGGCCGGAAGGGCCGAACTAGGCTTCTTTAAGAGGATATTCGAGAGTTCTTCCAGAGGAATGAATAAAATCTCGCTGGACCCGCCAGGCTGGTGTGGAAACTGATTTCTACGTTGACTTGATACACCAATTGTCGAGAGTATACCGTGTGCCATCTGGAAGTCTTCCCTGATTGTTATTGTCTGCAGCTTGAAACCATGGCGACAATGTCAGACACACACCAATCTGCACGATACGGTGTCGCCGTAACAACTCCAGATGACAAAGACCCAGCTACTACCACAACCAGACCTGAAAGCGATGCCAGCTCCAATACCGGTACCCTCACACCTGCGCCTCTGCAGTGGAAGATCATGGCCATCCTCCTGATTACCGCAATCGGGTTCGGCTCGAACTGGAGCTCAGGCATCACGGGCGCGATGAAGAGTACAATTAAGAAGGAAATGAAAGTTAACAACACGCAATTCGCGCTGCTGGAGGCGAGCGAGGATTTCATGGTCACCGCATTGATGCTGGTCAGCGGACTTGTGACTGATCGCATTGGCGGCGCCGGTGCCATGCTCTACGGCAACGCGATTTACTCCATCGGATCTATTCTCGTGGCGGGCGCCGCGCAGACGCGCTCATACAAGTTCATGATTGCGGGGCGTGTGTTGCGCGCGCTGGGCGATATCGCGACCCAGGTTGCGCAGTACAAGGTGTTCTCGTCCTGGTTTGCTCCAGGAAACGGCTTCGCTTCGACACTGGGGTTTGAGCTGGGTGTGGGCAAAATTGGGGCGTTCGCGGGGAAAGCATCAGCGAACATCATTGCGAAGCGGACGGGCGACTTTGCGTGGGTGTTCTGGGTCGCCGTGTTCATGAACTTGTTCACCAATGTTATGACGGGGGTATTCTACTGGTTTACGAAGGTGGCGAACAGGAAGTTTCATGGAGTAACTGATCCAGCAACGGGAGAGGTCTTGAAGGAGAAGTCAAAAAAGTTTGAGTTAAAGAAGGCCCTGAACATGCCGTGGACCTTTTGGTGTATCATGGCATTCTCACTGTTCGAGACGAGCACAGCGTTAGTGTTCTTGCAGAATGCGACAGAGCTGGCGGAGCAGCGCTTTGAAACGGATTCAATTCTTGCGGGTTGGTACTCTGCTACAGCTCAGTATGCTGGTATGTGGCCGAAAGATTCTTGTGCGTCTTTTCACATGCTGATATTGAAATTAGGTTTCTTTTTCGTGCCACTCATTGGAGTCTTTCTAGATGTATTTGGACATCGGATCTCTGCATGTAAGGTACCTTCTCTTGACGTACATGACCATCAACTAATCGAAGTAACTGTAGTGGTTTTCTGCGGCATCGGCGTCTTTACTTCTATGCTCCTCGTCTGCTTCGCTAAAACAACGAAAGGTACTGCGGCAAGCTTCGGGCTCTTCGCGTTTGCCAATTGCTTCGGACCAACGACCATCATCGATAGCATCCGCACATCTATGTGGCATCCCTCTGTCTTCGGTTCTGCATATGCTCTGAAGATCACTATGAACAACGCGTGAGTTTTATTCTCGACGAAAACCCAAAATATGAAGCAGTTTCACTAAACTCTTCAACAGGATGAATATTATCGTTCGGGTCATTACCGGCGTCATCCAGGATCGCGACAACAATTCTTACGACCGTGTCACCATCGTTTATGTCGTTCTCGCTGGGGTATCTGTCGCGGTCTCATTGGGATTGTCTGTCGCCTCGTGGAAATTCGTCGACCTTAGGCAGCTGCAGTGGTCGCGCAAGCTGCGCATTGCCCGAGGAGATGTGCTCCATGAGAGAAGACGAAGGTTTGAAGCGGGAGAGGGAAAGAGCAGGCCAATATCGAAGGCATGTTTGGTGGCTCTGGTGGTATTTGTGCTGGGTGGATGGTCCGCGTATTTCTGGGGAGTTGCAACCGGGAGGAACGAGTAGCTATTACTATACGCCCCTTTACACAGCTACGCATCCTGGACCGTTTGAATGTCGTCGGTCAACGGTACCAGGGAGCGTTGTTTGTGTTATAAATAGGGTTATCTTAGCAACAGCCTTGGAACGAAACCATCCTCGAGCGCCGTATTGGTAGTCTCCAACTGTTTGGAAAGCATATCTGCCACTTCCCAACTATCCCACAGACCCTCTCGTCGTCTGTACTGACGCAGAAGGTCGATGACGCGTGTTGTGATGGCGGGGTCCTGGCAATAGGTCGCGGCATGAAACATTGCAGGTATTGTATCACTATCCAACGTGAATACAGGGCGTCCCATCCAAGTAGCCTCTATGCGGTACGTTTGCTCTACCAAATCGATGTGGGCATGGCAAAGCTCCCGCAATCCCTCATCTTCAAGACTGTCTTCCGGGTATAGGATGGTGTCCCACATATAACGCTGGGCAGTGAGGACAAGTATCTCTCGCTGTATGTCAATTGGAAGAATATTGACGTTGCCGAGAGCTGAGATAAGGAGATTAAACTTGGACCTCCAGACTTCGAACAAGCTGGAAAGCTCCTTCCAGTCTTCATTGCAATTCTCAAAATCGGGCTTTTCAAGCCTCTCTTTGGGATCGTCGTGCTGACCCTCGCTGCAGTATGCCATCCTCACATCTAGGTCCCATATAGCATCTTTAGCTTCAGCAAGACTCGAGAAGGCCTGTGACGCGTCGTCGATTTCCATCAGAGGTTTGGCATGCGGCGTAATATTGGGAATATCATAATCTTGTGGGGGAATGGTTGCGTCGACGATGAGGCGGAGGAATACTGTGCCAGCCTCCTGGAACAGCTGTCGGACATCGTCCGGCGCAGTCGACAAGTCTGAGGCCTGGAAAAGCTGGCAGCCAGCTTTTATATGGCGGACGGCTTCGTCAAAGCGCCCAAGCATATACTCGAGGCAAACGAAAAGTAGGCAGCAGATGAGGTACTTTAGCTCCCTGTCGCCTGAGCTGGACGATGTGACTTCCAGACTGATCAACTTTGTTATGGCCTCATTGTACAGGCTAACGGCAACACCTTCGGTATGACTCAGCACTGCGCTCACACTCTCTGGGCCTGGTTTGGAGATTGTGTCGAGGTAGCATCGATGGGCTGCACCGAGCGCAACAACGACCTGCCGGACGACAGGATCGTCATGACACATCGGGAGCACTCTACGAAACCAAAAATCTTTGGGATTGGCGACGCGAATAAAGTCAATGATCGTAATGGAGCGGAAGTGATGTAAGAACATCCCACCGGCCCCCTGAGCTTCGAGGTGGAGATTGATCCTGGCGCCTGCGACTAGATCGTGTTGATTGTATCGACGGACAATCTTCTCGACTGACCTTGATATCGACTTCGTTGTTTGAGTTCTCAAAGAGGTGTTCTTTTGTGCAGCTGGCTGTTTCTTCTTGGACGGCAAAGAAGCGTAACCGTCGCACTTAAACTGCTCCTCCCTGCACCGTCGGCAGATTGGTTTCTCTTCGTCGCATTTCTTTCGGCGTGTTCTACATAGGAAGTTTCGTTAGTCGAATCCATGAAAAGCACCGAATATGGCGGCAGATGCTTTCGCACGCTACAACCGGGTATTGAGCACACCGTCTGATACGGTCGGATTTAACGGAACATCCTCAATTAAGAGGTGTCCAAGGTCCTGGAGAATTTGCGCTCGGGCATGATAGAACACCTACTTGCTGCAAAGTTGGTTAGCATAGTCTAAAAGCAGGAGCTTGGAGTTCACAGTTATGACCTGCGGGAGCCAGAGCATAGCTTGATGGATCATGAGAGTATAGCCACGGCATATATGGGGTCTGCAGGACATCGTAGGGCAGAGGCCAATGTACAGAATTCCCACTTAGATTGGTCAACAACGTACCAAGTAATGCATCCTGTGCGGACTTTGGGTGAGTAGGCACGCATTCGCGGTCGGGCCCTGAGCACTAATGCTGCCACGACGTTTTTGCGAGGAGCGCGCGGCAGGCCCGTTGAGTTGTGTTCTGCCATCTCGAAGTTCATCTAGTTACATCCTGCCTCCTAGTTGTTTGGACACCGACTCTTGTTTAAAGAGGAATCTTCATGCAGGAGAAGTAGTAGTTTTGCACTGCCACAGTAAAGGCGCAGCCGATAGAAGAAGGGCTGAGGGCTGAAAAGAATTGATCGCTCTGTGAGCAGGGCCAATCGGTGAGGCCTCGGCAAGTTATTGGAGCGGCTAATACAAGGCTTGTCGAATACGGCTAGACTAAAACCTCCCTTTCTAAATGACGCGTTCCACGGCATCCGACACCAAGATCATGAATGTGCTGAAGGTCTGTCATCAATTCGTTGCACGTTGGCTCCATCGCATCCCAACTACCTTCGAGAAGAAAGCGCTGCCACGGATCTGGAGCCCCTGTGGGAGATACGTTTACGCGGAAGACCCCGCCCAACAGGCCTGCGACCTGGGATCGGTAATTTAGGCAAGATAGGTAGTAAAACCAGAGCAGCAAGACGAGGCTGAAATTCAGCTTTCAAACGGAGCCCCGCGCTTGTGACAATCATCGTAAACTTTTGTGCGTACATGTGCAGCCAGATCACCTAAACAGAAACTAATTATAGTAGACGATATGCAGTTTAGAGTATAACAATCAAGTCCACAAGCCGTTACGCATCCAGAGCACTCTCGAAGCAAAAGGACAATCCCCGGTGGTTTTTCATATTTAGTATGACTACCATGAATAGGCCCTCATATGGTCGTAGTGTTCCTCGAGAATTATAAAAATGAAAGTGCATCAAGGCTTTCTGATGAAATAACGGAGGGGTGCTGCTACAATACTGTGAGCATCCGGCGCTGTAGATAGGACTAGCCAAAGACTGCCGTTTTGGCCCAATTTGGAATCTGAAAATGCCTGGAAATAGTAGGCTGTGTAAAGCCTAGTATGGTCTGCTTTCCTCCTTGGTACTGTACAGCTGAATATGACAGGCAGACTGTATACAGCTCGGAGGCTATATTTTGCCCCGACTGCCCTGTCACATCGTTGAATTGGAAACACGTCGGTATGCTGTCCTTACAGAACCACATAAAATCGAGAAGACGATAGTTTTTCCGACCTAACACGCAACCCTATGCTTCCTCCAGACACGTAGAAGTTTCCTGATTTTAGTCAAGGTTTGCTTTTCAACTGCACGAGAGGTTGCGCCCCTATCAAGGTAAGGATCAACAGATGCAGCACGCAATAAGCTCAATCCAACGCGCTGGCTTTCAACTTCACCTTTGGTTTCGCATTCATTCAGTGACGTTGGCGCGTGCGGACCGCTAGACACTCATTCACCTCATGATTAAATCTCCAGCACGACAAACACCCGCCCGTCCGCTCGTGCACCCTACAGCGGACACTGCAAACTCACTTCACTTGCCCAACAAACGCAAACTCGGTTTGACATATCCAACATGCCCGTCGTTCGCGACTCCACCGAAATACGCAATCCGGTTGAAATCCTCCTGCGCGCGTCCCGCCCACAACGCAGCTCAACGCACCTTCTGCACCATCGAGACTGGCGCTATGTCACGGGAGTAAGTCGCCACGAAGACGAAGACAATATCAGCTACCGAGAGCGCGAGAGCACGCTTTGGGATCAATCAGGCTGGGACGCGCAAATTGGGATGTTTGGTAAGGAGAATCGAAGATACGCAGCGAAGAAGGCGGCGGAACCACAGGATACGATTCTCCGCTACGACGAAGAGGAGGTGGAAGAGTGTAGGCTGCCCATGGGCATTGGTGGGGCAGCCGATTTCGACATGGCAGGGTCTGTCGCAACGCTTAACAAACAGCTCGCTCACAGCGAAGATGTTGGTGGGATGTTGACCGTGCCGAAAAATGTGGCCAGCTCCACACGAGAGAGAACCCTCAAGAGAATTGCGCAGGCTAGGCGGAGCCGTCAATGCTTCCGCTCACGAGCGTATAGCATTGCTGGCTTCCAACGAAGCGGACCGCTGGTAGGCGAGGTCATCGAAGAAGACGAAGAGGTGTGGTTTCGGATACGGTTGGTTGTTTGTTTGAAATTTTCCTGCCAGGGAACAGACAAGGTGCAACGTATATTGGCAGGTGAGCCAGCGGATGGACAAGCGCAAGTCGTAACGCCGAACTCTCCAGCAAACGATGTCCTCAACGAGGTGCGATCGACACCGAAGAATGATCATACGCGACCGCAGGTTCTCTCCGTGGATGTGTCGGACACAGCTACCACCGCTCCAATAGCTAAAGCAACCTGTGGCTCAGATCCCGACACTGACCATTTCATGCGAACGCTTGTTCCCTACGAGCGTCCATGTTTTGACGAGACGAGGAACGCCAACATGAAGGACATCTTAGGTACTCCTGAAACACCTCATGTGGAAGTCTTTGCTCTTTCAGATTTATTCAATTGGTTCCCGGAAGCCGTTCCCGCGGATGCACTCTTTCCTCCTGAGGTCCCCATCTCTGCGAAAGAAATTATGGCTTTCTACCCCCACCACATTCGTTGGAAAGGCATCGCTCTACGCCTGGCTAACAACGCCTATCTCGGCGACACCATAATCGCTATGCAAGCCTTCTTCCGCGGCAAGGATAAACATCCTCTCAGCATCACCAACGTCAGCCAGTTTTTTTGTGACGTGCTCAAGAATGATCTGTCGGACTTCGAAGTGTCTAACTTCCAATGCAAGCCGGACCGGCACTTGTACACAGACCACCTGAGACCCTCAAAACCTCTCAACGGGCCACGTCATGGTTTCGTTGTGCCTTCTTTCAACCAATTGTTGGAGGGCCTGGTGTATCTTCCTTCTGGTCTCGATGCACGAGGTCTGACTCAGTGTCTGGCTTGGTACTTAGATGTACGAGATACTTTCACTCCGCGACTTGATCTCAACGTTCTGCATACCCAATCGCTGATTCGAGCCTTGCGGATGCCATTGAAGCCTTATAAACCCCGGAACCTGGACATACTAGCGCTTCAAGAGTGGCAAGAAAAAGGGCAGTTTGCGAAGAGGCGCCTTGATGGACAAGGGAGCTCGGATGCTGACCGCGTCGATCACTCGCTAAAGCAACTGATGCGGTCAAGGGTGACAATCGATACCAATACAGAGACCTTGGGTGTGTATGCTGTCGTGAAGCTACGCCATATTCTCATGTTTCCGTACTTTGCTATCGGTGGGATGATGTGCAAGGCTCTTGAGTTGGGCATTGAAAAAGCCGAAGCGCGAAAGGCGGCGCGAGAGGTGCAGGAGGCAACTGAAATAACAGATTCTACCCAGGATCCTGCGCAAGAGCAGGGCTTAACGGCACTGAGCTACCAAGAAAAAGCGGGGTCAAAAGACAACAGCCAGGTTTCTCAGGAGATGCGTGCACTCGGCTTCCCTGTTGGCTACAAGATTCCGAAAAAGAAACGCCTTCTATCCGAGGATGATGCCTCGGAGATTCAATCTAAAAAGCGCTTGGGTCCAGCCCTGGTAGAAACAGGCGCGCCTCTTGGGCCACGGGCAATGTCAATATCCGAGCGTCGGCACGCCATCGGGCCCCATCCACTGACAACTGCAGTTCCACCACAAGAGCCTACCAACAGATTCACATCGTTTCCACCTCCAGATCATGGTCCTACAACTGCACCAGCATCAATGCTCGGTTACCGACGCAGCCAAAACCCCAATCACTATCATTCAGCCGCGTACTAAAGCACATTCTCAGATCAGCACCACCCGTCGCCTTATGCAAGCAGGTTGTCGCCTTATGCAAGCAGGTTCTATGACTATGCCCATCCTAGCCATGCCGATTCGCGAACTGTCTCAAGACGGAACACATTGTACAATACTCACCACCAGTATGGCGACAGGCGCATGTCTGGATCTACTCCACGTGGCAGTTATGGTCCTCCAGTTACTTCAGGATGGAGTTTAGAGCATGATTCTCGAAATCTATTCAACAATGAGCGGGAACCGCAGCCACTAGATGGACGATATAGCGCTACACAAGCCGAGTCAACTTCTCGCGATTCGTGGAACAGACACGGGTACAATGGTCACCGAGAACGTTGAAAGAATGATAGCGATGGGTGAGTTATCGAAGGTATGCTTTTCGGCTGTGACTTGGATGGTCTTAACTATTGCATGGGTTCGATTAGTTCAGTACCAGTATCCCAATGTTGGTGGATGGGTGCTCTTTGACTTGCACTTGTAATGGTCACTGTTCGTAGTCAAATACACTGTATCTCCATTCACTACCCATGAATTTATTCTTTAATAATCCACTACTGCATCCATTTCCCGTTTAATCCAAACACTTATCGGTCCACTTGAACCACCTAATCTGGTACTCTCACTGGAAACGGCTCATGCCGCTTCATCCCTACGATACCAGGATCGATGTAGTCGCCAATCCCGTAGTGCAGTCATACAGTTCGCTACCCCAGGTCCACGTAGATTTATGCGGCGTGTATGCGATGCTCGTCTCGTACCATGTGTTGGTGACGGTGTAGGGCTGTGTTGCGGTAGGCGTGCACAGCGAAGTCGTGTACGTGTAGGGCGTGTACGTTGGAGTGTGTGGAGGCTTCGGATCTTTGGTACCCCCACTAGCGGACACAAAGATGACCTGGGTGAAGGTGGTGATTATTCTGATCGGCTTCATTATGCTGTCGCGAGTCTGAAAGAGTTGCAGATGGGTTTTGGATGAGGCGTGGGTTTCGGCAGCAGTAGGGATGCTTCTGGAATGGGACTGCAGCTCCTTGAAGGTGTCAATATGCTATTCTAATGACGCGATGCCTCTTCTTAAATACTTATTACCAACTTTTGAAGGGGAATCAGGCGTTCAGCCTCGCGGACCTAGACTAGCCGAATGTCTCTCCACGACACCTCCAACACTGCTTCGTACAACATGATCTCTCAACTGTTCTCCGTTTTTGGTAACGTTTGATTGTCAGTTCCAAGCCAATACAAGCCTTCGATAAACATTAAATGAAAGAATTCGTTCGAAGAGGCCCTGATAGTCATAGGCTGATTGGTTCTGATGCTGTATTCGGGCGGTTGAGGGGCGGGTGAATGACTCGAGGATCTCACTGAAAATTATTTTTGAGGCTGAAAACAGCCTCTTCTTGCTTTTCGTTGATAGTTTCGTTATGGCATCGAAAGTTTCCCTTATGCCAAGCGTGGCTAAGGGCATGCGGTCGACAACCCCTAAGTACGCATTGTCATACGTGCGTCCCGCAACCATGGGTTGCCGTTGAGCTTGAAAGAAGGGCTTGTTGGCGACTGATCCACGTGGCTGGTAACGTAAATGTCAACAGTCTCTGACGTCCCGCGTACGGCGAGCTAGGCCCCCAAGAGCGACGCTTGCAGCGACTAGGCGCCCTAGCCTCCTGTGACCGGCTTCTTACACAGCTTTTTTTATGGTCAGATTTGACGAAATTCAACACGACCCAGTCGAAGGGCAGATTTTAAGCAATCCTCCCGCCAATTACCGGACAACATACCCCGACATGGACATGATACGAAATCATCACGTGTCTAAAACCTGCATGGTTGTCCCGCCCACACATCGTCCCTTGATATCTTTGCTACGTCCCAGAAAGCCATTCTCCGTTGGGTCTGAAGTATTGTGACCCCAAATAATCGTGATTTTCAAACTGGGTAAAACAATCATGGGGCGTGTTGCAGCGCATTGATCAAGCGCCGTTCTCCTGTGGCCTACCTTCGTACAATACCAACCCTTACGTACAACGCATCCCCATCTCTACTCAAGATGTATCTGGAACGTACTGAAAGCTTCGATTAAAGTATATCATACACATTCATTACTGTCGGAAACTCTTGTTGATCTAAACGGAATCTACATGAACACACATTTGCATGCGCCGCGTCCTACGAATGCAACCTATACAACGCTCTGCTGACCAATAACAGTTGAACGGCTCAGCCCTATCCAGCGCGTTGATAGTCTCTAGAAATCCATTGCGGACACTACTCCGTACGTGCAGAGCCCAAATGGCCGAAGTACTCGCTACCGCTCCAGGTACCGTACTCTTTGTTGATGTAGGGTACAGAACCCAACGATACGGAGGCGGGGTACCAAAACAAACAAAAGCTTCGAAGAGCCATCTATTTCCAAGCAAACTTATGATCTAGATCGAAATGTTCGCAATGCTGTGAAGTGTAGAGTTAGGACTCGGCGATCCAGATCGTGGCTTCAGATACAGGCCGATAAGACATGGCGAGTGAAAGCTTGTGTAGTTTATACCTTATGACTACGTCCTATTGGTGAATTAATCAGCCAGCAATGGTGCATCCGCGCACTGCTTCTCAGCAAGAGATTGTATTGCTCTTAATAGGTACCTTGCTTCCTGGCGGCGAGGAAGCTAAAGCCTAGAGCATCACTTAAACTCTTGTCTTTCAGGACTGAGTCTCATCGCTGGCAATCCGAGTGGAGGAGGGATTAAGTACGTCTGCGGCTTGCGGGAGGCCACTCCGTAACTTGCAGAGGGTTGCCAAGTTATCCTGGTCCGCAGGCATTCAAGGACATCACACTCACTAAAACCACGAGAACAGCCCCACCAGCTCATGGTCACTGTAACTCAACGATGCTCATGGAAATCTATGTATGTACGATTATTTGTAAGCCAAAAATCCTTGAGAAAAGTATTGATGTTGCCTCACTGCTTAGGATAATGAGAAATTGCCCAGGCGATGTTAAGACACGTCTCTTGAAGGATCAGCGGTAGACTTCCGAAGTCTTCTCCCGATATTGAGCCGCGTCTACACGAGTAATATTCAAGTCCGGCTGGCATTATGTCAAAATTCTCCTAAATGGGCAATGGACGGCCTCTACTCGCAGAAATGTTTGAAAGCAAGAACCGTTCTTGAGATGAGCTATCCTCTCGTCTGAATTCTTGTCTCGAGCCACCACTCTTCAAATGCCCGTCCGAGGAGGGTATCTTCTGAAGGCTTATCACTTCACTTGTTTACACGTTTCCATTACCATCTTCGCGATAACCATTAGTTGTAGTACGGTCGCCTGATGGTAGCATACGATGCGCTAAGCAACCATTTATTCATGGCCAGACAACCTACGGCTCACAAAGAGATGAGAATATTTGTTTTGATGCTATGTGACGTCGACTATGGGCCTGGCTGTATCAGCGGCTAGTCCTTTGCATGCGACTACCATAAGCTTGATCTATATCTTCCTGCTAGCCAAGTCCAGGAGGTACAGTATATGGATACTTCGACTCGTACTGTCGTTCTGATTCAGCCAGTTATCGAATTGGATCCGCATGATATGGGTACCCTCAATGGTGAATCTAGAGCAAGGGTACGCATCGACGAGTATTCCTCCTGTGTCCACACCCTGACCCACACGCCTCCCTTAGCACTATAAAACCGCTCCTTGCTCCCTGTCAAGAAGATATAATCTTGTGTCTTTAACCATATCTACGCCTATCACGCCTTCGTCTCCATCATTCTCCCACTCTGACATACCACATAACCTCCCCCGTGGAAAAGAGGGCCCTTCGCGGGAGGTTCTAGGCTCTTCAAAGGTGGAATCAAATCACAGCCGACAGTCGGCGAGGTCCTGCGGTGATATGCCAAGTCCTCGATTACGCGATTCGCGAGCCGCATCAACATTTCTGTTCAGATTGAGGGCGTGAAATTGGTACTAGGTACTGCTGCACAGCTCCGAGTGTAGACAGCCGGACGAGATAGCACTTCAATATGCGAGGACATACACTGAGCGCAAGGCAATCTGGCAAGAGTACGCGTCGTGCGTTTTCGCGCGTGACGAGTTTTTGCTATATAGCATCTGGATTTTGAGATGAGAAGACATGGTGGAGACTATGCCGCATACGTTCGCTATGGATGTTGCTGGACTCAGCCCTATCTTAGCTCAGTGGAGAGATTTCGACCCAGCGGCGCCTAGTCCTGTACGGGCTAGGAGAATTTCATCTAGCGCGACAAACAATCTTCCAGCCGAGGCGAACCTAAGACATTCACGACACACCGGACTACACCTCGACAAGAGTAGACTAGATAGCGAAGGGTTGCGTAGCATTAAACTCTGGGTCAGGCCGTGCGTTTAGAGGCGCTGATACTATTGGCTCAATCCATTGCGACGCGATCCGGCTCGGTGCGGGCTTTAATCTGCGATGAAGGGTGCCCTGGATTCGGACGAATTGGTGGTGCATTGGGTGAGATACAAAAGGCGGACCGCATCTTTATCGAAGGCTATCAAAATCAAACAAATCCGAACTTTCAACCACCTTTTGTGTACTCTCCGTTATTGAAATTGGCTCAGAAAAGATCCGAGCAAAGACTATACTACAACCTCGATATACTTGCTAACAAACCGCGGCCTGAATATGATGGCTTCGAAGCAAACAATCGCCTTTTTCGGCGCAACCGGTGGATGCGCAGGTAGTTCCCTCGCCTGCGCTCTCCGCTCAGGCTACCACTGCACAGCGTGTACGTCTACATGTCCATCCAATTCTTCGCTCGCATCACGTCAGTCACCAAGACAGAAAACATGTAATTAACATCCAACAGTAGCCCGCACCCCATCGAAACTCGTCAAATGCCTCACAATCGACCACGACATCCCGGCGTCGGTGATAGAAACCAACCTCACCATCATCCAAGGCGACGCAAAGACCGCCTCCGACGTCGCCCAGGCCCTTATATCTCCTACCAACAGCTCCCACGTGGTCGACATAATATACTCCTCCATCGGCGCGTATCCCAATTTCAAACTGTCCCTCACCACACCTTTCGTCCTGCCAGATCCCACCCTCTGCACATCCGGCATGCGCGCCGTTTTCTCGGCGCTCTCAACCCTCGGCATGCCCACCTCGTCCGGACGAAAACCCCTCCTCATCGCTCTAAGCTCCACCGGCGTCAATGGCAAGGCGAGGGACATTCCGTTGCTGTACTACCCACTGTACAAGCTTCTGGCTGCACAACCGCACGCGGACAAACGCGGGATGGAGGAGGTAGTGCTGGGCGACAAGGGTGAGCATATGCGGGACTTTGTCATTGTAAGGCCGACGGCGCTGGTTGACGGGGCGAAGGGCGTGGAGAAGGTGAGAAGTGGGTGGGAGTGGGGTATACAAGACGAGAAAAGGAGGGTGGAGAAAGAGGCTGGACCGGCGATTGGGTGGACTGTTGGGCGGACTGATGTGGGTGCGTGGATATTCAAGAACGTGGTAGAAGCCGGTGGGTGGGAGGGAAGGTGTGTTAGTCTGACGTACTGAGCTGGGGAGATATGGTGGATTGTGAGACGTGGCTACAATGGCGTTGTTTGTATGACTGTTTGAGAATTTTCTGTATCTGATCATTGGAACCCTGTACATAGGAATAATTATGTAACTCATAAACCGGTGGAAAGACAGTGTCTAAGATCAACTGTCCAACTCGTAGAATGACACAGGTATTGCGATGGTTCAAAGATCTAACTGCAGGAGTTATCGTCTTGTCCAACTGTATTAATTTGCCGTAACACGAAGCGCCAGTATTACAACGAAGCTATTCCAAAACAGCATGCAAAACAACAAGAGGGTCAAAATCATCCAGGAAGGCATCAAATACAACTTCAATTATAAACAATAAGCGATAGCCATCGCTATTGCCCAGCGAACGTCACCAAGCCCCCTCGCGCCGTTTCGCAGCACTGAGCGGTGCCGTCGCCTCATCAAGTTTCTTCCTTGCATTCTCATACTTCCGCCTGTATTCTTGATACTTCGCCTTTGCATCGTCGTAGTCCTTGCTTGCTTTTACATGGGCGCGGGTCGCCTCTTCGATGTCGTTCGGACGGTCGCGAGAGTGTCTGTAGCGACGGTGGTCGTTGCGTTCGCTTTCACGTTGATATCCGTTCTCATGTCCACGCTGACCAAGACGGGGCTGGCAGTTATAGTCATAATCGTAGTTGTCGCGCTGCGCTCTTATCTTCGCCTGGGGGTAGCCGTACATGGTGGGTACTTCAAGTCTGTTGGTGTGACAAAAATTAACATACTGAGTAGATGAGACCCTGCAAGACTGGAAGGCAGCAAGACGTTGATGCTGTGAAGCGATATATTACGTGCACTCGATTGTCTGTTCAAACGGGAATATTGTCTGAGCCATGAGAGCATACGTGTTCTTGTAGTACAGTTGCAGTCTAGCCGTTTGAGCTAAGAATTCTCTCGCTGCGTTATGCTTCCTGTAACCTGGACATTATCGAAGGTACAGAGACAATGTGAGCCTGCCAAATCAGTGCAGGATACAGCACCGCCTACTGTTCACGCTGTCAAGGCAGATCAGGTGGCCGGGCGGGAAGATTATCCACATCCTGGCAGAGAGCAAACACCTAAACTTCCAGCTGCCAGCGTACATCTATCAGTCTTTTGTCTGAACTCGCCCTCTCAGCTATTCCACGTCCCGCGAGCCTAGTGGCAATTCGACGAAGAAGAGGTGGCGGCGTCCGCTTCGCAGTACGATAAGCGCAAGAGGCTGTCGCGGCCCCCAGTCAACGCAACACAACCTAACCCCATTCGTCATCTTCAGCCCTCCACCTTTCGCCGACCACGTAGCCCCCAATCACCATCCCTGCTCCCCGCACGTCGTCCTCACTGCATCTGCACTCTGCACGCATTGTAAGACGTAGCACTGCGCGCACATGGGTTCAAAGCGCCCACATCAGTTCAGTCCGGTTCGCCACCACCCATTTGCCCCGCCTCCACCTCTTGTCGCTCGTGGGCAAGGCTGAGCTTCCTACTCATTTTTGAACGACAAATTCTTCTCCACCATGGCCGTGTGCAAGATCGAGGGGAACAGCGACATGTACGGGCTGGGCATCCGACTCGGGTACTATTTCCAATGGTACGGGGCGATACTGGCGCGATGGCTGGCACCTTCCGAGGTAAAGAGTCTGGCGTTCTCGACGGATGTCTTTGTCGCGGCGACGTTCCTCGCGCTCGTGATCCTGACGCTGACGGACGTGGAAAGTCTCGAGCCTGTCGAGACGTACATTGTGCTGTTGCTGATGTTCGGCGCGTACCTGGCGCTCGTGCCGATATATGTGTGGCGGTTGTTGACGGCGTGCGATCCTTACTGGGTGAGTGGATGCAGTTCTTCGACGAGTGTTGCTACGAGCTCAAAAGTTCTTGACGTCTCATCTGCCAACCGCGAGGCTTTGTTCTACGCGTTTTCTACGTCTGGCCCCTAACCTCCGACTCGTGACTTCACAGGACCCAACCCGCTATCCCCGCGTCAACCTCGGCGCGATGTCAGCAAACCTAAGCTTCACCCTCCTCATAGGCGTGCTAGTCTTCCAGTACTGGTTCTGGTTCGACCGCGTTCCGGACCTGGATCACCGCAGTTGCCAGCAATACGGCTTCGTCTTCGGCGAAGTGCGCCTCAATAGCAAAGCCTCGGTTGTCCTTCACGCGCTCATGTACTTCTGGCTCGGACTCGTCTGCATCTACATCCTACTCCTTAAGCTTCGCGCCATGGCCGGGTTCCCGGATCCCGGTGCGGAAAGCCGACGACCGAAGCGTGCGCACATCGAATTTCTGCAGAATCTGGATGTTTGGATCAAAATTGTGATTGCACTAGCTGTTACTGTTGCAACGGAGCTGACAATATCGTGGAACGAGATCGGGGGTGTCGGGACGCTGTCTGGCGCGGGTCAAACGATCCCGTTTGCGATTGGATTGGCGGCGATTGTGAGGATACTCTACGTGGCGATGGCTTATGAGCGGGTTGAGCTGCCGAGTAGTCGTCCGACGTCGGTGAGGGATATGCCACAGCCGATTCCAGTGAGACAACCGCCCCGACCGGCGATTAGGAGGCCGGCCCCACCGAGGTCAGAGAGGAATACAGCCTCTACTATATCTCGGCCTTCACGGGTGCAAAGGCGTTCGGGCTAGCAATGGTAGTAGATGCTGCGTTCGTGTGGATAGTATGAGTTTCGCGGTACCACGTGTCGTATCAGGCTTTGTGCCGTACTGTGCCGGAGCTGCGCTTTGTCGACCAGAATTACAAAGGAGCGACATGAGTCGTCTTTTACTCTCAGATGCCCCGTATGACAGAAAAGTCAGTTCTCCGATCTGGCCTGGAATGCAGCTGTCTTTCCCACAACAACCTGTAAACCTCAAAGACAACATCTCAGCCGAATTCAGCAACGTATGCACGGAACGATGCTGCTTGATGTATCTCGTGCTACTGCCCAGTCACACAGCGAGAGTGAATTGAGCGTCTCGGCGGTCGTTGAGGTGCGGACATTTCCTCATGCCCACTAGCAACCGCCTTCCCCCACTCTTAGCCGCCGATTGCAGACCGACATTTGCGACGCCCCGCAAACATTTCCAACCCATCTGGTAGCTCAATCAACCATTTCAGCAATCTATGCACGACACCAGAGAGTAAATAGTGGGAATATAAAAAAATTTATCTCAAATTTTGGCATCGAATTCACGAATATTCTACGCCCTGCTGGCGCAATGGTAGCGCGTGGCCCTCCTACATCTCCCCAGATCTGCGAGGCCAAGGTTGCAGGTTCGAGTCCTGCGTAGGGCTGTGATTTTCTTTTTTTCTTTCGCGATATTACCGGTATCTGTGTTGAGGGAGCGGTCCATATCGTCGCATAGGGCGCTGATGATGCCAATTCAACCCTTTCTACTACAACTTTCGCGCTAGTGATATACTCTATACACGCTGGTAGATCAGGCTTTGCTAAACCTACATTCGCGAGGTCGGGGGAGAATCAAGGTTGTATCTAAAAGCAGTCTGGCTGACTGGCTGGCGTTGGATTCCGTTTCTCTGTGCGACATCTTTCGTTGCTGCGTTCCACGTGAGCTGGCGAGCCTTTTATTGTCTTTCTTTTTTTTTTTTTTTTTTTTTTCGCGAGTGCTCTTCCGCATTGCCGTCGTATTGAAATGCTAATGCTCGAGTTGAATTAAGAGGTGGTATGCATTCTGCAACTTGCTGGAGCCGCGTCTCCTCCTATGTCTGTGTAGCTTACTGATAAATTACCTTCCGGAACTACAGCCGCCCAGATGTTCCCTCCCGCCGTAACCCAGGTCGACGGCAGCACTTCACCGCGAACGCCTCATCTGCGCCTTACCTTTCTTCTAGGGTGTAGACCGATTTACTTTCTGCTTGACATCACACTACCAGCTCTACACAGCCAAGTGGAGCTTACTTCACTTCACTACCCGAAACGCCTCACACGATCGTCCACAGGCACCAACAACTCGACATAGACGAGCGTGATTAAGTACATATACTACTTGAAAGAATATCCGAGTGCCCGCGCCAAACGCTAAGATGCACAACACTCCCCTCTTCTCCTGCGCTGATTGCCTCCCCCTATTATTCAACCTGCCCGGCTACCCAGCCTCCACCATCCCATTACTCTCACTTCCCTGCGCAACTTTCTTCCCCTTGCCCACACTTTCCTGAATCCTAAAGTCCTCGTTCCGGTTCCCCTGTACCTTCTCAATCTCATTCTGAATCGCCAACACCCAATGATCCCTCTCGGCGCGACTCCTCGCGCGGAACACCAAACTTCTTCCTTTACTCCCTAGCTTCGCTACGCGCTTCAGCCGCGTCCTGCGCCCCTTCTTGCGCTCCTGCTCGCCCTCGCCTGCACCCTCCTCTGCCCGAAACCAGCTCTTGCTCTTGCCGTGCCACACCACAAACGTCGTCATGACGTCCTCGTCTGTGGAAGTCCACCCATCCTCGAGATATATGCGGGGCAGTGCGTGGTGCCCGGGCTTGTTGGCGTCGAAGGTCTGGTTCTGGTAGAGGAGGTCGGATTCGGTGAGCAGGCCGCTGTAGACGTAGCAGTCGCGCAGATCGAGGTTGGCCATGCGTTCGTGGTGAATGTGTGCGAGCTGCTTACCCGTCCCGCTGCGCAGCACGTCCTGGAAGATGAGCAGGGTGCCCCCGGCGAGCAGCACGCTGCAGCGCGTGAAGGGTGCATGGATGCGCGGCTTGCGATAGAGCATGCCGCTCATGTGGATGGCGCGGCATTCTGCGATGCCACACATGTTGTAGAGAAGCGGCGACGCGAACGACTGCGTGACCTCCCACTTCTTCGCGAACTGCCCGATGTACGCCTCGGCTTCTTCGTCGATGTTGAGCGCGCTGAGGTTGCGGCTGCGTGTGGATTTGTACAGCGCGATGTCGGCCGCGGTGCGAAATTTCCAGTATTTGGCGAGTGCGCGGAGGTGCTTGACCCATTCCTTACGGCGGGCTATGTCAGCGGCCTGCAAGCGGATGATCAAGCCATTTCGCATTATAAGCTCGAATGTTCGAGCAATGTCCACCTCTTTTGTGACTCCGTCATCCCGTGTAGCGTCATCCTCCACGTCTTCATCAAAATCGACGTCCGACCCGGTGTCAATGTCCTCATCGACTGGTGTTGCTCCAAGCCGTGCTTTGCGTACTTTGGCGACATTGGCCAGGTTTATGTACCCGTCGCAATTGAGCAAATTCTGCAATTTGCGCTGCGCTTCGTCTGCGGCATCCTCGTCGTGAAGTCTCCGGGACTCTGGGGTTCCTGAGTGGCCTTCTGATAGCCATTCAACGCGGTCGTCTAGGACGGGATACGGATTGATAGCCCATGTGTCGGGGGTGCTTTCTCTAATGGTACGAGCTGACGGAACAGCTGATCCCTCGGTGGGCGGCATCTTTGGCGGGGGAGGCGGCGTGCTGTTGGTCGGGCGCGAGAAGACCAGAAATTGGTCGTGAGTGGCAAAGTACAGCTGCTTGTGGTACATGAGACCCAAACGCCTTGCTCGTCCGCGCTGGCTGGTGAGCCGGATGAGGAAGCCTTCTACCGGGACAGGCTCGGTCAGCGTTTTATGCTTCTTGCGGGTTATCGCCGTGGTGGGATAATGTGTCTTAGGCCGAAGCTCCAGTTCGTGCGATTTGGCCATGGCTATTGTGCCGTACATCTTGCGCTCGTTCGCTCCGTGTATCCACTCGAGACGGTCGTAGCGCTTCCATGCAAGTCCTATCCGCTGGTTCCTAGCCCAGGAATCGAGGATGTCGGCCCATTCCGGCGAATCCTCGAGCTGATCAAGACACTTGAGGATCAGCGATTGTGCGACAGCTTGCTCTTCCTGCATCGTCTTTAAGATGGCTTCTTCATTGTCAGAATCGTTGGCCTCCTGAGCCTTAATCTGGGTTTCCTCGAGCTTTCTGAAGGGATCGGAAATACGCAAGCTGACACTCATGTCCGGAATGTTGATCTGGAGCTCTGAAGAGCGGCGCCAGCCCATGACATTACGTAGGAACGTGTACCATTCGACAGCATTGGAGGCAGTCCGAGCTTGCATGATGAAGATCCTCGTGCCACGTGAGACGGGCATCCATACAACGACAGACTTGTCGAGCGAGGAGTAGAGATTGACCTTGGTAATCTTGCGGCCTAGGGGTATCTCGTAGGCGGCGTTTTTGCTGGCGTTTGGCTCTTCGATCTCGGGAATGACCCTGGTCTTGTACATTTGCAGTACAAAATCAGCGCCCTCGGACTCGCTATGCCGACATACGACCATGTACTCGCGCCACTTGTCCTTGACCCTGGAGTCGATCTTCTGGCTTGCATTTTCATCAAAGTCATCGGGGACCTCTTTTCCGGCCGAGTCGACGCGTACCAGCATGCGCTCCATCTTGACGACGAGGCCGTCCTTGATCTTGCGCCTCCTCAGCTTCGTCGACGCTCGCTGGACCGTCATCTGGGCTTGTTTTGCTCTCAGGTGGATCGACGCGCGCTTCGAGTCTTCGGGGATATCAAACTTGACGAGATTGCGCAGGTTGGACTTTTTGCGGGAGAGCGTTTCACCGGCGCGCTCAAGGGGTGAGCCAGTCGACTCGGACGAACCCATGTGCGACTTTCTCTTTGCCTTTGCGAGGATGCCCGTGGCGGGTGATATGGGCTGAGTGACAGGGGATGACTCCTTTTGACCGTCAGCCTTGCGCAGCAACGATGTTGTGGACACAGCATCTACCGAGGGCTCTTCAGTGTTGGGTTCGAGCCCGGTAGACAACGGCCTTTTGCCTTCGCTCTTGCTTCCCGTCGCAGTAGGAGCTTGTGGGCCACTTGCCTGTGCCTGCGGTTCGTGTGGGAGGGGGATGGCCTCGTTGTCCTGGTTCTCTCCATGGTCCGAAGGCGAAAGGGGCCGGGACGAGGCAGTCACGAAAGACTTTGTGCTCTGGCGCCGCGTTGTGGGTGGGCCGGGCTCGTCCTCTGGCTGCTCCTGGTAGGTGTAAACGCGCAAATCCTCGTCTGGTTCCGAAACAGCATCGACGAATTCCTCCTCTTCGGGCGACTGCACAGCGTCCTTTTGCGAAGATGCACGGGGTACCTCGAGGGCGGGCAGCGGCTGGCCCCTGGGTGCGGGCGGCGCGTTCGCCTCTCCGACGAGCGCAGGCCCGCCGTTCTCTGCGTCGACGTCGTCGGGCTGGGGGAAGCTGCTCGGGAACAGGGCCGACGCGCTGGGCCCGTCGAGGCCCGTCAGGCGGCGGTCGCGCGAGCCGCGGCGGTCGGCGGACGAGAAGGTGGCGGTGCGGGTCGAGTAGTTGATGTGCAGGTGGTGCTTGTACCAGTCGCGGCGGTGTGTCTTCAGCCAGCCCTCCTGTAGGCGTGCATCAGCGCGTGTCTGGGGACGGGGGGCAGCCGGGCGGGGTTGCGCACTGGGATGGGCCCGATGAAGAAGCGCCGCGACGTGAGGTGCAGATGCTCGGCCGTGCCATGTTGCTGCGAAGCCGGTCAGCGGGCGGCCAGCGGGCTCGACGAGTTGGCCAGTGGCTCACCAGGCGCTGGGCAGTGTACGAGTCCGGCGCGAGAGACGCGATCTCAGGGGCCTGGTGCCATGCATGCACGTGTGGTTCAGGCATCTGCGGCTCCCTTGCTTGCGGGCTGTCTTGTCTCGCGAGGCGTCGTGCGGTTACCTCGACGTGCTACCGCGCCACAGAAGACATGTCACAGCAAGAACAGCACGAGGGCGCATGTATGCGATGGGAGAGTAGCAGAGTAGCTGCCGCAACGGAGGCATGGGCCGCGCCTGCGAAGCCTGGCTGGCCTGGCCCGGACGTCATCGACACATCCCTGCGCCAATCGCCCGCGGCGAGGCTTCAGCACAACACCCCCCGCCGGCCACGGCAGCCGCCAGCCCATTGGGCAGCTGGACGCACCTCCGCCCAGACGGCCATGCACATCGATTGTAGATACACGCTGTGGCTGTTGTCGCTCTGCCCTCCACGCTCGACCGTCTTCAGACCACCGCCATCTCACGCCAATCTCATGATCGACGCGTCTAGCCGAAGCCGGACATGGACGATAGAGCCCCTGCCCCCCCGCAGGAAAGGAGGTGATCCGAGTTGAATGCCTTGCCCGGTGCTTTCCTTCGATTCTGGGCGATTCAAAGGCACTCCGAAGCCTTGGAACCATTTACCCACGCGACCGATGTACCCACGCGGAATCCCTGCGCATCCGCATCTCATACGATCCGAACCTTCTCCTTTGGGCAGATTGGCCACAAAACCATCGTTCGCGGCCGAGGATGATCTACTGTGTGGCGTCCGTCAGCAGGGTCGTTCCCGGTTCCGAGCCTGACGGATGGTGCGTAGGTAAGCGAACGTCTCACTGGCACCTGCTGGCTCCTGGTTCCCAGTGAGCTGCACGTTTTACAACAACGGTCGCATTACTTGGGATTTGTGTGAGACAGCCACATGAGTACCCAGGTGTTCTCAAGCTGGGGTGAGCGAGACGCCACTCGACATCGGCCTTGATATACATGATGCTTCCCCATTCCCTCGACAGCCTCAACCACTTTGGATGCCTTGTTGGAGACGAGCGCAATGAGGATGCATGATGGCTAGTCGGTAGCAATACAAGAGTCTCGGTCAAGAATCAAGATGGCATCTGTTGTGCTAAGAAATACCCAAGCCCGACTCAGCCTCATCACGACACCGTCACCGTCGCATTGCCCCTCAAATCGCGAGAGCTCGACCCCGCATGCACGATGAAGTCGCCCTTCTCCACCACATACTTCATTCTGATGTCCCAGAGGCCCCAGTCCTTGACCTCCAGGTCGACGCTGACATCGACCGTCTCACCAGCCTTGACGAGCACCTTCTTGAAACCCTTGAGCTGCTTGTTCGGCACCACAACTGAGGCGATCACGTCCTGTACATAGAACTGCACCACTTCCTTTCCATCGACAGGCGAGGCGTTGGTGATGCTGACGCTCACAGTGATGGTATCGTCCGCCGACACCGTGCTCTTCGACACGCTGACGTTCGAGTACGTGAAGTTGGAGTACGAGAGACCGTATCCGAAATCGTAAAGAGCCTCCGGGGTGCCAAACACATATGAGCTGCCAAACTTCAACGTCCCGTTGTCGTAGATTTCTCCTGGGTTGGGAGCAGAGCCCCCAGCAAACCGTCCCGAATTCAAGTAGTCGTAGAAGATGGGAAGACTGCCGACATCGTGGGGAATCGACACGGAGAGCTTTCCCGAGGGATTCACGTCGCCGAAGAGCACGTCCGCGAGCGCAGCACCACCCTGCTCGCCGGGATAGAACTGCTGCACCAGCGCCGCCGCCTCGTCCGAGATCCACGGCTCCGTCACGGGCTTGCCGCTCTGGAAGACGACCACGACAGGCTTGCCCGTGTCGATGATGGCTTTGACGAGCTTCGCCTGCGCGCCCACCAGCTTGAGGTCGTTCACGTCGATGTGCTCGCCCGTCGTTGCGTTGAGGCCAGTCCAGAGCTCGCCTTGGTCGCGCGACCACGTGCCGACCACTACGACGGCGACATCGGCGGCTTCAGCGGCGGAGACGGCCTCGGGGAAGCCGGACTCGTCGTTGGACCAGCGCTCGCAGCCTTGGGCGTAGGTCACGGTGCCTGTAGACGCGTTGCGGATGCCTTGGAGGGGATTGACGTTCTGCGCGTTGTACTGCGAGCGGTAGACGACGTAGTCGCCAAACTGGGAAGAGGAGGGTCAGCGATTGGCTCCTGGCTGGCAGTGCGAGGAGGAGAGAACTTACGTTGACAAAGTCGGCCATGGGCCCGATAACGGCGATGTGGGCATCTTTCTTCAGGGGCAGAGTCTGCTTCTTGTTCTCGAGGAGGACGATGGACTCAGCATCGAGCTGGCGCGCAACCTTCACGCTCTCGGCTTTGTGCGGGAAGCCGCTTGTGCCGTTGGTCGCGTTGCTGGCTGCCAGGCCTGGGTATGGGTTCTCGAACAGACCCAGCGCGAACTTGGCGCGGAGCTGGCGTGCGACGGCTGTGTCGACGACTTTGATATCGAGTTTGCCCGCCTCGACGAGCTCGGGGATGTTGGCGAAGTTGTAGCTGCCCCCGCCCATCTCGACGTCGTTCCCGGCCGGCAGCGCATACAACGTGATCGCCTCGCCATCAACAGCATCTCTCTGCCCGCCACCCCGCGGCGTGCAACTGCACATCTTGAACGCGCAGCACAGTCTGTCCGTCGCCCCCGCGTCGCTCGTGAGGTAGTACTTGTATCCCCATTCCTCACGCAGGATCTCCGTCATCATGTGGTAGTCCGCAATCGTCGGCACCCCATCATACGAATTGTACGAACCCATGATGCTGTACGCCCCCGCGTCGATGATGGCCCGCTTGAACGACGGCAGCCACGTCGTGCGCAGCTCGCGCTCGCCGCCGTGCACCGGCCCCGTGTTGAGCCCCTGCTCCGGCGCCGAGAAGCCCGCAAAGTGCTTGATTGTCGCGGCGACGGAGTGGTTCTGCACGCCTACGACGTAGGCGTAGGCCATCTCGCCCACCAGATGCGCATCTTCGCCGTACGTCTCTTCGACACGGCCGTAGCGGGGTTCGCGGGCTAGATCTGCGAGGGGGGCGAAGACTTGGTTTACGCCGATGGTTTTGGACTCGGCGGCGATGATGGCGGCCATTTTTTCGATGAGGGCAGGGTCCCAGGAGCAGGCTTGCGCGATGGGGCTGTTGAAGATGGTGGCGTTGCCAATCAGCAGGCCGTGGATGCCTTCGGTTTGGACGAAGGCGGGGATGCCGAGGGTCGTGTTATGGACGAGGTAGTCCTGCGCTTTCTTGACGCCTCCGGCGACCCAAGAGGGAGGGATGGCGTAGCCGACGTAGAATTGGCCTGCGCGGTTCGCCATGTTCCAGGCAAGGCCCGAGGCATTGAAGGCGTTGGAGGTCGTGTTTATCCAGCTTGAGAAGTCGCCTTGGATGAGTTGAGCGGTCTTTTCTTCTATCGTCATCCGCGAGAGCAGGTCTGCTACCCTGTCATCAACAGAGGCATTGGGGTCTTTGTAGGTCGCATTGGAGGCGGCTTGTCTGCGGATGAGGTCGTAGGATGCTACTGCTGGTGCCACCGCGAGGAGCAGCGAGGCGAGCTTGAAAAGGGAGGCCATTGCTGCTGCGTTGTGACTGCTGTCTCACGGCGCCGCTGATGAGGACGAGTCCATAGTTAAGCTATGTACCTCCGCTCCCAGGCCAGCGACCAATTTCTCTCCTAGCAGCGCTACTTGCAATTGCAATTCTCCGTGGGCAGCAGGGCCGCTGCACGTCTTTTGCCGGGCCGTCTGCAAGACTCTGCAAGGGCGGTAGGCCATCTCTTCTCTCGCTCCGGCGATCGCTCTTTCGTGCAGCCGTAATATATTGCGTCGCTGTATGACGCCGAACATTTGGGCGACGAGGTTCAGCGCTCGGTGCGTGATGCTCCAGGATGCTCGCCCCGACAGTGAACCATTGGCGGAAATGGATGCCCCGGCGCGGGGGAACTGCACCCCGCTTGCACATCCCCAACCCAAGACTCTGGTGCGATCGTACATGGCGCGAGCAGGAGAGCTGCACGCCGTGCGTGCTCGCGAGACGCTCGCCTGGAAACTAGGGAACGGATTCCGTCTGTAGACCCGGGCAGGATGAGTCTGCTGGCCATTGGACGGACCGGGGGGTGCAGGTGCAGTTGCATCCAGGCAGCCTGCCGTGTCGTGCGGTTCGGATGGCCGTTTTATATGTCTGCCATTCCCACCGTGTGCCGCGTGCAGACGCATCTCGTCTTCCTTCTCCCTGCGCTCTGACGACTGTGTGCTGGTGAAACCTTCGCCATGGGTCTCGGGTTCAACATCGCGCTCGCCATCTTCGCGGGCACGGGGTCCTTCCTGTTCGGCTACGACAGCGGCGTCATGACGGATGTGATTCAGTCACCGCATTTTCTCAAGTTCTTCAACACGAACCCTGAGACGGCGATTATTGGGGCGATCAACTCGACGTTTTCGGGCGGGGCGGTGTTTGGGAGTCTGATGTAGGTTTGACTGGCAGATCCGTGGATGAGATGGGATAGGGCAGGAGGAGAAAGGAGTGGATTGTGATGGAGTGCTGACAGTGAGCAGGGGCGGTCTTACGATGGACAGTCTGGGGCGCAGATGGACGGTGCTGGTGGGCGCGGTGATCAATCTCGTCGGCGCGGCGATGCAATCTGGAGCGCAGAACCTGGCGATGATTCTCGTAGGACGCATTCTCGCGGGGTGGGCAGTGGGCGTGCTGTCCATGTCTGTGCCGATTTACCAGTCCGAGTGTGCGCATCCGAGCAAGCGCGGTACGGATCCCCGTATATTCCACTCTAGAAGGGAACTCTCTGCTGACGCTGCGAAGGTCTCATCGTGGGCATTACCCAGCAGATGATCGGCATCGGCTTCATCGTCTCGACCTGGGTGGGCTACGGCTCCGCCCACGTCCCGGAAACTAGCTCTTTCTCGTGGCGCTTTCCGCTGGGCTTCCAGTGTATCCCGTGTCTGATCCTCATCTGCGGCATCATGTTCTTCCCCGAATCCCCGCGGTACCTCGTCGAGACGGACCGTGCTGATGAGGCGCTCACGGTCCTGCGCAGACTGCACTTCAACGGGCGTAACGAGGACGATATCCAGGCGCAGTTCCACGAGATCAAGACGACGATTGAGGCGGAAAAGGCTGTGACGGCACCAGGGTGGCTGATCATGTTCAAGGTGAAGCAGTGGCGGACGAGGCTGCTGCATGCGACGTTTATGCAGGTGTTTACGCAGATGACTGGGTGCGTCCCTGCCCTCTTTTCCCCAAAACCATTACAAAGACGTAGGTCTGATAACAGAACAGCATCAACGTAATCGGCTACTACCAAACCGTCATGTACAAAAACCTCGGCATAGAAGGCAAGCGCAACCTCCTCGTAACCGGCATCTACAACGTCGTCGGCCCCGTCTTCAACGCCTTCTTCATCACCTTCCTCCTCGACAAGGTCGGCCGTCGCAAGCCGCTGCTCTTCGGCACCATCGGCATCACCATCGCGCTCATATGCGAGGCCGCGATAGGCAGCCAGGTCCCCAGCGCTACCGGCGCAAGGAAGGATAGTCTGAGCATCGCAGGTGTGTTCTTCATCTTCAGCGTCTCGGCTATTTTCTCCTGCTCGTTTGGCCCGATCAGCTGGGTCTACGCGTCCGAGATCATGCCGCTCTCCATTCGCGGGCGCGGGTCCGCCTTCGCCACTGGTATCGGCAACTGGCTCGTGTCCACGGTGTGGAGTCAGGTCTCGCCCATCGCGCTCGCGGATATTACCTACAAGTTCTACTTCATCTTCGTGGCGTGGAATCTCTTTGTTACGCTGCCGGCGGTGTTTTTCTTGTGGAAGGAGACGAAGCAGCTGAGTCTAGAGGAAATCGATTTGCTGTTCGGGGATAGGGCGCTGGGGACACTGCCGGATCACTTGGGGGATGCCAAGGAGGCGGATGTGGTGCATGAAGAGGCGAAGAGGCTTTAGTGGGTGAGACGGATTGGAGGGGATGGTGAGAGGAGTGTATGAGAGTGGCGAGGGTGAAGAACATGCGGCATAAGGGGAGCGGACGTAGGGCTGTCTTACAGCTGCAAAATGATATGTTTGGTGACCTGGACATGAGATCCACTTATTTGACTGAGTAATTGCTCGTTCATCTTGTGATTGGAAGTATTCGACTGTCTTAACCAGACACTGGCACGTTCAACTCTACGAGCACATGTCACGTAGATGCAGGAGCACTTGCCCAGATCGGCAATCGTTTCTTTCCGTAGTCTTGACAACTTTAGGATCACTCGGATCCATTGATGGCCCACTTACTACCTCACGGCCTACTATCGCAACATTTGCGTATCAGATAGTACCTGTTCAGCGTTACCCAACACACTGCCGCTAACCATGGCGTTTATCCCACCTTCTCTACCTTCCACTCTCCCTCTAGAATATCTAGTCCCTTGATCTCTCCATCCGCCGCCACTTCCAGCACGCCTTTCTGTTCCCCTGTCCTATCTACCAAGACAGCCCTGTCTCCCTCCTTGACCCCATACGTCGTCACCGTCCCGCCACTCTTCAACCACTCGTACGCGAACCCACCCTCGCCCTCACTCTGCCCGAGCACAAGCACAGTCCCCTCTCGCACAAACAACGGCGTCTGAAGGAACCCATGTTTTTGCCTCACCCATCTGCTCCCCTGCACCTCCTCGCCGGTCCAGAAATCGAACCACCTTCCAGGAGGAAGGTACACTTCTCCTTCACCTTCCTCGTCGAACACAGGGGCGGCCAGAAGCTGTGAGCCAATCATAAACTCGCGATCGCAGTACCAAGCTGTCGGATCCTCAGGGAACTCGAGGGCTACCGCGCGCACGCTGGTAGGCCAGCCATTCGCGATGCTCTCCTCGGCCTGCGCGAAGAGATACGGCATCAGCGCACGCTTGAAGCGTACCCAGTGGCGCAAGACCTCCGTGCAGTTTTCCGGCTCGGTGGAAGAATCGTCCACGAGCCAGGGCACGCGGTACGACGACGAGCCGTGCAGGCGACTATGGGTGCACAGGAAGCCAAAGGCAACCCAGCGCTTATAGATCCACGGCTTGGGCTTGCCCTCGAAGCCGCCGATGTCGCTGGCCCAAGAGGCAAACGAGGCCAGCCCCAGGGAGAGCCCGCCGCGGACGGATTCAGCCAGTGCCGCGGGAGTGGATTCGCAGTCGCCGCCCCAATGGAGGGGAAACCGCTGGGTGCCTGCGCACGCAGTGCGTGCGAACAGGATGGCTTCATTGTTGCCGTAACGCTTTTGGAGGGCTTCGTAGACGAGCTTGTTGTACATGAATGCGTACCAGTTGTGCATCCTGCTCGGATCGACTGTCTTGTCGTGCCACTGGACATTCTTCGTGGGAATGCGCTCGCCGAAGTCGGTCTTGATGGCGTCGACGCCCATGTCGAACAACTTCTCCATGCAGCCCGTGAACCAGGTGCAGGCTTCGGGGTTGGTGAAGTCGACGATGCCCATGCCCGTTTGCCAGAGGTCCCACTGCCATACATCGCCGTTCGTCTTCTTGAGCAGGTAGCCTTTGTCCGCAGCGTATTTGAAGATGGGTGATGCCTGTCCGACGTAGGGGTTCGTCCATACGGAGATGTGGTTAACGAGGCCGGCCTCCTTCATACGCTGGATTTGGCCCTGTGGGTCGGGAAAGAACTCTGGGTCCCAGACAAAGTCTGTCCAGTGGAAAGCGCGCAACCAGAAGCAGTCAAAGTGGAAGACTTCGACGGGGATTTTGTTTTCGTTCATCGTCTCGACGAAGTGGCGCACTGTCTTCTCATCGTATGATGTCGTGAAGGAAGTCGACAGCCAAAGGCCGTAGGACCATGCTGGTGGCTTTCCAGGCTTGCCCGTTAGGATCGAGTACTTCGTCAAAACCTCTTTGGGCGTCGGGCCGTAGATTAGATACCACTTGAGACGCTGACCTTCCACCGTGGTCTGCAACCTAGAACATCGCTCGCTTCCAATTTCTAAGTCAATCTTGTCGGGCGTGTCGATGAAGACGCCATAGCCGCGTGAACTTAGCCAGAAGGATACATTCTTGTACGCTTGTTCACTGGAAGTCCCGCCGTCTTCGTTCCAGACCTCCACATTCTGCCCGATCTTGTTCCATGCTCCGAAGCGCTCGCCCAGGCCGTGAATAGTCTCTCCGACGGCGAGATCTGTCTGCGTGAACATGTAATGTTTCCGGTCGCTGATATCTTCCACTTGCTTAGGCGTCGTCAAGGCGGGTGAATATGCCAGCCCCACACTGCGGTTCAGCAGCGAAGTAATCGTCTTCGAGCTGCCTGTGGCGTGGAACTTCACATCGAATGTATGCGCATCTCCACTGACGGTCGCACTCAGACCCCCAGAAGTGATTGTCGTTCCTTGTTCGACCTTGCTCACACATGCATCTGCATCTGGCTTGCCGTGGGGAAACAGGTCAAAGTCGGGCCCCAGTCGGCGTGCGCCGACAAAATGCGTTACCTCGCAGGATATAACGCCGTCGAAGTGGGCCTCGAGCTCGACAGAGATAGTGGCTAGATTGAGCGTATCGCCGCGGGAGAAGATCTTGCGCGTGGGACAGAGCAGCGTGACAGCTTTGTTGTCTTCGCGTGGCGTGACTGTGTAGGCTTCCTCTGCGTACTGCACCGTGAACGCGTCGTTGGTGAGCCACATGCCTATGCTTTGCTTTCAGCGCTGATCCATGGTACATAATCCCCGCACCCTGTAAACGTACCATCGCGAAACTTCATTTTTGCAATCTGGAGGAGGATTTGCGCCTGCAGTTTCGGGCTCTCAAAGGATACGATATCCAGCGGGTAAGGGCTTGGAGATGCAAAGCCTCTGCTCCCCAACTTTCTCCAACAGAAGACATCATTTTTCGGAACGCCTTTCCGAGAACTCCTTCGCGTTGTCGTGGTGGCAGCTTTGTGTGGACGGAAGATTCGGTATCAGATGGCCCGGGGTCTCCTCACGGTGCGAACACGCAGGTGGGACTGTACATGTACATGCGGCTGCATACTGCAGGGAGCCCCACTTGCCGTCGAGACATTGTATGTATACTACAGGCGATTCGCGGCGTTTGTGCCTGTACGTATGGCTGGCTGGCTGGCTTTGGTGTGCTTTCTCGAGTCACGATGTTGCGGCGGCTTGAAAGTTGCACGAGCACGATCTTATCCGGTGGCTGTTCTCGGGCCGCCGATTGCGACGCTATACATTAGCTTTGTTCCTTTGAACATACTGCACTTCTGATTGAAGAAGACGCGATGAGGTTTGCGGTCGTCAAAGATCCGTGACGCAAAGAGGGTCCTCCTTGTTGGTGCGCTGAACTGCCAAGCCATCGCATTCGCCCTTGGCCTTTACACACCTACGTGCACACCCAGCATCAATCTACATGCCATATCCCAGAGCCAGTTCGTACTTGGACGATAGCAGGGGCAATTCTAGAGACCACAAAGGTGAGATTGCGCGTGGGTTCAGCCGATCGGAAGCTGGTTTCGTTTCCTACTCAATGGAGAAGACAGCGCCACCAAGCTAACTGTGAGAATAGGTGCGCGGAGATGCTGAAGACTTACACATGTCAACGGGTTACAATCGCATCAGGCATCGTATGATTACAAGGGCTTGGGTTACCGCCGATAGCCAGGTACGGCGCACGGTCTATTCAGATCTACACAAAATACTCCATTCTTGGTGGGACGCATTGCGAAGACATCGGGATCTCCTATTGGCAATTTAAGAAAGCGCAACGGTGCAAAGAGCTAGATCAGGAAGGCGCCCGCTACTAGGGTCCGGCACTCAGGGGCGCTAATTCTGCGTGCCGTCCCCCACTTCGATTATTCAATTCGCAAGACATTGTGAGTATCAACGTCTCCGGACGGCTTGGACCTCGACGTGACTCGCAACGAGACTGTCTTGAAGCACAACTTGCTTCTGATGCCTACGGGGAGCTGGCGGCTATCATTCCTGCTGCGGTCAGCAATGCATCTCCTCACGATGATCAATCCTCTGTCCAGCCAATGTGGGACTTTGCATTTCTGCGAATCCATCCAGTCCAGGGGCAAGCAAGGTGAACGCGGCTGCCTACGCGCCACACCCCGGACTGGTACCACAAGGCGTCCAGCTGTGGGATTGTTCTTACATGGAGACAATGATGAAGACACAGTTGGCCAGTGTCCGGTTCTTCATCACCATATCCCCATCGTTGAAGACCGCAGTTCAACTGGGGTCGAGGGTTCCTGGTCATATCTATTGCACGATGCCGCAGCCGATGTGGGTCTGACAGATGACAGACCCCTACGTGCAACACCACGTGGATGACGATGCCTGAGACCACGGAGGCATTTACCGACCGGACACATTTCTCTGCGCGTCATTTCGCTCAGCACGTTCAGCTCGTAGGCATATGTCTCGCAAAAGAAGTGCTTCACAAGCGTACAACACTACTCATCGCGGACATGGACCTCGATGCAGTGCACGTGAGCGTTGTGGAGGTAGAGGCAGTACCTTGCGATGGCTGCCATTGAAGTGCTTGAGTACCACCAAGCAAACAGCCGAATTGTGGCCCGTTGGGGCGTCGATCTTATGATCATACGCTTCCCAACTTCCGTTGCCCTGACGCACGTTGAAAGATCTAGACGGGTTCTCCAGACTGATCTTCCGATGATCACTGATCTCCCTCTCCCCCAGAGTGCACAGCATCTGGCCAAACGTCCGCAACGACACGAACGACTCTCCAGCGAAGTTGATGTTCTTGAGAGCGGATCATGAGGCTGGCGCCCCCCGCTTCGTCTCTTTAGCATAGAGTTTCTTAGCGGCATTGGCACGATCTACCGCCACTGCCTACCTGCCGCCGCTGTTTCAGGAACGACCAAATACAAGAATCTGGACAACTCCTGTTCACAATTGGGGGTGGGCGCCCTCTTCCCCTCACGTGGCTGTCAGCGGGCCTTGCATATCACAGCACTAATGCGTGTTGAGGAACTTCGGCCGGGGGTCTGTGCAGTGCCGATCTCTTTTTAGTTGCGACTCTCCCCAATTGGGTTTGAAGGGTAAAGCCCAGACCAGAATGCCTGCATTGTATGAGTCTGTTCCTGGCTACGTGCCGTGAGGAGTCGTCACAGTGCTGCAAAACATTGGTTATCGGGCATCGCGACTCATGGCTCACCACGACCCTGGCGCACGTCGTGGTTCCAAGCTTTGCACGGGCGGATGAGGAATCCTGAAGGTTCATATGTAATGGAGATCGTTCCCCTTTTATGCAATAGTCGGGAGGAGTGCTGGACAAAACTGAAGCTACGCGGTCCTTCTGCGTACTTTGGTCTCTCGACAGCTTCCACAATGACCACAGCGCCCGACTACCCAAACTACGATCGCGGTCCGCACCTCGCCGCCGTCTATATTGCAGGATGTGCTGTGTCGCTTGTCTTTGTGGGCATGCGACTGACAGCGAGGTTCAGCATTGCAGGCGTAGGTGTTGACGACTGGTGTATGCTGATCACGTGGGTACGCGCAAACTTCCTCATCTTGTATGCGGCAGCAAGCAACCTGAGTACTGACACCCGTGCAGGCGATCTTTCTACCTCTTACTATTCTTGTCTGCATGTTCTCCTTTGACGGCGGTACCCGGCATCTCGCATATCTCATCGCAAATCCGGAGCATCTGGTGTATGTGACGAAGCTAAACTGGATCGCACAACCGCTTGCCATCTTTTGCCTTGGGTCAGGGAAAATCGCTATCGCCTTCTTAATACTCCGCCTCCTTAATCGCGCATCAGTGTTCCGCAAATGGAGTCTTTACGTTGCTGTCATATGGACAGCCATCAACACCTTCCTAATGATATTGTTTACCTTTATTCAATGCGACAACTCAGCTGCCTTGTGGGATCCATCGCTTAAAGAGACGACGAAATGTTGGGATCCGAGGGTGCAGAGCAGTTTCTCGATTTACGGCGCCGCAGTACACGCTTTGACCGATTTCTATCTCGCCGCGATCCCGGTGACGCTCGTGTGGGGCCTGAAAACGGATCTCAAGAAGCGCATCGCGCTATGTGCTCTTCTTGGCTGCGGTAGTATAACCGGTATATGTGCAGCGGTCAAGGCGAGCAAGCTCAGCACACTCAATGCGAGGTCGGACTTCACCTGGGAGACATTTCAGCTTTTCCTCTGGACTGGGTATGGTCAATCGTCAGGTCACTTGCCCAGCACTAACTCGAATCTTTAGAATCGAAATTATCCTTCTCATCGTATGCGGTTCGATACCCGCGTTAAAACCCATCTACGCAATCTGTATGGGTCGCAGGCCGGGGTCCTACCGGTCTACCCGGCATATGACGAATGCGAGTAAGAGATCGGGAATGGGCATCTCACTCAACAGGATGCCCGACAATGAATCGCATGCAAGATTTGCAAGGACGCAGCAGTCTGCGACTGTCGTGAGTAGGGTATCGGAAGACGAGATGGAGCTTAATAGAGACTATGAGAAACCACCGCTCGGAGCGATACATGTAACGAGAACAGTGGTGATCGAATGACAACGGCATTACGGCCTTCCTTTTCTTCGATCGAGACCTGCTCTGCACACTGACCTAGTGATTGCGCATCAACGCACTCAGCACAGAGCGCTATACTAATACAGGATCTCTGAAGCTCCGATTCTCATCGGCGACATATCAAAACAGCTGATCGGGTTCCGAACAACATGTGCAGCGGTTCAGCGTGGTGGTGATCGGGTCGATGTTAGTTGTTGATGGTTCGTCTTGACCGATACAGCCCTCCATCATCGCCGGAACGCGCATGACCCAATGACTAATGCCAAGACCTTAGTGCTTCCGTCGCAGAACGCTGTCGGAATCTTTCCAGCTTCCGCTTCTTCTCTCATCCGACGCAAGTACCTAAGTCGCCACAAGACAAGCTAAGGTGATAATACACATCGAATGATGACTGAAACCGCCCCTGCCGAAAAAAGGCGGCGACTCGATCGTGTGACCGCAGCCTGTGATCTTTGCAAGAAGCGGAAAGTTAAATGCGACGGAGAACAACCTTGCGGATACTGCAAACGCAAAGACTGCGCAGTTACCTGTACATTTTCCGGTCCCAAGACTCGCTCTGTTGGCAACACTCCGAATCATCAAAACACCAACTCAACGCCACATACAGTCCGAAGCAGGGCACACAGCGAAGGCAACACTCTTCGACCTGGAAGTGGTGACGGGTTGAACCAAGATCAGAATCAAGTTGGCTCCTCACTCTCCCCTACCACAAGTAGAGATGACCACCATGAAGACACCGTCGTCCCACTTGAAGGACGGATACTCCGAGATGCCCAAGGAAAGTTCATCTTCATTGGCGACTGTGCGCCGCTATCTTTTCTTCAGACGGTGAGATATCTTATCTCTTCCGAAGTCGATCCGGATGGATTCCCTGTTCCTGCAGCACGAGACTGCATCATTGAGATCGCTCGTCCCACAACTGCAAGTAGACCCTCGGATACTTCGGTCAATGTGCATAATGTGCCACACCTGGTCAGCAAGTACCTCGTAGCTACGAGTGGCCTCGCAGAGCTTTTTGAGCGCGAAGAGCTGGTTAACGAAATGAAAGCGTGGGCTAGTGGCATGATGCCGCACACAGATGACGCCGCGAGTGCCGTCTTCTTCTTGGTACTTGCCATAGGTGCACAAGATAACGACGAGGCCAGAGCGGACGCCTGGTTCGATCATGCGAGATCAGCCTTGTCTAAGAATATGTGCAACATCATGAATGTCGCGACTGTACAGGGTTTCGCCCTCGTAGCTATCTACATGCTACGTGCATTTCAGCCAAATGGAGCTTACCTCTACTTTTGTAAGTCACGGAGCCGTGACGCTATGCTCTTTGCTTACATGCGTAGCTCTCGCAGCCCGTACTGCGTACGCCATCGGTATGTGAAACTGTATCTTCTAGCTGCTTGGTGCTTTTCTAATGATTTATGACAAAAGGCATTCACCGCACTGAAGTGAATGCCTCCTTCGGTGGATCGATTCGAACTATGCGAGATCGGATCTGGAAGAGTTTGCGAGTCGTCGACATGCTTATCAGCACCAACCTCGGTCGTCCGCCGTGTACGTCGGACGTAGACTGTACCGTCAAATACAACATCGTCCAGATAGACAATGGGGTCGCCTCTAATATGCTTGACGCCAGTGTACAGATATTCATGATCATCGAACGGGTGGTGGTTGAAGTCTATTCTCGAAAGCGCATCTCATTACGGATAGCAGACTTCGTTTCCCGTCAGCTGAAAGGCTGGGCATCTAATTGGTTGCAACCTTTGTCCGAAGCAATAGACCGACCTAGTGTTCGTGACACAGCCGACATTACACTCGTCGGTGCTTGCTCGACGCTGTGCTCATACTATTACGGCATCATGTTGCTCACGAGACCGTTTCTTATCTATGAGATCTACACGTTCATGGGGGCTTCGATGAAGGGGACACACACACAAGGCGACCACGCGAGCAAGCGGAAATACGCAGACGCCGCACTTGACGCTGCGACATCTTTTGTCGAGACACTGCAAACAGTGATTCGCACTGGAACTTTACCACACAGGATGCCACTCATCGTGTAAGTCACTCTGCCACTTAATTCACTGTAGATCTTAACAAATACAGATCTTGGTTGTTCACGACTTCCCTCGTCCTCGCAGTCGGTACTCTTGGACGTTCGGGATCCATGTTCGTCGAGAATTGCGAAGCGTCCATCCGATGTTTGGAATACTTCAGCAGTGTGGACCCACACGCAGGACAATACTCGCGCATAGTGCGGTCACTACTCAAACTCACAGCCGCCCATGTCAAGAAACGCGAGATGCAGTTACGCATAAAAAGGAAGCAAGCTTCTTCTGAATTGTTTGGTCTATTGACTTCGGACTCCCATCCCCCAACCGAAGACCCAAGCCTGGATCGCTTCCGACAGTCAGCTGAGCCATCTCCACCATATGATCTAGAGGGATCTGCCCCCGCCCCAGCTCCCATGGACTGGACTATGTATGATGCTGACTTCTTCGCCTTACCCTGGCCCACAGAGTACGACCCTGGTTTGCAAGACTTCCTCCAACCTGGGACTCACAATTCGGATGGTGCATCGGTTGCGGATATCCCACTGTTCCCGATTCATGACCAGCAGGTGAACCAAGGCTTCCATCCATAGTGGACATCGTTTGTGTCACACTACATCACAGCATTCATCTCTCAACAGCCGTCTCGTTGGTCTCGTCTCTCGAAGTCCGCAAGAAGGGAATCAGCTTAGTACCGCCCGTACCTCGTAGCTCCTGAGTCTGGGCCTCCAGTGCCATCTTCGTGGAAGCAGAGGCGATATCCTTGCGGATTACACCACGCTCTGGCTTCGGCATGCGACTGGGGATGACGATGTATCGAGTGACGAGTGCGATGTGCTTGTCTCTAAAAGCACCTAACGCCTTGACTGCATCATTAAAGGCAACCGTGAGAGCGACGTTCCTTTCCTGACTAGCAACAAAGCTACGAATGTTCGAAATTGCCTCGACATCGTCCAGAAAACGCCTATGGGGACCAGGCATATATTTTCGCATCTCAGGATGGAAGCCTCCAGAGCGGGAGTGGTTGACAGAGAGGACAGCATCAAAGAATTGTAATATCGAGCTTTGGCCGTTGCTGCCACCCCGGTATTTCCTCCAAGAGCCTTTTCCGTCGCCTTCATCGTAAAAGACTCCATTAGTCAATCCCGCAGCCTCCATATTCATGCTGCCAGCGAGAAAAGGCCGGATTGTGTGGTAGAAAGCTTGGGGATTGCATCGCTCATCCATACGTTCAAGCAGACGTCCGATTTCGTCCAGGCGTTGCTTGAAATATTCCAGAGCAGCGATAATAGTCGGCACGTCATTGGCTTCTACTGCTTCTAGGGCGCCAAGCATTCTGTCGATGAGCGGTCCTGCTCTTGCTTCCATGGCACATGAGATGATCAAGAACCAAGACTCATCATCCGTGCCAGTGGCCGTCTGTAGAGCCACGAGACTGTCTGGTTGTGTGATGTCCGCGCCCTCCCGAAGGATCCTCCAATTCCACAAGTTCAATGTTGCGTACGTTGCAATTGGCGGCACCTCAAGATGTTCGGACGCTTGGAGAAAGGGGACAGTGATGGCGGGAGGAAGTCGCTGGAGCGGAAGTCAGCAAGGTTCCGGTTATGAGGTTTCTGCAACCTACCTGAGATGGCTCTGGGCCAGTCCAGATGTAGCCTTGGGCTATTAGTGCCAAGATGGAACATGCCCGTTGCCATTCGGCTTCGCTGCTTAGTTGCTCGGTTCCTATTACAGGAAGAGCATCCACCTTCTCCCGGATCTGCTGCTTCTCAATGAGCTTCGGTAGCTCTATGATTATTTGCTCCCACGGTTGGTAGCATGCCTGTGGCAGTCGCTCCAACGGTGCCTTCTCGGGCAGAAACCCGTTCTTGGAGATGCCGTATTGAGGAAGGGCGGCTCGCGAAGGCAAGATCTCAACTTTGTGAGGACTCATGTTGTAAGCGATAAGGTTGGAAAGATGAAGGTGATGCCTGGATTGAGGGTATTTTCAAGCTCTGTTTATATGGAGTCTCCAGGTGGGAATGTTGGCTCGCGGGCCTCTGACCGCATTTTGATCATTTCACAATGCCGACCCACCCTGCTCCATTATCAAGTTCGTTGACCGAAGATGCTATAGCGTGACGTATCGGTGTTAGGGACTCCATAATCGACGCGGCTGACTGACGGAACGGATGTTCGACGGAACCTCATTGTGCATCGGAAGTGGATTTTCGCGCTACTCCGCTATCGGAAGGTCATAACGGAACCTTCAAAACTGCGCAACGGAAGCAGAACACGGAGCTAGGCGAGGCTTGCCCCCATCATAGACGTAAGTGCCTGCCTATCGCGGATATATAATGAGTGCGTGGTCTCCTCTCACGCCATCTTTTCACACCGAGCATACAATATCCACTCAGACACAAACACTATGGACGTGGCAAGTGCTATCCGACAATTGCGAGAGGGACAAAAGCCACAATGGCCTACAACCTCTGACTCTCTTGAATTCGCACAGTCGCTCGACCAGAGCAACGACATACAAAAGACTTTCCGTTCAGAATTCGTGGTTCCTACCAAGCCACAGCTCAAGCGGAAGACACTTCAAGATGATGACCGGACGGCAGCAGCCGCATCAGGTCCGGACGATGAAAGCATCTACTTCTGCGGCAACTCATTAGGTCTGCAACCCAAAGCCGTCGGGGAGTACCTAAATGCATACTTGAAGACATGGGGTTCCATTGTCGTCGGCGGTCACTTCACACAGCTCGAGGACTCTCCTTTAACACCATACCAAGACATGGCGGCCGACTGTGCGCGCAAGATGGCCGACGTCGTAGGTGCATCGCCTTCAGAAATTGTAGCCATGAACACTTTAACGATAAACTTGCACCTCATGATGGCCGCATTCTACAAGCCGACGGAGAAGAAATACAGAATCATGTGCGAGTGGCGTCCATTCCCAAGCGACTGGTACGCCATTGAGTCGCAGATCGAATGGCACGGCCTGGACCCCAAGAAGGCGATTCTCCCCGTGGATCCGGATGAGGGCTATCTCATGACCACGGAGCACATTTGCAAACTAATTGACAAGCACGCGGATGAACTGGCGTTGATTCTGCTCCCGGGAATCCAGTACTACTCGGGCCAACTCCTTGACATCAAGACCATCACTGCGCACGCACACAGCCACGGCATCACTATCGGCTGGGACTGCGCCCACGCTGCGGGCAACGTCGAGCTCAAGCTGCACGACTGGGATGTTGACTTTGCGTGCTGGTGCACGTACAAGTACATGAACGCAGGCGCGGGTGCCATCGCGGGCGCCTTTGTGCACGAGAAACACGGCGACAACGGGGCTAACGTCGGGCTAAAGGGATGGTACGGGCACGACAAGGACTCGCGCTTCCTTATGGACAACAAGTTTGTGCCTACGAAGGGCGCACAAGGTTTCCAGTGCTCGAACCCCAGCATCGTCGATTTGACATGTCTGTCGGGCAGCCTAAGCGTTTTTGAGAAGACGTCTATGGAGAAGTTGCGATCAAGAGCGTTGCTTTTGACTGCGTATGCGGAGCACCTGCTTTCTGGGATTGCGGCGCGGAATCAGCGCGACGGGCGGGATCCTTTCGAAATTATCACGCCAAAGGATCCAAGGTGGCGCGGGACGCAGCTCAGCGTGCTGTTGCAGGAGGATTTGATGGAGGTTGTGAGTGCGTCGCTGGTAGAGGGGGGCGTGGTGTGCGATAAGCGGAAGCCGGGGTGCATACGGGTCGCGCCGGTGCCATTATATAATACATTTGGGGATGTGTGGAGATTTATGAGGATATTCGAGGACGCGCTGAAGGCGAAGCCAAGCACGCCGTAGGTGAGGGGCTTGGAAGAGCCTCTAAGGACGTGTACAGTTAATGATTAGATGGCGCGGGGCTGCGTTGGTTGAAACCGATGTAACGAGAAATCGCTTTTACTTGTTCAGTCTAACCATATTACTACATATGTCTTGGCCTTGTATATTACGGTTTTCTTGAAGTTGTACGGAAGCAGATCCTACGACAACTGACGTCTTGACCGAAGCCGTCGGACACATGAGCACAATTCGCCCGGTGTGATTTTGTACAGCTGTATTGAGTACGACGCAAAGATTCCCTGTAGACTGCAGCCATGAGCTGGGATCAAGAGACACCTATTCACCACATTTACACGAGGGGCATAGACCAAGCATGTCATCTTGAATTTCCTTTCGCTTACACGACTTATTTTGCGCCACTACGATGCAGTATTCCGACCACGAACGCGTGGCCTTTGGCTCTCGCTGCCTGAATTGCGCTGTTGTAGCATCCACCACGTTGATTGATGTCAGCATTCCTACTAAGCAGTATTACCACCACTTCCGCCAGGCCCAATAGTGTGGCATAATAGAGAGGCCGTGCCACCAACTCTATGGTCCTTGAGTAATTTGGTGTCACTCCAGGCTCTTCTGGGTCATACAGCCGGAGCCAGGTCAAAAAGCAGGATTGCCGATTGACAACAGGTCCATTGTCATGTCGCTTATGCTCGCGGTGAGCCGATGGTGTGCTTCTACTTTCCGAGCATGGGTGAACCATGATTCTGCGCAATACCGTGCGAACTTGAATGTTTGAATCTCTCCATAAGAGGCGGCTGAAGGGAGCTCCACAAGGTATTTCAGGCTTTCTTTTGCCATAGCGATGTGGCATGGAGTTTGCCGCAATTTCTGCTGTAGATAATCTCGGACGGAGATGTGCGCCAACGAGATCATGTTTTGTGCAGTGTTGCTTACAGTCACAATGCTCGAGTAGTTTTTGAGCGTTTTTAGGGGTTCCTCCGGGGTTCCATCGCGGTTGAATGCTGGGTCGCAGGTCAGATCGATAGCGACGCCTTCGGCAGTTTCGTCTGCAGAGACAGGGCGATTGGAGTATGTTACCCACCGGAAGATCTGCATTGCGTACTTAGAGAGTCTAAATTGTCATAGAGAAGATCATATCGTAAGCATCGAGTAGACTGTGCGGTAGGGCTGCAAGAGCCGCACGCAATGTGTCTCTATGATGACACCTTACCAAAATGTCGAGTTGGCAAGCAAATATCCGAAGACTGAGACTATGTCAGCTATGAACGCTTTTCGGGTAGGAAGGATGTGATTACCTTCCATAGGATCCCTTCACCAGTGCGTTGGTGATATCTTCCTGGATTTGCACATCGTTCGTCCACGAGCGGAGGTTCTCATCGCGAGATAATCTTTGACTAATATGCTGCTGAAAGACCCTATAGGTCTCTTTCCAGTCGAGCAAGACGTAGTTGTCTTCTCCTAAACGATCATTACAGATTGACACGATCTCCGGATGCAAGCGACTTTAAAGAAGTAGATGGAGGTTCGGAAGCTGCCAATCAAGTAGCGTTCTATCTAGGCCATGGAGGTCTTGCACACTTATCGACACCCTCAACCAATACGAAAACCGTGGAGAAGTTGAGTAATTACTTTCTTAGCATTTCCGCTAAGCCAGCTATGGATGGTCGGGACTTTTACCTATCACGAAAGGCGAAAACCATGTCGAGGCATTTTGGCATCTGACTACAATATTTCGTCAATTGAGTTTTCAAAGACCGTAGCATTAGGTCTGAGTCGGCCTGTCTAAATTCGAAATGGAAGTGCACACACACACTCCACCGAAATCAGGATGATCACGGTGCTGCAAGAGATCTTCCAGAATCGTAGTACTGACAAGAATTTTGCCAGATGCTGGCATAATACAAAGGCATAGTGGTGAAGCATGCTTCATCTTCCACGTGTTATATGCGGGGCTTTCAAGAATCCAGCGGGTATCCTGCAAACGGGCTTTGATCGCTCGTTGGGGTAAGGTAGAGGGATCTGTGACCCCAAGCCATTGTCGTAGCCCCGAAAGTTTCTGCTGTAGCAAAGCGCCTGAAGTACCTTATCTCGCGCGTTCAGCGATTCGGCGAAGACGTTTCATTGCATATCCCCCCCCCTTTTGCCGTACAAAAGAGGCATGTTAATGTCGAAACGCCGAGGAGGCAATACGCCATGTCTTCTTCGAACGTGGTTTCGCGTGAAGCTGCCCAAGCAAAACGCTCGTCAAGGCTGAAGTCCCGAAGCGGAACATTTTGAAGCACCCCTAGGGACCCCTAGTGGTGATCCAGTGGTTGAGACTAGCTCAAACTGGAGCGACTGCTTGTCTCCAATATATCCTCCTTCCTTTGTGTAGAGCTTAACTCTGCGTGGAACAATAAGGTCTTGTAGTGTACAGGCTCTAGTAAACCATATGTTCTTTCCAAAAGCTCTGCTTTTGGAAACACTACCAGTGTGAGAAGGCTGAAGGTAAGAAGGCGCAGTGCGGAGAACCCAGCCTAACGCCGCCCAGCACAACAGCGGATAGCGGAGGCAATTAGCTGCAGGTCAAGGGACCAATAGACGAAGATTTGGGGACCAGCTTCGCGATGACCATCAGCCTCGCCATTACACCTGAAATCTGAGACATAGGAATACATAGGTATCCTACCCAGCTTCAAATTATTCGATCTGTCGGTTCTGGCCACTGTTCTTTGAAGAATCGAGCGACTGCGGCACCCGTAGAGGCGCGATTTCTTCAGCCGGGAGCATATGTAGCCTTGCGGAGACGTACTGAAAGTCTCAGCCTTACGCCAGGTGCAACCCCTCCCTCTCATTCTACATCCTTTTGATCTTCGACGCTTATAATCAAGATACGCCACACAATGCCCATCACAGTTACTTCTCTCTCTTGCCAAGACTACACCCAGTGGTCCTCCCTTTGGGCACAGTACCTCTCTGAAACCGCCAACACAACGCTTCCAGAATCTCAGTTCCACTCCACATTCGCACGCCTAGTAGCCCCAGATGGCGACATCCACGGCCTAGTGCTTCGCGATAGCGAGACTGTGAGCAACCCCCTTGTCCAAAGCGCAGCTGTCTTCTCCGAGAAATCTTTCTCGCTTGAAGGAAATGCACGCCATGTATCCATCCCGTCGTGGCTCGTACTGATTTGCACCCGCGCCCTAGGGCAGCTTGCTTGGCCTCGCGCACTTCACTGGGCTCGCGAGTCCGTGGTCAGAAAAGAGAATCTGCTATATGAGCGGTAGGTCGAGAGTGCACTACTTCAAGCAAGCCTCGTAGTAACGACGACTGTGGCAGATCTCTTCGTGGCAGTGAACGAACGCAACAAAGGCTACGGGCGGCGGCTGCTGAACGCAGTCGCCGAAGCCGGACGACTCCTCAACTGCCGGAGGGTGAGCTGGATCACCGGCACCGACAACGTCGTCGCGCGGCGGTTGTACGACAAACTCGCGGCAAGCAAGGACGTGTATTATCGCTGGGACTTGGATTGAGGCCACGACGGTGTGCTAAGTTGAATGTGGAGGTGTCGCCCAGTCCCCGTGCTTCTCTAGATTGACATCCGACCTTCCTCGCGTCAAAGGGGATATCGCTTCGCAACCTCCTCTTCATGACCATGACTAAGACAAAGTTACCCGTCAAACGGGTCAAACTCCTGTAACGCACCAACGTGCACCTGCCATCTCAACCCCAGCCCCGTGCTAGTAGCCGAAGGACCCTTTTCTGCCCTCTGCGCACCTCTTCTCCGGTCTATTCCCCACTCTATGTCATGGCGCACGTCACTTTGTGAAGTTTTCTAGAATGTTTCATCGCAAGAGTCGAAACGGACTAAGGGGGCGAGGGGCTAGCGTTGTGGGTGGGGAAGGCGGATGACTCGCTGCACTAGTGCACGGGTGGAAGGGTGCTATGACAACGGCGGGTTGGGATATAGCACGCACACGGCAGGTTAGTCGTAGTATGATGTGACGTGATGCAACAAGGCGGCAGGGGTAGATGGAAGGGGGTGTAATGATTTCGAGTGCGGCCACTGAAGCAATAGTGCACAGCGTGGCTTTTCCCAATTTGAAGAGAAACAGAGTGTATTGTGTGGAGCGCTCTTTTTCCCAATCTACCTTGCCCTACGTGTAAAGATGGGATATATCTCGTCATGATGAAACAAGTCCCATTTTGCCTTCCGAACCAAACCCTGTGCATCGTAGCATGAACGGATAAGAAAGTGGTAATGATACAAGGTACGAAGCATACAAACATAGCTACATAGAAAGATAGCAACACACGCAGAACTGAGGGATATATACCACAAGAAGCCATCGATCGCGGCAAGACAGAGGTATCATGTAAGGAAAGCCGTAACAACGTGACAGGTAACGTAATGCGCTCGGAGCACATCGATAAGGGAAGAAACAGGCTGGCGTGTCTGTTGCCAAGACGTATTCCCAACGGACAACAAAAAAAGATACCGTGTAAAAGAAAATTTCTACACCGCCACAGCCCTCGCTCCCCCAACCGTCGTCGTCGGCGGCGGAGGCGGCAGCGGCATATTCGGCGGCGGCGCGGGCGGCGGCAATCCCATCGCCGGCATACTCCTCCTCGGAGCGAGATTCTTCGGTGGCGCGAGCTGCTGCCCGTGGCCCCTGAGCACAGGAATACTAGGGCTCTTCGTAAGCGGAGCAGCCGGCACAATAGGCACAGCAGACGCACGAGTTCCCGGTACGAAGGACGGTGTGCTGGAGATACTGCGGTTGCCCGGCACGAACGAAGGGGCGCTTGATACGACGCGGTTTGGGCGCGAGGAGGAGAGGAAGGGAGCGGGGTCGGAGCGAATTTGGACGGAGGTGGGTCGGCGTAGGGACTGGCCTGCTGGTTGGGGTTGGGCGGGCTGGTAGGGCCGGGAGGGGCTACTTTGGCGCTGGGTGATGGGGCTGGCAGTGGTGGAAGGCCGGGCGGGCTCAGTGACGGAGCGATTTACGACGACGCCGAGCGGGAGGCGGGCGGGTTTGTTGCCTGAGGCGAGGGAGGAGCGACGCGGGACGACGACGGAGCCGTCGGAATTTTGGCTTTGTGGTCGTACAGGAAGAGGACGGAGGTAGGGCTTAGGTGTCGCCGATATGCGGCGCTCACCTGGGTATGGTAGAGCGGCAGCGGCATTGGACATATTACCAAGGGACGTGGACTGAGGGCGCTGGGATGGAGGTGTCGGTAGCGGCTGCTGAGGTGGCGGCGACAATGCACTGAGCATGTTCCCAGGGGGCGCACTTGAGCTCCTCAGCATGTATGGCGCTGGGAGCGCATTCTGAGACTGGGCAGAAGCCCTGGGCTGAACGTTGTTCGCAGGTGACCATGCACGCAATGACGAGTTCAGTATTATAGGGTCTGACAATGGCGTGCCGACCTCCAATTTTCGTCTTGGCTCGCTCGTGGTTGGTGACGTGGGGCCATAAATAGAATGGCGCTTAGGCGTGCGTGCAATCTGCGCAGACGCAGTGATGTCCTCGTTTGTGACAGGCAGGGGCTGCATGGATCTTCGGCGGGTGCTGTTGTTCCCTGGATGCATGTGAAACGACCTAAGTGACGTCTCGCTTCGGCGCGGTTCTGCATCTGCCGGCGTTGAAACTTCTTTGATAGGGGACGGCGGAGCTGGCGACGGATCTCGCGACGTATTACGAGTGTTGACACCCGAAACAGAAGTCGCACTAGACACATACGAGTATCGCGATCTCTCACGAAGCTGATCAAGTTGGATCTGCTCGTGGGAGTCTCGACTTGTAGGAATGGAGGATGCCTCGACAGACTGGCGTTGTAGGCTTGGTCGCGAGGATTGGATGCTAGCAGAATCGACCACGCTGGCGGCTTTCTCTTTGCGACCACTCTCCCATTCAGATGTGACAATCCTAGGGGAGTCCGAGTACTGCGATTGTAGTGGCGAGTCAACCGGTGTAATTGTACTTAAGCGACTGGATCCACGCTTGACGGGTGGTCGTTGGTACGGTCGTTCAATGGAAGTATTCTCAGGCGACTCGTCAATCGATGCAGAATTTCTGCTGGACTCGCTGCTTGCCTTCTTGCCTCCGAGATTCTCGATCTCTTTTCGGACTATCGTCATCCATGACTCCATCTCTTCAGCGCTCTCCATAACGAGCAGAAAGCTTGATGCATCCCTTCTGGCAGGAGCCCCAATTCGAAGTCGGTGAAGGAGCGAATGTTTCGGCCCGTCACCCGCGGTGCCGTCCTCGTTTGCACTGTGTAGAATCTGCAAGACCCAATGCTTGCCGGGTATCAAATCGGAGGCAAATGCTGCAGAGTCCTTGCCCAGTCTGAGAACTCTTTCGGGAAGGCGATCGAAGGGGCCTTCGCCAGAATACTGCAAGATGTGACCCGAGGTGACCAAGACGTAGATCTTGTTGGTCAATTGTGGGGTAGAATGTAAGATCGAGTCCAAGCGCTTGTGGGTCTTCTCCAGCTTCTTATGTTCGGAGGGAGTCTCGAGTGTTGTTGATAGATCTCTGTGGCTATCCATGCGTTCGCGCATCATTTCTGCCTGTCTTCTCTGGCTTTGAGTCCTCATGAGGGCATCTGGGGAATATACGCAAGCCTGGATTGTCGCGTACTTGATCGCCTGGGGATAGGCCTGGAAAAGCGGTGGCGGCTCCCAGTCATCGCCCGGATGCCGTGCGATGCTGGGCGGTCGCATAGACTTGGGTCGGAGGAATTGGCTCGATCGCATTCGATGCACTTGCTGTGCTTGGGGTGGAGGGTTCGGCCGTAGCGCAGATTTCGGTGGTGAGGCTGGCCGGGGTGGCTCTTGTGGCTGCATCGGGACAGCGAGGCCCACCTCTATGTGACCTCTCGCTTTCTCTACCTTGGGCTTGCTGAAGAGATTGAAGAGGGACATTCTGCTGGAGTTCTTGCGCTCGAGTGCCGGCGGCGGCCTGAGCGAGTTCATATTGGCAGCACTCGGCATCGGTTGGAGGTTCTGCTCGAGGAGGTTTGCATTGGACCGGTTGCGCCGCCAGCGCGAGGTTGTGAAGTTGTCATTGGGACCCATGGCTTCTACAGCCAGATGTGAGCCTCAGAAATCAACACATTAACGTGGTCAAAAGGCTGAGGCTGGTTTGCGAGGATGGGTGTAATGGGGCTGCGTGATGTTCGAGTAAGCAGGCTGGGCGATATTCGCCTTGTACAAAGAACAGTTCCACAGCGTGGCACGGTCAAGTCAGACAAGTAAGGTATACGAGATGCGACGACGGGGCGGTATAGGAAGACTGATAAGCCGAAAAAGGAAACAAAGCGTGTCACTGTTGCGTGAGGAGGTCGGCAGGCGTCCGGGGCGGGTTTCAATTCAAAAAGAAGCGGAGAATTCGGAATTTGCAGAAGACGTTGAGAACGAGCGGGCAGCCTTTTGGCTAGGGCATTTGAGAGACGTATATCAAACGAGGGGACAGGACATGCGTCCAAGAGAAGGAGACGCTGCAGATATGCGGGCAGGAGACGACAAGCAGAGACTGAAACGTGCGAAGAAACGACGAAGAGCACCGTGACGCGAGCGGGCAGTGGAGACGACCTAGTCAAGAGGGTCGCAGGGGGTGTTCGCAGCTTGGGCTGGTGGGCGCGCTCGGGCAGCCGAGTGGCCCCTTTTCAGGCCGAGGAGGCTAAATGGGGACATGGCGTTCGGGATCCCGTCACACTATCTGCACCGTTCTGAACTATCGGCCGTTGGCTGTTTTGGGCTGTTTGAGCAGCGAGAGGACTGCTCGACGTCGTGCAGAAGCTTTCATGAGGCACGCGGGCGCTGTCAGTGGGCCGGCTGGTCTCTTTGCCTCGGCCGCACCACGCAGGGCGGTCAGGTGAGGCGCGGTGGTGCCTGTGCGATGCGCCGACGATGCTTCATCGGGTGAGGCGTAATGTGACAAATGAGGCCCGGAGGCTGTTGAAATTACCAGGGCTAACGCCTCCGCCGGCACGCTTCCGCCAGGTAGATGGAAAGCTCCCCGATCGGTTGCCGGGGGGCAGGCCGCGCCTTGCTGGCGGAGGCGCGGGCGGAATGACTGCAACGTAGCGCGAGGGGCGCCGGCGACCATGTGCAATCTGTGTATCACGTCGCAGCGGTTGCTCGAGGCCATGAGGGCGCCATGCGTGCTGCAATGGGGGCGTCGGCGTCGGGCAAAAGAACGGTTCGCGTAGCCCAAGGACTCGGGCGGGCGAGGCCAGGTGCAGCACGGACGTGGACGGCGAACCCAGGCGTAGGGTAGATTAATCGATAGCGGACGCGGGGTGCGATGTGATGAGCACCTTGAGAGGCATGCCGACACGTTGGCGACGCGTGCGGTCTGTTTGCTGATGCAGCGCGTACACAGGCACGCGCAGGCGTAGAGTTTGATGAGGCCGAACTGGGAGTTTGCAGATCACGGAAGCGGCTCCGGTCGGCCAATAGCCCTGTCCGCAAGTGTTGCTGCTCAGTGGCCTATGCAGCATCCGTTCGGCATATACATAATGCAGCCCGACGTGACTTGGATGTGCGTACCTCGATGCATGTCTTCACAACGACGCCTCCCTGTTGTCACTGTGACACCACTGTACCCAAGCGAGCTGAAGGCTATCGATGCGCCTTGGCTGCGAGGGCCATGTCGATCAAGTGATGATGATCCTTTTGCAGCTCACCGCTTGACAGCGCCAGTTCTCGCGCAGCACGCGCACGCTCAGGCGACGGCATCCGGTCTCCGGTGCATGCATCGCGGCGGGCGCTCGCATGCGTTTGTTCCTGCGCAAGCGTCGAGCCAAGGACGATGCTTTGTGGTTGTCAGCAGCCTACCCCGCCTCTGTCTCCGAAATGTCTCCCCACCACCACACGACGGCGGCGTTACTTGCCCACCCTTCCCAACCTACGCGTCATACCCATCCCGCCGCACGTCCAGTGGCCCCCGCCCGCTCCCGCATCCTTATACCCTTTGTTCTCCGCCTCAAGAATGCCCCCCGACCTGAATTCTCTTCCACCCTCGTCACCATCCCCTGTGAACACGCCCCTCCAAGCACGCCTCTCGCCCACCGAACAGCAGAGTCGCACCATGTCGCAGTCGCGCTCGCACACGCCGCCGCACTCCCTCGCCGCAGCAGCCACCATGAACGCCGGCATCCAGAATGAGGATCTGCGGCGGCAGTCTTCGGGTAGTATGCGGAGGGAAGTAGAGCGAGCACGGCGCCGGTCAAGCATACGGCTGAACCTCAACCTCAACGACCCGGCCGTCCCCGCCCCAGGAGAAATGCAGAGGAGCCCCTCGTCGAGGAGTCGCGGCGCACCGTGGCCTCAGAGCCCGCACCACGAGCGCGCGCCGAGCCTGGGCGACCTGCACCAGGAGCTCGAGTACGAGCAGGAGGGCCAGGTGGTAAGCTACGCCAAGTCATCCGTCAGAGTCTCTTGTACCACTTCAGACAACTCTCGCAGTTTCGACTGCATTGAGCATAAAAGTCAATATAGCGACTAATCACCCCCAGAACCGCCTCCTCAACATGATCCGCCAGCAGCAATCCCAGATCCAAGCCCTCACCACCCAGTCCGCACAACCCAACACCTCCGCCGTCGACGACAGCACCCCTACTTCCGAACGCTCCATGTCCATGCCGCCGCTGCCCACTCAACCCACCGCCATCCCCGCCCGCACCACCATGTCCCGCCAGTCCTCCTTCGCCAGCCGCTCTCGCAACAGCTCGCAGGCCGTCTCTCCCGCGCTCCGACCCACTTCCTCGCACGGCTTTGTTGGTTTCGAAAGCAGCGAGAGTCTGCCGCCGAGCAGCTGGGGCGGAAGAGAGAGGGACGAGAGCGCGTTCTACCAGGCGGAGACGCAGAACCTGACGCGGGAGAACCAGATGCTCAAGCAGCGGATACGCGAGTTGGGTAGGCTACCGCCCTCTTTTCGTCGACGTGCAAACTGACTGATGGGCAAACAGAACGTCAACTCTCCGAAGCTGCCTCCGCCCCCGCCTCCAACACCATCACACATTCGCCAGCTACCGCTTCCAATCTGCACAGCAGCCCCCCGATTAGTCGCCAGGCCACCGGCACCGCATAGCCGCCTTCCCTTCCCTTCTTATTCGATCTAGTCGTCTATCAAATGTCTTGGTTAAGGCCGGGGTGGGCGTTGATATGTATTGCATGGCTGGGCGTTATGGGTGCGCCTATGAAATGGTTAAATGGCATGTTCCGCGGCACTGCCCTTTTCTTTATCTTTCCCTACCTCTCTTTTGCGCGCATGGAAGCAGCGAGAGCGCTGGGGTGCCATGGACATGGTGGTGTTCGCGGACGCTTGTCGTCGGCCGCTCGTGCGGTGACGTTGGGAAGCTCCACCTGCGAGCGACGGTACAGGACACGCCGGTGCAGAACAGCGTGCTACCCTTGTACCGGTCGCCTGGAACCCAGTGCCGGTGTCCCACGAGCTCGGCTTCTGCTCATTAGGAAATCCCGTGACGCTGTTGACTTCAACAACGTGCTCGACATCCCTGCGGCCATGCGCAATCGTGAAGCTGAGAGAATCAAATGCATGAGTCCTCACATGCTCAACCAGTCATGGATGATGGCGACGCGGAGAGAATCAGTTGCATGAATATCTGAATAATCAAATACTCAACCAATCAGGGATATACTACAGAAAAGCGCATATGGCCCTGCGTCTCAGAGTCGTCTGCAGTACCACCGGCAATGCATTCTAGAAGATCTGACCGGTGCATAACCCAGTCAATTCCAATTCCAATCCCACGCACTCCCTAACGCCGGCTCCGGATGCTTGAACGAAAAGACTTCCCACCACGCGACCTTGGACGTGAATCCTACTCGTCGTCCTCGGCCTCTTCCACCGTCGCGCGCGGCGGCCGCTGTGAGACGGTGCCGCTCGGGGGTGCAGCTTCTGAACCCGTGGGCTGTGGTGCTGACTCTGCCGCGACGGGGGCGGGTGCGGGAGCAGCAGCTTCGGCCTGGGCTTCGGGCTGGGGTGTTGCGGTACCAGAGATGGCCTTTTTGCCTTTTGCGGGCTTGAGGGGTGTGCCCGCGGCTTTGGCAGCGAGCTTGGCGGCTTTCTTCTCCTTCTTTGCGCGCTTCTTGTTCTTGATGTCCTCGGGTGTCTGTTACATGTCAGATCGATCCTCAAGCTTGTAGGTTAATGGGAGTTTCGTACCTCTTGCCATGCCCAGACCGGCCGGAACGAGTCGAAGAAGCCCACGTCCTCGAAAAGGTTAGGGTATAGCCATAGACCAGGAGCCGCTGTGAACATGGTGATGATGAAAAGAATCAATCGGAAGATAGCCATGGCGAAGAACAGACCGATGAGACCGAGCATGCCCATACTAAGGTACCACACGCCGAGCCTCAGCTTCATCGGCCATAGCGGGAAGAGCACGACGGCAAGGATACCGACGAGCGCACCGACCGCATATAGCTTCTGCTTCCACTGCGAGCCCTCGTATAGCCATATGTAGTAACAGTCGTCGTTGGCTTCCTGGTGCTGCTCGATGCGAACGGTCCAGAGGCCCTTGACGCGCTTGGCTTTGGCGTGGTTGTGGCCGTCATGCGCGTGGTCAGGATCTACTTTGTTGACGCGGAGGGCAAGAAGGGAGAGCGGGAGCTTCTTGAACGCGTTCTCGGCGGTGACGCGGTCGTTCACTTTGGGAAGGATGGGGTTCTTGGAGCACGCCTTCTCGTACGCTGGAGACATGAGTGCGCGGATTGCACGCTTGACTGTGAGTTTTTAGCACTGCCCGACACACTCGCACAGTCTCATAGAAACCGTACCTCGAAACATGTCTTTGCGCTTCTCGTCGTGGATAACTGTGCGCGGCTTCAAGTCCTGGTTCTTCAGCCAATTTGCAAGCGCGATCGCGTCTGGCTGCGGCGGTCCTGGCTGGATCGGCTGCTGCTGCTGCTGCTGCTGTTGCTGCTGCATCTGTTGCTGGCGCAACTGCGCTTGGTGCTGTGCCATGGCTTGCTGCTTGAGTCGGTTGATGTACTCGGGCACGGTCATGCCGGCCTTTTCTGCCTCGATAGCAAGTTGGCGTTGCATGTGCGCTATCTGCTCTGGCGTGGGCTGTTGGCCTGGTTGCGGTGGGCCCATGGGCATTCCTTGGGGTGGTCCTTGAGGTGGACCTTGCGGAGGCCCTTCAGGCTGCGGTGGCGCTTCTGAGCTCATGTTGTGAATAGTGGGTGGGACGCAGAAGAAGGGAGAGGTGAGTGAGACAGCGGGTGTCGAACGCAAGGTCGCCCCGGGGTTGTTTTATACGGGAAAATGAAAGCGCGCGTTGAAAGGCCGTAACGTAGATGTTCGGAAACATGCCACATCGCCAACAATTAGCGTCGGCCCGGATTATCTCCAAGCGCCGAAGCGCGAACAAAAACTTCGACCTCGCGTGGTTCGATACCTATTACCCACGCATATAATCTTGCAACCATCCGACAGCCACAATGAAGTCCATTAGGCACAGCCAACGACGTGTCTGCTTCGCATTAGAGATATAGCTTCACGGCCTCCTGCCCCCTATGCTCGACTCAACATACTTCGCATTAGGTCGCGCCTTCCACTGCCTAGTCAGCGTGCTCGCACCACTCTACTCACACTTCGCAATGGCCTTAATCTGTTTACGGCGGTCTACTTTGAAGCAATGCAAACCTCGAAGAGCCTCTTCGATTTCGCTTCATGGTGGCGGCGATGCAGGGGAGTCTTATGTCACGCATTTGAGCGGGATGGCGCCGACGCCTTTGCTGTCGACAGCCAGAGGCGCACTCCAGCCAACGCTGTGTCACCAGCGCACAGAGCTGGCGCAGCAAATTTTTGAGGTTTAAGAACCCGCAGTCTGCTGATCCATTCGGCATCCGGCAATACCTGTCCTAGGGTCTTCTCCGTGCTTCCTGAACATGGAAGCTCGGAGACTTGAGCAACCTGAACACAGGCGAAAAGTATGTGTACCGTCGCAGCAGCAAGAAGCCGTCTCGTGGGAGCCCACAGAAGACGATTGTGATGTAACTTCACCAACACTCTGGGTCATATCTCTTGTTTTCGGACTCGACCATGGTTTGACCCTATTTTGGATGTGAAGAAGAGGAACGACCTACTACTCACCGCTGCACCGGCCTCTGGCAATGGTGTAGTGGTCCATCATTTACGGTCTACATATGTTACGTAGCGTGACGACATGGCTTGCGATGCAGGGTGTTTCAGCCGCGCATGTATAACGTGAGCCCCGGAGGATTAGGTGCTGATATCTGATACTTGGTGAGCGGCACAGACGAGACACTACGACAAGTCGCTGCCAGTCTTGGAAAGCGAAATGGGGATTTCGTGCCCGATGGCTGCCAACCCCGATGTTTGCCAGGGAAGGTCAACAGTAGTGCACAGGCGACGGCGCGGGCTTGCATGGGTCTCACCGATGCAGTAATGTGTAATCTAGGCTAAACGGTTCGCGGCGAGCGGTGCTTGCCAGTTGCTGCGGGCGCCCCATAATTAGAGGAGAACTGACTTCTTGGTGCTGGGCCAGGCAACGGTGATGATCAGAGTCATCACGGCCATCAGAGTCTGGGAGGGTCTTGCGACGGTAGCAGCGGCTCAGCTGCATTGCAGCATGGCGGGCAAGCGTTGCGGCGGTGGCAAGACGGCGTCCTCTGGCAGGGCGCATCGGGGGCCGTTGAGTGGTGAGGTCGACGCGGCCTGGGCGCCACATGGCCTTTGTTTCGTCTATGCAGCTGGGCCTGGTGCAATGCCAGCGCCAGCGACGCACATCTGGGGCTGTCGCCAGTTGCGTGGCGGTCCCAGCGCGAGCGTGGCGACACGCACTCGAAGGCTGCCGCGCAGAGCAGGGCAGCAGTGGGATGCGGACGGGGCACGCGGGAGCCGGCAGCGACTCGACGTGAAATGTGCAGTGGGCAGTGTGCAGGCATCTGGCGGTGATGATAGGGCGGTTCTACGGGCTGTTGGCGGCGTCGTGGACCAGGACCTTATGCAAGCCACGAAAGCTCGAACCCATGGACAGCAATAGCGCTGCCAACGCCCGCTGGATCTCCCGCGTTCAATCTGCAAGCACAGGTAGTCTACCCCGTCATCCGCCCTGTCCCGCTACAAGTCACAAATCTCTGAGCCTGTGCCTGGCCTTGACCTGCGCTTGCACTGCGCGTCCTTGCTGCTGCTCGAGACAGAGGCAGCCGGCACAACGCGACCGCGCCTGCGCCTGCCTCGCATCAGTCCTCGTACGCTCCGAGCCCGCCGCAACGCTGCACAGCATCTCGCCCAGCCCGATCCGACATCCCATACGCCCCGGCGCCCAGGCAGACGCCAACGCGCATCCTGTAAGTGCGTGTAGAGTGTGTGCAGCGGCCCTGCTTTGCTGCAAACATCCCCGATCGCCAGCGGCCCTGCACGCGGGCGGCGAAGCATTCCGCCAGCGGGCGCCCCAGGCAATAACACGTTGGCCTCCGCCCTTGCATCCCTCTGACGAGCACCCGCCCAGAGGTGTCGTTTCATCGCTGACCGCTGCCCGCCGTGCAGACCTCCCCTCCCGACGCCGCGAACCCATCCCGCGACCCACGCATCCCTCTAGAGCAGAGCGTGCAGACGACGATCCTCCCACCGCTGTCCCCACCCGCCCGGGCTTCTGCTGGTTTCCAGTCTGGAGCGCCCGGTGCCCGCAGTCCTGACCACGATTCCCAAGACATGTCATGTGCGGGAGACTGGCGACGACTTCGCAAAGGCATAGGCACAAGCCGGTCTTGGTGCAAGCGTCTTGCAATTGATCCGCACCACCAACGACTCCACCGCAGTCCCGCGGTACCGGTAGCTGTTTGGTGCATCTGACAGGCATCATTGACGCATTCGACTTGCTCAAAGAGAGAGCATATCTTAGCTGCCTCTGGCACAGACAGCCAGCACTAATCTTCTACCAGCGTCTACATCGGCATTGTCCACCATGACGATGGTCCGACACTACCCTCCCCCGCTGCATTCGCCGCTGGGCCCCTTTCAGCAGCCGCTCGCTTCTCCAAATGGCCAGCTACCTCGAAATGCTCCCGGTTTCAACCAGCAAAGTATGGCTCCACAGCTTCCCCAGCAGTACGCCCATCCGTTGTCGCGCCACAACTCGTACCATTCGCAAGGCTCAGATAGTGGAAGGAACACAGTCAAACCACCAGAGCATATGCTTCGGCGTAAGACGCCAAATGGTATCCTTGCAGCAGCTTATGATGGCACCTCGGTGGAGCAGACAGAGAAGCCACATGCTACAAAGCATATCATCCTCCCGGTCACAGCTGAGTCGGGCATGTACAATCTCAACCAGGACCTGCCCCTGCGATCCCCTGGCGTACACCAGGATGCTGCGGCCGACTGGAGTCCCAGTCTGTACTTTCAGTCAGGCTCCGGACGAGCTCTGCCCCAGATTGATTCAATGCTAAATCAGATTCCTCCGCTGCAGAACCATCCCCAGTTTCAGATGTTCGGTAGCCCGTTTGGCGGCGGCCCAGAGCAGATGATGCAGAGCCCTCAGGGACCGACCGTATCCAACGACCAAGGGCCATTTGGCCCATACTGGCACGACGGGACTTTTATACCGTACCGTCCGGCTGCTATGCGAGATCCACGGTACTATAATCACCATGCACCTAATTGGTCCCACCCTCAACACAACGCATATATGACCCATGCATACAACAACACCTTGCCCAACATGCAGAATATCCAACCACATCCTTACCAACTACAACAGCTTCAAACCCCTTATCAGATTCTTGGTAGATCAGCGAACGACTACCCCGCTTCTTTCCAGCAGCCTCATCCCAACGCCGCGTTAGACTATCAAGACCAACCGTTACCTGTTCCTCCCAGCCATCGCCCTCACCCGGACTACTCACTCGCATCCAGTCACAGTACTCATGTCGTAGACCAGTTTCCAACACCGAGTACAGCTGAGTTTGGCCCGCAATCACTAAACGCGCTGAGTCGAGAGAAGATCTTCGCTTGGGCACATACTGTCTACGTGGACCTGCTCAAATACTTACAGTCGACACGCAAGACTAGCTCACAACACTCCAATGGCCACCAACAGCCCGTACGACCACATATCTATCCTAAGCCCCCGAAACAGCCAGCGGCCAATTTTTCTAGCGCGCCAACTAATGCGACCAACGTGCACGCGTCTGAGGCTTCGCAGACGGCAAAGTTCGATTTTCATCTGCAGCAGCAGACCAATAGAGATACCTTCCGTAGACCGTCGCATACCCGCTCTTCGTCTGCATGGTCTGTCGCTGGGGTCGATCCGAATGTTAATAGACAGTCATGGTACCCGTCACAAACACAACCGTTCGCAAATCCACATTCCATCCATCCACAAGTTGCCGGGATGGAACCGTTGCGCCCTCTTCGACGCATGTCTGGTTCTGTTGCTGGGATTCATCAACTGCGGAACGAAGTGCCCCCGAGCATGACAGCGGCTTCCGCACTGGATGCCATAACGAAACACTGTGAGGAAAGCAACTGGAATTGGATAGACGGTATTCTTTTGGGTGGATGTCTTGCTTACGCGCTTGGTGACTATCAAAAAGCGCATGGGTGGTATAAGCACATTCTAAAATTAGACACAGAGTGAGTTCAGCGATCAGGTCACAGAGAAGACTACTAACAACCACAGCCATGTCGAAGCGACGTCCAATCTAGCAGCCACTTTCCTTGCCCTGCATCAGAAACAAGAAGCTGAGCGGTATTGGCGAAGAGCCGTAAAGCTACGGCCTAGTTATTTTGAGGCAGTAGAACATCTGCTAGGGTTGCTGTGCAGTGACCATAGGAACAAGGAAGCAGTGCAAATTATTGAAGAGGTGGAGAGTTCGTTGAAGCTGGTAAAGAAAGAAGTCTTGAAGAACGTAGACGGACGAAGTGAATGTTCAACGTCAACATCCGAATCGCCACGCTTATCCGAAGTGTCAGATCGGCCGGTGTTTGAGTACGAGACCGAGAACGACTCGATTCCCAAGGATCCCGAGGAAACAGCTGGGGCAGACCAGCCGGGTTTCGGTTCCAGTGGCTACGCCATTGCTGGGTGCGACAACGGCCGTATCCTTGCTCTGGTGCACGCGAAAGGGAACATGTTGTATGCTCTTGGCGATAACGCTGGTGCGGCAAAGGCATTCGAGAATGCTGTGCTCATTGGTGCAGGCTTACACATGCAAGGTATCGACGGTCTGATTCAGCACATACTGTCTGTTGTGGGCTACGATGGTTCGGAACGTTCTCCTGGTGGCCGTCGGACTGCTCCATCCAACGACCCGATCCTACTTCATCCCGAACCAGCACTTAAGACTGCGCAACTTTGCTTCCCGCCGAATGGACAGCTGCCAGGCCTCAGGTACGTTCCTAACGAGGTTATGGCGCGCAAAGCTGCTATTTCAACCACAAGCAATTCTCTCCTATCTCTAGCCAAAATCTTCCAGGATGGCATGGCGACCAATTCACCCAAAGCTACTGCGTTCCAAAGCAATTATGGAGTCAGAGAGATTCTCGCTTTGTATTATCTGTCACTCGCCTTGCAGCCAAGCCCATCCACAGCAAACAATGTGGGCATTCTCCTGGCCAGTGTTCAACAGTCCGCTCCTTCGAAGCGTATCCCGGTCTCAAACACCATGCAAAAACCTACAGTCCCAGGCCTTGTCCCAGGAAGCGGGATAGCTCTTGCGCTTGCGTACTACCACTATGGTCTGATGCTCGACAGTCGTCATGCTCACCTGTATACCAATCTCGGCAGTCTTCTGAAGGATATCGGTCAGTTAGAAGCGGCGATTCAGATGTACGAACAGGCAGTAGCATGCGACAAAAACTTCGACATTGCTCTTGCCAATCTCGCGAATGCTGTCAAGGACAAGGGTCGCATAAGTGACGCGATTGTTTACTACAGGAGAGCAGTGAAGGCGAGCCCAGATTTCGCGGAAGCTGTTTGTGGCCTTGCGAACGCCTTGAACTCGGTTTGTGGATGGCATGGAAGAGGTGGCATCGCTGAGGATCGTGGTTCTCGCGATCGTTGGCATGTGGACGACAATGGCATGCTACTCGATGCCAGGTCTTCAGGGGCAAGGAGCGGTGGTTGGATACACAAGGTTGTAAGCCTCGTTGAAAAACAGCTGGCCGATGGGGAAGATTGGGGACGTGGCATAATGGACGAGCTTTTCATCCAGGACATCCTTCGGTCGCTCACCTTGACAAACAACTCGACTCAAGAGCTACAAGAGGAACAAAGTCGCGTTCGGGGCGAACTCGTGAAATGGCGAGGCCGCAAGTGGGAGGGAGCCCGCCTTGTGCGTCTTGTCGAGCGCGTTATCCGGCGGCTTTCGTGGCAATGGTACCAGGATAAGTACAGGACTGGAAAGGAACGACCAGTCGCAAGCTACCGGCGACCTCACTTGCCGGCAGGACTGACTGTACCTGCTGCTCCAACGGTGCTCCCCTTCCATACTTTCACTTGTCCAATGTCGGCCAAGCAGATCAGGCTGATCTCCCAGCGGAACGGGCTCCGTATCTCTTGCTCGACACTAAGGGCGCCCTGGCTTCCTCCGACCGTGTACGCTCCTCCGCCCCCGCCGACTCCCTATTTGAAAGTCGGTTATGTCTCGTCAGACTTCAATAATCACCCTCTGGCCCATTTGATGCAATCAGTATTCGGTCTCCATAACAAGGCTCGAGTCAAGGCGTATTGTTATGCTACCACGGCCAGCGACAATACAGTACATCGCCAGCAGATCGAGCGAGAAGCACCGGTCTTCTACGATGCCAGCAGTTGGCCTGCCGAACGTCTCGTGAACCAGATTATTAAGGACGGCATACACATTTTGGTCAATCTGAACGGATATACCCGAGGTGCAAGAAACGAAGTGTTTGCTGCCCGTCCAGCACCCATCCAGATGTCCTTCATGGGCTTCGCAGGAACGCTAGGCGCTGAGTGGTGTGACTATCTCCTTGCTGACGACACAGCTGTCCCACCCAACACTCTACGCAGCTGGCGTAGAAACATCGATCTGGAAGACGCACTAGTCGACGAAAACAGTGGTGGCGAAGATGATGACTGGATCTATGCTGAGAACATCATCTACTGTCGCGATACCTTCTTCTGCTGTGATCATCGGCAGAGCGCTCCAGATGCCCAAGAAGCGCAACTCAACTGGGAGGATGAGCAGAAGAGGAGGTGGAGTATGCGGAAATCAATTTTCCCCAACCTTCCAGACGATGCTATCATCCTCGGGAACTTCAATCAGCTGTACAAGGTAAGTTGACCAAGGCTCCACTTCTCTCATATTTCTAATCATCCACTAGATCGAGCCTACGACTTTTCGCACATGGCTCCGCATCCTCCAGAAGGTTCCCAAAGCTATATTATGGCTGCTTCGCTTTCCGGACCTCGGCGAAACCAACCTCAAGCTAACGGCGCAAGCGTGGGCAGGCTCCGAAGTCGCGAACCGCGTAATCTTCACAGATGTCGCACAGAAGAGTCAACACATTGCACGTGCCCGTGTTTGCGATTTGTTCCTCGATACACCTGAGTGCAATGCACACACAACAGCTGCTGATGTTCTCTGGTCAGGCACACCGCTACTCACTCTACCGAGATATAACTACAAGATGTGCTCGCGCATGGCAGCCTCGATTCTCAAAGGTGCCCTCCCGAAAAATCAAGAAGGCGTTCAAGCTGCGAAGGATCTGATTGCAGAGAGTGACGATGACTACGAAGACAAGGCCGTTCGATTAGCCCGTAATTGCAAGTATCAAGACGGCCGCGCGACAGGCCGATTGAGCGAGCTCCGACGCACCCTGTACGAAGCTCGGTGGAGCAGCGGTTTATTTGACACGAAGAGATGGGTGCGAGATCTGGAAGAAGCCTACGACATCGCATGGAAAAAGTGGGAAAGAGGTGAAGGCGGCGACATCTGGCTGAAGAAGAAGACGCAGGAGCCCATTGCCACGGCGTGAACAACAAGATGCACCTTCTATCATTATCTGGCACACATACATATCATCTTCGGGTCGTACATCTTGTCCTGGCCTTTGTGATTACGCTGCATTATCCTCGTTTTGTAGGGATTACCTGGTATTTATTATTCGTTTGCGGATACCCCCCTCCATTACGCATGGTGGACATGGATTTGGACATTTGGGCAGGCATTTTGGATCACATTGTACTGGCATTGGAGGCGTTCGCGCAGTGAGATTTATGAGCGAATGGATTGGCATATGTAGGGGACCGGACTGAACACTGGACATTCGTTAGGTCTGGGTCACGTGGGACATCTTTTCGTAATACTATTTTTGTCATCTGTGAAGCATGGAAGCCTCACGCCAATGAACCCCAACAATTGTAGCCTTCAAAATATCCACGATATATCCGCGATTGCAGAAGGCAAGATAGAACCGGCCCTCCACATGACTTTCCAGTGCATACCAACCCACCAAACGTAATCACAGGGACGGTGGGTGTGGTAGGGGCCGGGGCTAGGTAGACACAGAGATAGGCTAGTAGGAGGGGGAGGTTCCGAGCGGCCAGTGGGTTGGTATTTCCTTATGCGGCAGCCGCGGTAGAAGCGTAGGTGTGCTTGATGACGGGTGTGGGTTTTTCATTTGCTATATAAGCATTGACTTGGAGTACGCGAGATGTACGCTGTATGGTAATATCCCAGACCCCTTATTCTCAAGGTTGCAAGACACACGTGGCTCGCTCCCATTCAGAACTTGGCCTGCAAACCCCATCCAATACTACAGCCGCGAGCAACAACAAAAAGGACAGTAGAAGCAGCATACGCAGCGCCACAGAACGAGATCAACGCAGCATAGTTGGCTCCACCTCCGACATCAACTATGCTTCCCGATACGGGCACTCCAGCCAATGTTGCAAAGCTCACAACGCCATACGCAGTGCCATACTTGCTCGCGTAATCATCAGATCGGCATAACTGTGCAACGCATACAGGTGTTAGACTGTATACCGATCCGCTGAAGAGTCCGTAAAGGACTGCAAAAGCGCTAAGAATCGCACGACTTGAATTGGCATTCAGCCAAAGTCCGAGAATCGATGCCGTACATGCGGCCGAGCTTAAGATCATGACGTTGAACCGACCTATTCTGTCTGCTATCGGCCCCGGTAGCCCACGTCCAAGGATCGAGGCTGCGTTGAGGATCGCTAGGACATGCTGAGAAAGGCTGTGAAGGCCTTTGGAACTGGCATAAGTCGATATGTACGCCGGTGGCACCAGTACAGCCCAGTCCAGGACAAATATCGCCGACATGGTGAGGACAAATCGGAAGTCCTTGAAACCGCGCCAGTCCATGATGAGACTTGCGTGAGGGCTTCTTGGGAGACGCGTTTTGAGGAGTGCGACGCCAACGACCAAGCAGAATGCACTGATGAGAGCGAAACAATTCATGGTCCAAGTGAATCCGATCCTGCCGACAAGTTGGGTGAAAACGATGGGAAATAAGACGCCACCGACTCCACCAGCGGTCGTGGCGATTCCGGTCGCAAGACCGCGGTTTTGGTCGAACCAGTGACCTAAGGTAGCGATACTAGTTGTCCAGAGGACCGAGCATGCGCATCCTCCGAGACCCCCAAATGAGAGGATGAATTGGTAGTATACTATCGCTCAAGTCAGCGGGCTGGAATGATCAAGATTCTGGACACTGGAAACTCACAGCGACACCAACTCGTTGCTACTAAAGAAGCGACAAGTCCCAGAGCGCCAACGGGCAGTAACCTCTTTGCGCCATATCTATCGAACAGCGGTCCTACCGCTGGTCAGGCGGTTTTTTTCCTTAAATGTACGGGAAGATACCATACCGACGATGAACCCACCAAAGAAGAACAGGAATGCGAAGGTGCTGAAGATCCAGCTAATCTCGCTCTCCGTGTAGTCTATTAGGTAGTGCTCGAAAAGCCACGCCTGGAGGATCCCAGTGGAGTTCAAGAGTCCAGATGCAGGTAGCAATGTAAACCATGCTCCAAGAACGACGCTGTACGCTTTCAATCCTCCTTCGGGATAGGCTTGGTATATTGGTGTTGATTCTTGGGCCTGCTCCATTGATGCTGGTATTCACCGACGGGACGGAGACTAAGACTTCTATCCCTCTTGGTTTGAGGAGACTCAACGTGGAGTTATCGACACTGGAGAACGAGAAGATTGTAGAATGGTTTGTAGGCAGCCCACGACTTATAAAAGGCACCCTTGTCGAATAGCTTGAAGCTGATTGGTCACTTTGAAAACACACTGTGCGAAGACTTGAATCTCTTCTTGTTCGCGCGTGATTAACTTTGCAGAAACAGGTTCGATGCTAGTTTTACTTCCTTGGAACGACTATACGAAATTGACAAGGTATGTCACCTGCCATTACACTAAGTCACATGCTGGATCAAACAAATCCTATGCCTTTCTCCACTAATATTAGCGTTCATCTTCCTCTTCCACCTCCGCCTGTTGCTCCGTCCCGTCCGCATTTTCCTTCTTCGCATCGAGCCTTGCACCAGCCTCTTCGAACAGCCTCAGAAGATGCTTCCAAAACGCTCTCGTTTTATCAGGCTCCTTCTCGTCTTAGGAAAGTCTCTTGGCAAGTCCCAATGGTGGGGTTCCAGCTGTCGAATCGACAAATCCAAAATGAAGGATACCTGGAGGAGAAGATCTCTGGAGCCAGCATCTTGCTCCTTTGACCACGGCGATTGTAAACACAGCATACACGATGACACGTGCTGGGCGCTGGCATGTGCGCTGCATTGGAGATTGTCTAGGTAGCCAGATTCACTGTGCATTTATTTGAAGCAAGATATAGTTTGGACGGAGTCTGAGTGGTGTGTTGTGCCGCTGGAGGTGTACAACATATCGCCCCCATATCTAGAGAAGGATAGCACTTCAAATCTTTGTTATCTTCAGAATACAGGTATTACAAAGCAATAACTATTCTCCAATTTTAGTATCGCTCATTTACAATAACCGAGAAACAACCCTCCTTTTTTTCAAGTGGTCGGAGTTAGGTGAAGATAACAAATGTAACGTTGAAGAGCTTGACTGTATGTACTTCGGTCGTCGTCGTTTCAGAAATCGGTGTCTTCATGGTAGGTAATAATCTTGGCTGACAGGACAATCGTGAGGAGATGAATGTTAGATTCTGAGGATGAGACAGAGCCATCACTGGCGGAACACTGTCTGCGACAGGTCTTTAAAGCACACTCATCAGCAATTTCTCAACGCTTTCACGAACCCAATGCAGAGCAAACTGCGCGAGTACTTTAAAATGACTGCAACCCAACGCAAATATTGGGAGGAGTATAGAATGCCCGAGTGTATAGTGATACAGGATACAGATTCGGTGTATCCCAAGGCATCTCATTTCAAGCCTTTACTCATCGATGACCTTGTTCCAGGTCTTCCTGCAAGTCACCCAAGACTGATTGAATACGGAAACAGTGCGGAGGGTGCATCGGTTGTGAAATCGGAAAGCGACTACCATGGCAAGGTCATCGTATCGTACGACTCGGCAACAGGCGCCCACGAGGTGTGGATGGCTGCTGCTAGCATGACAGAGCCCATCCTCAAATCAGCTTAATTCAGACCTTCATGTGATGATTGAGAGGTTTGCTTTCCCCAAATGGTTGCAAGATACCGCACGCTGGGCCCACTTGCAGTGCTTGTTGTACGAGCGTGGCGAGGTCAGAGATATAGATTGCCGCCCATGGAGACAGCGGGCTTGTATTACTGGGTATAGTTATCTGTATTTAGTTCAATTTTCATACTACTTTCCCGATTCTCTAGTGTTGACACCCAACTCTCGATCCGCTCGCTTGACACTGTGAGGTCTTCGCGTGGCCATATGACCAAAATTTCCCAGACCCAGGACCCCACCGATCGCCTCCGGTCGTTCCCAACTACACGAAAATCCAATTAGCCAGACAAACACCAATATCACCCGAAGCCCCTGATCGATCACACCGTCAAGTCATTCCAAAACGGGTTAGCGCGACGAACCTCGACGGACGCGCCCGCGCCAGCATCTACTCCCCGTTACCACGTCAATAACCCAGAACGAAGCTCCCAGTTATCCAGCGCGTCATGTCCAAAGGAAAGACGTTAGCGACACGCGCAAAGCCCAAGAGTAAATCCGCGGCCGCAATCGCGCCGGCATTCACGAAACCAACGTCACCACAGCCGACAGCGATCCCACCATCACGCGCCCACTCATCCGCGTATCATTACCCACTCCTGATTGAGGATGGAGGTGTAGGAAAGGAGCTGTTGAGATGGTTCGACGGCATTGAGGAAGCGAGAAACATGCCGTGGCGCAAGAAGTGGCTTGATCCTGCGGAGCACGAGGGTGCGGAGCCAGAGTTTGGAAAGGTGTTGGAGAAGCGCGCGTATGAGGTCTGGGTTAGCGAAGTTAGTGAGTAGTACCCGGCAGAGGTCCTTTGTTGAGGGTGTGCGTCGCGGCGCGCTCAAGATGAGATAGGCGACGCGTGTTGACGCGCCATCACGTGTATGCACTCAGATAGGCTGGCCCAGGTGCTAAGACTGTGCAGTGTTGCAACAAACCCGCGTCTCGACTGTTATACCATACTTCAATACTTGGATATCGAAATGGCCGACTGTCGAGGCTCTCGCGGAAGCCTCACACGACGACGTCCTCGCCGTCTGGAAAGGTCTGGGCTACTACTCCCGCGCAACGCGTTTACACGACGGCGCCAAAGCCGTCCTCGCTACAACAGATGACGTCCCCTGCAAGATCCCCAGCGCTGTGGATGCCTTGCAAAAGATCCCGGGTATTGGGCGGTACACCGCCGGCGCTGTGTCCAGCATTGCCTTCGGAGAAGCGGAACCCGTCCTCGATGGGAACGTCGCGCGGGTCTTGAGTCGCCAGCTCGGCCTCTACGTTGACGCTAAAGACAAAAAGAGCACAGATGTATTATGGGATGTAGCAGGTTCGCTGGTGAAGAGCGTGGCAGGGTATCCCGAGCAAGGACGCAGCCCCGTCCCCGGACAGTGGAACCAAGCACTCATGGAACTGGGCTCCACCATCTGCACGCCGCGGCCGAAGTGTGAGGAGTGTCCGATCCAGCGGACATGCCGAGTGTACGCTGAGGGGCAAATTCTGTCCACAAAGAAAGCCGCCGTGACCACAGACGTGCCAGACATCGAAGACGCATGTACGCTGTGCTTGCAACTCGACACCGAGGACCTCGCGACCGCACCTGAGGATGCGGGTGACGATGACGAAAATGACGCCGCGCCAAAACCAGCAAAGAAGCGGAAGACAGAACAGAAGCCCCCTGCAAACACCATATCCAACTACTTCACCTCCCGCACGGCTCCAAACCCAAAACCAAAACCAGACCCCGCAACCCCAACCCTTAGCACCGAAGCTGCCCCTCCCGCTACGGAGTCTTCAAACAAGAGAAAAACACCGCCCGCAACGCCCGCCCAAGCAAAAGCAATAGCAACATACTGCTCTCTCTTCCCCAAAAAGATGCCCAAGAAAGCCGTCCCCGAGGAAGACGCCGTCGTTTGCATCATCTCCACGCCCTCCTCGTCCGCCCCCTGCACCACCCGCCGCTACCTCATCGAGCAGCGCCCCGCAAAAGGCCTGCTCGCGTCCCTGTGGCAGTTCCCCCAGCAGACACTGCTACCCGCTGACCAGCTCACCACCGAAGTACGGAAAGCGACAGCCTGCGCTCACGTCGAGAGTCTTGGTCTGGGGTCTTTGGATGTTGGTGAGGTTAGGGAGCTCGGGTCGCTGGTGCATGTGTTTACGCATCTGAAGCTGACGATGCATGTGGTGCATGTTGGGCTTGAGGGGGCGGCGGAGGGGGGCATAGGGGAGGGTAAGACGGCGAGGAAGTGGGTGGAGGAGGGGGATATGGGCGGGGCGACGTTGTCGACGGGCATGCGGAGGTGTTGGGAATTGGTTGCGGGGACTTAGGAGGGGGCGTACGCATCTGGATGAAGGATCAAGCGTCGTGAAACTTTGCAGGGGATTTTTATTTTGGATATCGTCTAGAAGTGGGAATGGGAGGGGATTGACGCTTTGTCATGTTCTTTGTGGGGATTTGGACTCGCGGGAATAAGAAACACTATTGTTTGGAGGAAAGTAGACAGTGGCGTCATGGTATGTACGACAACACAGTTCAGTTTGAGCAAGTTGGATAACAACAACGCTGGCTAATTCGTTAATCAGAGTGCCAATCACTCCCATCCGCCGTCTTCACCGTACCATCATCCGTCTTCCCCGTCTCATCCATCATACGCGCCAATCTCGCATTTCGCCTGTCCACGTCAACACCAGCTCAATAATATCACAAACAGGCCTACACACTTACTCCTCCCTCGCGACACTCTCACTGCTCTCACCCTTCTCCTCAATCTTGCTCTCCTTCAGCGTATCACTCCCCCAATTCGCCTTATCCCTCATTTCCAGCAGAATCTCCTTCAGCTCGGACACCTCCTGCTGCAGCTTCCGGACCTCGAGCACCGCAGTGTCGAACTCGACATTCGGCTTCGTGGACTGCACCTTCTTGTCCCACCCGTCGGCCTCGAAGTCGCACTCGCCCATGACCTGCTCCCACTCCTGGATGACGTCGTCGTCGTCCTCGCCGCGCTTGCGGTTCGTGCGGACCGTATGCGCGGCGCAGGTTTCCAGCCACGCCGTCACGATCAGCAGCGGGCTGTAGATGAAGCCCATGACGTAGTCGTTCAGACGGTCGTACTGTTGGCGGGGGAGCCACCATTCGAAGGGGAGGATGAGCACAAACATCTCGATGAGATTGAAGGGCGCGATGAAGACGTTTTCGTCGGGTGCGCGCACGAATTGCATGGTTTTCTGGGAGAAGAGCGCCATATACTCGTCGATGGCGTTCTCGGTGATGTCTTCGTACGCGGAGTTGTACAGCGCGATGAGGACGTTGAGAAGGATGACCATGACGACGAAGGTGAAGATGTAGTATAGGATCAGACCGAAGGGGTGCTGGAAGCGCTCAAAGCCATCGAACTCGGGGCTCTGCATGATGGCGTTGAGCATAGCTTGGATGACGAAGCCAGAGTCTTGGAGCGAGTTGTCGGTGAGGTCGAGACCGACGAATGCTTGCAGGAAGCCGATGATCACGACGATGAGGAGGGCGAAGAAAATGAGGGATTCGCGCATCATGACCTTGAGCACGACGAGCATGGCGCCAAAGAAGCGGAAGGTGTCGAGGTACAAGAGGAGTCGCATCCAGAACATGGGCGCTCCAAAGGCGAGGAAGTCATAGCTGAGCGTGTTGAAGTGTCCTCGCTTTTCCTCATCGTGTCCAGCTCCGTAGGCACACATGCGCAGGACGAAGGAGGTCGCCAGAAGTGCGTATAGCGTGGAGTTGAACACGTTCCAGAAGCCAATGTAGTAGCGGCCGACCTTCCACAGCTTGGCTGTTTCGTCGCAGATGAAGCCGAGAGTGAAAATGTACAACAACACTTCGACAACATCGAGATCGCCCGAGGGATTGATGGTGTTGATGGCACCTGTGTAGAGCGCAAGGAAGGCGACAGAGATGGCAATTTGGAGGGCGTTCTGGTATCGTGGGACTCTCATACGGTCAGGGTCCAAGTGCGACCAGTAAGAGGTATTCGTCTTGTTCTCCCAGTGGACGAAGCGACTGGGGTCTTCGTCGTCCTGGACCAGCCAGCCCCTCCACAGGTGTTGTATGCATTTCTGGTAGCCAGAGGACCCAATGACGGTCAGGGCATGCAAGTCCACCGCGCGCTCGATGACATTGGCAGGGGCCGTGGGTTCGCCGTCAACGAAGATGGAGTACCTCTTGAGCAGGATATGCTCCATAAGGTAGTTGTGGTCTTCCTCGTCTTCAATGATGCGCTTCGCCATCATCTCAGCAGCTGCCGCGCGGACCTCGTGGAGGTCAGCATCCCACAGCTCCGCCAGCGCCTGTCTCTTGAACCATTTTTGGACCACCAGCAGACAGTATACCACGCAAGCTGCGTAGTCCTCCCCGCCAGCCTCCTTCGCAGTCGCAATGACGGCTTGAGTGAGGACGTGACTGTGCGGTTTGGTAATGAGCTCTTCTTCCAGCTCGCACGGTATTACCTGTTCGAGCTGGTGCTTGAGGCGGAGCGCGACCTTGGTGACCTCTTTCGGTGGCATGGGCGGCGGCGGCGGGCGTTCGCGGCGCACGGGCAGTACTGGCACTTGTTAGGGAGCGTCCAAAACTGCAAATCTCTCGGTTACTGACGCGATCGCATCTCATCTTGGAGCCGGTGTCGCCTGTCGTGGCCGTCTGCATTGAAGAGCTTGCCCCAGCGTACCATGGCGGCGGGGAGCTTGACAGAGCTCCGTCTAGTGCTACGGCGGGTGAGAGTCGCGGTCGCACGCGAAAGTATAGGTTATCAATCACGCGAGAGGTCTTCCACCAGGTTATAGCACAAGATCGGCACAGGTCACGGAATCGGTGAGGAGTTGGCCTTGTTGCGAAACTTGGCTGCGCTAGACAACCAGGTTCGATAGCGGAGCTCCCCAAAGCAAGCTCCGTCATATCGCGATCTATCGACCCCACTGGCCCAAGCTTCCCGCTTCGCGTAAACGCGCCTGCTCACAAGCCTCCGCAACTTCCTCCTGTAATGCGCGCCCGTCTGAATCAGTGTCCGAAGACTGAATTGAGGGAAACGTATACAAATTGCAACACCTTTCCGGTGCGCTTGATATCTTGTCATTCCACCCGAGCACATGCATGATGGCGTCCACAGTCTACGCTGAGGCTGCCCACGACGCCTTGTCCAAAACCTCTACCGAACGCCAGATGCTCACTTTTGACGACCGTTTCGAACCAACAACCGCCGCTTAGTCGGCTTCGGCCACGCCACCCTCGTCGCTCGTGCTCTCGTCCTCGTCGCCGCTGACCTCCTGGTTCTCGCGCTCCCGCTTCTCCATGAGCGCTGCGAGCTCCGCATCGTCGTTCTCCGTGACGGCCTTGGGCGCCATCTTGACCGAACAGTCGCCGCCTGCTTTTGTTATGCTCGCCTTGATATCTTCGATCGCTTGCTCGAGGACCTGAATACCGATGCTCTTGTCGAGACACTGGGATGTGAGGACTGCGGGAATTAGTCTTGCGCAGGGTGCAAGCTGGATCAAGGTGTAATCGTACCGTATAGCGGCGGTGAAACCAGCTTCACCTTCACCTGTGTGTCTTGTGTGTTCTTCGCCTCGGCGGTTCGCAGAGCCTCCTTGACGGCGTCGATGCCCTCGTAGCCGAAGCAGGTCACTGCAACCGTTAGCCATAGTCTCTACGGGTGCATCGCGAACCCTACCCTCAATATCCGACCGCACCTTGGTGGGCTGCGGTGTGAGCCTCTTGCTGATGTATGTCTGCAGCTCGTCCTTGACTACGTCGTTGGGGAAGGTGACGTCCTTCCAGACATCGGGGTTGGTGATGGACAGCTTGAAGGCGTCGATCGAGTGTCCGTACTTCTTGTTCAGCGGCCAGCCGATGTTCTCATACAGCTCCTGGATGGGGGTTTCGGTCTTCTCGGCGACGTGGCGCATGATGGAATGCACCATCTTGGACTTGTTGTACCGCTCCTCGCACTTGATGATATCCTCGGGAGACACACGGCGCTTCGACAAATCGATGTAACCCTTGTCCTTGTCCACACGCAGCACAACGACGACCTCGTTACGGCCAACGCGAATGAGCTTCTGGATCGAACGAATACGACGCCGCGAGAGTTCGGAGAGCAGGATCATGCCGTCGATGTTGTCTGCCAATATTAAAATAAGGCTCCAATCTTTTGTCCTTCTTTGACCCACCGTATTCGAGCAGCTTGACGTAGGCACCCATCTCGGCGATTTGCTTCACGTTCACCATGACGAAGCTCTCCACCTCAGGGTACTTCTCCTCGTAAAACCGGGAGTTTGTGAGAGACATGGTTGCGACTGGCTCCGGCGGCGGAGGCTTGCGATTATTCGGTGGGTAGGGCGACTGTATCGGCGGCTGCGGGGAGGAATAGGCGGCGCGTGTGGAGGGTGAAATCTATCGATGAGTCTTGTGCGCCCCGCGCTGTTGGTTGCCAAGACGCTAGAATGGGCCCCGCTGCGGCGCCTTCCTCATTTTGAGGGACCACATCCAACATCACGACATGACAAAGTATGCTGCTACGGTTCCAGTTGCGATGACTGCGCCCAAGAACATCGAGATGGTATGACCTTAGTATGCTTGTGTGCAATCACCGCCGCGAACTTCGTCGTTTGATGTCTTCTGTGGAGCCTGAAGGCTATTTCGAACCAGCACCTGCAGTTGCACTTTCGAGATAAACAGAGCCTGGCCGTCAACAGGAATAGCCTGGAAGTCAAGTTGAGACGGGCGGACTTGAGGTATCTGGTACTTCCATGGCAGATCTGTCGCGTTATATCGTGCAGGGAAAAGCGGATTACAAGACGTGCCCCATGAGCGTTATTAAGCTTAACAAGTATGTTCTGTGGACATATCGTCCAGTGTCACTACTGGCATCATCCGTGAAGCCGGCTCTCGGCTGTGCGTCCTGCTCGCACTTTCCTGATCTATGTATGGACGTAACACAGTAGGCTACCCTCGGCATATGGATGCGGCAAAGATACCTTTCTTCGAGGTGCAATCCACTAGGGCTGAGAGCAATGTGTATCACAAATGGCTAACGGTCTCACGTATCACTATGTGCATAGGCGAAATACTTCCCTAGGCAGACGGCGTCGTATATGGACAGATAGTTCCGTTCCATAACAGAGCAGAAGACCGCAGCGTTCCTGTTGCTCCCTTGAGGAAATGGCATTTCGAAACATAATTGTTTTTCTATATTTCACTCCTGGTAGCCGCACCATTCAGCGCACGATTGCCTCGTCTCCGCCGTGTTCTCTCAGTAACCTGTACCAGATCGACATCAATAAACCTCAACGTGTAACCTCAGGCGGCCTTCAACCATAGGACTCGTTCGCAGAGCCTCAAATCTCACGCCCTCATTGCAATTGCGGGCATCGAACTGAACCAGCCGCCGCCGCATTGGTCCCACGTCAACCGCACGTGCGCTCGAGCAAACACAGCCGTTTGTCCCCCACCGCATACCCATTCACCTGGCCAACTGTTTCTGCGGCCCTCCGCACACGCTCTATATAAACACTACCTCTCTCCTGCCTCTCTGCCCTCACCCACTCTTTTGACCTCGACCTCGATCTCGACCCCGTCTCTTCGACCGACAATCTCTCCAGCTCTTTCTTAGCTTCAAGTCGAAACACTACTTACCACTCACCACAATGGTTTCCTATCTCTCCCTCGTCGCCATTGCGGCGCTTGCCTCCCTCGCCTTAGCGCAAGGTACGCGGATGCGCGCTCGGGCAGGCACTCCCTGGACACCATGCTGACATCCCAACCCCAGGCCCCGCCAACTGCGCTGCCGGTGTCCAAATCTGCGGCTCAACCTGCTGCACGGGCCCCGCGACCGCCTTTGAGTGCCTGAACGGCGCCTGCGTCCCGCTCAATGGCCCGCTCCCCGTCCCCACCGGCTCGCCCTCCATCAGCATCACGCTGATCACGTCGCCCGCCGCGCCCAACACCACCGTCTCCGTTCCCGTCGTCTCCCTCTCAGAGACCACCGTGGTGGCGACCACCAACGTGACGTCGTGGTCTACCACCGCGTTTCCGACTGGCAACCACACCGCGACAGGCACCGGCGCGAGCGGCACCCACCACGCGTCTGGCACCGAGACTGGCAAGCCTGAGCCGTCTGGTGCTGCGGGCGTCGTGCGCGCCGGCACTGATCTCCTCGGTGCTGCTCTCGCGGTTGCCCTTGGTGCCTTGTAAGTGATGTCGCTTCTGTATGTATTGCGGCCCTTGCTATGTAGCCACACACTAACTGACAAGTACAGGTGATCCGGGATGATGATACAACTATCAACTCTTGTGTCTGTCTGTCAATGATATCAGTCATGATCGAGGCTGTGGCAGTGTGACATAGCGTGAATAGGTGTAATGGCAGGTGCTTCACGAAAGCGGACGCGGAAGTTGCGTTCTGGCACTCGGTCGGCTGCATGAAAAAAGTAACGGATTGAAACGGAATGGGTATTGATGGATTGGACATACCGACATCGTACACCTCATCTAGCGAAATGAAAGAACCTCTCCAATTCCTTTCCTGCTCTTGCGGTGCCATCGTGATACTGTTACACTGCCTTGTCCCATCTCTGCCCTGACAATGGCTACGCAAAGGCCGGTCAAGCCCCAATGCTGCCTCACACCTGTCAATGATTCCAAGTCATAACCCTAATCTCGATTACCACCCCAAGCTACCGATGATACCTCGTCGCCTCCTTCGCCTCCAGCTCCATCCACTGCACCCCATCCGCCTCATGATGTATGATATGCACCCCCTCCACACCCTTCTGCCCATACTCGGGCGGCAACGTGTACTCGGAATCCACCTCCCTTACTGCAAACCCAGGCAGTTCCTCCACACCGCGTCCCCGCTTCCGCCGCCACAGAAAGAATCCACCCGCCGCAACAGCCACCGCACCGAGTACAGCGCCCACGCCGATCCCCGCTGTGGCACCCGTCGACAGGCTTGACTTTGGAGATGCTGCCGATGACGATGGAATCGGGGACGATGTCGCGTCCACAGAACCAGTAGCTGTCGTCACGGCCGTGGAGAGCGTCGTCGCCCCCGTTTTCGCAGCGCCAGATGCTTTCGCCGTGGACGTGGCGTTGACCTGGTCGCATAGGTCTTGAGCGAACTTGAGTGTGGTAGCCTGGTCTTCGGCGTTGCAGGAGCCCTGCATGCAGCTGAAGATGGTGGGGACTTGGTTATTGCACATGCACTCCATGTCGAGGAGGGCGCATTTGCCGTGGTTGTTGCTGATGCATGTTTGCTGGAGAAATTGTCGTTAGCTGATGATTACAGTAGCTGCCCGGGGAATGTCGAGGCGTACAGCACACTTGGGAAAGCCAGTCAAGTCGGTGGGAGCATCTGAGCCAGCGATGGTCCCTAGAAAGAGCGACACCACGAGTGCGAGGAGGAGAGAGATGGACATTGCGTCATGGGTGACAGCCAAAGAAGACAGCAGTCATCAAAAACTTGCTCCTGGTCGATTTGTCTCGCAGAAGGAAGCCTTCAAGAACGAAGGTGCACCCATCTAAGGCTGGAGCGCCCGAGGAGTCAGGCAGAGATATCGCACTCGCTCGAAACGAGCGGCTCGTCGCGACTTGTTGCTTCATCAAACATGCTTACGGGTTGTGGTGCACAGGATTTGAGCAGAGAGGTGGTATTGGTCAATCCCGCGCCCCCTGCAGGATCGCTAGCAACATGGAATACTCTGGGGCCGAATCGGACCAATCCTGGGATGTGGCGGACGCCCCAAACCGTGTAGAAACTCTTCCGGCAGACGTGAAGGCCCAATGGGGGTCATGCCGCTCTCTGACCGCGCCGCTGGTCTTACTTTGGGTCCGTGTGGGGTTCTTGACGGCGGTATCGCTCGGAAGGAAGGAGCGCCCTGCCGCAGAAGGCTGAGTATTGGAGCGCGACAATGGAGCAAATGCCGTAATAGCACTCAGGCTTTTGACAGGTCGTAAGACCTCCAAGGACTGTTGCGGAGTCGCTCACCACTCCCATGTTTGTGGAGGGCCCGAATGTGAGAGAGTGACAGCACTGTGTCTCTTCCTACGCAGAGAAGAGAGTCCCAACTTGCGGACACACAGCGTAGGAACTGCATCGAGGCTGGATCATTGATTTTCGAAACGTAAAACGTATCTAGGAAGGGTGTGCCTTGCATGCGTCACAAGTACACCAACCGGACGTATCTGCAGAGTCGGATAACATACAAAATAGGGCCCCGCCAAGAGTTTGGACAAGCGGTAGTATAGAACCTATCCAATAACGTCTATGGGCACAGGCCTATGCGGTGCCTCGCACGCGTGGGTGCAATTTTATCTGCAAGGCTGCCGCTGTTGCCAATAGTGTGAACGGCTCGAGGGGATGTTGGTAGCATTGATCCGTTGAGGCACAGGCAGGCCGGTAGATGGGAGTTCAATACGATATATGGCTGGGTGAGGCGCGGGTTAATCGACTTGGTGATAGAGGCCGTTGCATTGAAGCTTGCGGCCGGGGTGTTCAGAATTTCTCATGGTTTCCGATCGGAAAAAACCATTCAACAACTTCGGGCGCATTGACACAGGTTAAGTTTCTTTTTACGGGTAGCTGGGTTGATGAATGATTGGTTCGGCTCGCGATGCTCGCATGTGGCTTCTCGTAAGAGACTTTGTTTTTGTTGCCGTTTTATGATTCAACAACCACGCCGCATTGCGGGTGCCGGGCTGCTGGGTTCGAGAAACACTATCTCTATTTCGCGTTCGGATCTCCTGAGACCAGGACCAAGTCTGCTCCATATGTGTTGGATTACATCGTGGGCAGATGTATGTGCTGAAGGTAATTAGCCTGAAGAAAGGTTAGGAAACCACTCTCTCAATTCAGATCGTGCGTCGGATAAGCATCCTGTTGCGAGTCAACATAGGAAAAGGATAAGCATATGAATGAACTATGTGTACACGAAGAGAAAAGATGGCGACTGCTGTCAGCAAGTGAGACATGGGAGCGGTGGTTTGGTCTGGCTAGGCGAGCTACCTGTATACAGAAGGCTACCGGGGTACATAAGGTTTTTCCTTCCAGAGGCCAGAGGAGCAAATACCACTAAAAACATATTCGGCATAGCGGAACAACCTCCAACCATTGTATATATCTTCTAGCAATAATTGATCTCATAACGAAAGAGGCTCCCATTTCTTCTTTGACTTCTTACGAACAGAAAACGTGACACCATCGTCGTCATGCGAAGTCCGCTCGTCACTGTTCACACTTGGTGAATCCTTTGACCGAAAATTGGCCCATACATCTTTCCTGGTGTCATCTTGTGTCGCTCCAGGGTGCGCTAGTGCTGGAAAGGCCTCTTCTGCTTCAGAATTCTCTCTATATTCCGAGCTCCTTGAGGTGGTGCTTCTTACGTTGCTTCTGGGTGGTGGAGACTCTAAGAAAGTTCGGAGTGGAAGGTTTGCCCAGAAATTCTCAGCCGCATGCTGCGGAATTCCCTGGACGCCACTAAGTTCTGGATATGACGACAACGGAGGGGGAGTTTCAGGCTCCAAACGTTTCCGTACTCTCTGTGGTTCGATCTCCATAAAGAATGCAAGTTTCGCAGCACTCGATAGGAACATCCCCTGTTCTTCCATGCCTGACGCCGCGTCTTCAGTCGGTGCTTCTACAAAATCCCACAATGTTGCATATCGGCTTTCTTCAAGATCATAAACTTCCGCTGCTGACTTCTGGAGTTCGGGAAACTCATTCTCAGTTGGCATCCACGGCCGACGTATGCGCGGTGTAGATGCTTTAGACCTTTCTATATCCTTTGACTTTGGGAAGACATTCCTAATTCGTGGATCTGGATGTCCAGAGGCCATACCCCGGGCAGTGACGATGAAGGAATCTTCAGTTCGGATGCAGATATCAGGATTCGCACCGTGTCTCAAGAGCATCAACACGATCTGGAAGACATCCTCATAGAGCTGCCTCTTTATGATTCCAATTTTGCGCGCGTCCTTCTGGATGATCCGAAGCAGAGCTACGTCGCAGTCATGCGAACTGCACGGGATGTGCTCAAGGTAGTATCGGACCAAGCTCACGAGTTGCGCCGCACAAGCCATCTGTAGTAGCGTTTGCCTTGTCGAGGATGTAAATGATGCTTCACTGGAATCGAGTTCTTGAGATAGTATCATGGCCACATTCTCGTGTCTTGACAATATCGCCAATGCAAGAGGGAGTCTCTTTCCGTCGACAAAATGACTTGCCCCAAACTCTAGAAGCATCTTGACTATCCTCTGGTGTCCATGACGAGCCGCCGTTGCGAGCGGGGTTAGCTGCTTGCCCACTAATCTTGTTGAAAACTCAATTCGGGTGTTTACGTCGCCGCCTAGACGTATTATCCTTCGTGCCATGCCCACGAGGTTCCTTTTGGCGGCAAAATTCAATAGACTGCTTCCACTACTCACCACATCGTGGCGAACTATGTAACGCATGACAACTGGATAGAACCTTTGACTCGCTCGCGCGAGATGACTACAGTCCTTCTGATGTCCTAGGTGCTGCGCAATCTCGAGCACAAGCTCATTTGGCAGGGCATGAATCCCGACGTTGTATCGATATCGAGACAAGTAATCCGCAACAAAGTCTTGAAGCCGGCGATTCACCCGACCTAGCTGCCTGAGATCCGACGTGCAGAGAAGATACGCGATCTCGAGGAAAACTTCGTTGGGTAATTGTGGGAGCACCAGCGGTTGATCGGTTTTCCTTCGCGCTGGATTCATCATGGAGAACTATAGGTGGAAGTGATCAGTCTAGAAATACTCTCTTGAGAAGTCGAACATACGGTTCTGCAAGAATACTAATCTTTTGATTTCAGATTCGGGCGCACGCAGCTGCTTCACATGTGCAGCGACTATACTCCACAAAAGCATTGACTATTTCAAATAAATCAGGCCACAAAAGGGATCCTGGGTTGCACAAGTAGGCGAGCTTGTTATTCGTTGGAAATAAGATAGGGAACACAGAAACGACCGGTGAGACTTGCAAATTGAGATGGTGAAATGCGGTTGTGACGTGGCGTGCCGCTTTTCTTGTGCAACGCAGCTCGCAGTAGCGCTCGATAGTTGCATGGAATGTGACCTCTTTGCCGGGGCTTGCGATTAGATTTCTAGTGGTGTTACTGAGCCTCTTTCTTCTGGCTTGTTGTTCTCGTGAGTTAGGACAGCCACACTCAACGTTCAATGCCTCACTCGGCGCTGCTTAACAGCCTCCAAATAAATCGGGAAGCTGGCATTAAAGTTTCGATGCTTGCCTTCGACGGATTCAAGCCTCTCGTTATTAGGGGGGTAACATTAAAAATAATGTAACATGCTAAAGGGAATGTGACATGAATAGGTGCATATCCTGCTATATGTAGCCCGTCCGCCACGCGAGTGGGGGAGTGTGGGGTGAAGACATTGGCAAGTTCATTCCCTGCTTCATTTGGCCTTCTTCATCTCCCAAACACATTCCATCTACTAGTGTAACGAGATGTTACAGATATATTCAGCACAGTCTCATGCTTGAGTTGGACTCCATAGCATTATTCGCTCCGACGCGAACATGGTCGGCAGGAACCAGCACGAAGGTGGACAGAATTCTGACGACGAGATAGACATGGGCTTTTGCGAAAGCGGTGCGCAGAACTACTGTGCTGATAATAAGTTGAATAGGAATGGTAAGTAGCATGCTCCCGTAAAGCTTGCAGAGCTAACAAGTAATAGGAAATAGCACTCAGAAGAACAGCAAGTCAGCAGAGATCGCGAGTGAAAAAAAATTGGCGAGATTATGCGGTGCAGTTCGGACGATCTTGGAGTGTATCGGCGAAGATCCCAGTCGCGATGGCCTACTAGACACACCAACTCGTTATGCGCAAGCGCTTCTTTTTTTCACCAAGGGAAATGACGACGTTCTTGCCAATATCGTCAACAATGCTGTCTTTAAAGAAGATCATGATGAGCTTGTCCTCGTGAAAAACATAGAAATATTCTCTATGTGCGAGCATCATCTAGTGCCCTTCACGGGAAAGGTACGCAGATAGTAGCCTCAAACAACGCTGAGAATCTAACGTTGATAGATGCATATTGGGTACATCCCTAGCGGCGGTCGAGTAATCGGACTTTCCAAGCTCGCGAGGATTGCCGACATGTTTTCCCGCCGACTACAGATACAGGAACGCCTCACCAAACAGGTAGCCCTGGCGATATCTGAGATCCTCCAGCCAGAAGGCGTCGCGGTCATAGTGGAGTGTAGCCATCTCTGTATGGCCATGCGTGGAGTCCAGAAAACAAGCGCGACTACAACAACTAACTGTATGCTGGGTAGCTTGAGCTCTGATGCAACAATGGGGCGAACATTTCTGGAGCTTGTGAAGTTGTAGATTAGATAAAACTTCACAATTTATCACGATCCACGACCGCAAGTGTTCACCGTCAAACATCAATGAACGTAGGTTGGACCGTAAACGACGGGTTAAAAAGCGCAACGAGGACCCAGCCCACAACTACGGTTTGCCACAAGTGTGACTGAAAGGTGTGGCTCGACGGCCTAGCATGGCTTAGCTTGGAGTCTGTACATGCAAAAGCTTTGAGCCAATCTATCTATCGCCTAGCGTAGCTTAGCGTTACTTGGTACAGCTCTAGACAACCAATCATCTTCCCGCGGTACTACGTAGTCACCTACCACAATTGCGAGCCGCTTCCTCGCTGTGCAATATTGTTGGATGTATTGCAACGCGGCCTACTATGCACGCTTGGCCTCGAACGTTGACATGTACTTGCGAAATATGGCCCGAAGATTTCAATTCGTTCAAATCAATCGGACTAGCGTACGCCGGTCACTTTTTGCATTGATTAACATTGCCATGACAGCACTATGAGAAGAACCTGATTATTTGACAGAGAATCAGCATGACCCTAAAGCCAATATGCTGTTCTTCTGAGTCAAACACCGTCAAACACTAAGAGGCTTCGGATGTTGACCCTTCCATATCCATGTTCGCGTATTAGTTGCCGGCCGCCGTGCACCGGTAGCTCGGCTACGACTACTACACTCACATCGTCACGGGCGACGCCGACTTTCTCCAAAAGCTGTAGCACCGCACAAAGTGTTTTTCCTGAGGAGAGGACATCGTCCACAACCGCCACCGACGCGCCTTTTGGGATTGCATCTCGCTCTATTTCTATTCGTTCTTCTTCCTGAGGATCGGTCGCCAGAGAAGATATATACGACCGCGTCGTGTTCACAGAAACAGTGGGTGGGGGTAGCTTGCCAGCCTTGCGGATTGGTACTAAGGGTATATGGATCTGCGAGGCCAACGGTGATGCATAGATGAACCCGCCCGCTTCGCAACACACCACCACGTCGATTTCTGCCCAGTCACCGGCGAAGTGAGTACGCAGCAACGATGTACATAGGGCTAATCCAGACGGTTGTTGAGGGATACCCAGTACATGGCGAAAATTTGTGCCCTGGTGAGGGAAGTCGGGTTGGGATCGCACCATTCCGGCCAACTGCTGAAGATCGTCATTTAAGAAGGGGAGCAGATGATCTCGGGCAAAGCTCTTGGCTGCTTCCTGTCCGGTAGTTTCATTGTTGAAGATGAAGCTGGGGGAATAATCTAGGGATTTGAGACTGCTATCCCTCTGACCGTCAATGCAACCATTTGCCGTGATGCCGCTTGGGTATCCTCTACGAACCTGGCATATCTTTTCGCTGGCTTGGACGTAAACTTCGAGTAATCTTCGATCCGGTACCAAGTGCGAGAAGGCTGCTACTGGGGCCTCGTCTCTCATTCCGGTAATTAGTAACACATCCGCATCTGCCTCGCTGTGCACCACCTTCAAGAAATGCTCCTTCAGGAGAGAAGGACGTTCTTGTACTTGTCTTTGGAAGAACGATGTCATTTCTGATCGATGATGTTCCTTGTAGGCACGATCGTTCAACAACAAGTCTAGGTCGGTACCAGTATCCTTCGCATATTCCTTCTTGGTCACATCGCTGATGCTGACTATGCGGGCCGTGAGGCTCATGTGGGAGCATCCCATCACCGTGTGCCAGACCTTCGCACAAAAGTCTTTACCGGATCCGCTTTCGCCCGTGACCATGATGATAATCTTCTGTTCCATCCGTGCCGTGGAGATCGGGCAGGTGTAAGCCAAAACATTGCACGGGTCTAGACTGCGTTTGAGATGGGTCAGACGCGGCAAGTTTGGTCCGAAAGCTTTGGCGGCCAGCGCAACATCTCTGCGGTCTGATCCGAGGTCTGCGCCATAAGCTCCGCAGCTGAAGGGCAACAGTTTATTAGCAACATCGTAAACCCACTGCACGGAATTCTGGGCGACTTGGGTATGGTCTAAATCGCGCTGCCAGACCCCGGTGACCACGCATGCGAATTCCCAAGCGCGAGACCCGAAAGCCGTGGCATCAGCCGCAACATCGCCAACCGCTCCGCCACCATGCAACAGATGGAGGTAGCATAGTGACGTTGGACATGTCTCCATAGCCGCTGCCAACAGATACGAGAGTCTGGGTCCGCCAATGTCTTTCAGGAAGACACATCGTTTAAATGAGGAGGTTTTGCCGTTTCCGTGTCCTCCGTGTAGCGTCGAGACATATAGCTCAGTTTGAAACAGATCGACCCCGTTGACGACTTGCAAATTGTCTTCAGGTCCCCAAATCGAATCTCCCGTCGTAGGTAGAGGCGTTGCAGAAGTGGGCTCGGTAATGTAATTTTCGATCATGGTCATGCCAAACTGCAGTTGACCGGCATCACGGTACAAATACCCATCTGCGGACGAGTTCCGTTGAAGTTTCTTCGCGATAAGTTTGTCAAAGTCGCTAATTCGTGACCGTAATTCTTTGACGCCAGTCGAGGGTAAAATCCAATTTCGGACCACATGATTGAGAGCAGTATAAGTCTTGAAGGTTACGCTAATCACGATTCCAAAGTTTGTGCCGGCCCCTCTCATCGCCCACAACAGGTCGTGTCCGCAATCTGGGAGAACAGCGTCGGTTGGTCGGTGTCGACTTGGGACGTGGCCTACGTACAGTACTTGGCCAGACTGAACACTGACGATGACAGCACCGACAATAGCATCACATGCAAGACCGTATCGTCTTGCTAAGTGTCCGATACCACCCTGCAGCCATAGGCCAGCACCGACACTCGGACGAGCTCCCAAGGGTATTGTGATGCCAGCAGCCATAGTCTTGCGAACGATGTCACCTGTCTTGCACCCTGCCTCCACGACGACGAAGGGGCCAGCATCGTACCCAGCACCTCGGTCTTCTCCCTTCGCAACAATATGTATCTGATCGAAAGCACACATGTCGATGGAGACAACAGTGGGCCAAAGACAATGACTGCTATGTCCTCCGCCGATTATTGTTAGGCTAAAGTCATGCTTCAGAGCCCATCTAACGCACTGCTGAACTTGCTGAATATCGGTCGGTCTGACCACTGAGGCAGGTCGATGAGAGCGAGCCATCCAGTTCTTGATTGTAGTGCTGCTGTCGGCTGTCGGCACCTGCGCCGTCAGCTCCGGCAACGAGGTCGCATCTCGGGTGAAGACGATCATGACTTCAGGCGCGTTGAATAGAAGGTAGTTCGGGGATCCTTCCTCGCGATGACCCAAGGTCCGGCAGGCGTGGCGCCAATCCGCCCAAATGGCGCTCCCAATGTCTTTATCCTCTGTTTGAAAGCCTGCTATAAAAAGCGCAAATTTGTTTAAGTCTTCATCATTGTCTGCCACACGGACAACTCCCGTGCTAAAGATACTTATTCTATTGCACACCAGGCGGCGAAAGTGTAGTGATCCGCTGCGATGAAACACAACCACCATTCCTTTCTGTGGTCTGTCTTTGATCATTCCCAATGCATATTCGATGACCTTCTCTTTCGATTGCATGCCGTACATGCTGTGGCAAAATAAAATCAGGTCGTAATTGTTTCTGGCGTTTCTAAAGCAAGCATTGTGGTCAAGCCCCATATTATCTGGTATGGAAAATGGGCATTGATGAATGACGACTGGATGCTCCAGACTGGGCAGTATTGGCTCTGTTGGAATCTTAGAGCAGAGCGACTCATTCAACCTTTTCGCAAATGAGCTGTTTGGCTCGAAGGCAACGTATTTCCCAATTTTTCGCCTGAGACGGCCGGGGAGGTGTCCAAGTACGCTGCTCGGACCAGGTCCAACTTCCAGTATGGAAACGGGGCTTTGTGAATCAACAAGGAACCTCAACAGCTGATTGAGTTGAGGAGTGATAAACTCTTGGTACGACACCTTCGATGCTTGAAGCAAGACTTGAAATCCATCACTGTACTGTTGCTCCGACAGTGGCTGTTGCTCCAGGAATACGGATTTGTTCATTTGGATTCTCAAGGTCTGTTTGAGGTGATCGAGGGTGGCCATTTTGGCTAAAGATCTTCGTGTGCTGAGGAAATCAAAGTTTATGCCTGCTATGATCTTTCTCTGAACGTGCCCCGCAGCTATGTGTGAAGCAAAGAAGCTGTGAAATGCATGTGTCCCGTTTATGCGATACCTAATTGCAGAGGTTGCGCACGAGTGGTAGAACGCGGGTGCAAGGATCGGGTTATCCTGCGTGTCGGGGAAGCGAAGGCTTGCAACCTGCAGGGTGTTGGAAGATAGCAAGGCATCAGCCGTGGGCCTCCCGTAGCTGCAGTTATAAACCTTGTCAATGTTCACCAATTGAATGCTCGAACGCGCACGCAGATGCAAATGTCGTCTCTTGCCAGCCCTGCCCAGCCATAGAAAAGTCTTGGGATTAGACGTCACGTTGCGAACGCGATCAGGTTATATGATGAAAGTTTCGTAACTGCTGCCGCAATCTTAGCAATATGTGTCAATGTTATGCCGATTCTTCAGCCATTGTGTCAATTTGAATATCTCGCCTTCATACAATCCTTGGCTGCACTCTTTCCTGAATATGTGTTGGAACAGATCCGATAATGTCGTGATACCTGTATCACTTCCGCAACATCTGAATGGATAGACCGACCCACTACACTCCGATTGGACATCGTCACGGTTGAGCATTCCGTCCCGAAACCTTTATCAATAGATGCCTTCCATTGTAACACATGGCAGTAGACTCGTTCAAGTCCAAGTTGCTAGTGTGGGGCGGGCATATGCTGGCCTCCGAATGAAAAATCATCGCAGGATAGATAACGAATGTCCTGTAGCAACCGTAGCACGCAATCGATCGTTTCAGATGCACGATTCTCTACTTTACGTATAGTTAGCTTTGTTCTGATATGATAGATATTTCTTTTACGTGATATGGATTGTTCGGAGTTTCGATATGCTCCTCATAAGGCTGGCAAAGGTTCCTCTCCTTCACATGAGTAAGGTACTCCTGCGACCCAGTAGCCTGTCTCTTACGTTGCAGCTCTGACACACACTTCGGTGCTCGGGCTCCCAATAATTTCGAAGGCATATGCTCCAATTCAAAGCATCGAATCCACAAACTTCGCAGCGAAAATGATTAGAGGACATTTTGAGATGTTGTCGTAATGCTTGCTGGGAGAAGAAGTCTCTATCGCTTCGAGAACACCATGTATTCCTTCTTGCTCTATCAAAGATATCAGAACAACAGTAGGAATTCGAAGGCGCACACCTAATCCATCAGTATACGTATGACTGACCTTTGCATGTTTGTTATACTGATGGAATAGAAGCGAGCGCAGCTGTCCAGCGGAGATGAACATTTCCCCGCTGCAAGTCTTCGCTAAATTAGCGCTTCAATTCCGGATCCTTCAATGAAGGTTATTCCGATCAGACAGAAGGCGGGTTTGCGCAACGGACTTGATCAAAGATACAGAGTAATTGTAGACTTGCACTATCTAGTCGGCTAAAGCTACGCCGCACAAGACATGAAGAAAAGAAAGCCGCAGAGTACAATTTCAAGCTGCATCAGCGGAATTCGCCTACTACCGGCGTCTTCTAAGTCCATCTTAAGAAATCAGCTCTACACTATACATGTCACCTCGTTCAACATACCCGAGCTCGCGTTAGTAGCGCCAGGAGAGCGAAATGGATATGGAAAAGGCATATCCCAGGCAGGGCTCACCTCTTCTACCATAGGAACCGTTTTCACATCCATGGCAGACCAGAGTTCCGATCCTAGAATTGGTAGATGTTCATGTCGGGATGCGGCATGATACCATCTTAGGCAGGGTCACCAAGCGAGGGATGAAGGCCCGATTGAGGGTCCACCATGAGCGATTATGTGACATCAAAAACAAGCGTAGTGGACCACAATACCAGGTCACTTCACCAGTGTCGTCACTGACTATCTTTAGATGCGTGATCCTAGCGCTCGTAACTTGCAAGCTTTCCAGCCCTGACTGCATCTGTGACAGGGCTCTTTTTGAGGCTCTCTATGCTCTTGTATACTCCCTGCGCAGGATACGCGAGCAGTCCGAACATTGCTATTGCTTCAATTAGCATTGACCTCTGTGGTGCACAGATCTAATTTTACTCACCACTCCCAGGCTTCGCCACCATATTCATCGAGCCTTTGCCGACACCTTTGATAAAACCCAAAGCGCCCTCCTTCTTGGCACCAGCGTACGGCTTAGTCACAATGTCCGTGATCCCCTCATAGAACCCTGTGCCAAAGTTCTGCCGGCGTCAGTGTGAAACAGAGTGGGCCATGCACTACACATACCTTCGCAGCAACTACACCTCCACTCTTCCAGTCTTTCACTTTCTCATGACCTTTGATTTCCTCACCATATAGCCTTGGGGCATTCCTGAGCCCCTCTGCAAGTGCCAAAGGCATACCCACCAGAGCGCCTTTGCTCAAGCTTGTACCCATGGAAGTGACCCCTCTACCCACAGCAGCGACTGCTGCCAAATCAGCCGACCCTCCATCACCACCTGCAAGTCTAGCTTGTTTGTGTTGCTTGAACGGGTCGATAAAGGTACCACCCAGAGCGGATGTAAAATCGGTCAGCACGCCGAATGTAGCCGACGCACCAGCAGACAACGGATCAAGCCGTTCCACGTCCATATTGTAGTCCTTTGGTCGATATCTTGTTTCAATGAGTATCGAGAGCGTCTTCGAGGTAGGGAGGAACAACTTACGGTACTGCATCTGCGAGCTTGGCTTGGCCTTCGGAAACCTTCTCTTTCAATGCCGCATGAGACAATTTCGTCTCCGCTTTCGACTTCGATAGACGACACACCCAGTCTGCCGCACGTTGAGGTAGAACGTCACAAGATATCTTCGGCATATCTAGGTGACGATGGAAGGATTGCACAGCCATCTCAACTCCGTTCTCGCGGCGCATCTGTTCTGCGACAGCTCGGGCGGCCTGCTGAGCTGCGGGAGTTAGACAGAACTTGATAGCTTCTGCCAGGTTCTCGCTGTTAAGGGCGGTATGCGGTATCGGAACCGGTCCTGCCCCGTTGCTGGCAACCACGTTGCCCCAGAAGGGCTGGCTATTTCACATGTTAGCGATAAGGCATACTACTGGAGAGTAGGGTGGAAACATACTCGCCGAAGAAAGGTACGATCACTGTCGGCCGAGCGTTATAAAGACCACAGGCTGTGGTGCCAGCTCCACCGTGATGAACGACAGCAGAGACTTGCTTGAAAAGCCATTCTATAGGATATCATCAATAGCCGTAAACGCGGGGTTTCGAGACACCTACCATGAGGACAGTCTCCCAGGTAGAAGACATCGTTTGTACTCGGGTTATCCCCTCCTAGTTTACTCCAACCTCTGGACACAATGACTCTGACGTTGGCAACCCGACAAGCCTGGATAATTGATTCGGTCATTCTTTTCACGTCTTCCAAAACGATGCTTCCGAATCCAATATACACCGGGACTGGGCCGGCGCGAAGAAAATTGTCGAGGTCTTGAGGTGGTGTGTATGCAGGTTCATCTCGCATGAAAAATCCGCAGATATCTTGTACGTGTTAAACGAAAGACCCCGCGACATGGGATATCAAAGTTGGCATATTTACCGATGTTTGAGCCCCAATCCTGGGGCTTGGGGACCAGTGCAGGGGACCAGCAGTAGGTAAATGGTAATTTCAAGAAGTCAATGAGATCTGGGCCCATGCTTGTATGGACGGGTTCCAAGTGTAGATCTTTCACACGCCATTTGTTGATCACATCGCCTAAACTGCATCTTCAAATTAACTCATGACCGTCATCGAGCGTACATTTTGATTCGCTCCCGCGACGCTTACCCTTGCCAAGTCATGATATTGACAATGCCATAGCTGAAGTAGTTTGCTTGAGATCGTCGTATATCTCTAGCTTTCACCTTCGTAAGTGGATGTGGGAATGCACGCGTTGCCGTCCATGGCATAGTAAACATTAGGTGGACAGGAATTCCCAATGCTTGCGCACAATGCACGTGTGCGAACGATGGAGGGTTCGCAATGATTGCGTTTGCAACAAATGGCTCCTTTGAGATAGGATCTGGTAGTATGCAGGAGTCCCAACAGCCTCGCAACATTTCCTGGATCATGCGTCGTTTACGTGGAATGTCTCCTCCTTTCAGGGAATCGAGGGATGGAAGCAGGCCGGGATTACGCACCATATACTAATGAACGAGTCAGATTGCAATATGACAGTGATGTACGACATGCGCACTCACAGACATCAAGTCCTCAGGGTCGCCTCCAATTGGGTAGAACTCTAATCCTGACTTTCGCACAAAATCTGCGAAGACATTGTGAGTTGCTAGCCGTACGCGATGTCCATAGCGTTGGAGAGCAGTTCCCAAGGCGATGAACGGCTGCACATCTCCTCTGCTGCCAACCACTTGCACGATAATGTTCAGCGGAGGGCATTTCCTCGGAGACTCCACCTCTGGTTCTGGCACAGCGGGCCGGTGTATGGGTAGCAACTTGGTCAGCTCATCGGGGGCTGCGGACTCAAGATCAACGTTCAAAGTTCCATCGGCTGCAATCTGTCAGTGTTGCGCATGACACGAAAGCGGTACTCATACCGTTCAGTGTAAACGAGGAGGCGAGAATAGCGCCAGAAGACAGGAATGAGTAGGGAGGAGGCTCATCCCAGACAGGACTCTCCTCCTCTGCCTTAGAATCTGTATGTTTGGCGACCATGGCAGACTGGAGTTCTGATCCTAAAACGGTGAGAAGTTCGTTTCAGGATACAGCATGATAACAATCTAGAAAGGGTTTAAGAGCGAGAAATTGATGCCCTCGAATCGGGCCTAACGGAGGTCGAAGTGAGGTAGGCTAGCAACGGCCTTTTTCTAATTTAGCTTAGCTCCAAAGTCAGAATATACGCGATACGTTGTCCTGTGCGATTGACCAATGAGACGAGCGCCGATACGCGAAATTCTCCGACGAATACGGGAACAGCCCTTCATATGCAGAGTATCGGCACCAACTACGTAACATGTATCGGCGAGTGGGAAAAATTCCTAGGGACACTCTTGAAGTTTGCATCACTCAGCCACTGGGGTACACGTGCGCCACGGAAGCCTCGGGTAAGGAGAAGGCGAGCTCATACGTAAATAGTTCCAGTGCGACGTGCATCTTTGATCATTATGCATCTTCTGCATTCGATTTTCGCACTTTCATTTGTCTGACCGAAAAATCCCAGGAGTATTATGAAAGTCTCTCGGCCTGCACTGCTGGCTTGTCTAGCGATTGCTGAAACCTCAGCTGAGCGAACTTTTCCATCACGACATGTCGTGCGGCAATACAGTGTATCGAATCGGGGAAATAACAGTGTTGCGAGTATCTTCGGCTCGAATGGTACCTTCAGCATCAAAGGGACTACAACGGCCCCAGGCGTGATAGTACTCGACTATGGACGCGACGTCGAAGGCCACCCAACTTTTGAGGTTGTCTCTGCGACTGGTGACACGTCTTGTCTAGAGATCACATATAGCGAGACTGAAACTGTTCTGGATGGCTTTTACATGGCAAGATTCCTGTCGCAATTCCCCGAAGCCAGTGCTGACTTATGTCCCAGAGCGACGGACCACTTGCTTTAGCCGCGGCGATGGACACCTACCGAGTCAATCAGTACAACGTCACGGGACCATCTCTGCACACGAACCGACTTATCCAGGGTGGCTTCCGGTACCAGAAGTTGAACCTCTCCACACCAGGCGAACTTGTGTTGAAGAACGTGGGTGTGAAGCCCACGATCCCAACCATGTCTCTCGATCAGCTGCCTGGGCATTTCGAGACTTCAGATGAGGACCTGAATAGAATTTGGAAGGTTGGCGCAAGGACGATCCAACTAAACGATATTCCTGCAAACTCCATTCCTTCATTCTGGCAGATTTCATCTGAGGGTGCCCTAGTTGAGAGTCAAGCCCCCCAAGTCCTTTCTGGGCTCGTTGCTGCCACGCTGATGCAATACCGGCTTGCGTTCGAAGTCAAGCCCACCGTGAAGGGATTCGGATTTTCTGTGCTTGCCGATACCCTTAACTCTGGAATCTACATCTCTTGCAATATTGCCAATGGATCAGTTTCAGCATATTTTGGATCTGGTGAGGATGGTGTACCGCTTGGATCTGGAACGCTCCCGTCCAATGTCACACTCGGTGTCTGGCACGAAGTGGCAGCTACCGTGAATATGACAAACATTGCTGTATCGATTGATGGGCTATCGGTCCTGCAGTTTGTGCAGACATCCGCGTTTGTCGGATCCTTTGGACTGGGCGCTTCATTCGGCCACGCTGCTATCTTCCGCAACCTGTCGGCCACGAAGTTGACGGGTGAAGAAATCTACTCAGCGTCCCTTATGGACGAGACATTCTTCGATGACTTCCTCATCGGGACGAATCCCGCAGACAGCACTGTCGATGGCTCGAAACGCGACCGCATCGCATATGCAGGCGATCTTGACATCGCTCTGATTTCGTCACTAGCGAGTACCAATGGTGTTAACTACATCAAAGGCACGCTCGACCTCCTCGGCTCCTTTCAATTGACACCGGGATTCTTTGCACCCACGGCAAAGATCCAACAAGACCCACTTTCCACGCCCATCGAGACAAATCTGACTGGTCTGATCGGCTACTCTTTCAACTTGCTCACCGCAGCAGCAAACTTCTATAAGCGCACTGGAGATGCGGATATACCCAAGGAGTGGGCACCTAAGGCTGTGCGCATGCTCGACTGGGCGCACTCACAAGTCCTGCCTGAGAATGGACTACTCAACATCAGCGATGCAACCTTCGGTGGAGATTGGAACTACTATGATCCGGCGCAGGTTGGTGTGGTGTCCAAGTTCAACATGGTCTATGCATACGCACTGCAGGAGTGCATCCCTCTCTTTGCGGACGGTGGTGTTGATACGCAACCGTATGTCGCACGCCTCGTGTCGCTGCGGGCGGCGATTACCAAGAATCTCTGGTCAGATGAACTCACCGCATACTACGTTTCGGAATCCATCCAGAATGGCTTCGGACAAGACTCCAATGCTCTCGCAATCCTCGCTGGCGTGACAACTTCAAGCCACACTTCTTTCAGCATTTTGAACACACTCCAAAAGCTCTCGATGCCAAATGGCCCACTGGCCTTCTCAGAGGGAGCCACCACCTCCGGCTTTGCAAAATACATCAGCCCCTACGCATCTGCCTATCACCTGCGCGCCGCATTCGAAAGCAAAGACAGCGATTCCGCCATGGCTCTGCTCAAGAGCCTATGGGCGCCTATGGCCAACCCCCAGGGAGTCAACTACACCGGCTGCTTCTGGGAGACGCTGGATGCAAGTGGCGCGCCTGGACTCGGGAAGCAAACTAGTCTCTGCCACGCATGGGCTTCAGGTCCGACTGGAGAGCTTAGCGAGCACGTGCTGGGGGTGAAGGCCGTGGCTCCGGGGTATAGCGAGTGGCGCGTCGACCCGCTAACGCTTGGTTTGGATTGGGCAAAGGGAAAGATTCCTGTACCAATGGGCGAGATATCTGTTGCTTGGAATGCTACGGACGGCGTGATTAGGGCTATGGAGGTGAGCAGCCCGCAAGGTACGATGGGGACTGTCGTGCTGCCGTGTTCGGGGCAAGGCAGTACCTTGAAGGTTAATGGTCGGGTTGTCAGTGACAACGGGTCGTTCCCCGTCACTGGCGGAGAGCCCTTTGTCCTATCATATGATCTATGATGATCCTATGAAGCTGAACTGCTGCGAGGGCGGAAGCGAGGTTAGATACGCACTGGGACGAGTGGAAATACCCACCACAAATGTTCTGATAAGGTTTTGGTTTTATATATGTATATATTGTATTGATAGAGGACCCCTTCATGACCCAATGGACCGCGTATCCTTTCGATAGAGGTCAAATTGTCACGCTCTGCCCATGATTCAGAGCCAGAAAACGTACCCGCTGCTCATCGTTCTCCCGCTTGCCCTCAAGCGATCTCGAAAACTCCACATCCTGTTGGCTACAAGCCCATTCCAGTTGGCCAAGCGTCTTCAGTACTTCCGTCTGATCCGTGACAAATGTGCCCCAATGCATGCCGATAGCGATTGGCCGATCTGATTTGATGTCTCCAGCCGTATTATCCGTCATCTCCCGGAGCACCCGAACCGCATCCCAGGGAGGCATATGGATCGCGCCTGCAATACCAGGACTATGCCGCGGAAACGGATCTAGAGAATCCGGAAGATAGTTGGAGAAGAAGCTTTTGAGGTATGCCCAGGTAGCACCAAGCGCGAGAGGTAGATAGAGGAGGTGGGGCTGACCGAGACGCATAGCGATTTCTGCAAAGGCAGGACATGCAGGGTATTCAGTTGATAGTGAATCCCGTTCTTTGCTGTGCGCGCGCTTGGACATTGGTCGTTTTGGCCCTGTGGATTGTCCCGGCCCAATCTTCGGTGCGGTGGCCGGCGGCCGAGGAGGCCAGGATGGGTCGCTGTGGAATTGATAGCCTGTGTCCCCTGCAAAGAATACCCTGTAAGGGTTGCCATGAGCTGCGCTGCGTTCCAAGTACCAGGATGACCACAATGTTGTGTTTGCATCTCCACCCTCTCTACCGCTACCGTGCTGAGCAGGAGTACATGTGATTTGAAGTTGAGGATCGCTAGATTCCGCTCCTGAAAGGACTGCAGACTCCCACCAGTCCAGCTCTTCCACACGGTCTGCTGGCACGCCGCATTCTGTGAACCATTTCTTGTTCTTCAACGGCACAACGAAACGTATAGTGGAACTGTGCAGCTTCCATAGACCTTTGATCGTTTCGCAGTCCAGATGGTCGTAGTGATTGTGGCTGATGAGAACTACGTCGATTGGGGGCAGCTCTTCCAACTTGCATGGAGGAAAGTATGATCGTATTGGGCCGACTGATTGAGACGGGGAGCATCTCATGGAAAATATGGGGTCAAACAATACCCTTGTTGGCGATCCTCCGATTCCTAGAGATGGCAGTTGTAGCAGCATAGACGCGTGTCCTAGCCACGTTGATTTGGACCGGTGTTTGTCACCATCAAATGAAAAGTCTGGCGTCTCGATTCGAAGTAATTGAGCCGCTTGCTTGTCTCGCATCGCTCTACTCGACCCATCTGCCAATACTTCTGGAGCATGCGAGGCAGCAAGCTCGATGCACGGATCTTCATCGGCGCCGAAAGCGAGCGAGTCCCAGAGCTCCTGCCGTGTAGGCTTGTGGAAACTGGGCCATGGGTTTTCGAAGCTTGCGATGCGATCGGTTCCAGATTGGAGGTTCTCACGACTTCTACTACGCTTCCGAATGGCTTTCTCTTTGATTGGCGTTGATGTCCAGGGTGTAAAAACAGACGTCCAAGGTGAAGGTTTGATTACCACGTGATGTTTTGGGGTTCTTTCGTTTGTGTTCCTCGTTACAGAAATTTTGAGTGGTAAATGATCCATATCAAATTACAGACGTAGGATACCCTTCTAAAGGTCGTTCGTTGTAGGTGAAAGATTGTTGGTGATCGATAGTTGAATCTTGGCCACGGATAAGCTAGTACCAATTCTGCGAAGCGCCCCAATGACATCACAATCATCATGACGGGCCTCGATCGCAACTCATACAGGTTCAGAGCAGACGAGCTATCGAAAGACTTTCCACAACACATGGGCGCTTTTTAACAATACTACCGGATTAGTGAACGGATTAACGCGGTCTACCTGATGTCTGACCCCTGCACTGGTCATCTACCTATGGTATTCGGGGAAGTAAATTTAGATTCTTCACAGAATCCTGGCGACGCCATGTTTTTGAGCTGTATCGGACACAATTGAATATGCTGCCAATGCTAATACTGAGGGTTGGGACTTGACTTAACTTTATGTGTTCGCCTTGAACGGGAGTCTGAGTACCTTCCCAGTCAAGATGACGCCCTGGTCGGCACGGCACAAAAGGGTTAGTGGTACATTATTGGCTTCGACATATTACTTGCAGCCTTAGATTCTGAGGCTGATGTTCCCAAGATCGTAAGTACGGTGCTCTGCATATCTGCAGTCTGGCAACGTGCGTCTAATTGGTTGTGCAAACGTCAAATACGCGAACAGCTATAATGTTCCGTTCTACGCCAGGGCCACTGGACACGGTAGCACAATGACTTTGCGTAACGTCAGTGGTATTCAGATCTCTCTGAAACATCTGAGAGGCATCGCCATCCAACCAAACAAAAAGACTGCTATCCTACAAGGTGGTGTACATGGCAAGTAGGTCATCGACTACATGTGGGGACTGAGGTTTCATGAAAGGTGAGCCTCATGCATTCTTAACCTGTGATATTTCTAGGCACGGGTAGCTGCGGCTGCGTCTCTCTCTCCTCGGACCTGGCCTTGGTCCATCAACTCCGTGACCCAGATGCTCACCTATCCCCAAGTTCCAGTAACTGAAGGAACCCACGTTGAGGTTCCTTTATGCGAGAAGGGCGATCAACGCATGCAGGCGAATGCTGGCATCAAGCTTTTCATCGTCACTGCTCAGCGATCAATTTTCGAACTGTTCACGCAGAACATCCTCTACGACCCAGCGATCATGGGGTCAGTCATTGGCATGGAGGACTATTCACTCCAAGGTGCTGTTCCTGTGGACCCGGCTAGCACAGCCTACACACTTCGTGACGATGATCTCCTTGTGTATGTGTGACTACAACTATTTTCCTCCCCCACTTGGCTAACACATGTATGCAGGGCCGCTATTATTCAATACAAGCCCGACTCCAGGCTTGACGACTTCGCCATCAACTGGGCTTCGCAGACCTGTGACCTTTGGAAGAAAGGCCAGCCCACCCGAGCTTCCACTGAACAAAAGGATCGTACCTGCAACACTTCCGAAGATTATTACATCACCAAGAAGGCATGTGGCTGAAACTTTATCAATCGGCTACTGCAGCCAGATGCACTCCGGCCCGGTCACAAAAATCCTTTGTTCGCTGTACCAAACAGTCGAAACCCGGGCATTCAAACTCGCATTCGGGGATACACAATGCTATTCTTCGGCAACTTAAAATCAATCAATCCACAGCGCCAGTAGCTATAAAACAAAGCTTCTGCTTGATAATCGATGACGAAGAAGCACCAACACTTCGCGACCAGGAAGGAACTTCATCTTGACGAATACAACGCCAGCCCTACGATTGCCGGCAAAGAAGTAGGCCCAATCGGCCTCGGCCTCATTGGTAAGACGGTGTAGTAACAAGCAACTCAGACTCATCTCGTTGGAAGGATTCACATGGCGTGCGAACCCAATCCCTACCGATGAAGCCATCAAGGTCCTGAAGGCAGCGCTCGACAACGGTACGAACCTCTAAAACGGCGCGGACTTTCATGGTCCCCCTACCAACAACAGTCTCACACTCCTTGAGAAGTACTTTGCTCAGTAACCGGATGACGCGGATGAGATTTTTCTCAGTATCAAAGGTGCCTCCGGTAAAGGTATACAGCCCTCTTCATCGGCTCTTTGAACGTGCTGTATCACGTGCGCAGGATCGTAATGGTTTAACTTGACGAAGGTATGCAGCCCGATGGCTCACCGGAAGCCGTGTGTAAGTCGCTTGATGGCGCTGTTGCTCAGCTTAATGGCCGCCAGAAGATTGACTTGTTCGAGCCGGGTGAATTGACCCCCACCACACCTTTGGAAGTTATCTTCAAGGTGCTAGAAGAATATGTGCAGAGCGGAAAGATCGGTGGCATTGGGCTCTACGAAGTCAAGGCCTCCAGTATCCAGGCTGGTTCCAAGATCACCAAGATCGAGAGTGTGGAGGTCGAGCTTTCTCTGTGAGCGGCATGTTTTCCACTGTTTCTCTTGCTGACCATGCTTTTCCAGCTTCTCTCTTCATGTACTTAAGAACGGCGTGGCTGCAGCTACCGCCGAGCTCGGCATTCCACTTGTAGCTTACTCTCCCTTGAGCCGTGGTTTTCTATCTGGCCAATTCAGGTCACTGGATGACATCCCTAAAGAATCTCTCCTACATCACTTCCCCCGATTCCACCCCGACGTTTTCCCACTCAACCTACAGCTCGCCGACCAGATCGCCGAGGTAGCTAAGAAGAAGGGCGTTACCTTTGCACAGCTAGCGATCAACTGCTGCGCAAGCTAAAAAGGCAGGCCTCCCTGCTATCATTCCTATTTCTGGCTCAACGACCGTCGCCCGCGTGGAGAACTCCAAGTTGGTCGAGGTCACCAACGCTGACCTGGCTGAGATCGAGGAGAAACTGAAGAAATTGCCGGTCAGCGGAGACGCTATCCAGGTTTCGTGTCGATTGAAGGTTAGAGACGTCATATGGTGGTTTGGACGACCGGGAACGGTAGATAGAAAGTATGTACGCTCAATGCACAAAGTAATACGATTCAATCATTATATACTGCGTGTGACAGTGCTTCACTGGTGTTGCTATTAAAGTAGTATCTCAAGGATTAGGGTGCTGTATACAGGTGCGAGGACCTAGCTTTCGGCGACCCTCAAACAGCACATCACCACTCCCAAGCCCCACATATAGGGCTCCAACGGCGCACAGCCTTACCCGGCCGGCAGCCGATGATCGTCTCTGCCGCACCTGGCCCCGGCCCGGAACTGCAACTAGAATCCACCCAACCCACTACCGTTTTGATGTGAGGGCGGTTTCACAAGGCTAGACTCGCGTCGTGTTTGTGTGGGGTCATGGATTTGATATTCACAGTGGTGGGTCAGAGACTGTGCGCTCGTTTGCGCAGCGACATGATCACTCGGGGCCAATAGTTCCGGGTCTTCGCGGAGATGTGCTGAACGGATAACGATGACGACTATTGCGAGAGGAGAGGTGCGCTGGAGAGAAGAAAGCAATCAGCAGCTGCGTAAAACTTGTCCACTTGCGCTGATCCGTATTACCTGTCATCGCCGGACCGCCGGACGACATCTCGCACAACGACAATCAGCACGCGCGGTGATGAGGGGCAGTTGGAAGGCATGCTGCTGCGAACGGCGTTCCGGTGTACATCGATCACCCTTACTCATCACACGGACTTGCCTCCTTGCACGAACAGCCCCGTCCTCGCTTCCCTCGCGGTCACCGCATATTGCGCGTTTGCAAGATGAGTCCCAAAAAGAGGAGCGCAGCACACAGCGACGATGGCGATGTTATGTCTGATCTTGGCCACCGCACGCGCCCAACACAGCAAACGACGCGCAAAAACGGGGCTGTGCAGGGAGCGCTGCTGAGGCTCGTAGGCGCACACGCCTGTGGCTTTAAATAAGACTGGCGCCCGTGGAGGCTTGGCTGCGGGCGCTAATGTTCCAGGTGCAGCACTTGCGGCGTGCATCCTGAGATGGGGCACCGCGATTGGCTGTGCGCGGGCGCAGCGCGGGCACCGTGAGCGCCCGGTTTCACAGCTGCTTTCGTTCATTATGCGGCTATGTGCTGCGTCGGTGCTGCGTCGTTTGCTGTACTGTCGCTCCTTATTCCGCCGTGCTGTCTACCGAAGTTTCCTTGTGTTCGCATCGTGTTTCTGAGCAAAGAGAAGGTTGAGAGACTGCGCGACCGCTCGCATGGCGAACGATATTGAGATGGGGAACGTCAGGGGCAAGCCCACGGGCGAAGCCCCGGAAGAGACTGACTACCGACCCGTCAACTGGAAGCGCGTCTTCCTCACACCCAAGTACATACGTACGTCATATCGATAACTGTTCTTCATCCCTCTACAAGCACTGACAGAGTTAGCATGGCACATTATCGGTATAGCAGTCCTCATCTTCACCGTCTACATTACCATTCACCACGATGAGGTTGTCGAGAAGCTGCGTCCCTTTTCAGAAAAGCTTCGCGACCTGCCCGCCGGTTGGCTGATCCCCATCGCCATTCTCTTTATAATTTCTTTCCCACCATTGTTCGGCCATGAAATCGTCGCTCTGCTTTGCGGTGTGGTCTGGGGGCTATGGATCGGCTTTGCCATCGTAGCAGCGGGTACTTTTGTGGGCGAGGGTACGTTGCTCTGTGTTCCGTCTCTGTCCGTCAATCCTCTAACAGTACGCAGTCGGCACATGGTTTGCCTTCCTGTATACCCTGCGACGCAAAGCCGCCAAACTCGAGCGTACCAACCTCAACTACGGCGCCCTCGCGCGTCTCACGCGTGACGGCGGCTTCTGGATTGTACTTGTCATCCGCCTCTCCGCCATCCCCTCCCACTTCTCCACCGCCGTCTTCGCCACCTGCAACGTAAATTTCTGGTACTTCTTCGTCGCCACCTTCCTCTCGCTCCCCAAGCAAATCTTCCTCGTCTACCTGGGCGTGCTGCTCGTGCAGCAGAAGGCGTCGAACCTTGGCAAGAATATCATGTTCGGCGCGGTGTTCGTCGTCACCGTCGTCCTAGGGATTTGGATATGGATAAAGATGGCAAAGGTGAAGAAGATCCTACTGGAAGAGCAGGCACAAAGGCGGCAGCAGAACCTAGAAGACGAGATGCGTGTTGCGGATAAAGAGGCGGAGCAGCGAAGATTCGAGATTAGCGAGCCGCAGGCGGCGTGGACAATGCCACAGCAGATGTCGATGCCAAGAGTACCGCCTGGGGAGTACGTGGTCAGGCAGAGTTGGGGGCTACCAGAGCCACCGCCTGGAAGGGCGTTCTGATAATGTTTAATGCGTTTGGGGATCCCCTGGTTATGTCTACAATTTTGGGTAACGAGATCCTGCATAGGGACGGCGTTTTGCTTTGTTTCGATTCGTTCCGCGCTCTTGTTGTATACCATTTAGCTGACGGCTGTTGTACAGCCTCGCTGCAGGCGAAATTGAACTGCGAATTTCTTCTTGCATTGGTCTCTCCACATACTCTATGTCAAAACTCAACTCTTATGCCCTTTCAGCGTCTCTGAGCATAGTGCATGCATATTCTAGCGTTAAAATACCTCCGATGTGGATCACAATCCTCCCGAAGCTCGTTCGTTAGTTTTGAGCCATATCAATCCGCATCAAGCCGATCTTGTTGATCAGAACCGACTTGCGACATATATTGTGCCCGTATGCCATGGTTCTAGCGAATTGTAGCGGTCGAGAGCTCTGAGCCGAGCTGCTCGGAGTCCGACCACGCAGACCATCGCCAAATCGCATACGACGCCACTTCTGCCAAAATACTCGAGAAGCGAGCACAAGAGCGAATTAAGGGCGAACACCGAGGGCGAACACCGAGATGATTGGCTTTCGGCCCTGGTCCCATGATCTAGCTTTCTTATCCAACGGAGTGCTCGTTCTAATCCTTGCCAGCAGCATTGAACAGAAAGGTATATGAGCAAATCGTTCGCAAGCTTATCTGACCCACGAAACTTCGCGACTGGCGCAATCACCACCCGATTTCTGAGCATATGCCGCTGAAAGTCATTGTCGTGGGAGCTGGTATCGGGGGACTGTCAGCGGCGGTGGCCCTCCGCCAAGCCGGCCATGAAGTCGAGGTACGGAAGTTTTCCATTCTGAATGTTTACAATGGCTCTCAAATCCAGACTCCCGTTGTGCTGACCACTTTAAGATATTTGAGAAGTCCGCCTTCACTGCGGAGATTGGCGCAGCATTAATGGTCTGTCCGAACGGAACGCGAGTCCTCAACAAGCTAGGGTTCTCTTTCTCAAATGCACGTGCAATCATCCTCAAGCGGATCAACGTGATGGATGGACAGACATTAGACAACACAGCTGCGGTGGATGTGAGCAGAGCGGAAGAGACGTTTGGCGCGAAGCTGTGGGCGGTACACCGCGTTGACCTTCATAAAGAGCTATTGCGACTGGCGATAGACGAAGGAGGGGTGGGCCAGCCGGTGAAGCTGCGATTGAGCTCTGAAGTGGCGACGGCCGAAACGGATGGTACAATTGTGCTGAAGGACGGTTCGGTGCACACGGCGGATCTCATCGTTGCAGCCGACGGGCTGAAGTCGGTCTTGCAGAGCGTGGTAACGAAGGAAGCTGGACCGCCTACGGCGACTGGACTGAGCGCATTCCGCTTTTTGCTTGACACGAAGGTGCTGAAAGCTGATCCGAAACTGGCAGCGACGCTAGGCCGGAAAGGAAGTTCTGACGTCGGATCGCTACAAGACACCCACGATCCGACGAAAGTGAGGTATATAATATGGTATGAGTGTAGAGAGTGAGTCCGCCTATGAATTTGGGACACAAGAGGCCGGGCTGACGGTTGATCAGCGGCGAGACGCAGAACTTCGTGGGTATACATCCTACGAGGGATATAAACGGTGACAACCAGGAGGGTAAGCTGAGCTGCCGCTAATCGTCAAAGTCACTGCTAATTTACCTGTAAGAGGTGAAAGCCGCGATGCTTGATGAGTTCAAGCATTTTGCGCCAGAGGTACTCGAGATCATTCAGTAAGTCTGGCTTGATTTGCTGCAGTGCCGATCCATCGTAACGAAACACAGCCAATCAACCGCTGCGAAATGTTGGCCATTGTTCGTACATGCACCGCTATCACATTGGTATAAAGATCGTATAGTGCTCATCGGCGATTCTGCGCATCCGGTAAGTGACGAGCTCTTTGTCAGCCACCTGTTCTGATAATGGCGTAGATGCTGCCATTCAACGCTCAAGGAGCCGTGTCAGCCATGGAAGACGGCGGAGCTCTGGGCTATCTCTTCCAGAACATCGACAACCCCAGATCAGTGCCCGAACGGTTGGAGTTGTTCCAACGTGTGCGCGCGGATCGTGTAGCTCGCGTGCAGATTCTATCCAACGTGAAGCTAGGCAGAGAGAAAGAAGTCGAAGAGCAGGTTCGACGGTATGCAGACCCTCGGGGCTCGAGTAAGTCCTTGCTGCTCGTGATAATGGCTCATCAACATTCTGAGAAGGAACAGGCGTACCTACCAATATGGTCGAGCACGTTGCTCACGATTATGGGTGAGTGCAGCTGTTGAGTTGATTTCCAAAAAGCTGACTGTTGTGAGATACGATGTTTTCCAGAAATGCGATGAAGTTGTGGCTGCAACTTTGTTTAGTAGTATGCCAGCTTAACGACTCTAATACATGTTATATAAAGGCGAAGTTGTGAGTTTATTTGATCCACGAACATGGGCACACATCACTCTCTCGCATACATAAACGGCTTAGATGCCTTTGTATATTCTCTGTCAACTGGATCCTACGTACTATAAGCCCAGATACATTTACTAAGCCACTTGGCTAGTCAGTCCGCCTATATGTATAGGTGTACATCTAGCCAGATACATATTGCGATACATTCACCCAGTCAGACTTGCTCCGGCATGCAGCAGTTAACTAGAATCTTCAAATTTTCAGTTATTATGGCCTACGTGGTCCAATACCTACATAGTGCCTCCATTTCTATGCTGCAATCATGTCGCGGTGTCGCGCCAGTGTAAACGATGGCCACACGCGGGCAGGTCCGAGTCGCTCTTAGTAACGTTGAAGATCCGATTGAGACTATTCTGCTCCGCGAAACCTATCATAAGGCGTAAGTCTCTCTATTGGTAATTTATGGCAAGGCTAATAGATGTACTAGAAGCTCTTCAACGAAGCCCTTTGCTGCTTTGATCGTTCCCGCGACAATCTCGACGTGCACTTCCATGTTTCAAAAAAGGATATTCTAGATGGCCCTTGTCGATTCAAAATTTCCCCAAATCAATGGCAAGACCATTAGTAGAGACGAAATCAACGAGGACGGGGAATTCTTGGTGTGGACACATTTTGTGCCTACACTGCAACGACAAGATAGCCCGGTAAGTCTTCGGAACCGATGCATGACAAGTCTGCACTCAGAGCGCTGATGGAATGGTTAGGAGACTGATATTATTTCCCAAGCCACGTCGGTAGGCGTCATGCAGGCTGCTCACGGCGATGAGGATATGGAATAGATCGTTTGCCAACCTCCCACAATCAGATGCGTGACGTCCCGACAGGCCGCGAAAATCGAGGACTCCTGGCCAGAGGCGCTGCGAAGCCACTTCTCACAACTCATCTCCAGACTACAATGAGGAAAATGGAGATGATGTGGTCGGTCCACCTGGCAGGACAGTTCCGAAATTCGTTGAGGGTGTCCATCCCGGTCTCCCCAGTGGTGCGTCCTTGAAAAAATACCGCACAGACTTGGCTGCAGCACGCAACGACAAAACCATGGACCAGTTCAAGGAACCGATAAGCATATTATTGAATTATATGAGAAGCAACAAAATTTATTGCCGTCGCAAGATTGATAGACGGTCGTTGCGGAGTCAGGGCGTCAAGTCCATGTGATAATTGCTTGTAAGACGGCACAGTTTGTTGGATCTTCCCTCCGGCCTTGTACACCGGCAAATGGCACCCACTGAACAGTTTCTGTCGTATCAAGAAATAGGGTCGCCAAGCTTGTGCTTGTTGCCTGGTCAAGCGAAAGCCCAAAGATTGCAATGCTCAGTACGCCCCAACCACCCAGTGAGTTCGTGGAGCGCAACAGCATGCTTCTGATCTGCAGGGTATCTTCTTACTGGTGATAGAGAGCTGTGAGACTTTAATACGGACTTTTAACCCTCCGTAGACATCGTTGGAGTGAAATGACTTACAATGCTGTCTGAAAGACGAAGACGGTGATTTTCATACTCCACGAAATTATGAAGGTGTCGCGCTACTCGGGTTGCTCATCCAAGTCGCTTCTATTCGGAAGCGTGTAGATATTTGTATTCAATTCCTTTCAGCGGAGGCCATTGGCAGCATGGTAAACATGTCTTGTGTTAGGGTGTGGGCTTGGGCTATTGGCACGTTTTCACTATGTAGAAGATTGTTCCCTTACTGTCTCAAGCATCTTGTTCGAGATTCTCCAAATCTCTTTCTAACATTCATGTGGCTTTGATTAACGTTACTAGTCTTCCACGGTTCTGAATATTTGCAGGAGGATTTGTATTGAAACATAGCTCAAACCACAGATTCCGGTTGACATTCAATTGCGAAGAGCTTTTCACCATAGAGTGAATCTACTGATTGGAGGAATACTAGCCAAGTGAAGGTGAAAGCGCAGTCAAGGGAGGCGCTGGGGTCGCTCCTTCTCTGTTCACCTTCACTGCGCACAGATCTCTCCTCGTGACCTTACAGCAATGTTGCTGCCGTCTCCTCTTCCACTCTTACCCTTATTGTCTCACAGCCCTCACCGACAAGATGGCGACGCCGAGGGTTCTCCTCAGCAGCGCCATTATGCCGGAAGTCAACAACTGGATCCCTCCCAGCTACGCGCAGGATCATGAGGTGCGTCAATCCCCCGATACTTAAATGGAGTCAACTAACAGCTCATGCAGAAGCTCGAACATCTTGCGAAAGACATTTTTGCGGACGAAGTTCCTGGGGATGACTCGGAGGTGCACTTTTATCTTGCAGCGCTCGATATCGGCACAACAACGTGTACTGCACGTCTGGTACTTCATTTGTGGAATCAGCGCGAGTAATTCACTTCCGACTTCATAATGACTGAAGAGCTTCATATATGCGCTCGTTTTGAGCCGAATCCGGCGATCAACGCAGGATGTCCGACTTTCGTCCAAACGGCCATGGACCCTGCTTCCTTCGATACGGACATTGGATTGCTAGACATGCAACCGGTATACTCTCACCTACAGAAAGTGCTTGGACACATGTTCTAATCAAGAGCAGATAGGTGAGAGCGTGATTCCCGGCGACCCGATCCAGCCTCTTGATCTTTCGTTCTGGGATTCTGCTTTCACCGAGCCCGAAGTTGCCAAGCCGCAGTCGAAAACAGAGAGGAAAGCAAAAAAGAAGTCTCAGGTCAAGGTCCAGGAGAAATTGGACTCAGAGTCAGATCTGGAGTCAGGGCCTGTTGGCAAGCGCACTCGCTCTTCAAATCCCCGATCACACACTTCAAATCGGGATTCGACTTTCTATCCTACGCTACCAGCAGACGCGACCCCGGAGAACTACTACAAAGATAGAGATGATTGTAGGGCCGAAAATACGAGAGACAAGTTTCACACGTCTCAAAACAGAGATATACGCAGCTTCTCCGTCGCATGCAGGAATAAGATCGTGCGGGCGAGATTGATTGCTGGCAGGTACGGGGTCGAAGCACGAAAGCCCTGCGACTCTTGCCGAGCCCTCAAGAAAAGCTGTCGAATATTCCACCCTGCGATGTATACCAAAGCTTCGCGTGAGGTGAACAGGCATTGGACGAAGCGGGTGAACGAGTCCTGCGCTTGTTGTTCGTCGGGCAGCAAGTTGCATTGCAACGCTGAGTAGAGAAGGGTCCGCGGTCATGTGAGTTCCGGGCCGAACTCTGTTTCGAGATTGGTCTTCCTCATCTTGGACTGCTCCGTTCGAAGATCTCGCTGTTTTGTGTGTTCTTGATGATATGCGAGACGATTTGGTGATATCGTGTCAGCGTTTGAAGACAATTGGAAAGCAACCGGAGCAGAACGCAAAAATTTTCATCTCACAGCAAAAAATGCTCCATATTAACGCATTGGCCATCGCTGCATTGGATTTGCCGGAGTTCTCAGATGATCTTCAGTCATCTAAGCTTCATAACCAGGACTTAATATATCCCACTTCAGGGCTTGCACACTGATTGACATAATGATCACTATGTGGTCAATACCACAGCATCAATGCGCGTGCCCTCTGATCCCTTGCAAATAATCATTACTATCTTCGTCTATTCTATAAGTCGTAAAATCTGAGCTCATAACTACTCTTCCAGCGTAAGAGTCGCATCGAAGGGTATGCCACCCGGTACACAACGCTACTTCCCATGTACATGATCAGTTGCCTGACATTCCACCCATCAACAATGTGCCCATCTACTCTCCCACCTCAGTCCACAGGCCTGCCCCCCAAAACTCAACCCCAGCACTCTCTGTGTTCCCTTTACTAATCCCCTAACTCCATTCAGAACTCCTGAACTTGTCCCACCAGAACTCATCCTATATAACACATTAGCACATCGAAACATGTATCATTATACTGCAGAGGTCGCGAACCCGACTTGAGAGGCTTGTGAACCGAGGTAGGAGACGTTGTAGTAGCAGTAGTACGTGTCGTCTATTTTGACGACATTTGGTGCCTAGATAAGGCCGGGATCAGTGAAGAGCAACACGGAAATATTGGACGTGCTGTTGGGTTGGGGTAGTATTTCAGCAAGGTTTTTATACAATGGGATTTCGAATTGATATGGGAACACGAGGGCTACGCGAGTTGGGTAGTTATTGCACAGCGAACATTGGGATAGCAGAAAGTGATTGAGAGATGGGAAGACATACCCAAACATCCTGCCTACTCTGATTAACCTCAATACTCGTCCCATTCTCTAACAAAGATTCTTGATATTTCCACGGCCCATTCATACTGTCCGCCGTCGCGACAGCAATGCTTCCGCTCGTACTAAACCTATAGTACGTCCCTCCCTCATAATAGACGTTGGGGTCGTACACCCAGGAACAGTTTCCCGCACAAGGTTCTGGGTCGGGAAATAGTCTCTTGATAAAGATGGGCGACGCGTGGATGCCGGTGACGGCGGCAAAGAGTGGTAACGGTCGTATGAGCATTCTGATATTGTGGTGCAGATGGCGGAGAGGAGGGAGGTGTAGCGGTGTAGTGTGATGTGCATTCAAGTGTGGGGAGTGACGTGGGATCGAAGGGGGTATATGAATGGTTGGGCTGGTGTGTGAACGACATGTCAGGCGTGCGGTGTGCTAAACAAAATATGGGGCTCGTGTAGGGGAATGCCTTTCCATCTGGATGGGTGCCCCTGCTGCGTGGCCTGGCTTAGCCGTCCGCAAAAAAGGGCGGGTTTATCGGTGGGCCATGGTTCTTCTCGACCTAACGTCCGGCCCTGCATAAAAAGAAGACGGTACTTCTCTGGGGCTGAGTATCCATATAAGATAGATCTGACCTCATCTTTGGACTCTGTCGCAGTGTAGCGTTGCATTAGCTAGATACGGTCTCTTCGAGAACACTACTGTTCGTGACATCGCGGCGAGTATTTGGTTAGTTACGTATGCCTTGAGTCTGCGAATTTGGTGAGAAGAGGCTCAGCTGAAGTATCAGTGTCAGACCAGCTCTCAACGTGGGTATGCTTGTTTCAGAGTCGCTTCCCCTAATGGACGGTGGGATTATCCCTGCGGACTACACTCAAGAACCCGTGCGTTGTACAATAATACAGGTAATACCCACAAGACACTCAGTGACTCATTCTTCGTTTCCCTGGTTACAGTGAGTGTTGCAGTCAACATTGTTGCAAACGATCCCTGTAATTATGCTGCGAAAGGTTCATAGACGTTCGAAACTGCCTGAAGAGTGCGAAGTGCTGATTTAGACTTAGGTCAGACGTCTCCAGCTTTGTGGTCTAGTACCATCGGTGTTGCGGATGCCAGTTTACTGGCGTGCACGCCTAAGCATGGTAGGCATATGAGTAACATTAAAAACCGTTGCGTGCGTCGGTGCGAAGGCATCGGAGGCTGGCCCAGTATCAAGCCGTCTGCTCTGAATGATCGCTGACTTTGAGCATTGGTGAAGTGTGAAGTAGAGTGTAAGAGTAATGGAATGTTCACGCGCGGTGAAGCGCCGCCATAACTAGTGCGCACCTGCCGGCTGCTCGGGAGCACCTTCCGTCAACAACGAGAAGATAGAGATCTCAAAAAGCGTGTAGCGTAGCCGCCATCGGTCATGACGAGGTCACCATCCAAGTATATGTTTACCACACTATGATATCGCCGCCCGAACTTTCCTCGGCACATCAAGTTATGCCGATTTCACGTCTTACTAACCACAAATCACAGCAAGCACCTGCGAACAGACTCAGCACATCCTCATACTATTACCATACTAAGCCTACTATCCCTTTAAGTATCTAAATCCCCGCGACCCCGATCAACCCCACCAAACCCAAAATAGTCGGCACCCCAATCTCCCCCTTCGGCCTCTTCCACCCCTCTTCAATGGGCAGCCTCTCCTGCGTAAACAGCTTCTGCACCCACGCCGTCACCGCCGTAACTCCCGTCTCATTGCTCATGACATTGAGATACAGTGCCGTCTCGATCATACTCGCCTGTTTGTCGCCATCGCTCATGTTGAACTGCGGGTTCGCGGCTTGGGCAGCGGCGAGTCGTGCTTTGCGCGCTTTGGCGGCAGTCGCGAGCGAGATGGTGGGGGAGGTGAAGTGGGAGGCGGTTGAGGCCCAGATGGTGGCGTTGAAGGAGTGGTTGTCGCCGGAGAAGATGTCGGCGCGGGAGAGGGAGCCGTCGTGCTCGATCACTGAGACCACGTTAGGATGGGTTTCGGAAGTCATGCAGGGAAGAGTATAGTGGGTACGTACAGCCGTGCTTGTTCAAGTCAGTCAGGTGGAATGTGCTCGCGTTGCCGGTGGTGGAGCCCTTCAATGCTGTGGCTCCGACAAGCTTGGTGGCGTCTGCGCCGAGGTTGACGCCCGCTTTGAGGCCGGCGACGAGGATGTCCATGGAGATGTCGGCGCCATTACGGGGCAAGTATCCATGGTTGGCCAGCGTGTTGAGCATAGGGCAGGGAGCGCGGCCTGGATAGTCTCGTCAATACATCTGCTTGAACCTGACCAGTGTAGAAAAGGACATACGGTCAGTCGCCGAGGGCGCTCTCCACGAGTGGTCCTCTGTCTGGCGCTCTTGTACCGAAGGGTACGCCGCGACAGACGACAGCAAGCACGCTGTCCAGAGTGTAATCTTCATCTTTTCAATCGAAAACTTGAGAAACAACGGGCTCGACAGCGAATTATTGAACAATTGAACGAATGGATAGGTTGGACAAGTACAAGTCGCAACTGCAGAGAATTCAGCTGCTCGACCTATTCACCGCATTATAAACATCTTCGCTACGCCGCGAATAATACACTGCAATATAGTCTGCACCCCTATCACAGCTCGCGTAAAAGTTTAAGTAACAATCCCGGTGCCGGAATAGTCGTTCGCGGCGAAGAAGCGGGCTTTTCGCCGTTTAGGGACGACAAATTTTATGCTAGTTGCGTCGTCGCATATGCAATGTTGTCATGATTCTTCTAGTATTATAGATTTTAGGTCGAGCATCGCTGACGTTCTAGATTTCTGTAAGGCGACGAGCATCCCTTCTCGAGCAATCACTGGGAGGCCAATTGGAAGGGAGAGAGGAGGTTTGAATGGCTTTGGAGTAGCGATGGAGTGGCAGGGTTGAAAGGCACGACCCGTAGTTAGCTAGCCGGTACAGGGATCCCTCGACAATCATCTTGCTCGATTTTCGATTCAGCCTCCCTTTCGGTGGTGCTCCGCAAATGAAAGGCAGGTTTCGGCACATTGGCGACCCTTTGTTTCAAACGTTAGATGTGTGTGACAATGCATGGACAATCATTGGTCGCAACGCTTATTCGGAGGCTAACTGGATTTGGCTGGCACGATCTTGTGTTTCCTCCTGGAGTGTACTATGTATTCACTCGCGAAAGAAATCATCACAACAACATTGCAAATCTGTGTTTGTCATTGTGGTGTTCATTATACGTACACTTGGCGATCCTACTCGATTCCCCGGGAGCGAAAGCCGACAAGCAACGCCGACAGCCCGTATTCACTCGTCCACGTCGGTGCTGTTGCTCCACTTCGCGAACTTCTCAACGTTCTCGGAGTAGGTATCAATTTTGCTGCTGATGGCTTTGTACGCATCAGTGCCGACGACACATCTCAGCGGCGGGTCCTCCATGACCGCCAAGTCGTAGAACACTTTCGCGGCCTTTGGTGGGTCGCCCGCCTGCTTCATGTGCCTATTGGAGGCGATCTTCTTTGGGTCGATGTGGTCATATGCTTTGTCCAACTCATCAGTCCTGTTTTCACCGAATTCCATGGATCGTCCACTCCAGTCGGTCCTGAAGCCTCCTGGCTCGATGCAAGTGAACTTGATGCCCCACTCAGGTTTGACTTCTTTCGAAACGGTCTCGGTGAAGCCTTCGACGGCCCATTTCGAAGCGCAGTAGATGCTAAAGCTGGGCACGCCTATTTTATGTCAGATTGAATGAGCAAGAATCATGGAGAAAAGTCACACTGACCTATTTGACCACCGATCGACGTAATTTGCTGGATAACGCCACCACTCTTCAGATCCCGCATCGTCTGGATAGCCTTGCGAGTCACGTCGATCAAGCCAAAGAAATTGATGTCCATCTGCTTTCTCATCTGGGCGTCGGAAAGCGTCTCAAACGGACCGGACAGGCCGTATCCGGCATTGTTCACCACCACATCGACGCGCTTGAACTTCTTGACTGCTGCATCAAAGGCCTTGTCAATTGAATCCTTTTTGGTCACATCCAAGTCCACGAGGATACTGTTGGATGAGTTGGCCTCCGGGAAAGAGAGCTTTGAAGAGTCGCGGGCGGTGGCTACTACGTGGTCTCCCTTGCTGAGGACGACTTTGACGAGCTCCGCACCGAAGCCGGTAGATGTTCCGGTAATGAGGAAGACGCGGGGTGACATTGTGGGTTGATGATTGACATAGGAAGACAGCAAGTGTACGCAGTGTAGGAGGTCAGGGTGAGTAACCGATTCAACGGTAATGTTTCTAGCCTTTATGCTGTCGTTCACGGTGATATAAGGCCAAAATCCGCACTATTTCCGATTGACATTGGTGCGGAGTATTGTTGATGGTTACGTCAATAACCGCACCCGAAACGACGAATCATTAAGCATGGACTTGGCTCTAGTTCCCACGAAGTTGCAAACGGTATCCGAACTTCATCGGACGCAAGTTATTGTGCGGTCTAGACTTTTTGAAGCCGCAGAAGTGGCACGCTGTGCAAAGAGGGACTTGCCGTTGTGAGCCCCACCATGCCTTCTCACGTGTGTATGCTTGGATTTAGCGTCCGACTGGCATGGCGATAGGACATAAGAGGTTGGAGGTTGCAAGAGGATGAGATAAGACGGAAGTTGTGGGGTTGCTGGGCCAGGCACGCTAGGCTGAGAAGGGCTCAAATGGAAACGCGTCGCGTGTTCTTGGCGCGACGTGCTTTCCTCTCAATCGCCAGCCTCGATTTCTGCCCCTCGCAACGCATCTGCCATTGCTGTCGCAGCAATACGCCCCACGATACCCACACACGATTCAAAGAGGCTTCTTGACTTCCTTGCTGGGCTTGCCCGTGGAATTTCTCGCGCAGCAGTGTTCCTACCCCGCAATTTTTCACCATGGCGGCACCCCTTAGAGATGAGGACAAGGACAGACGCAGGAGACTCGCCGAAGAGTTCCTGGACCCCGCGCGTAGGTCAGATATTCAAATACGCCGAGATTGCAACTGACAATCGTACAGAGGACGATAGCGCGCGAAGGTAAATAATCGCGAAGCCTGTAACAAATGCATACTGACGGGCCCAGCTACCGCGCCGAGATCCTCAACATGCTCAACCGAGGCCAGCGGAGACTGATAGTCAGTATCGATGAGATCCGGTCGCATAACCGAGAACTGGCCAATGGCCTTCTCAACGAGCCCTTCGCCTTCGTGGAGGCCTTCGATGAGGCTCTTAAGAAAGTGGTCGAGACATTCCCAGACCGACCCAAGCACGAAAGATCCGACGACGCGAAATACTACTGCGCATATATTGGAAGCTTTGGCGAGTTTTCCTGCAACCCGCGGACGCTCGGCTCGCAGCAGCTCAACCACATGGTGTCCCTGGAAGGCATTGTAACAAAAACCTCCCTGGTGCGACCAAAGGTCGTCAAGAGTGTGCACTACAACGAAGTCAAGCAAAAGTTCCACTACCGACCATATGTCGATCAGACCATGACCATGGGAGCCGCAAGCTCAAGCGTATACCCTACAGAGGATGAAGACGGCAATCCGCTCATCACAGAGTACGGATACTGTGTGTACAGAGATCACCAGACAATCTCGATCCAAGAAATGCCCGAACGAGCCCCTGCCGGTCAGCTTCCTCGATCCGTGGACGTGGTGTTGGATGACGACCTTGTGGACCGCGTGAAGCCAGGAGACAGAATACAGCTCGTAGGTGTCTATCGCTCCCTGGGCAACCGCAACGCTTCCTCCGGCAGCTCGACGTTCCGCACTCTGATTCTTGCAAATAACGTCATTCTGCTGTCTTCCAAAGCGGGAGGGGGTATCGCACAAGTTATTCCCACTGCCATGGACATCCGAAACATCAACAAAATCGCAAAGAACAAGAGAGTGTTCGAGCTCTTGTCTCAATCGCTGGCTCCCTCCATCTATGGTCACGACTACATCAAGAAGGCAATCCTGCTCATGCTTTTGGGTGGTCAGGAGAAGAACTTGGAGAATGGCACCCACTTGAGAGGAGACATCAATATCCTCATGGTCGGTGATCCATCCACGGCAAAATCGCAATTACTCCGCTTCGTGCTCAACACTGCCCCTCTAGCTATCGCCACTACTGGTCGGGGTTCCTCGGGTGTTGGTCTAACGGCTGCGGTGACTTCGGACAAGGAGACCGGCGAGCGACGTCTGGAAGCTGGTGCCATGGTTCTCGCTGATCGTGGCGTCGTTTGCATCGATGAGTTCGACAAGATGTCAGACGTCGACCGTGTTGCCATTCACGAGGTTATGGAGCAACAGACAGTTACAATTGCCAAGGCCGGTATTCACACTTCTCTCAACGCCCGATGCAGTGTCATTGCAGCAGCCAACCCCATCTTCGGTCAGTATGACATCCACAAGGATCCGCACCGGAACATCGCTCTACCCGACTCCCTCCTTTCCCGTTTCGATTTGCTCTTCGTTGTTACCGATGATATCGAAGACGCGCGCGATCGCCAGGTGTCTGAACATGTACTTCGCATGCACCGCTACCGGAAGCCAGGTGCCGAAGAAGGACTCCCCGTTCGCGAGGACGGCGGTCAACTACTGGGTGTGGGTCTGGAGATCGATACCGAATCGAACAGGAACACTGAAGTGTATGAGAAATTTAACCCCATGTTGCATTCTGGCGTTACCATTACTGTCGGCCGCGGCGCACAGCGAAGGACTGAAGTCCTCTCCATACCCTTCATCAAGAAATACATCGCCTATGCTAAACGCGAGAAGCCGGTCCTTACCAAGGGCGCCGCAGACCACATTGTAGCAGTATATTCGGCTCTTAGAAACGACGAGCTCGACTCCAGTCAACGCCGCACTTCACCGATCACTGCCCGTACGCTTGAGACGCTTATCCGTCTCTCTACTGCGCACGCCAAAGCCCGTCTGTCAAAGCGGGTAGAGCAGAAGGATGCCACTATCGCTGAGCAAATCCTGCGATTCGCGCTGTTCAAAGAAATAGTTGAGGACGACCGGAAAAAGCGCCGCCGTGTCACACGCGACCTAGATGCCATGTCCACGGACGATGACTCGTCTGATGACGATGAAGAGGATGGCGACGAGGCGGAGACTGCTACCCGGAGAACGGGCGGTCCCAGCACAAGGAGCACGCGTACAGGCACCACACAGACGCCGGCCGCTGACGACGGCGAAGAGGACGACGACGAGGAGGATCTCTACAGCGTCACGCCCAAGACCCAGCGAACGACCCAGCGCAGCGGCCGCGCCGCCGCCGGCTCCTCCCAGTTCAGCGCCGCGTCATCCCATCCAGCCTCTCAGCTGCCCGCTACGCAGACTGAATCGCAAGACTCGCAGGGCATTACGCCGGCGCGTGTACAGGTATTCCAGAACGTGCTCGGCCAGCTCATCGACGGTCCGCTGTTCGCCAACGACGCCGCGGACGTCGAGCCTCTTGTTGCAGCTGTGAACGCCCGGCTCGGCGGTGGCAGCGGACGCCAGCCGTTTGGGGAGGCGGAGGCGAGGAAGGCGCTTGAGGAGCTGAGCGAGAGGAATAAGATTATGTTTTCAGATGATATTGTGTATAAGATCTAGGTTGGGCTCGGTGTTGGTGGAAGGAGTGACGAGAGATGATGGTACGAGGGCGAAGGATAGGACAGACATGTTTGGCGTTTGGAGTGGGAATATAGATACCTCGTATTGCTTGGTATGGTCCGCAATGCAATGAAACATTACTCATAATTTCGAGGCTACAATGCTATGGGGTGTCCCATGTACTGCCCGTGACATGTATAATCTCAATGCCCAACGGCAGCGATGAACGCCCGGCATTTCCAGGCATACTAACCAATGTGGGAAAAGTGACATGGTGCAGTGAATGGCCAGCTATAGCTTCACTACAGCCTTTTTCGACGTCACCCTTTTGTGCTGGTAGAGTCGAAACATTTTTCGCAAGTTCCGAGCATGCAGACGAACATGGAGATTGTGTTTTTCTTGTCAACGATGTAAATAATGCGTCACTAGAATTAAGCTCTTAAGCTCTTAAGATAGTATCAAGGCCACAAATGTATGCAACTAATATGATTAGAGGAAACATAGTTTGGTAAGGCGCGGGTGTGGTTGGATGTACTACGGTGGTTCATCTCTCACTAGTGAGTATGGTCGTGACGCTTCCACGGCTATCACCAGCAAACGGACCTGGAAAAAGCTTTGTCACAAGCTTCTACGATCCTCACCAGCAAACGGACAGAATAATGAATGGTGTCGCAAACGCAAGCGTTCAGATTGCGACGACCGCTTCTATACCTGCCTCTTGCACGACAAAGCCATTTCCACTCACTCTTTACTCTAGCTGCCTTTTGCACAAGACGAGCTTACCTAACTTTCTTCGAATCTGACTCCCAGTTGCAGCCCACGGCCTTGCCGCCTTGCCACCTTGCAGGGCAAGAATGGCTTATCCAGGCAACCCTTGGGCCGGTAACGTCCTGCCACTCGAAGACGGACCAAATTTTCCGCTCCTCAAGTACTCGCGAAAGGAACGCCGCGTCTTGTCAAACTCATACGACGAGGTATTGCAAGAGCAGGATCTAAGGTGTACTGCGATCAGGCGGGGTTGGCGCACACCACCCCCTTACCCGTCAACACGTTCGTCGAGAACGTCGCCCAGCGCATCAAGAATGCCGGTCAGCACGTCGCAAAAGTGGAGACAATTCCGAAAGCGCAAAACGTCGTTGCGAGAGATACAAGGACACGAACGAGAGATGTGGAGAGGTGTGGTCCGCTGGATCGCGCCACCCGAATCAGCGGTTCTTCTCTCGCAAGAAGGAAGACTCGGGGCCTATCTGCATTTCCGACCGCGTCGAAACTCGTCATGCCCAGGTCGGTGCTTGGGTGGGCCTCCAGATCGGGTACACAGCCCTGGGTCAAGGCATGATGACACCGATTGACCTGGTCATCTAGGGCATCGAGGATGCCACCAAGCTCAAGGTCACTCTTCCAAGGAAGGGAGGTATGTCGCAATTACCCTAACATGGCTCAGGAACTCTGTACTAACTTGCATTAGCAATGATTCGGAATACCTAGGGACCATCTCCATCCCCAGAGACCATGACTGCATCGATCAACTTGTCACTGTCTGCATGAGATTGTGGAGGAAAAGAGAAGAGGGAGGCAAATGAATTGGTGGAGTGGGCGTGAGGAAGAGAAGGCAGGAGAGTTGGATGCGATGAGTTATGGTGAGTGGGAGGCTCCAAAAGAGTATCTTCGCTATACAGAAGTATTGAGCTCAGTGAGAGAGAAGCGGTGGTAGGAGAATGTACTCCGCAACGTTCAGAAAACTAGGCTGTACAGAACCAGAGGCATGCCGCATCAGGCTGTGGAGTCTGCTACGCATCTACCCGCGAAAGTGACAGTCCTCTCGTTGTCCGACAGGCAGGCTACCAGCCATTGCCATCAATCGCTTGACAACACCACCACAGCTGGCTGTTGTTGCGGCCAACAGCGCCTCCACCAGCCGTGCACTCAACGTCTCACATAACAGCGGTGCTCGACATTCTCCCCTATGTCGGAAACACTCCACAACCGTCGAGCACCATGTACCCACCGCATGCAGTCGCTATCGTACACGTCAGTCCAAATCTAATGCCCAGACTACCAGCACCGCAATCTCTTCTCAAGTCCAATCACACAGCATACCATCCAGACGTCCCCTTTGCGAGTAGTCCCGTCCAGCTCTCCACAGACACGACCACCCTGAACATCACTTCACGCCTACGCAGCCCGACCCATCCACACAAACAGAAACAGCACCGACACCACCAGCATCCCTATCCCGCGCATGCTCGGGCACTCGAGCAAGCAAGCACGCCAGCAAGCAGCGCAGTCCCCATCGGGACATTCGCTAGCAGGCGAACCTCTTTCCCTTCCTCGCCGTGTCTCCCTCTCGTTCCCAATGCCCGACAGGCCGCACACCCGCCGCCGCTCCCCAACGCAGCAACGATCCTCGCCCGACGGTCGTCGGGAGTTGGCTCGGCCGCGGCGAAACGAGAAGCGCCGACAGGGCGAAGCGAGCGTGCGTGCACCGCGCGTTCGACGACGATGCAGTGCGGGCTCGCCGACTGCGACGACGACGCAGCCCTGGAGGTGACAGCTCGGCTGGCTGAGGGAGCAGCGGCAGCGTCGGCGTCGACTCGACAGGCCATTGTGGGGTGATGTGGGCTGTTGTGTGCGGCGTGTGGCAGACTGTTCGCTTGGGCGGGCCTCGCTGCCATTCCCTCAGCGCACCCCATCGCATCCCAGCATACAGACGTCCTGTCCGGGCCAACAATGCAGGGCTCCGTCTCGTCTCGTCTCGGCGTCAGGATCCCGTGAGCACAAACGAGCCTCTCCGTCCCCGAGTCGGCGCCCGCCCGTTCCACCGCAAGCGCAAGCGCTCCCTCGCGCACGCATCACGATGCCCGTTGGAAGCCCTGCGTCCCCGCCCAATCGCGTGTCGGCGCCGAGCTTCCTCAGCTCCCGTGCGCCCAGCGCGTCGCACCGCAACCCGGGGCGCGACCAGCCATTCCATGACACACAGATTGCAGTCCTCCATCGATCCTATCGTTTGCACCCCTACCTCTGCCAGACACGCGCCCCGGTGCGTCGCGGGCCTCGGTGATGAGGGGCCCGCGGGCGTGGTTGCACGAGTGCCGTGCCGCATTGCAGCCGCAGCGCAGCAGCGCACCCCACGCTCGGCGGGCGCGCCGGGCCTTGCGGCGCAGTTGCCACGGTGCTGAAGGAAGACAACGAGGCCGGGACCAGGGAAGGGATAGATGGACTGCGTTGGGAAGTGCGGCACAGTCGCCAGGCACGTTGCGTGCGTAGAGTCGTGTTCGCCAGCGCCAAAGGTGTAGGCTGCAGGGCAGGGAAGGGACTCGCTATATTTAGCTGTATCACGCCCATCCTGGTTGGTGTCTGGTACGCGAGAACGCTCGCGAGACAGCAACGGGAGGCTGGTCGTCGGTACGCGGTGCGGTGGTTACGCATGAAGCTGAGAGATTGAGCTGCAGGCTGGATGCTTGGGAACGGTGAGCAGACAGCAAGTAAGGGGACAGCGAGCAGGGGAGGCGAGTGCAGCAGGGACGATCTGAGGCTTGAGGGACGTCCATTGGAGGTCGTCCGATAGATGAATTTGCATGCAGGGTCGCGAGAACTGTGACTTCTTCTGGCTCTGCCTGCATGTTCGATGCGTTTCATCGACGTCTGTCCTGCAAGGACAACTCCCTTTCCACATGGCGCCCGACTCTGCAAGCCTTTCATTTGCGCTTGCTGCATACAGATGTTTGTGTTGCGCTTCTCTCCCTCAGCCATCCATTTGCGCTTGCCGCATCCAGATGTTTGTGCCCCCTCCGTTTTCGCCTCGTGGTAATCTGTGCCCCTGCCATACCTGGGACCCGACAGTGCGGAGTCGGAGTCGGATTACGAGACACCTCGCTACGTCGAGACACAGTACGTGCTTGTATGCATGCCTGCCCACGCGGCGGCTGACGCTGGGCTTGCACCCATCGTAATTGCCAACGGCTCCGTCGATCTTCGACGTGTGCTCGTATCTGTGTGTAGCAATAGCTAAGTAGTCCGGTCACTATGCACGCGCCCGGCATGTGCACACGGAGATCGGTGTTTAACCCGGACAGAAGCGGTGGTCACACCCGCGACAGTGTGAGAGTCCCCCAGTAGAGAATGACGGTAGGAGGCGAGCAACTTCGCAGGCCTCCTGTGATCCCTACTTCTTATCCCAACATCACCAGCTATATTGTCCCCAATCTACCGCCGTCTTGGAAAGGGAGCGAAAAAGGAAGGTCTCCTCGGTTTGTAGCACCGCAACGTGCGACCCGGTCTTGCGGTGAAGGCACACAACGTGTGCGTTGGACGCTTTGGGAACGGAGGTCGCAAATCCTATGCACTGCGATAATGAACAATTTGCGTACCTGCTGTGATTGAGCAGAGGTTTGTTGGACCTGTGCATTGGGTTAGAGACTGTTCTGTACCCGGATTGCCTAGGTCATAGAGTCAAGTCAAGTCATTCGTACTCGCCTGAAGTCCTGCCAGTAGGATGGGGGCCGTCATTTCGCCATCACTGATCTATTTTCGTCGGCTATAGACATCGATCCCATGTTCCGATACGACACAGTGGACGCTTGGACACTCAGGAACAGGTGCCCATGGCTTGCGGCAACGTGAGCGCCATGTTCAGGAGTAAGCATATGCCGCATACATTCAAAGGCCGTATTCGCGTGCGAGGGACATGTCCAATTCGTGGAAATACTCCCGCGATGTACCTGACAAGTCAGGATCCCAGTGTCAACAAAGACGACAGGATGCGCCTGTGGGTGCCCTGGTGTACCTGATATAGATTGTAAGCATCAGACGGTAGATGTGAAGCCATAGTCCCATCCGTGTATCTGCGACAGGCCTCAGACCCCACCAGAGGAAGGCCTGCAAATTGGAAGAGCGTACCTGTTATAGATTGCAAACAGGGGCCCGCCGCCTTGCCCACCCACCATCCCTATCTTCACCATCAACAACATGCATATGTCTGATCTGAAAGCGTAGAGTATAGACTGTATTGACGGCCCGCCACCCATACCCTCTCCCTAGTCCCGCCCCTTCCCCACCCACCATCTCCGAAAGCGCGAAAAGAGTCAGCAATTGATAGACTGCGAGTCGATAGATTTTGAATCCATGGTCTCTTCCGGACATTTCCAACAGGCGACAGAGCACAGGCCACGGTGCTTTGTGACTAGACTGCTTGCAGATTCGAAGAACGAGTTTCTTCAGAGACCGAAGGCAGGAGCCGCACCGCAACGACGCTGCAGGCCGAGGTGACTGAAGCCGATACCTACGTTGCTATCTTTGGTAGATTTGAAGCCGTGCTCTGCTTTCGGACGTCTGCGACAGGCCCCGGAGTATAGGCCATGGTGCTATGTGACCAGGAAAGCCTGACAATTGTAAAACCGAGGGCCTCGATAAGCCGAAGGCAGCAACCGCGACTCGGAAACTGCCAGGGTTGTAGTCATTGTATTATCGTACGATATTACCTTGATCCCCCAAAGGACCCAGGTTCAATCTTTTTGGTGCATACTGTAATAGATCCCTGCTGAGGCACCATCTGCGCACGAGAGGTAGCTGTTGACATAGTGTTGAAACCTTTGTGGCGCTGGAGAAGGCGTTCTGGCCCAGCTCAACGCCGCCTTCTCCGCCCAGGCCAACGAAGCCATCGAACCACCCTCCAAGGCGATATCGCGGTAGTCTTTCCCGCATCCGGCACTGCACCGGCACTGTAGGCTTTCCAAGTTCCCTCATCGAGAAAGCTCACTGCTCGCGATCCCATGCCAGAGCAGACGCAACCCAGAGCGCTCTAGAGTGACCGGCCCACGCCGTGATTACTACACGATCATATTCAGGTCGGCGACGTGTGACGCATCACCGCTCACACCTCGCGCTTGCAGGTTCTTCATGTTCTACAGCCACGATCGACGATCGACTCCATTCCGTCCAGACGAGCTGCCCGATATCGAGCGCCAATCACTTCACAAAACGGCGAGGTGATGGCAGCTCAGGCGCACCTCCACACCAACGATGATGCTGTCCAGCAGTGCACAGATCGAGGCATGATCGGCCTGGCCAGGCTTTTCCTCAGCTTCAGCCGAACGCTGGACGCCACAGATACTTGGGCGCTTCGGTGCTTGTGCTTCGTCGTGCTGACTAGCAAGCGTTATGAGCGTTGCGTCTGTGGGAGAGCGTCTTGCGCGCTGTGCCTGGACAAAAGCCACGAGGGGACCCATAGCTCAAGTCTGGGTTGGTGTGCTTGACACTTCGCGTGGCGCGGTGTCGAGTCGTTGTGAACGTTGGGATGATGCCTCCTGATTCAAAAGGTAGCGCTAAAGGAGGGGGGATATGCTGCAGACATGGCACCTACTGGTGTCCGGCTAGCAACAACGGATTTCCCCACCCTGAGGACACGAGTAGGGCATGGCGATCGCCGCGGATGTCCAGGTTGGAGACCCTGACAAGGAGGTAATTGCGATGCACCAAGACTGGAGCATATCAAAGTGATAGTCTGTCTTCTCGCATAATGACTGGCCATCTCAGTCGATTGTCATCGTGTTAATCTCTACACTTGCACTGTTAACGGAAAGCTTTCTCTGTTCAATAGCGTGCAGCCTGGAACAAGAGTCGCAGAGTGTTTGACATGTTCTAGGGTATGTACGTCAGGCATCCCTTGCAAGTCCAGTGGCATAATTCAGAGTGATGGACATTGGGTGACTTTGACCCGGTGGTACTCTTGGTACTCTTCGATTCTTACCTCAAGATATGACGTTGGGCCCCGCAAGTCCGCGAATGAAGCGGTGAGTGGAAATGCGGGAGACGCAGATTTCGTGATGCAGAGATGCAGAGTCCGGTGAAATACGACACACCTCTTCCTCGGAAAATGTGTGGAGAATGTACAATGGCTGTACATCATGACCGGCGAAGTGACCCGTGGAAGTATCACCGCCTGTGTAATGTTGACTCCTGGTCAAGGAGGTACACCTGATGTTGCGATTGAGGTATTTGTCAAAGCGGTCCGCTTTGTGTAAAGGGTTCCAGGTTCCGCAACGGATACGCCGTTCGGACAGACTATGGAGTAGTGTCCGTAAGCTGAATCGACGATTCCCCACTGCGGAAGGAGATCTATCTGGATTCGAGTGGGAGATACCGAGGGAGATTCTACGCCTAGTGCGCGTTATTGAATCCAGAACAGTGAGTGAAATTCGATAGTATCGTCACTAATTGGGTGATGTCGGCGAGGTTGAGTTGCGCCTGCTCACTACACGATGTTTTACGTCTTGGCGTTGGACCAAAACGGCGCTTGTCTCGGCACGGTTGGGAAGATCTACCCAATCTGAGGATGTGCAGACGATCATCCGGCACAGCTGTTCCGGAAGATCGATCGAATCAGCGACTTGTGCAGCATCGACAGAATCGCGATGAGGAGTAGGCGCAATGGGGATATGGGAAAGTAGATCTCGCCGTCCATTATTGAAGATCGCACAGCAGATACTTCACCGGGTCGGGGAAACCTTGGGACATCCTGTTAGTTCGTCGAATAGGGCGCGTGACGTTCTGCTTCCCGTTGCTTGAGGGAAATAAGAGGCATCATCGCGTTCGCATTTGGGTGTGGGGCTGACAAGGGTGATTCGCGTGATTCAGATCTAACGGCCAGGGTGCTGTATCTTGCGTAAACTTTGATTTAACTCAATACTACAGGTCACGAAAAAGACGCTAAGGCAGCTAGGCTTTCTGTAACGGCCACGGAAACGACCGGTCGTTGACGGTTCCATGGCAACTCTCAGCGACTAGGCTGCTAGTGAGGAGGTTCAAAAACTGTGTATTGCGCACCCCGCGGTGAGCACGTAACGGCCCACTGCGCAATCGAGCCATCGCGCCTGTATATTCCGCTGTTATAAGGATGCCATCGTACTGTTTGTGAGGCAAAGGAATCCAGCAAATGCAAGCCAGCCACTAGCTAACGACTGCCAAATGCAGCAGCGGAAATTACAGACCTTGCATACGGGGAGAAAGGTTTGTGCCGCGGGACTTTGGCGGGTAGGTGAGAAGGGGCTAATTGGGGGCGCCATTGGATCGGGATGATGCGGGATGCGCTCGGTAATCTGAATCGACGTCGATCGAAGCCGGGATCCCCTGTGCCCTCTGCTCCAGGCACTTTTTGTTTTTGGCGCAGGCAATCCGTGACGCCCTAGTTACATGTACGTATGTACAACCTCCTAGTCGGGTGCGCGGAGGCCTGGCGTCTCTGTGCATTCGGGATGTTCCATGGCTCGGAAAACCCATGTCGAAGGATGAGAGATGTTGTTTCTCTCCTCGTGACTCTTGTCGACGCTCCGTGAATAAACCTCGCTTGCCCTCGTCGTTTGGCTTGGCACACTCGACATTATACATCGGCGTGTCTTGAGACGGGAAAAAATTGATCCTGGTCATGTAGATCGTGTAGGGGCTCCAACGTCGCCGACCTGCCATACCTGCTTTGGACGTACAGCGTCTAGTACGGCAGCCACGACAGCTGCGTCAACGACTGCAGCCGTTTTCGTTACACTCGACCGGAGCCATTCCGGCTTCGTCTCAAGTTTCAGAGGCATACCAAGGAAGCCTTCTACCATTTGTTAAGCTACGAAATTCAAAACACCCTCTTGCACATCTTCATCAAACCGGGGATTAACATGAGGGCATATCCTTGCGGAAAAACTTTGTTGCCGCAAACCTATTTCTGGTGGCCTGACAGTGGATGGGATCCGAAACCGAGCCCGCGCTTTGCTCTGCTGTATCGTGAGGCCTTTGATCACTCTGGTGCATGCGCGGGAACTCCCAAGGATCATGGAAGGGTGTTTGTGCGACTCCGAGGATCTTCGGGCGTGCACCATCCAAATGTCGAATAATTGTCGCACAGCACGGGGACGAGCACCATTTTCGGGCTCCTGCCATGCATGGGGCATCTGGCAGACAATCTTGAGGCCGGTGGGCTGAACGATGCTCAGACATGCGGGCGGGCACGACAGCAGCCACATGTGGATCGCTGGAACAGCCGTTAGTCCCGACGACGGGGAACGGCGCATGGACAGGTGCTTTGTGTCCTGTCATTATATCGTCTCAGCTGACACCGGCCCAAAACCAACGTGCGCAAGAGGATGCAGTGGATTTGGCTTGCTGCAGCCAAACGTCGCGGCGGGGGAAAAACGGTGACTGATGGAAATGACAAGTTGTGTGTCGTGAGCGGCACGAACCCCCCACCAATCTCGCCCGCAAGGGAGCTGTCAGGAACAGTGCCCTGGGGCGCTTTTTGTTCTGGCGGCTGCCGCTCTGGGATTTAACCGTAAGAGATGGTGCACGAGGCGCTGACAGTGCACATTGCACTCGACAGTCCCGTCGCATCGCATCGTGCCGGCGCTGCTGCCCTTTGCGAGAGGCGCGACGTGTGCCCGCTCCTGAAGCGGCATGGACGCTGCGGGGGACTGGGGAGACGCGTCGTCACCAAGGGATCCAGAGCACCGCTGTAGGCACGAGGCGACTGCCGGCAGCAGCGTGGTGCATGCACAGGACTGGTTTGGGGGAGTTTGGCGGAACTTTGCAAACGAAAGGCCCCTGGAGGTGGGATCCGACGGGCTGTTTGGAGCACGGCGAGTCGGGCCCGCCCACCAACAGGCGGCAGCGGTTCAACGCTTTCCCCAGCAGCCCGGGACGCTTGGCCTGCTTTGGGCAACTTTGACGAAAGCCGTGGCGCGTCTTGCCAGAGGGCCGGGACTCGAGCTCGAAACGGCAGCGCGCGGTGAATGGGCGAACGACAGGCGCGGGCTGCGTGCGCTGCACTGCACTGCACAGCACAGCAAGCAACACGGAGCTGCTTGACACGAGGCACACATTCAGGCTGAAGAGTCTGGCCTGGAGCTGCCCCGGCGAGAGCGCAGGCGTGGGGAAGCGGCCAGGGGAGGGCTGCGGGCGTGAGACGGTTGGAGGGCTATTTTTGCAGCGCGCACATGGGAATCAGGTGGGCACGGGGCCCAGGCAGGTGTTGAGATACGAGGACAGCGGGCGCCATTGGCCGTCAATTGTCCGTCGCGGCCTGGCAAGATGCTTCACGCAGACGCTGGTGCAGCTGGCGGGCAGCAGTCGAGCAGGTCGGGCTTCGCCTCTGGGGCCCGCCTCGGGCAGCCGCGCTGAGCTGGACGGGCGAGGGCGAGGGTGAGGGCGAGGCGTGGGTGTGGGCGACGTGAATCCGACTGTCAAGAGCATGTTGCGACGCAGCCTCAGCCGCGCAGCGGGGGCGAGGCCAGTGGCCAGCGTGGAGGCCAGAGGGGACGTGTGGCTGGGCTGCTTGCCAAACGGGCGTCTTGTCGTGGCCCAAAGCGGCAGCCGCACGCCACACGGTGCGGAGGCTAGCGGCCAGCTATTTGTGTTCGCGTCGCGCCTGCTGATTGGGCACGGCTGCTGGCGAGCCTGGCCTGCACAGCATCCGACTGTGCGGACGCAAACCACTCCCGCCCTCGCCCGCCGCCCGCCCGATCGGTGCCAGCCAAGGCATCAACGGCTGTCTCGAACCGGCGACCTCGCCGACGACGACGACAGCTGAGCGCAGCTCCGGCGCAGATGCTGCTCGTCTGCTGGCAGCGCAGCGCGCGCTGTCGCCGCTGGCCTGCGCGCGACCCAGTCCGGCGACCGGGCTGGGCGAGCCCGCAGAGGCCGCCAAGCCTTCACCTCGCCGACCTCTGCCCTCCCTGTCCATGGGCCGCTGGTGATCGCTATCTGGCGCTCGGTCCGCCCACCAGCCTCAGCACCGTTTGATCGCCCACGGCCCTGTCGAACCCCAGCGGCCAGCAACGAACGCAGTGGTGACGCGGTTGCAACGTGCGTCGCGCGCAGCGCAGGCACATGTTTATGCTGAAACTGCTGCCTCTTGCACTGCTCCGCTGCCACGACCGCACGCCTGTGGCCCGCACTGACCGCCACCGTGACCTGAGGCTCCAACATCTGGCCGTCATCTGGCTCCCGAATCTGGGGCCCGCAGAGGCCCGCCGCGTGTAGACTACTGCACCATCGTGTACGTCCAGGTAATCGCAGTCCACCAGCGACGAGCATCGGGCGCGGGGCCTGGACAGAGGCTCCCACGGAGATGCACATTCCCGACCGCTTGCAGCAGGCCCTATCCATGGTCCCGCGCGACCTGGCCTCCCTCCACCATCCATTTCATCGGTTCGCATTCGCAATGGTCATGTTCAATAAACACACCGCTGCCAGACGGCGACTTTGCGCCGATGCTGGGTGCGCCAGCACCCGTAAGATGAATGGTATGCCACCAAGCGGCCCTGGACCCTGGCGCCTGTCGTTCACAGCGGCTGGCTGAAGCGCTTGGTGCGGGCGTGTTTGGTTTTACATAGACATGGGGAACAAGCCGCCGAGGTGGGGATATTGGTGTGCCAGCGCCGTGACTGATGTCCTGAATCGGCACATCTGATGGGCACCGCCATACCCACCATGGGCCTGCGCGACGGCCAACCCGCCAGGGCTACCCCGGCACCCTAACCCTACTGGGGGGCGACCAGGGTGCGCGAGAGAGAGTGGGTCACGCCGGGATAGTCGAGCAAGCGTTGCAGGGGAAGCAATTGACCTGAGCCGGAAAAGCAGCGTTTGCGAGCGAGGCTTTCTTTTTCTCCCGTGCAGAAGCGGCCCAGCGCGCGCCAAAAAGCCATGCCACGATGTGCTACAAGGGCAGAGCACAGATTCCAGCGATCTGGTCCACCGGACTGGGAACAAGCTGGGACGCCTGTGCACCAGCGCGGAGCCAGAGGGCAGCAGATACATTAGTTGCGGGTCATCGCGCTGCTCATCGCAAGCATACGCACCCGTTTCCCACCAAGGCCTCATCTATCTCCAGATCGCCCACTCAGCGCCTGCGCCAAAAGCACTCTTAAGCTAGACACTCCTCAGCGCTGCATGACGCCCCCTTCCCTCTTCTGAGCCCTCCCACCATCACCTTAGCCGCATCGTTCAAAACAAGAAGTCTCCCGCACCAACTCTTCCGACTAAGTCATCCACTCCTCACTGTCTTGGCCCCCGCTATCCCTGGTCACTGCGCTGGCTGCCCACCGTTGAGTATATACTCTTCAGGAACCCGCTGCCGTCCGTTTGGCCCGCTACCACTGGTTCTCATCCACAAATCCGCGCCACGGTACAATCTACCACCCAACACTCGTCAACTCAGGTATGCATTCTCTTTCTCCGGCTTACATCCCCATCCACCACTCTTCCTCGGATCCCTACTCCTCAAGGCTGAAATCCCCTCTCCATCCCTACTTGGCCCTATAAAACATTTCTCCCTCTTTCAATATCATGCTCGCCGATGTACTCGCTACGAAGAGCCAAACGTGAATGCGAACATCGACTGACCCGGGTAGTTTCAATATGGTTGCTCACCGTCGCGGCCCTTGGTCGCAACACGAGGACCGCTATCTCATCGAACTCGTGACCCGAAATGGCCCGCACAACTGGGTTCGGATATCACAGGAAATCACCACACGGTCGCCAAAGCAGTGCCGAGAAAGATATCATCAAAATCTTAAGCCTTCGCTAAACCACGAACCCATCTCCCAGGAAGAGGGCGAACTGATCGAGAAGCTGGTTGCCGACATGGGCAAGAGATGGGCCGAGATTGCTCGAAGACTACAAGGCCGTAGTGATAACGCCGTTAAGAACTGGTGGAATGGTGGACAGAACCGCAGAAAGCGCAACCCTGAGCGTGACCAGCCCTCCCACCCGCAAATGCACCATCCGCAAACCGCATACCACTACCCCGCAGTAGCACATCAATCTCACCACGACGATGAAGCGCATCGTCTGTCTTACTCGTCTTCGCGGCGGACCTCGCTCAACCCTCAGACTCATTCTCCTCATGCACTCAAGCTTCCACAGCCTCAGGGTTTCGAACCTTACGCCGGCCCGCGGCCAGCACCACTACAACTCCAGCCGTACAACTCACATGCATCGCGGGGGCGTGGGATTGAGACACCCATGCCGTCGCCTTCGGGTTACTCAATCGTCTCCGCAGATGGTGCGCCTTCACTGATCACGGACACCGGCTCAGAGTCGCGCTCACCCCGTGGTGCAGCCTCTCCTCTGGATCTCACACTTGCTCCTTTGGTCGGCAGCCGGGAAGAGCGCAGAAATTCGTGCACCCGATACCTCCCTCACATGGGCTTTGCGAACGAGGACGATGACCACACATCGTACGATTACCGACGTGGCTCCATGCAGCTCCCGCCTCTGTCCGGTGCCGAGAACAGGACTACGACCCCTTTCAGAGAAGCAATCTCGAAGCAATCGTACAGGGCCGAACGACCGCAGCTGCTCACACAGCCTGCGCACCAGCTGGTTCACCACCACTCGCTACCATACTCAGCACCCGCGGAGCAACGACCACTGCCACCTTTCGCCACTCTGGCGGAACCAGGCCGGGTACCGCTGCCGTCCCCCAGGAATACGAGCCCGTCCTCAAGACATCTCCCGTCGCCGTTCACTCGCACGGCACAGCCAACTGAAACACGCAGCGCGCCTGTTTCGCCCAAGGACAAGCCGCAGGACAGCCGCATGGACCTTCGATCCCTGGTGATGTGATCGGCCGCTACTCACGTCGCTATTCTCACTTCATGTTTATACGCAAATCCTAGTTCTCATTGTAATGTCTACGCCCATGTTCACTGCGCACGAGTCCACCTCTCATCATGTCTCGTTGCAAGGCTCCGAGGCGAGGAACTCCATTTTGGTCCGACAAGATACCCCCGTCATGTAAATTACCATCAGGAAAAAGGACCGTTTGGGCGGAAATTCTGCTTTTCTCTTCTGCTTTGCTACTACTCATTCGCTATTCCCCCGTTACTGCTTACCCATCTTTGCAGTCGTTGTTGTTCGTTGCGTGCGGAGGCAAAGCGAGGCGCGTTTTCCACTTGTCATCAGGCGTTCACTGAGGGGCACATACGCCTGTGCACGCCAGGGTCTACACTACGGAGTTGAGTCGAGTCGGGGTGTTGTTCATCTAGGCTGCCCTGCCCGCCTCACCCCGGGCTCGCGCGCCTGCACCTAGCATGTCATGTATACTGTTCTCTTCTGTTCTGTTCAGTTCTTGTCGATGTCGCACCATTTCGTCTGCATTGCATACACGGCCGTCTGCTCCGAGGAGCTCGCGGAGAAAGTTAATATATACCCACGCGGCACAAGCCGCGCTGTTCGCACACTATCCAAGTCATGTACACATGTCCCATCTGCTTGTGAGACCATGTCTGGCCTGATCCAGGGCGTTGGTTGCGCTGGAACCTCTGGGACCGGGCGTCACGAGCGCAGCACGCCTCCACGAGCCTCGTTTGCGGCGGCTAGCGAGCGCTGCCTCCCTCTCCCACGGCGGGTTCTGTCACGCAGCGCACCTGTGGCCTCGGGCTCGCGTTCCGGTCCAGCGTGCTGCACGCAAGATTCAGCGCAGGACTGAACGCTCGACTAGGGCAGGGCCGCAGTGTCAGGACACGCGCGGGAGGGCTGGGCACCACGCTTCCGGCAGCTGTGCCGGTGCGCGTGCTTGCACGACACATGCGTAGACGTCTTCTCCACCGCTCGGTGGAGGCAGCGGTGGTGCTGATGGAACTATGGATCTGGGCTGCGTTCAAGCCCGCGACGAGGAAGGCAGCGAGCGCCTTGTGCGCGGCGCGCGGTGGATGCTGGGCGGAAGCGTAGTCTACCGCTTTGGGACGGGGCGCTAGGCGCGTTTGGGAGGCTGATAGTCGACACTTCGTACTCGGCGTGCGCCGTGTAGTCGCGACAGGACTAGAGCGAGGCCAGCCCTTGGGACGCACGAGGTTGTGGCCTAGAAGAGAGACTCGCAGCTCCGCTGGCTTGACAGGCTTCTAGGGGCGCGGCGTGGCGACGGCGCATTTGGGGAGGGCCCGCGGAGCGCAGCACATAGTGGTGTGTTGCGTAGGACGGCGCTCGAGCATGGAGAGGGCCGTGCCGTGACCTTCACTGTGTGCTGTGCTGTACTGTACTGCGCTGCAGGACACGGTCATGTGACGCGCTGCAACGGGGGCAGCACAATGCGAATGCGAGGCTGCTTAGTCAGGGGCCCTCGCCCTCGCCCTCGCCCTCGTCCCCGCTCCGCGTGCCCCTCAGTGCATCTTCATCTCGTTCAACGGCGGTGCCACGGCCCTATACGGACGGAGTCGCAAATTGAGCACGACACGAGCCTCGCACAGCCAGCCGCCGCAAAAACGTGGCAAGCGGCGTCCGTGCAGCGCGGCCGTTATTGCACGCGCCGCGTGCATGCATGGCATGGACGTTGGCATGCCTGGCTGGCCTGCGCTGCGTGGTAACGATTCCGCAGAGCCCCGGGCCTCCAGCTCCTCCCGACAGGGCTGGTGGAATTCTGAGGGCGCTAGCACAAGACTGCCGCTCTGGGCTTGGGGCCCGCTGCTTTGGGGGTGAGCGAGCGAGGACGGGCACGAGCAAAGGACGGACTGCTGGGATGCTGCGGCGCGACTCGATTCAGGGTGCGACTTTTGGCCGCGAGGCTGCGCTATTGCCCGCGCCGCGCTCGCGCTTGCCAGCCTCTCGCCTACGGTAGATCGTTTCGTCGCTTCGTGGGCGGATTGTGTCCAGCGTCAGCGCTTGGCGGGCGGGCCTAGTGCTGAGCGAACACTCAGGGGCGCGGCGTGAGTGGTGAACGGCGTCGAGTCGCAAAGGAATCGAGTAAGGTGTACGCCGCTGGGCGTTAGGCCATGGTTTGGGGGCTGGAGAAAGCCGTTGGAGGGTGCACGCTGCGAGAGGCCGTGGCGGCGCGGGAGGTTAGCCAAGTGCCGGCCTGAGCGCGCCTGCTCCTGACATCTCGCTGTCGGGACGCGGACGTCGTGAGGATGCACGCCTGGCCCAGTGGGAGGTGCGTTGCGTACGGCACGCGAGGCGATAGGCATGTGCAGCGCGCGAAGGGCGCATGTCGCCAGCCAAGCCTCCGCTTGTCGGGGCCTCGAGTCTTGCCTCGTTGGGCAGACTCGTCGAGCATTGTGCAAAGTCGGCAAGGCGCAGGATCTCACACGAGGCCCTACTGTGCTTCCCCTGCCATTCCCTGTGTCAAACCATGACGGCAAAGATGACTCTGCGTCGACACGTCGCCGCCTGCAGAGCCGTCACCGCTCCGAGCCTGGCAAACCCAATAGGCCCTGGACGGTGGACGTCTGCCTCCGTGTCTCGCCTCGTGGCCTGGGACAACGGCGTGTGTTCGTCGCACGTTGGAGCAAGATGCTGACCGGGTAAATGCCTTCTGAGCGGATTGCATGCCGTCGGCGCTGATGTTTCCGTCTCTGGGAATGCGTACACGGGTTTGCCGCCGTGCGTGCGGGAATGGCACGCAGGGACAGTGACACAGATGCCCACGGCCGTTGAGCGTTCCCTTGCCGCGGGCTCGCGACCCATGGCTCTGTCTCCGCCAGCTGTTCGCACGCGCGTCGTGCCGGGGTTGCTCGTCGATATGCGTGCACGTAAGGCGAGGGGTGGCTGCGGGGAAGAGAGCTTGGGAGGCATGCACAGTCTGGACCACGGCGGATACCGTGCTCGGCCGGCGTGTCGTTGCCCTGCGACGTTCAAGTCAGGACGTCAGACGCACGCAGCCATCGGTGAGCGCCCACCAGGACGAGGGTCGCTCGCGTGGCAGCTGCAAGCCACCTGAGACACGGCTCCATAAATATCTCTGAAGGAGCATCTGGCAAACCTTTCGCGCGCTGCTCCCAGGCGCGTGGAAACCGTCCGTGAGCACGGAGTCGCATCCGTTGGCGGATGCAGGGGCTCCTCCAGCCTGAATCACGACCCCAGTGCACGGCGACATGTCACGTGCCCCATCTGGCAGTTGCGCCGAGGCATCCCTGCGCCAACGCCGATCAAACGCCGTTAGGCGAGCAGCCTCACCAGCACGCCTTCGTTCGACGTCGCCCGTCGGCAGAGGGCCCTGCCGCACCCTACGGGCTACTGCAGTCACGCAAACCTTGTCTCTTCATTACAGTTGCGGCTTCTCGCGTTCGCTTTCTTTGCATGTCGCCGTCGCCGAGCGGTGAGGTGAGTCGTGGTGGGTGAGCGCGGAGACATGGCGGGCTCGCTCTATGTCCCGGATCCGAGCGCGCAGGATACGATGGTGCAGCCTTGGGACGAGGCGTTTCGGGTACGTACACCACGCGCTGAGCCTTCTATCCTTGGGTTTTGTGGCCTCGTCCGCGTGCTCGTTGGTGCTGGCACACGATTGCGTCACGATGCTCAGGGGGTGTTTGGTGGCACAGCAGTAACCAATCCAACAACCAATCAGTCGGCGTCCGTCACGTCCAACATGTTGCATAGGAGAGAAGAAGACCCGCAATGTCAAGAGATAGGATGTGGCTCGGATGGACTGCTGTGCCACTACAACGTGGGCATGGTGTAGTCGGCCGCAATTCTATGCAGCTATGGAGATTAGAATCGCTCCGACTATACGAGTAAACATGTAGACTATATTCTAACAATCAACAGACCCAGCGTGATGTCGGACTCCTAGTTCCAATCAACTTCCACACTGCCCCCCTGGTATCCCTCAGAGCAGCCTGCTTCAGCAACGGTCTTTACGAGGACACATCGTTCCAGAGATGCTTCTCGAACTTGCTCGCGGTTGGGCTGCGGAGGTTCATGGTAGACACGTACTGGGACGCGTCACGGGGCGAGTGGAGTCTGTGTCCTGCTGAGATTCCACCGGCCTTTGCAGCAGGAAGCTCGTCTTCCACGGTGCCTGTGCCGACGTTCACAGCGTCGAGTAGTTTGAGTCCCACGAGTGCTGGGGTGACTGCGACTGTTACTTCGGTAGGATTCCCAAAACGCCAGGATGCATTTTCTAGATTGGGTCCTAGATCCATCACGTCGAGCATCCCCTCCTCAGTGTCCTCATCCGCATCTGCATCAGCATCATCATCAGGATCCTCAAGTGCGGGTTCGTCTAGCGCGGCAGCTACTTCGTCCACTCCAGTTGCTGCCCCAGACCAAGCTCCCGGCGGAATCATTTTCCAGCTGGGCAGCTACAATTGCACCTCCACAATAACGCTCGGCTACCTTACTGGCATTTTCAATGACTTTCTCGACGCGACATCAACCACGACTGATGCCTCGTTCACATATTTGCTTCTCAACATCCATGCTGCTGCATCTTGGGAACACCCAGATGAGCCTGCTCAACAACCCTCTGCCGATCAGCTTCCAGGGGCAGGTCATCTCCTCAGCGATGTCATGAACGGGAACCTCTCCGAGGAACTGTATAGGCCTTCGAAACTAGCCAGCGACCGCGCACACCTAAGTCAATCTTGGACCGGTGTAGGTGAGGATAACATGCCCTTAGAGGGCTACTACACGGTAAACAACGCCAACACCAATGACCCTTCTACGGCCGACGGATGGCCGACGGAAGCCTACGTCCAGTTCCACCAGTACTTCCGCCTCCTCGCCATCTTCGGCACCATCGACCCCCAAATGGCCGCCTACAACCAGGCCCTTGACGCCGACACCATCTTCCCCGCCTCCACGCTCTCCTTCCAACAACACGTCTCCCTCTCTTCCACAGGGAACGTAACCTCCGGCTGCCTCTTCGACGCAGCCCAGACGTCAATAAACTCTCAAACGAACTCCTCCTTCGCCCTCACCACAGTCCCGTCCTCCTTCTCCGTCCCCTCAAACCCGAATCTCACAACCCCACTGCCGGAGATAGCGAACCTCACCGTCTGCGGCCTCTCCCCCTTCCTCAACCACTCCCTCACCTCCGACAACACGACCGCAGCTACGAACCCCCTCCCCTACGCCGCCTTCACACACTCCTACCTCTGGTCCTGGGCCCCAGGCGAGCCGCTCAATGCCACGGATCCGAACAGCAGTGGTGCAACGGGGAACCGCTGCGCCGCCGCGTACACCTCCGGCGCGTACCCCGGGCAGTGGCACGTCGTGGACTGCAGTGCTCCGCTGCGGGTCGCGTGTCAGGACCCGTCGCAGCCGTACAGCTGGAGCGTGAGTTCAAGAACCGCGACGTACGACGGCGCGGAAGATGCGTGCGCAGAGCCGGCGACGTTCAGCGTCCCACACACGCCGCTGGAGAACGCGCATCTTTTATCCGCTGTGCGCTCTTCCCCTTCCCCGTCTTCATCCCCAAGCGGAGGAGATTCAATCCTGCTCAACCTCAACAGCATGGACATCGCCGATTGCTGGGTCGCCACGCCGAACGGAACGTGTCCCTACCGCCCGCCCAGCGACATAGACAAGGCGCGAATCGTCGTCGTCCCGACGGTCGCAGCCGTCATCATCTTTGTGTGCGCGGCGCTGACGTTTTTCGTCAAGTGTGCGAGTAATCGGCTGGAGGATAAGAGGGGCCGGCGGAGGCGGACGGTTGGGGGTTGGGAGTATGAGGGGGTGCCTAGTTAGAGGCTTCATCGAGGGAAGGATGAGTGTGGTGTGGTGTGTGCGATGTATATGTATGATAGAGTGGGGGTGGGTATGCAGCATGGGCTTATTTCCACGGCGTTGGGACATGTATATTACGAGAGAAGTTTGGGCCGCTGTCGCCCATGGGGTGACGGCGCGTCATTGCACCATACACAAATGCAGTACTTGCACACGGCAGCACAATCGACCTTACATCGGCCTGGCAAATCTTTGAGCGGCGGGGTGAGAGCCGCTGCTGTCCCGCAGGACTGTGCTACAGCACGCTACATAATTCCAGCAAAGTTCGCCAATCCAAAACCCGACTCCCCAACTCTCCAGCTCATAACTGCACACCATTACCGCATACCACGGCACCGCTAACTCCAACTCCCCCTCCCAGTCCGAACTCACGCTCACGATACTTCCCAGCCATCAGAAACTTCAGCAACCCGCCCACACCCCCGCTCGTCCTCCCAATCCCATTCCCCAACCCCATCTCCATCGTCTTCAAAGATGCCCGCCGAAAACTCCCGCTTTACCTGCCCGTCCAGCTCCGGGTCCGGCTCAAACAGCGGACTCTCTTCCACCAGACGCCGTATTTGGGGAAAGACATGCGGTTCCTGCTCCGCAGCCTTTGTGGCCGTGTGAGGGATGGGTAGAGGGGTAGGGCCAGCGTGGGAGTAAGCGTGCGGATGCCTGACCGCCGTCCACGGCGCCCGCATCTCCCCTTGCGCCTGCACGGTGGTCCGTCAGCACATGCACTTGCCGGCATCATCCATGGCCCCTCTGCTGTCTCTGCCACGGGATCCAGGGCAGAAACTCACCTCTCGGGGCGACCCCACAACGTCCGTCCGCCCACCTCTCCTCCTCGCCCTGGTTCTCGGCACCGGACCCTCGCCTCCTCTCTTCCTCTTCTTTCCCGTAGTCATCCCCACCTCCCCCTCCCCCTTCCCCTCCCCAATCCCCTCCACCTGCCCCAGAACCCCGACCCCCAGCCTCCTCTCAAAATGCGCCCACAGCGTCGTATTTCCCCCCTGATCCTCCTCGTAATCTTCCATCCCGCCAAGCGCCGCCCCCCAGTCCTCCCCCCACACGCCCCGCTCCCATTCCTTCCCCTCTCCACAGACATCGTCAACGCTCACGTGGAAGTGCACGCCAAACGCCCTCGGGTTCCGGAACAAACTGCGACACGCATGCGCGCACGCGGCGTCGTAGGTCGCCACGTAGGCGTGCGAGGCGGGGAGCGTGAAGGCGTGCCGGGCAGTGAGGAAGTCGCGGACCGTAACTGTGGGCGTGCTTGTCGCCGTGGGAGCGCCCGGGATGTGGTGTGTGGAGGCTGCATGCCGTTTCCCCGCGCGTGGGTGAGGTCTCAGGGGCGGAGATGGAGATGGAGATGGGGACAGAGTGTCGGGTGGAGGCGCGTGCATGTTGCGCGGCACCGTGTTCTGATTGTCTTCGACTATCTTGATGCAATCTGGTTGACGAGGTATTTGTGCGGAGGAGACGCCAGAGACGGCGCGGCTACTGGGAAAAGGAGTAGACGTCGAGCGGAAGAAGACTTTGTTTGCGCGGTCAGGGTACCAATTCAGTTCTGCTGATACAACCTTGGCTCGTCCATGTGAGACACCACGCAAAAGAAGGTAATCGAGCAGGTGAAAGCTGAGCTAACGGCGGCGAAGTGCAAATGAGAGAAGACAAGTCGACTGGAGTAAAGAGAAGTGAGCAGTGCCCTCAAACCTATTATCAAATTCCCCGTGCTCCCCTTCGCCATATTTCCCATAAATAATAAAAGAACCCCCGGCCGCCGCAAAACCAGCATATCCATAACAAACACCCTTGGCTCATGCCAAAATTACACATCCACCACTCCAGCAGCACCGTCCTCCCTGCCCCCCGCCGTTCGCAGTTCCTTACTCACCCTGCAACAACTCTCACCCAATTTCTCCTCCTTCTTCCTCACCAAGGCCTCCTTGACCAGTTACCTCCGCCTAGACTCTATGGGTGCATCGAACTCCTTCCACACCTTTATGTCCCTGATAGCCACCAGCAGCTCCCCATCAACCCTATTCCTATCGACTCCACACCCCGCCGGCATATACAGCGTGATCTTATCATCGTTGGTAAGACTGGCACGCACAAGGGGTCTCACCTCCGGATCAACACAAATTCCTGGCCGCGCATAGCCAATGATGATATCCCAGTCCAGCAAGCTGCTCCCGGTGTATGTGTCGATGATCGTGAAGTCGGAGTCAGCACCGTCAGCGTGGTGCTTCTTTAGCGCAGCTATCATCTTGGCCGAGCGCTTTTGCTTTGTATTCCCATCAAACTCCGGTAGGCACTCCACTTCGTCGTTCGGTATCTGTATTTCACCCATGCGATTGGGCACCTTGCCGTATCTTGAAGGGATGTATGTGTAGGCGTTATGTTTGTGTCTAGTCTCAAGGCATGAGGTATAAGTTTTGCGCGGCCAACGATGAGGTCCAAGTGGTGGGTTCTGGTGGCGTAGGCATCGACTGTGATGACTTGCTCTGTAACGAGTTCTGTTGGTGGAATTTGTGATGGGTAGGTGATCGGCCAGGGGAATTTCGAGGTGTCGAGACGTCCTTCCGGAACGAATTCGTTCCTGTCTTCCTCTTCCGTGACACGCCGCCTCTTCAGGACGTTAGCTTATCGCACAATAAGCGCATATCCGGAACGAACCAGCCCTTGCCTTTTCGTCGCCCATATTCCTTAGCCTTGCCATTTCTTTCTCCTCCGCGCTCATATGCATCTCTTCACCAAGACACAAGTGACTCTTTGACATATCAAGTTTCTCAGTGAGCGACCACCGCTCGAAGTGTACAAACACCACCAAGTCCCGAGCCCCGCAAAACTCCGGTCCGAAGTAACACCCATTGTCCCACTCGCCCTCCGCCGCCCGTGCATCACATGCGCCTGATTGAAATGAACATAGGCCTTATATTCGTCGGCTGGACGCTCGCAGATTCGACGCGCGATGGCTATGAGCTCCTGCAATTGCCCTACGTCAGTGTCGGACCATGAGGAATGACGAGAACCACTCACGCCATACTGTTGTGCGCGACTCGCAACAATCAGGTATGTTACTTTTGGTCTGCTGAAGTCGGCGATAAGAATATGAGCAATTTGCGCCATGGTGAGGATATTTGCGACTTGATGGAGATGAAGAGGTAGGGTAGATGACCAAAAAGACCAAAAAGGAGTAACCGATGGGGCAAGATCAAGAGTCATGCTCATAAATAGTGAGTGAGAGAGAAGAAACAGAGAGCTGAAAGAATGCGCATATGATACCTATCAAGCGGGCTTTCAAAGGGAGAATTCCCTTACGCTATTCGGCTTATCTGACCAGAAGTAGCAACTTCTCTATGCACAGGCAAAGATACCACCAACTCCGAAACGCAAATCTCAGTACGAAAGAAGGACGAACACATGAATCGTCCACTGCAAGCCTGGCGCTAGGGGCCATATGGTTGATGTGTTTCGTCGAACCACGAACCATACCGAACGGTTGGCGGGCGCTTAGATTCGCCGCTTTTTCGAGGACTCTTCGGGTCCTCGGGTGTGATCTGGATATCAGAGTCCTCGGGTGTTAGCTTGGAAGCAGATTCCTCGGGTGTAAGCTTGATCATGTTAAATAGTGCAGAATGACTCGCGGTGGTTTCGTACCGGAGAAGGTGTCCTAGCAGGCCTCGTCCTGCTCGGCAGACATTCTGCGTAACGAACAGCAGGGCCAGCATCTTCCTGGGGAAGCTCTAGTATGTCATTGAGTACTGGGAGTGTAACCGTTGGTCCGAATGTGCGGGTGAGGTTGTCAATCCGGTCTGCAGCGTTGTTAATCCGATCGGCGACGTTATTGATCTCGCAGGCAGGGTTGCCAAACTGGTGGCCAAGGCTGGTCGCATGGTCTCTCAGAAAGTTCAGCTGACCCTGGATACTTTCGATTCCGGCCAATAGTAAATCAATCCTTTCCGTGGGCGGCATTCCGGTTGAAGGATATGATATGGTAGGAGGTATTAGGGGAGGCACGGCTTGGGAAGAAACAGCAGATTCGCTGTCACGAGGCTGGTCAGCTGTGGACCATGACGTTAGCAGACTTGTCCAATAGTGGCGCGCCAGTGGCCCAACTCACTGTCAGTTGACTCGTCGTTGCCGCCCATAGTTGACAGCTCAACTTCCTGGATGGCTGGTGACCTGGAACGAGAAAAGGGAAAACGACTCCAGCGCGAACTCTCCCCTGGACGGTTGCGGCCTCTCCACGAGAAGTTGAACCTATAGATTGGGACCACGATAGGAGATTCTGGAGGGGGAGGGAGGTCTTTCGACAGATGTAGACTATCCAAAAGCTTTTCTATGCTGGTCTTTCTGCTAACCTGAGGAGACTTAGTAGCCTGGACGGATGGCCGAGACGATTGGCGGCTCCAGGGCCGGTAGCCATAGTCGCGATCCCGATACGGCTGATAATCGTTGGGATCCTGGGGCGAGTGCGAACGTGCTCGCGGCGGCGGACTGGGCCGATCCCCAGAGTATTGGTCTTTCAGGACGTAGCGCTCAAGGCGAGGACCTGGGAAGGGGCGCCACATATTGTCGCTCCATCTTCTGTCTGACTTCAGAGGCTTCTGTAGAGGGGAAGCACAACAAACAGGGCTATGAATTCCGGCACACTGGCAAGGCTCTTCGTAATCGCACTGACCCTTTGCGGAACAGTTCCTACAGCGATCGTGTGCGCTCTCCCAATCACCACAGCAGCATTGACAGCCGCTTCCGTTTGGTTCATCCATCATCGTTGCGGAAAGCTGGGTAGCTAATTCGTCTATTTGCGCTGATGTATCCGCTCGGGCAGCACGGTCAGATCGTTTGGGAGTGTCCTTGTGCGCTCTGATTCCATCAGAGGTCCCTTCCCACGTTAGCAAGACACACCAAGGTACAATTAGACACGCGGATACAACATCGCACCTGGTGTCTCATCACGCAGCACTTTGCGCATTCGTTTGTGGGGCCTCTGGCGATACTTGTTGATAGGCTTCACCAGGTGCCCCGTGATCGATTTGATGAGGCTGGTCATTTTGCGCCTTCGATACATGCACGCGTGGAGAACTTTGCGTTGGCACTTAGGGTACGTATTGGCTGGTGTCTCTAGGGTGTCGAAGCGTGCAGTGGAAAGTGACTCTGGCACATCGGAGCGTACGCTAGGCGAGTTGTATGGTGTGACAGATCCTTCGATGTCCATAAGAAACCTGACAGACTTCTCTTGGGGGCCAGTGAGTTCGGTAGATGCAGAGATCTTTGGAGGAACTGTCTCGAAACAGAGGCAACCAACTGCACCGCCGATGTCAGCCAGGCCATGGATGAAGGTTTCGTCAGCGTTGGACCTCGTCCGATCTTGTATCTTTTCAGCATGATTCCCCGATGTGGCCTCGACATAAGCGATTGAAGGTAGTTGGGTAAGTAACTAGCGATATACGATGAGTGCAGGGCATCCAGCGTGGATAGCAATGGACAAACGTGGGTGCAGGGACGCGAACGAGCTGTTGGTGTGGCGATGGAGTTGACGAGAGATGACGAGATGGTAGTTGTCATTGATGGCCGCGCTAAGGTACACATGGCAAGAGCGATTGTGTGCCCGGCGGCCGGCAGTCAGGGTAGGAGCGGCCTTTGTTACAATTCAAAATCTTGTTGCATTACACGTTGGTATCTTGGATCTTGAAGCTCTCACAGCTCACTCTTGCCCTTGATTCCTTCCAGCTTCTCTTTACCCCAAAGGGTCGGCCCGTCGTCCCCGTACAAGGGGTCCCTCTTCAGCCATGGAACTTTCTCTACAACCTTTGCTTTCTCTCCTTCTTCAGCGTTCCCATAACACATGTCCCAATTGCATCCCTCAGGGTAGCTCCCCACCATCATGAACCCCCCTCCATCTCCATAGTCCTCTAGCAGGCGATGTCCCACACCCGCTGGCACCACAACCGCATCTCCAGCTTTCACCTCAGCTTCAACTTTGCCAGGATTCTGCTCGCCGCCGAAGAGCAATCTTGCGCGGCCCTGATACACGCAGAGGACTTCGTGGGTCGTGCTGTGGTAGTGGGTAGTCGAGTACATGGTGTAACGCCATTGTGGGGTGAGGCCGTTGGAGGGCAAATGTGACTCTAAGGTTGAGGCGGAGGTGGACGGTGGATAGGCCGAGTGGTAGATGAACAGGGGATGGGAGTGGGGTGCTGTGTTGGGTATGTTGGAGTGGGTGGGGATGAGGTGGGTAGAGAGGCGGAGGGAGGCGAGAGGTGTGAGGTTGAGGGATGGCATTGTTGATGCAAAGAATTTCTGTGGTCTGGGAATTGTTTGAGTGTGGTTTCCCAATGTGCTGTAACAACGGGGGTGGACTTCAAGGGTCCGGCGATGGCGCGAATGCGAACGACGTCATAGCTACATGATACATCAATATTAGAACATCTATTGTGTGAGCGAGCAACATATAGCCTAGATACATTAAGACTTGTGCAGCTGTTGATACTGACGAATTCCGGGTACAAAGCACATGCCGCACGAGTATTCGAGAAGACGCGAGGTGGGTGGTCATCTTTTCGCGTCCGCAGTGCAGTGACACGTGCGCGCTTGCCACGGCCAACCGTGGGCTGTGCATCTGTGAATGCCGCAGAGCTTGCTCTTCGCGGGGCTCGATCTGAGCAAACGGGCTGCAGATTCAGGGTATGAGGCGTGTGCGCGGGCATTGCTGGAGTTGAACGTTGAGTCCGGGGTGCGGTGGCTGACGGCATTAAGGCTGCAGCGAGCCAAGAGATCTGAGCTTCGGTCAGTCTACTGGTGCCTGGCTGACGGTGATTCACAAAAGCTCGCCGTCGCCGGGCAAAGCACCTTCACCCGCCTTCTCTCCCGTTCCTCGACAAGTCAACGCCCTCCGCGTGACTGTAACGGCCGTGACCCGTGCGTGCAGACCAAACACGTCGCCGCACCCCGACCCGCCCTCTACAACAGCAACCGCGGCGCCACCTCTCCCCGCCGCCCCAACGCAACTGCAACTGCATTTCCCCCAGTGCACACCTGCCACACCCACCCACGCTCCTTGACTCGCCCGCCGCTCTCTATCACGTGCCCCCGGCCAACCCGAAAATACCGCTCTTCAAGCGCAAGAAGTCGCCCTCGAAAAGTGCCACAGTGCACGCGACGCAGCAGACCGACATGGCATCCTCCATGCCGCCCGTCCCTGCAAAGGACGATGTCCGAGCAACGTAAGTAGCCCTGTCTGATTTGTTCGTCCGCACACGCTGTTCCCAGGCCTTGAATACTGCTTGCGTGATCTGCACGCCGAGTCCGCTCAACACCACATTTTGCGGGCAACTCGCTAATACGCCGCAGATGGACGTACCTCGAAGCCGGTGTAGACAAGATTATGCACAGCCTGCGAGACGGCATGGACATGAAGACGTACATGGGCCTGTACACCGCCATTCACAACTTCTGTACCGCCCAAAAAGCCGTCGCCGGTTCATCCTTCACATCGCACAACAACCGCGGTGGGGCCCATCTCCTCGGAGAAGATCTATACCAGCACTTGATCGAGTACCTGAAGGTTCACCTTAAGGTGGTGCAGGACAAGTCGCACGAGCACACCGATGAGGCCCTCCTCTCCTTCTACATCAAGGAATGGGGCCGCTACACGACTGCCGCCCAATACAACAACCACTTGTTTAGGTACCTAAACCGCCACTGGGTTAAGCGCGAGATGGATGAGGGAAAGAAGAACATCTACGACATCTACACCCTGCATTTGGTTCGCTGGAAGGAGGATCTGTTCACTGGCACCCAAGAACAGGTCATGCGCTCTGTGCTGAAGCTGGTGGAGAAGCAGCGGAATGGCGAGACTATTGATCAGATGCAGGTCAAGCGTGTCGTCGATTCGTTCGTGTCCCTCGGTCTGGACGAGCAGGACAGCTCCAAGTCAACGCTCGACGTGTACAAGGAGTTCTTCGAAAAGCCATTCCTCGCGTCGACGGCAGAGTACTATGACAACGAGTCCAAGCAGTTCTTGGCGGAAAACAGCGTGGTTGAATACATGAAGAAGGCCGAGATCCGCCTGGAAGAGGAGAAAAACCGTGTCAGCATGTACTTGCTCGCCGAGATTATGTCCCCTCTGATGCGCACGTGCGAAGAGGCGCTCATTACGAAGCACTCCCAGGCTCTCCGAGAAGAGTTCCAGGTCTTGCTAGATCACGACAAACAAGAAGACCTTGGCCGCATGTACAACCTGCTTGCCCGCATTCCGGAAGGCCTCGACCCGCTGCGCACGCGCTTCGAGACCCACGTCAGGAAGGCCGGTCTGTCGGCCGTAGAGAAGGTCTCCGTGGAGGGCGACAGCATTGAACCTAAGGTGTACGTTGATGCGCTTTTGGAGGTCCACACTCAGTACCAGGATCTTGTCAACCGCGCCTTCAATGGCGAGTCGGAATTCGTTCGATCACTGGACAATGCCTGCCGCGAGTTTGTCAACCGGAACAAGATCTGCAAGTCCGGCTCGAACAAGTCGCCTGAGCTTCTCGCAAAATACACAGATACCTTGCTGAAGAAATCGAGCGCGAAGATGTCGGAGGAGGACAACATGGAGGCGCTTTTGTCTCAGGTCATGACTGTCTTCAAATACATTGAGGATAAGGATGTGTTCCAGAAGTTCTACTCGCGCATGCTTGCCAAGCGTTTGGTGCAGAGCACCTCCGCCTCGGACGACGCAGAGACCACCATGATCTCGAAGTTGAAGGAGGCCTGTGGATTCGAATACACCAACAAGCTGCAGCGCATGTTCCAGGACATGCAGATTTCCAAGGACCTGAATGGCACATATTCTGATTGGCTAGATCAGACGTACGAAGCTCCAGAGCGCAAGGGGTTCGTCGACGCCAGCTACAACATTCTTGGAACTGGTTTCTGGCCTTTGAGCGCGCCCACCACGACTTTCACACCGCCTCAACTTATTGTGCAGACTTATGAACGTTTTACCACCTTCTACAACAACAAGCACCAAGGCCGCAAGCTGACATGGCTGTGGCATCTATCAAAGGGCGAGATGAAAGCCAACTACTGCAAGGTTGCTGGCGGCAAAATGGCTCCCACATTCCAAGTGTCGACGTACCAGATGGCCATTCTGCTGCCTTTCAACGACACAGATACGGTCACATACGACGAGATTGCCGAACTCACCAAGCTCGACAAGCAGACACTTGACCCCAGCATAGGTATCTTCATCAAGGCGAAGGTCCTCACTGCCACACCGGAGGGCGCCAAGCCGGAATCGGGCACCACGTATACGCTGAACCTGGGCTTCAAGACAAAGAAGCCGAAGATGAACTTCAACATTGCGATCAAGGGCGAACAGAAGCAGGAGGCTGAAGATACGCACAAGACCATCGAGGAGGACCGCAAGCTCCTCATGCAGGTACGCATAGCTTGTTTCGCATTCACATGCACGTTGCTAACTTTTTCCAGTCGGCCATCGTGCGTATCATGAAGTCGCGCAAGAAGATGAAGCACCAGCAGCTTGTCTCGGAGACGATTGCGCAGATCAAGAACCGCTTCATGCCCCGCGTCCCAGATATCAAGAAGTGCATCGACATCCTGCTCGAGAAGGAGTACCTGGAGCGTCTGGAGGGCGACGAGCTCGGCTACCTTGCCTAGTCCCCGCAATCGTATGTCTTTTTCTAGCGAGTAATGGTTTTCTCAGTTAGGACCGGTGAGGCAAGATGGCTTTGCGGGTCCGGTATCTCTGCGCGTTATGGGCTGCTCTACTTGGCGTTTTCACAGGACACTTTGTGTGTATCGGGCATCGGATGGGCGCTAGATGAGCTATGGCTTCGCATGTGACGTTTGAGCCCAGAGGGCTCAATAGATGAAGAATGGAAATGTGAGTTGAGTCGTGAGCGAGGTGGCTTAGCCAGCCTTGAAGTAAGTAGAGACAAACTTCATTTATCCATAATACCTAACTTTGCTCGCCCACTGTGGTCCCATCGTACTACCCTGGCAATCCAAACTTCATATTCCATCTCACCGCAGGATCGGCATATCCAATCGTGCTTTCGCGTCGCCGTAACGGCTGCTCTCAAAGGTGGGCATGACGTGCTTTGAGCTACGCGTTGCAACACCACCAACCCCACACTATCTCGACATCGGTTCGAGAGATGCCCTATGGCAATGTTGTCTCCCACCACACTACGCATATATCCGACTTTCCAGACGGTAGATAACGCGAACCCCTCCCGATGTCGTGCTCGCATTGCTCGCTCAGCGAACGCTGAGCTCCGAGGAGTTAAGGGTGGAGGGCATGGTATATGAATGGAGCATATTGTGCCCCCATGAGATCTACGCTTCGTGTCGTTTTTCCTTCTCACTAGTTTCAATCTTGTGTATTGGCCATGGCGACGCTCGAAGCCCACAAGCACATCTCTCCCGACTCGGGCTATCCTACCGTCCTCCATCCTGTACGCCCACGCATCTCAGTCCCCTTCGCCCCTCAAACAGCTAACACCCCAGAACTTCAACCCCAAAATCCGCAACTGGACCCCAACCGACCCCATCCGCTCGGAAATCACACCCCCAAAAGACCGCGCACACTTCGCCGACCCAGCCAAATCGCGCCTCCTCTCCGTCGCCACAGCCACAGACCTCACTGAAGGCATCGGGACCCTGCTCTCAGGCGTGCAACTATCTCAACTGACCCCCGACCAACTGGACGACCTCGCCCTCCTCGTCGCCGAGCGAGGCGTCGTCTTCCTCCGTGGCCAGGACCTCGATACCGCCGGCCAAGTCAAGCTCTTCAGTCACTTCGGCATCCTAGACAAACACCCCGCGCAGAAAAACAGCGCGCACGTCACCATCAAGGGTAGCTCGAGCGACTGGCGGCAGGACGCGGCGTACACGCCGTGGCCGCAGGCTGGGTGGCACGCCGACACTTCCTTTGAAGTCAACCCGCCGAGCTACAGCTTGCTGCGCATGGAGGCGCACCCGGATGTCGGCGGGGACACAGCCTGGGTTTCGCAGTACGGCTTGTTCGACGCCCTGAGCCCGGCGTACCAACAGCTGTTTGAGGGCCTGCATGCAGTGCACACGTCGCGCCTCCAGTACGACACTATTCTTGACCTGTGGGGCGTTGGGCCCAACCGCCCCCCCATAGACACGCATCACCCCGCGGTGCGGACGCATCCTGTGACCGGCCTCAAGGCGCTTAATGTCAATGAGGGGTTTACGACGGGTTTTGCGGAGCTGAAAAGGGTGGAAAGTGATAAACTATTGGATTTTGCGAATTGGCATATTCACGCCGCGGACGATCAGCTGGTGAGGTGGAAGTGGGAGGTTGGGAGTGTGGCGATGTGGGATAACCGGTGCACGGTGCATAGGGTTATCCCGGGGCGGTATGAGGCTGGGACGAGGAGAGGGGTGCGGACGACGGTATTTGGGGAGAAGCGTAAGTGGGGTGTGGTCTTGACGTGGAAGTGGTCATGGCTGACTGCGTGTAGCGTTTTTGGATCCAAACAGTGAGAGCAGAGATGAGCGGGAGAAGAGGCTGAAGAAAGAGAAGGAGGGTGAGGATACCAGGAATGGCGTGAATGCAAATGGCAATGGTACTGATGGAGGGCCTGGCGATGCGAATAAGGTGAATGGAAGCTAGGGGTACAGTATGATTTATTCGGAATGATGCACGACCTCCTTTTCTCGCAATCCCTCCGCGCAACGTCTATACACAACTCACAAACAGCAGCGTCAGACAATGAAACGCTCAATATGTTCTATAAATAACATTGCACAAGAAGCTTAAACACACTTCAGCCCCCGACATCTTCACCGCAATCATACGCGTGATCTAGCTACACGCCGCCGCCCCATCGCACCGACTCGGCACATCTCCATCACCGCCCCAAGCCTGTCCAGCGCCCAAGCAATTCGTTGGCCGAATTTGCTCAGACGCAGTCACCGTCGCCGTGCACTTAACCTCGTAGCCCCCTGCACCCGGTGCCTGTGCCGCGGTAGGCGTAGCAATCAGTGAAGTACCAGCTGCCTCAGAAACCGAGACAGGGGGTTTCGGACCGGGCGTTACAGCCGAAAGAGAAGTAGAAGGGGAAGCAGAAGAGGGAGCGAGGGGAATGCTGGGTGTTACGACAGGAGCAGGCTCGGTGGGGAGAGGAGCAGAGGTAGGAAGCTCGATGGGCGTGACGGGTGCAGCATTTGACGGAACGGGTACAGGGGTAGTGGCGTTGGCCGGTGTAGCAGCGGAAGAAGAAGTTACCTGCGGAGCGTCAGCGGAGGAACTGACCGCAGCAGAGGGGACGGGTACTGACGCAGCATTTCCCTTCGCCACGCCCACGAACGCGTTGAGGTTGACGGGGCTGCAGTTCTCAGTGATCTCAAGACCGCCCTTCGCGCTGAACACATCCGCGCCGCCGCGTAAGAGTGCGAAGGTCTGCGCGCCCGTGCCCATGGCGACTTGGTATGCGGAGGCGCCTGCCGGGGCATAGAAGGTCTGCGTGTTGCTGCCAGACGTGACGGTCACGTTGCCCTCGCTTTGGAGGAGAGCAACAACGAAAACGGCGTCCTGGAGCGTGTCGATGCCGTCGAAGGTGCCGCATGCGGCCTTGGGAGTAGGCCGGTACCAGTACACGAGCTTGTCCTCCGTAACGCTGATCTCCTTGCTGCCAGCCTTGTACGCTGCGATGTACGGCTGTGCCATCTCGAGCCATCCGTCGTGCGGGAAGCCGTTCGCCCACGCGCTGCTCCCATCGTCGTTGTGAAGACTCGTCTCCGAGTCCGGCCCAATATAGTGGCTCTCGCCGTAGTCGTTCCACGTGATGATCTCGAGCATCTGGGGTGCCAAAGCGAGGATCTCGTTCCAGCGGCGGAACCAAAGCAGGTCGCCGGGGAAGACCCACGCCTTGGAGGGAAAGTTGGTGAAGAACCAAGGGGAGACAGGCGCCATGTAGGTCTTGCCCGCGAGCCACTCGGTGTACTTGGAGTCGAAGTCGGAGGTGGTGACGTTGGACTCTGCGGTGGGGGCGCGATTCGCGCCGTTGGAGTCCCAGCCGATCCAGTTGAAGGAGCCGTCGATGTCACCGACGGCAGTGGCATCTCTGATACCGGTAGGAGACAGGTTAGGCACGAGATACAGATCCGTGCCAGCGGCCGTGCGGACTGTGTTCGCGTTGAAGAGCTTGCTCGGGTCGTTGTCACCGTTGAAGGTGGATGCGAAGCACTTCCCGTCGACCATAAGCTGGCCGGGCTTGCCGCAGTACTCCTTGAGCTTTGCGCCGACGGCCTCGTTCTCGCTCGTCTCGAAGTAGTTGTAGTCGAAGGAGATGAAGACCTTCATGTCGTTGTTTGCGGCGCTCTCGTAGGCGTAGTTGAGCTGGGCGTCGGTGTAGTCGTCCTTTGCGATGTTGAGCGCGAAGGCGTCAATGCCTGCGGCTTTGGCCTTCTTCATGTCGTCGTCGTAGTCGGCGGCGCTGGAGCGCGTCGCCATGATGCCGATCATGAAGTGCGCAGCAACAATCTTCCCCGCATCTTGTCTCTTGACTGTCGAAGTCTTGAAGGGAGCCGCATTCGCAGCGGCGAGTAGCCCCAGGGCCACTGAAGTAGTAGAAGCGCGCATGTTGCAGACCAAACAAAAAGAGTGTGAAGTGAGCGACTGAAAAAGAGCGAATTTGTGGAATGTATAACAAGTAACGAACGAATCGAAGTGGATACCTCCTTCAACGATCTCTAACTTGTTATATATAAAGCCCAGTGCAATTCCGTCAGCGAAGCCCGGTAGACTGGACACCCTCCTGGGCCGGACCCCACACATCGAGGCTTAGCCCACCCTATAGCGCGCGCCATCTCGGAACAGCGTGAATGCGTCAAGGGAAGACTGGTTGGTCGGTAGTTCCGTTTCAGCACTGGTAAGTAATGCGTTTTGCGGAACGTCGGACTTGGAGGCAGGGATGATATACGGGCGGAGATTGAAGTTCACGCATGTTGGCCCTGTGGAGGATCATTAAGGATGGCGCTAAACCCGACGAGGCGATCTGCGAGGATTACAGTACGAAATCAGGTAAAGGCTTGAAATAAGCGGGTGAGATTCTTAAGTTGGACGGAGAGGTGTTGACTGAGGGTAGCTACTCGGCTCTAGCAGTTAGGGCCGAGTATATCGTAAGATTGTTGCTGTCGTTGAGATGTGCGCTGCTGTATCGACCGGTGTCGCGAAGTGCCAGCAATCTTAACGGAAATGCAGATGAGAAGGATTATGGAATACGGTTTGATCCAGGGAACAGTGTACGATCGTCCCAGACCCGCTTTTACTATTGCACCCGAAATAGTTCTCAGACTAAAGTCGTGTTCAAAAGTAGTCTGCGTACGCGCGTACGTGACAGTAACCAGATGCATGCATCGAGATTGCAACCTTAAGCATCTGTGGAGCAATAATTGGAGAGGAGCTCATCAGTCGATCGGAGAAAGTATTGCTGTTTCGGAGAAGGGCTTTGAATGATTGTTCGGTTCGTGTAATTGCGTTTGCGTGAGGCTCGAGTTGTGATCCGTGGACACCAGTAATAGCAGTAACATGCTGTAGAGAAACGAACTTCTGTTCAATGTGAAACATGCAATTGAGAAGTGCAAACAGGCGAAGGGTACCTCACGTCGAAGTGCCCAAACAGGGCCCGGGTAATAAGGCGTTCCATATATGTACACAAAGACTCCGTTACGTCCGTATGTATACTCGGGAGATGACGCCCCCACGCCGCCTCGTTCCGTAAGCGCCTCACAAACGCTGATCATATGTATGTTCTCCGGTCGACCATACATGTGATGATCAAAGCCGAACTCCTGGCTCGGAAATCGAGATGGCGAATTCGGCAATGACGATCATGCCTCTGCAGAATCCCATGCGCACAGTTTTGCGACCTCGACCTCCGCCCACGCTGCCACCGCACATTATGTCTCATCTATAGCTTCGCTTTAGGACCGAATGTCTTCACCACAGCTTCGACTCCCTTCCCCGCAACATCCGCGTCCTGCGGCGGCGTCCCTGTTGAGCATCCAACCGCGCCGACAACAACGCCATCCTGCACCACCGGCACACCTCCTGCAATGGTCATAAACCTTCCTCCATTGCTGTTGTTGATTCCAAATGCCGGTCCACCAGGCCAGACAGCCTCCTTGTAGACGCTCGTCGGCGCGCGGTGTCCTGCCGCCGTGAACGCTTTGTTGATGGCAATATCGATGGATGTGATTTTCGCGCCGTCCATGCGTGCGAAGGCGAGGAGGTGCAGCCCATTGTCGACGACGGCGATGTTCATGGGTACGCCGATTTCTTGGGCGCGCCTCTCGGCGGCGGCGAGGGCGGTGCGGGCGCCCTGGAGGGTAAGTGTGGGGACGGATCGTGTAGACATTATGAGAGAGAGAGTATGTGTGTGATCAACTGGGTAGCCGTGACAACCAGAGGTAATTGAGCGCCCAGATAGGCGGTGCGCTTTTGTGGAAAGTGGAGAGCTTCATGATGACGCAGCGGATATTGAAGGAGGGCATCGGGAACCCTTCCGACCGAGGTCAAAAAGATGCGCGGTTTGTGTTAGTAAGCACCTTGTTTCCACCAAGCTTCTCCCAACCTGCAATTTGAGAAACTATTCCGCAGGTTTTCCGAGAGAGTTGGTGGTGCGCTCGGCCATTTGAACGTTTCTCTGATGGCCACGTAGGCCGTATAGTTCGACGCCCTAAGATAGTATGTACAGTATGTGCAATGTGAGTCCTCCACGATGCGCCTGCCAGAGGTTTTACCTAGCTGTGTACCATGCAATGAACGAAGTGTACAGAGCACCAGCCCGGATAGGAACGTCTCATTGATTTACTCGGCATGATTCACTAAACACTCGATAAACAACCCTGACTTGCCTTCGCACTGCCCAAAACTACCACCATTGTCACCCACTTCTGCCGCGCTAACTCTCCAAACTCAATGCTCCCATTGGCCATGTAAACGGCCGTTTCGCATGGTTCCCCCTGCATCGCTCTTCTCGCATGCCAAGTGTGGAGAAAACACGGGAACCGTTATAGAACAGTCCGGTGGCGTTGACTGGCCCGTTCTCCTAACCATTCCCGCTTCAGACCAGCTACGTTACCATACGACATCAACCTTCACACTTCCATTTCTATTCTGTCCAGAAGTTATGGCCAGCCCATCTTTCTCCGCTTACATCGCATCGATAGGGACTACATGAACCTTGCTGCTCCATCTCAACGTCACTTGAAGACAAACTCTTCATAACATGGACTCATATGATCACAACCAGCATGAAGGCACTATCACCAGGGAAAAAGCAAGGCGCAACGGAGATTATTGGTAACGGAGTTGGATGCGATTGAATCTGGTTCCTACGGTATTCAAACTGGGGACGGCTGAATTGACTCTCTGATGGAGAGTGAGTTGGAGGACCTCATGTACAGACCCTAATCGTGGATCAAGAGACAAAGGTTGGGGCAACAAGAGTCATTTAATCATAGTTCTATTACCTGTCTTTCTTGCTGCTGGTTTCTAGGTTGATTGCGACTTCCTTTGTCGTTTGCCTCAATTTTGACGCTAATTCGATTATTGAATCGGCGCGACCTTGATACGATCTAGGCTCTTGTACTCCACATCCGTGATGCCCACGGAATACGCTCCCTCACCCGTGAACCACTTCTTCGCCTTCGCATCACCCCGCAATACCCACTGCACGATCTTACTCCCGACTATCCCCGGAATCCCAGCATTCGGCACATCAAACGCCGCACCATGGCCCAAGGCGTGATTTGCTTTCCACGCCGGCGTTCCCTTTGGAAGATCTACGTAATCTCGCTCTCCCTGTTCACCAGTCAGCTCGTAACCCCAACCACCCGTCCCAAGAAAACACTCACATTTACATAAGCCTCATCCGTCGGCCCACCCAGCAAATAGAAAATCGGCTTGTGCAGGTTCCCGGCCACGGCCTCACTCTCCGTTTCATTCAACTGCCCGCTGTTGAATATCCCAACATGCCCGATCCTATCATCCTCCAATCCCGCAGTGTACGCCTCTAGCCCGCCGCAGCTCTGTCCCCACACCCCGATGCGCGTCTTGTCCACGTGCTTCCATTCGCCTTTGCCCGCGTTGGCATAGACCCAGTCCACGGCTTCAGTCAGCGCGCCGGGGTTCAGGCCGAGGTTGTTCGGGTCGAAGGGTCGCGCGACGTAAGTCTCTGGATCGACGAAGATGTTGCCGGTGGCAATGGCGAGGGCGCCGTGCGAGGCGACTTCGCTGAGGAAGGAGCGGAAGTCGAGACCGACTGGGGTGGGTTAGTAGGTCTTGGAACCGGGCTTGCATTAATTGATTGAGGCATGTGGATTTGACATACTGTTAATGTGTCAGCACGGTTTGAACTTTTGGATGTTGTTGAGGAGGGATTGGGAGAACTTACCTTGCCGAGCACCCGCCATTACCCCAGACTACAACAGGCAGTTTGAGCTTAGAGCCCAGCGCTGATTGAAGGGGTTGGTAAAGAGTGTGGTTCGCGAGGGTCTCAACTTCAAAGTAGTAAGACTTGTAAGGACCGGAACCGCCGTACTAATAACCATTGTCAGTGAGGAAGTATCATTGAGAATCAAATACAAACCCCTGGGCCGTGGTCGTATGCAGCGACAGCCGCAGCGAAAGCGAGGACTCCAGAGAATTTCATGATTACGCGGACTTGAGATCTCCGAATTGATTCTCTCCCGACGGTAGATTTCGAGAATTCCACGTCCCAGAGGCCAATTGTTATACTTGCTTCCGGACCAATGCCGAAAAACTAGCGACATCACTCAAAGCACCTGGAAAGCGTTTCCCCGGCATTCTTCCCATTGTAGGACATAGGCCTACTCTTTGTCGCTAGTCGTTTTCGCTCCCCCGCATTATCTGCAGGTCATCGCAAGTAAGAAGATACTCTCGGGTCTCCATCGTGGGGATTTGTCGGATGCAAGAACGTATTTTCGTGGGGACTCATGGTATACACCTTGCCTAGTGTGGGGAAATGCGCTTTCCCCACACCACATTTCCAATTCGTCGCTCCACACTCAACCTCCAACACAAAATATATCTCCCGAATATTCCTGCCGCGCAATTCGCCCGAGAATCGCTCTTAATTTCCCCACATTGTATACCTCCCGCTCCCCACGGGGAATGACTCGCACGTCCGAGCAACGGCCACGGCGCCGCCCAAATGTGACGTTGTTCGAAATCACCATGTATGAAAGACGCGCTGATTGCCTCTCGAAAACGATTCCTGGGTAGCGGATACCGACAATTGATAACGCGTCGCAAGCATGCGTCTCTCCCTGGTACCTGCGCTGTCCTCTCTCCTCCCATTAGTATACAGCGCGACTCCGCCAACTGTGGAAATTCGCAACGGCACAATCCTCGGCGTCCTCAACACCACTCGCTCCGTAGAAAAGTTCCTCGGCATACCCTATGCCGAACCCCCCGTTGGTACCCTGCGACTTGCTCAGTCAATACCACTCAAGTCCCCCTTTGGAACTCTAAACGCCAGTGCGTATGGTCCAGCGTGCTACAACTCTCTGAATGTGGGGAACCCGAGTGAGGACTGCCTCACGCTGAATATATGGCGGCCCGCAGGTGAAACCAGCAGTAATGCCTCGCTGCCCGTCCTTGTCTGGCTCTACGGCGGCGGGCTAGTAGCTGGATATGCGGCGGATCCTAAGTTCGAGGGGACCAACCTCACTGCCAACTCCGCAGCCGTTGGCAAGCCCATTATCATCGTCACGCTGAACTATCGGCTTGGTCCCTTTGGCTTCCTCAACGGAAAGGAGATGGCAGAGCTGGGGCTGCTGAATCTGGGCATGCTGGACCAACGACGCGCATTCCATTGGATCCAGGAGAACATCGGTGCCTTCGGCGGCGATCCGAAGAAGGTGACCCTAGCCGGGGAGTCCGCAGGCGCAGTCTCGATATACAGCCACATGATGGCGTACGGCGGGCGCGACGACGCTCTTTTCCATGGCGCGATCCTCGAATCCGGGGGCGCATTCCCACTCACAGGGCCCGACACGCCAGCCTTCCAAGCCTCCTTCAACGCCCTCATCACAAACACCACGTGCGCGTCCACCTTAAACGGTACCGCAGCAGAGAAACTGGACTGCATCCGCGGACTCGACGTACCCACCTTGCGCGCCTCGGTCGGCAAATCGACCGGCCAGTCAATAGACGGAGACTTCACGCGAACCTCACTCATCAACGCCCTGCATTCCGGCGCTTACGCCCACATCCCCACCATTGTCGGCACGAACACAGACGAAGGTACAACCTCTGCGCCGACTAACGTTTCCACGCTATCCGATCTCCTCGGCCCCGTTTCAGACGGCTATTTCCGCCCCCGCAAGCTGCCCAATACTACCGCCTCCACGCTGATAAGTAAGTACAGCACCAACCCCCGGTTAGGATGTCCGTACAATACGGGCGAGACGAGGTTCTCGGGGGGAGCGCTGGATAAGATGGCGTGCAGTATCTTCGGGGACATTGTGCAGATTGCGCCAGCGAGGATGATTGCGCACGTGCTCACGCGCAGCGGCGTTCCGGTCTGGCGGTACAGGTTCAACCAGCTCCCGCCCGGAGGTGAGATGACTGGAAAAGGGATTGGCACGGCGGTCGAGCAGCAATACGTCTTTTCGAATGTTGTAAACGCGACGGCGTGGGATGGGAATGTGGCGTTCCAAATGGGCGCGCTGTGGGCGAGCTTCGCGCATGATATGGACCCAAATGGGGTTGTTGCTGGTAAGTAACATCATATACTTGAATGGATCGTGTGCAGGAGAAGTGTTAACGTGATATGTGCAGAGGTGGGATTGCCCAAGTGGCCGACGTACGGGAAGGACGCGAATAGTATCGTATTGAGTGGGTTTGGGAGTTCTATCGAGCAGGATACATACCGTGGTGATGCGATTCAGTATATCATCGACAAAGTATTGCCAGACGGGGCGGCGTGAGCGAGAAACGAAGGCGGAACAATGACGAAGAGCCTGATAGTCTGTAATGAATATGTATGCAATAGAAAGATATGGGTATCATAACGCCAACATAACGTAACGCCGCAAGAAGGAACTTTCCAATAAAAACAAACGCCGTTGAAATGAATACGGCTCGTACAAGGACCATGTGCAATAACGTCTGCTCAAACTGACCAAACTACGCGCCAAAGCGGCGAGAGACTCAGAGACTTTATGCCAGCTTGTCAGGTGCCAGTACAACTTAGCTGGGGTACAAATCTCTCTCGTCAATCTGCAGATCGTTGTAGAGGTCGCGCATCGAGTCGATCTGCAGCCCCTGCGATGGCGGAGGCGTAGAGTACGGCGTGTAGTCATCAAATGCAATCGTAGGAGTGACAGGCGAGACACCGGCGCCATAAAGACCAGTTTGATACAACGGAGCATCTCGGTCCATCAATTCCACATCTTGCAAGTCCTGGAGTGCGCGTTGAACATGTGGAGGAGCGTGTGGGACGTGCGGCGCTGGACTCAAGATGCTAGGCGATCTCGCATCGCTCGCGTACGGGGGTTGCTGTGGCGTCGGGGTGTCGGGAAACGCCTTGCCAATACCCGCGAAACTCATGTCCTCTGACAGCTCCTGGCGTGGATGGAGCGGGCCGCTTGACCGCAGCGGCCCTTGTGGAGCACCATGCGGCGACACGGGCGGGAAGGAGAACGCGAAAGGCTGCTGCCAGTTCTGTGCTGCTGCATCGTAGACTTGCGCTAGGAGCGTGTCTATCGCAATGTCACCATGGAAAGAGGGATTCCTGTCGAGTCTTCCTGACAGGATTTGCAGCTTTCTGAGGAGTGGGCGGTGATCTGCCACCCATGACAGGGAGGGTATGGTGTTGTTGTGATTCCCGCTGTTCTCCGCTGTGATCATGGCGATGATCTTTCGTCTGAAGTAGGGCTGGGCTGAGAGGACGTGGTTGAAGGAGTGGCTGATGTCCCAGTGGAGTCGTTGCGGAGTAGACGCATGCGCGTATTTGACGTGCTGCACGAGTTCTGCCACACCGTGGAACACCTTGCCGCCTTCTACGAGAACACCTTGGGCGTGGCAGTACCCGCAGCCGAAGGCTTCGTGCATGTCGAACTTGAACTCATCTGAACCGATGAGATCGTGCAGATGCTCACGAAAGTGCTTGTCGAAGCCATTCTTGATGTCCTTCTTGCAGTCTGGGCAGTGCAGTTGCTTCCTTGCAGGCTTGACTGAGGGCTTCTTTTTCTCCACTCTATTGTTGGATGAAGGATGTGTAAGATTCGTGGACGAAGAGCCCTTGGACGACGCCGAGCGAGCACTGCGCGGTGAGGTGCTGCGTTGGAGAGATGGTGGAAGCGGCGGTCGGAGGTACGGCGTGGAGTGGGAAGTGGCGAGTGCAGGTGTGGCGGTGGAGGCGTAAACGGCTTCGGGCGGAGCATTTACGGAGGGCTGCCGGCCTCGTTCACTCCTCTCATCTGACACACTCGTTAGCCTCCAGCACCCGTGTTCCCGACAAACTCCCAGGGGCCACTGCCAAGAAGACGGAGCAGTGTAGACGATGCTGCAGGTAGATGGAGAGAGCTCTGGCTTGAAGCTGCCAAGGAGAAGGGCGACGACGTACTCATCAAAGCATTGCTCAGGTCGATAAAGCGGACCATGTTCTCCTCCGAGATGTTTCCCAGCGATTCGAGGAGCGTAAATACGCCCGGTCGGCCCTCGAACTCGAGCATGGTCAAGAGCCTGTCTACGCCAGCGGGCCCGAGCTGCCTCAAAGCCACAATGTCGTCCTTGATGAGTCCATGGACGAGCAGCTGATTGAGGGCCTCTGGGGGAGAGCGATACGACGGACTGGCGGTGGAGGAGGGGGGCAGAGACGGGGTAGCCATCTTGCATGCGGCGAGGCTGGGGACATGCACTGCGTGTGCGGTAGGCAGACTGGATGGAATCAGTACTGCTGCGCACATGGAGCAGGAAGGGAAACGCAGACACTCACCGCAGGAGCGAAGCTGCGGAGGGGGGTTTGGTGGTCGCCGTGACGTGCAGGTCTACTGGGCAATGGCCGCCTTTTGTTCAGCCTCGTGGAGAGCTGCCGTCGGAACGCGCGTATGCGGGAAACGCTGATGGGAGCCGAGCCCAAGCCAAGGTATGCTACAACAGGGTGGCAGGCAAGTAAATCGCGAAGCTCTGGACGCGCAAGACGAAACGAAGCAGAGTCACAAAGATGAAGCTCCGCAGACGTTGGGCAGCCCGCAACGTCGCACAGCACATGACGCAGCGGAACACGCTCGGAACGCACCGAAGAGTGTGGCGAAGCGGTCTCGTCCCCACGAGCTCGCCGCCAACCCGCGGCAAGCTTCACACTGCCCCCCTGGGCACTCTTAATTCGTGAGCCGGCCAGTGGATGCGCAGAGCGGCCGACTAGCGAATAAATTGGCTGCTGTTTGGTAGACGTTGAAACATCCTAAGTTCTGCCGGAGGTGGCGAGCTTTGACGTTTGCGGAGAAGTTCAAGTACCTGGTGTTCTCTACACACAAAGAGTGTCGCGTAGCGCGCATGCTGACGAGCGATGATGCCACTTGCTTTCTAGATGGCATGCCCATCGGTTGCTGCTGGTGACATCTAACGCGGCGCAATCCTCGAAAGTGTGAGGCGTGCTGATTTCACTTGACCGAACACACCCCAGCCTTGCGCGCACCCAAGCCAATCGATGAAGCCCACTCCCGTCAATCATCCTTCACGGATACTCTCAAACAAGGCAAAGTACCGGAACACTTCCCTGGAGAGTGCTCATTTGCTGCACTCAAAAGTCGCCAAAAACCCTCAAACTTCCCCATCCGGCAATACACCAGAGCCGTTGAAATCCTCTGCAGCATGTTGTACCTACCACGGCCCGACACACCCGCCGACCCCGCCGCAACTCTCCAAGAGCACAGCCACATAGACGCGCCGCTCACCATCGCAACTCAATCGCGCGCGGACTCACTCGCAAGAGCCCTTCCTATCGGAGTTAGTTTTACGAAGCACTTTACAGATTATCTATTCGCGTCGGGATTGCGTATGAAATTCATCCACCCAACTTCGTCGCCAATTGACACCTCCAGGCGTGAGACAATGCGCGCTGGTTAATTCTTCCGTCCCGGAAGTAAACGCTCGGAGTGCATATTTTATATTGAGAATATCTATGCTCTAGTATAATTACCAATTGCTTGAATCTACTGATATTTCTCGAATAGGTGACTCGTGACACGAGTTAATGAAACCACGTCTATGCTACACTCTCAACGATGTCCATTTGTGTATTATTATATCGCATTGGAAACAGATCATCATCTATCTTCGTTATTAACATCTTCTTCTCGCGAGCGACTTTGCCAATGATCATTGATCAATGCTCAGTGTTACGAATACCCGCCATCTCTTCTCCAATTTATTATCAATGGAATCCAATTCAACATGCACTACAAAGGAATTTATTATTGTAATCTGAGATCAACTTGTGACGTCATTGCCTTCGAAACTAGAGCTTTCACAAATAGAAAAGCGACATCAACACCTCTCCCGGACCGCCGCGTCCCTAACCCCAACCAAGATTAGCTGGACATCACCTGGGCCGCATTATTGAAGTCCTCCACAGGTCTTCAACCAGTCGTGAGATGGTTTGCGGCTGACATTTGCGCAGGAAAAAGCCCGCCGCGTTGCAATGTACGAAACTTAAATCAGCCTCGCCTTGGCCTAGCATGCGGCACCTTTGAGGAATCAATGTGAAAGACTGGAATTCCCAGCGCACATGTGTGCGGAAAAGGTCGGGGTCTTGCATCTACAAAATACGAGTCCAGGATGCATTTGACCACGCAGTTACTCTCGCTGCCTGGTCTACCAATATATGGAATTAATAGTAGAGAAGATTCTGGCTTGGTCTCGTCTACTCATCGAGACTCCTCCATCCTAACATTCGGGGTAAGCATTCGGGGTACCTACGTAATCGATGTAGGTCTTTGCTCAAGTGTATATAAGACCAGTCGAAACTGCACTATTTCGATACTTGCATGGTCCTCATATTTACAGGATGTTTCCCAATATTTTCTACCTGCCGATCCTTCTTCTCCCGGTTCTGGGGCAGGCGACACACCCGAAAAGTGTCTGCTACACTAGGTTTGGTTCAAAGTCGGTCAGTTCTCTACCAATCGTAACTGGGACCAAGGCTACTACGTTAACGGCCGTTCGGGTCACTGTCATCGTTCCGAAAACTACGAAAATACCTTCTCCGACTACAAGCACGGCGATTCAAGATGTCACGACCACTGTAACAAGTACAGCACCACAGGACACGGATGCATTCCATACGACTGTCACTGCAGACACCACTATTACCTCTGTCTTTTCGGAGACGCTTGTCAGCACAGAATTTGCCCGAACGACTATGACCACTGGAGATGGTTCGCGTAGATACTACGTATTTCTCTAGGCTTACCGCTGACACTATCTCCAGGAACATCGACGGTCACCACGAAAACACTGAGCTTGACGTGGGTCAGGACTGCTACGAAGACCGCTCTGAGACCGATCATCACTGTGAGTCGACTAAACACGCGCCCACACTGAACTGACGCTTTCAAGACCACGAGCACCTGTCCGCGCTTCCACATCCATCACGAACTTCACTACCAACACGTTTTCCACTTTATCTACTACAACGTATACCAGGACGACAGCTAATACAACCCCTGTCACTATGTCAGCGCTTCCCACTGCGACGGTCTACCCGGGCTGTAGTCTGGATAATTTCATCTCCTTACGCAAAGGCAGAGGTATCGCGTACGTGTATCCAACAGACAGCAACAACGCCCCGAACACCGTCCTTCAGCTCACGCCTTCCGCCCTGGAATGCTGTCAAGCGTGCTTTTACAGATTGGATTGTGGCGGCACTGCTTTCTATAGCCGCTATTGCTATCTCTTCATCACCGCTACTTGACAACCTACCAGCGTGTTCGGAAAGTATTCGGCTCCTGACAGCTTAAATCCACGGGGCTATGTCTCGAGCAATGGAAACTGTGGGCGCCTGCAGTGGGATCCGCAGCCTTGAGTCAGGACGTGTGGTTTTCAGACACATTGCACGCCACCTAGGGAATCGAAGCAAAAGCTTTAGGATGCACACACACTACTTTGCCTCGATTCCGAACGAAAGCCACGTCACTTCGTGTTCACGTCTAGATTCCAGCACCCAAACAAAACGCCAGCTCCCGTGACCACAGCAAAGTTTCAATCCTGTGCTCAACGCCAATACTAGTCATTACGCTCAATACACTGAAGTACAGTCTATTTTGTTTTTTTAATTTTGCAGGCCTTACTGTATGCCATGCGCCCATGCGATCCGCCTCCCCACCGTCTGGAAGGGCATCTTACACCCAACGAAACGACTACGCGCGCAAAGCAAGTCAGGATATGCTCTCCCTGACAGAAACATCGCGATCGAAGCTGAGAGTGGGCTTAAATGAGTGCATTAGTGAGACCAACCCATTAGTTATCTATTCATACTCCTCCCGTCACGAAAAGCTATGTACATGATTACACCAAACCTTCACTCCCTTTGCCTACCCTCTCCCCGTACTAAGCCGTCTCGAACATTCATTCACCCACGCCCACGCATGGTCCCATCTTTATTACAACCACCGCTTGCTCAGCCCCGCAGCCGCCGCCGCATCATCAGGGTTGTTTTGACCCAGCGCCGCAAGAATCGCACTCAGATCATCCTGCCTCTTCTGGATGTTTGCACGCGCCGCGTCCGCGTCACTAGGGTTGTTCTCGCTCAGCGCAGCAAGGATGCTGTTCAAGTCGTCCTGGGCCTCGCGCTTCGCGACTGCAGACTGCGCGGCGGACGCGTCGGCCGGATTGTTCTGGGCCAGCGCGGCGAGGATGCTGTTGAGGTCGTCTTGGGACTGGGGCTCGGGTGCGGGCTCGGCGGAGCGAATTTTGATCTTCATGGCGGCGGCGGCGGCATCGGCATCTTCGGGATTGTTGGCGCGAAGCGCGGCAAGGATGGAGGCGACGTCGGTTTGGGGATCGCGCTTTTCTAGGGTGGGTTAGGAGTGTGTGGGATGGGTGGTCGGGGGAGGAGTGTACCTGATGCAGCGAAGACGGCACTGGAAAAGGCCACGGCGGCGATGATGGTGAACCTCATATTTAATTATTAGGTGTAGTGGTGATATATAGAAGTACGTATAGAAATAATGGCAAGGAAGAAACGTGACCGGCACTGATTAGAAGCTTGAAAGGGATGGGAAGACTTGGCTAGTTGGGCTGGGCGTCCATTCTTTATACTGCGAACGAAAAGGCCTCAGGCTCAAGGCAGCGTTCAGCAAAGTCGTGTTTATAATCGAGGTAATGCATCAACTTCGTTCCAAGGTTTCACGGTTGGCTCTATTCCCGTAGACGATCGATCCAGTCGGGAGCTGCCGTACCAAGCTTTTGACGCGAAGAACATGGGGATACCTAGGAATTTCCAAATCCAGGTTGCAGTTTGCCTGCTCCAACGTGGTGTTTCAAGCGATCGTGAAGCGCGCCAAGTTTCGGAGCACGGCTGAAACATTCTGCGAACGCCATCGCAACCCTTCTCTGCGCCACGGTCTATGAGAACATATCGTTATTGAATGTGTACCCGCTCGGAGTAAGATTTCCAGACGCTCTTGCTGCGCAGCTGACGCAGGTATTGAGTCCATCGCCTCAGGACCTAAGACTGCCACGAAGCTTGTCTTGTATCGGCGCAATTCATATGCATGTTCAAAGCGTATCGACTCATCACTATCTTCGGGTTCATGTACGGCGGTCGCGATGGAACGTTCAGAGCTATGAAGCTTCACGGGAAGTTTGTGGAATAAGCTAGGTTGCGCTATTCCGTGCGCTCGATGCGAGCATGCACGAACACCATGCTCTAGGAATATCACAACTGAAAAACATCAGCTCCAGTATTACTTGTCATGGAGAGAGACTCACAATGGCTGGGTAAATTCCAAGCGTAGCTATTGTCCGGTACTACATGATTAGCGACTGGAGATCGACAACGAGCAAAGGCCAACAAGCGCGTCTTTATACAAACAGACCAAGTCGTTGGTGCTATTTGAGGGATATTGAGCGAGTTCTCCGGTACCAAGGAAGCTGCCTCCGAGCTTAATGGCAAGCGGGGCTGGGGGGTGGGGGGATCGTGCCTTCGGCGGTAGAAGGCGACAGGGTCGACTCCGGAGCCATTACTCTGTCTGACAAGCTCGCAATAGTATAGCTGTGAGCGATTACGCCTTTAGACACGGTTTAGAATGCGGTGTGTGGTGGTGACAAGTCATCTCTCGTGCTAGCCTGAGAAGTGAGGTTGACAGGAGAAGCTTGGCACCACGGACCTGGCCAGGTTTCATCAGCCAGGAACTGTCAGCGTCGATTGGCATCGAACCGCATCGGAACGGAGGTCAGGGAGCATCGGAATACGGTGGTAGCGTGCAATTGAGCCCATTGAGCTTGTTTGCGGACCTCCGCGGGCATCACAGCATGCGCGCAAGCGCGTGGTTTGGACCTCGGATATGGAATTAAGAGCAGCTAAAGTGGGAACTTGCTCCTCAGATTGCTGATCTAGAGTACATGTTTTACACAATCCGAGCTGCCACTAGACTAGGAAATGAGGTAGTCTTGTATGCACACACCCATCCGCAAATTTTTCCACCCTGAGACCCGACCCGTAGACCCGAATGACAGAGTGAACCCAGCAACGCACTCCTCTATGCAACGTAGAGGAGGAGGAAGGACATCATGAGAGCGAAGAGACCGGTGGCCTCAGCGAAGGCGAAACCGAGAACGGCGTACTGGAAGAGCTGACCCCTGAGGGACGGGTTGCGGGCAACACCCTGGATGAGGGCACCGAAAACCGTGCCAATACCGACACCAGCACCAGCAAGGCCGACGGTGGCGATACCGGCACCCTGAATCTTGGCAGCAGCGACCATGGCGGCGGCGGTGGACTCAGCAACGATGCCACGGCTCTGGATGATCTGGCGGCCGGCGTTGTTCTTGAAGGCGTTGCGGACGGCGCTGTTCATGACGAGAGTCTTGGGCTGGGCTGCTGCGTGTCAATTGATGCCAATGGCGGACGGGTGGCCCTCAATGGATGGAGCTGCGATGTAGATGCGTACCCTTGGTGGAGATGAAGCGCGCAGCAGGCTGGCTGGTCTGGACGGAGCGGGCGGCCAGGCGGGCGGCGCCGAAGGAGCGGGCGATGGCAACCATTGTGATGACCGGTCGGAGTGAGCGGAGATGGATTGGGGATGGAATGCAAGTGCAATGGATGAGGTGAGGTTGAGAAGGTCGGGAGGAGGTGCAGAAAAATCCGCGAGAAAGAGAAGGAGCTACCGCTGACCTAAGCAGGGCCCAAGCTTCCGAAGCCCGGGCCGCCTCGGAATCACCAGGGGAACAATCGATACCTCGAATTGCGCGTCAAACGCTCCTGAAAGTCATCAATTGCATCTCAGTGGGTTGCGACTTTCATTACGCAGTTTTTTGCTGCGTGCAGGAGCTCGATTGCGCCTTCCTGAAGCTTGGGCGTAGCTCCCCAAAGCAGTTGTGACACGGGAACACGACCCCAACTTCACTAGCTTGTACCCTACCGACTCCACCTCCGCAAAGTCTACACATGCATCCTCCATCTGCGACACAAATCCTGCGATTTTTTTTGTAATTCAAATCAATTCACTTTCTCTATCGTATGCAATATGCGCTGCAGGTAGTCATCCGCCACATGTGTTGCTGCTCTAGCCCATCTAGGACCATGAGGCGGCCATAAACTCACATCCAAGCATGGTAGCATCACCCTTCAAACATCCGCATTCCACAGCGGCACGGCCTTCTCTGCCATGGCCCTCGCACCCAGCTCCTTACACATACCCTGCTTTTCCCTCTCTATACTCCCCGCCTTCTGCGTACGCGCCAGATCACCATACGCCTCAATGCGCCACGCCTTGCTTGTCGCCCCGACCTGCACCTGCGCAAACGCCTGGTAGATCTATCCGCTGAGCGGCTCCCGGACGGCGAGATGTTTCTCAGGCTTCTTGCCAGGACCGACGGTAATCCCCACGCCGCACGTGCCGAGATCGCTGAAAGTGTATTTGCTGCAGAAGTCGCTGTCTGGGCTGTAGCAGGAAATATCGCCAAAGCGGAGGGACCAGGAGTTGTCGGATGGGAGGAGGGCGGTGGAGGAGGTTGGCGGGACCTTTGGCGGGCCGGAAAGGTCGGAAAGAAGGCGGCCGGCGTAGTTGGCGATGTGCTCTTCTGAGCAGGGCGGACTGACCCAGTCTGAGCGTGGAGATGATCGTATGGCCTGCCGAGCGCTGACATATCATGTGAGCTTCGCACGGCAGAGGCTGCATGTATCGCAGGATCCTAGGAAGCTGCCGTCGCTTTCCACTGAGAGGAGGTTAGTGCATGCGTTACAGGCCTGTAAACAACCGACCTTCAGCGTGCCATCGTTGTTTCTGATTTTACTGCTGAGATGCACAGAGCTCTGGCTATGAGTCGATGCGTCGGCACCGGTGGGGCAGTCTGCAACGAGCCAGCTGCTGGTAAAGCTGATATTTGGTACATGACAAACCAATATCCGCGTCTGTTGCAGCTAGTGCTGCATATGACGCGCGAGCGGCTACAACTACCGATGATGCAAGCTTGTGGTTCATCGTAGTGGTCAACGTAGGGAACTCGGGAGCGCTCGCCCTGCCTGCTGTATATCAAACGCTGCGTGGACACTTTATACTCTTTGGCACTGCATGTGCGAAAATTAAGTACGGATTCAGGGCCCTCCACGGTCCTTTCACGTCCTTGAGAGCAGATGTCCAGGGCCAAGGGCATCATGCGCTGGTACTGGATTTTCTTGCAATTCCTGCAAGTCACATACCAGGAACTTGTCCCTTCCTAAAGCTGTTACTCGAGAGATAGATTAGGTGATATGAAAAACCAGAGAAGGGGCACAGAAAATTACTCACTTCTTTCAACATTATTCTTGTAGAGTCGCGTGAAGTAATTATTATTAACGTGCGCGATGGTAGCAGGTCAATCCGTGGCGCTTACACCGTCCGTCACGGCCATGAGCTTCTACTTGCCAGCATACTCAAGCGGTGCGACATTCATATACCGTTCTGACAACTGCAACACCATAATCCCACTTATTTCCGAGCGTCAATCCTAACGGCGGCTCAGCAACATTGATAAACTTGCTCAGCCACGGTACCACAGCGCCAACGATCTCGGTACCATTCCCAACGCAATCCACGCCGATCCTCGTGTCCCCGCTCTTTAATACCACCTTTTGCTCCTAAGCAGCGTGGCGTGCCAGATATCGCACGGAAGATCCACCGCAGTTGTGTGCATAGTCGCCTTTCGAAACTCCTCTATCATTTCCACATGTGTCCCAAGATCCATGGCCCTCCTTGGCTGTCTTTCATCACCCTCGTCATCATCCTTCTCATCCTCATCCTGCATGACCAGATCAATCACCGGTATATGTGATAGCAGATTGAAAACTGTCCCTTCTGTCTGATAGGTCTCCGTTGCTGCTGGCGTAGGCTTGGGGGTCCGAGAATTGACTTGATGGAGTTTGTGGGATACACTTTTTAGGAATCGGAGGAGCTTTTGGCGGAAGGAGAGTTTGGGTGTGGCTTGCTCGTCATGGTGAGGGGTTGCTCGCATAATTTTTGCAAGTGCAGCGTGGATGGAATCAGAGGCTTTTGCAGTGTGCTGAGTGCGGGCGTTGATGGCGCCGGTGCTGAATGCGGCTTCGGCAGGGCGGTTGGACATGACCATGGTGAAAGTGACGTTTTGGGTTTGGTAGTTTTGGTGTTGCCTGGATGGACTCGATGTCGTTTCACGACCGTTGCTGTTTGGGTGTCTGGTAGTCGTTGACAGTCGGTGATGGCCGAGCCTGAGTGGAATCGGAGGCCTATACGCCGTGTGCTGTTTGTGTAGTTAGTTGTTAGCGTTGTTGTGATGCATCGCTTCAGTGGAGTTTGCCAGGCGTTTTATACTTGTGGGCGTATAATGTTGAGTAGAAGGAGTTGGAATAATTGCGTTTTGGACCATGCTCCTGACGAGCAACAATTTCTTGAGTCAACTACGGTACGGTTCAATTACTCAGTTGCTTCCATAACTTATAGTCACCAGTTTTGAACTACCCCAGACAGGTTTAATGGTACAGTTTTGAGAGGTAATGGCAAAGGTCGTCAATTTCTCAGGTCAGACCCTCGTTCATGACCTGCTCATGGTAAGTTGGGGTCACTACCGTCGCGCGGGCACTCGCGAAGTATGGTCGACTTGGTAAGAGTAGCTCCATGTGTTGGGCGCCGGCAAGACGCTTGATCGTAGTTCCTTACTTCTGGAATGTTATCGTGCCTGTCCTACGTCAATATCATCGACTATTCACCATGTTCGCTTCCGGTGATGGAAGGACATGTATTGCACGGGCGGGTGAATTTAGGTAAAGCCTCTCTTACCTTCGCCTCAGCTAAGTCCATAGGGGATGGGTGGGGTCGGCGAAGGCGGGGCTCGCCGCCGGCGCGCTAAGCTGGCGCTCGAGCCGCTATATCTTTCGACAGCGGCAGCTTGGGATAAGCACCCGACGCGCTCTCCACGCGTCGCTTCGACTCTGCGCTCGACCGAAGAGCCGACGGTGAGGGTGGAGCAGCGATGCAGCTTCCGGAGCAGGACAAACTTGCCTTCAAGCAATGGCTGCTACCAAAGCTAGCGAATCGGTAAGCCACCCAAGGAGCTTGTATGCCGCGGGAACAGCAAGCTAATAGAGACAGAACCGAAGCAGAGCCCGAGGTGCTGGCGGACTACGTCGCAGAGCTGTTTGCGGGAGAAGGCTCACCGGCAGAGATCAAGCGCGCCAGTATTGAGCAGCTCTCCGACTTCCTCGAAGATCACACCGAAGCGTTCGTCGACGAGATCGCTACGGCGATTGAGCACAGGATATGGACCAAGCCGGTAGAAGGGAAACAGAAAGATAGGAAGAAGCTGGCGGCGAAACGCAAGGCAAAGGGAGCCCTGCAACCAGCGCAGCCGACAGCGACGCCTCCAACCGGTCCCAAAGCCGACGCCGCGAGGTCCAGCTCCTCCGCGCGCCCTGCGCCGTCTACACTCGCACCAGATGCGCCGGTATTCGTGCCTCGAGCTCAGCCTATACCCACGGCGCCGCTGAGCAACGACGACTTTATCCCGACAGGACCACGCGCCGACCGCAATTCAACAAACATGCAGGATGGTCGTCAAGCTCCCGGGAGGAAGCGCAAACTCCAGGATCGCATTACTCGCGACGACAACGACGCAGACATCTCTGCGGGTGAACGGCCACACAAGCAGCTGGCGCGAAGAGGTGGAGGACAGGTCGGGAGAAACGGACAGCGTGCAGATGCTACGGTAGTAACAGCAGCAAGGGCTGGGCCTCTGCCGAACGTTACACGGTTCACGCCTAACATGTTTCCGAATGGACAACCGCCTGTGTTACCTCAGTTTTCACCCCATGATCCTCTCAACCCGTTCAGTTTCCTGGCCAATCTCTCTGCGATGATGAGCATGGGTTATTCAGGCCAAAGACTGGGCTCACAACATCCCAATGTCCCCCTTATCAATCCTGCGGTTGCCAAAATTAAATGCCAGGACTATGAGACGAAAGGAATCTGTCATCTAGGAACACTATGCCCTTATGATCATGTTCAGGGAGTAGTTGTTCCTGCGGATCCAGAATACGATCCGAACAACGCATTGCTGGCAATCCCCCCTCATCTGAATAGTCGTAGAATAAACGATAGCAACCGCAACCACTACCAGCGTGCTCGCGCTTCATTTTCGCACTCCGGACCCTTACGCGGCCCGGACGATACACTGGCAGTTGAACAGATTCCCGAGGACCGCCTCACCGAACAACATGTGCGCGACTTCTTCTCACAATTTGGTGCAATCGTCGATGTGCAAGTACGCACCAAGGAACGCGCTGCTATTGTCAAGTTTAGCGATCACCCTGCTGCTCAGCGCGCCTATGACAGCCCGAAAGCGATATTCGATAATAGATTTGTCAAAGTATTCTGGTATCAGCCTGGTCCCAGCAACGGCTTCCACGGCGTTGTTGGGAAGACACCTCGTCAAGAAGGCATTCCCGCAATATATTACGAGGACGAGGAAATGGTTGACATAGAAGAATTCAGCAAGCAGCAAGCACAGGTTCAGAAGGAGTTCGAGGAGAAGCGTCGAAGGTCCGAGGAGGTGACAGCTCGATCAAACCTGATCAGCGCGCAGCTCAAGGCCAAAGAGGAGGAATTGACTGGACTGCGTTCAACGCTGATAGAGAAGGCAAGGGCTAAAGGTCTTGAGGCTATTGTTGCGAAGGAAAAACAAGCACTCTCTGAAGATCTCGCGAAGCTAGCAGCCGAAGCTGCGGGATTGTTTGCTACCGCTGGGTCAACCGACACAATGACTATCTCTCGTGGTGGCTTCCTGAACGGGCGCAGTTTCTCGTTCCGCGGTGGCCTTCGAGGCCGTGGTAGCACTCGGGGAGGACGTGGTGGTGTTGTTCGACTTGACAACCGGCCTCGTTCTCTTGCCATTGCTGGAGTCAAGGCTGGGTCCGAAAAAGAGACGGTCTTGAAGCGGCATCTGCTAAACTCCAAGGGCTGCACGGGCGTCCGTCATCACGCGGAGCGTGCTCATACCCTTGTGGCAAGCTTTGAGCAACGCTTCCAAGCGGAGATTGTACGAGGCACATTCAACATCAAATGTTACACTATACTGACCTGCAGCAGTTCCTCGACGAAGCGTCCAGCATCGACCATGTCAGTATCGCCGACCTATCGTGGGTTCCCAACGAAGCCACGGTCGTGCAGCAGTCGATTGTGATCGATGACCCTTTGGTGCATCAAGACGCAGACGACGAAGTCTCTGGTGGCGAGGTGGACGTGAAGGTGGAAGTCGATTTGGACGTAGCTGATGATAACGATCAGTGGCTGTGAAAGGCGGAAGGTGTAAGTGAAGGAAATGACGATCTGCATGGCATGGTGTACGCATATTCGGCGCAACGGTATGGGCATGAGCATTTGGTATACCCCGGCATCATGGAGCGGTTTCAAGCATATCGCTGAGGTGTTCTGTGAGCAACATGTTTACAAGTTTCTCTGTGAATGATACATACTCAATGTAAAAATCGTCTAGCCAGTTCAATGTCGCCAGATTCAGGGTCTGAATGTACGCAATTCGATGTTTGGGCCTAGCGGTAGGTGCGGGCCTTCCTCACCACGAGCCTCACAGTAGCTTACCTGACTCGACACAATGACTATCTTGTGGCAAGTACAGTCTCTTGTTCCCGTCGTCTATGACCGTATCGGCGTATATCGCCTTGGCCTTAATTTTACAGTACGGGGAGACGCTGCAAGGCTGCGCATATCTTGCCACAAAAATTGTCTGCATAGCAGGATCAAAGCGGGGTTCGCCAGTCCACCAATCTGCGTCAGGTGATATAGCCGCTGTAGGAGGCTCGGAATGCTGAGCATGCGATATCCGTCACTGAGCGTGGTGGCACACGCATCCATGGCACCACCTGCGTCCGGGCCGGGGTTTGGGCTTTCCACCTCGGAGTCTAAGCTTGAAGGGGAATGAATCGCGCACTGACCACCCAAGTTTGATTGGCAATTGCCCCCCTCCACTTCTTCCAACGGGCGCCAGTACATTTTGCGCGCGCACCCCTTGAGCTGTCGCTACCCTTCTTTTTGGCTTCCCTTTGCCTCCTGGCACCACTTTCATTATCAGTGACTCCAAGATGGCTGTCAATGCGAGCTTCGTGTCGCCCACGGCCGATGCTAAAGTCGCCCACATGGCGGCTTCATTCGATCCCAATGGCCTGGTGTCGATGTTGATGAACAACCTCAGCGGATGGAGGCTCGTTCTGACCATTCTGGTGCTTGCTGTCGCATACGATCAGTGTATGTCTTGGAGCGACCGCGCCCCCGGGTTTCGCTAACTATTGGCAGTCAAGTACATCTGGAACAAGGGCTCAATCGTTGGGCCCATGTGGAAGGCGCCCTTCATCGGACCCTTCCTTGAGTCTGTGAACCCGGATTTCAAGGCATACCACGCAAAATGGGAGTCAGGTCCTCTGAGCTGCGTTTCTGTCTTCCACAAGTATGTCCACCTCCTGCTAGCGCTCACAGCGGCGATGCGCCTCGCGTTTTGTTGCACGTACTAACGATTCGTAGATTCGTTGTTATTGCCTCCACGCGTGACATGGCGCGTAAGATCTTCAACTCGCCCACATTCGTCAAGCCCTGTGTTGTCGATGCCGCGTACAAGCTCCTTCGCCCCCAGAACTGGGTCTTCCTCGATGGAAAGGCCCACGTCGACTACCGCAAGGGCCTGAACGGTCTCTTCACTCGCCACGCGCTCGAGCAGTACCTTCCGATCCAGGAGCAGATATACAACGAGTACTTCCAGAAGTTTGTGAAGATCACTCAAGACAACAACGGCAAGCACGTACCGTTCATGGGCGAGTTCCGCGAACTGCAGTGCGCTCTCAGCTGCCGTACCTTTGTCGGTCAATATATTTCCGAGGCAGCGATCAAGAAGATTGCGGACGACTACTACTTGATCACCGCCGCGCTCGAGCTCGTCAACTTCCCTATCATCTTGCCATTCACCAAGAGCTGGTATGGCAAGAAGTCCGCGGATATGGTCCTGGAAGAGTTCTCTCGATGCGCTGCCAAAGCCAAGGTCCGTCTCGCAGCTGGAGGTGACAACAAGTGCATTCTCGACTTCTGGGTGTCAGCCATGATCGAGTCGGAAAAGTACCGCCAAAGAATTGCCGCTGGCGAGAAGGTCCCTGATACCGAGAAGCCGTCGATGCTGATCCGTGAATTCACCGATTTCGAAATTTCCATGACCCTGTTCACATTCCTCTTCGCTTCCCAGGACGCGACTTCTTCCGCCAACACCTGGTTGTTCCAGATTATGGCTGACCGCCCCGAGTTTCTGGAGAAGGTGCGCGAGGAGAACATCGCTGCTCGCAACGGTGACATGCACGCCCCGATCAGTCTTGACAACCTCGAGAAGCTCCCATGGACGCGCGCCGTGGTCAAGGAGACCCTCCGTTACCGCCCTCCCGTCATCATGGTGCCCTACGTCGCAAAGAAGGACTTCCCGATCACACCTGAGTACACCGTTCCCAAGGGCTCCATGGTCATTCCTACAACCTACATGGCTCTTCATGATCCCGAGGCCTACCACGACCCTGAGTCCTTCATTCCGGAGCGATGGATCAATGGCGACGCGGACAAGCAGGTCAAGAACTGGTTGGTGTTTGGCACTGGTCCTCACTACTGCCTGGGCCAGGTTTATGCACAAGCGAACTTGATGCTTATGATTGGCAAGGCCAGTATGATGCTGGACTGGAACCACCAGGTCACAGACAAGAGTGAGGAGATCAAGGTTTTCGCTACGATTTTCCCGATGGTGAGCTCTCCTGCGCTCGTGCTTAGACGTGAAAGATTTGACTAACATTACATAGGACGACTGCCTACTCACCTTCAAAGAGCGGGATGCGTAAAAAATCACGGTCCCTTCCTTTCATGACACGCGCGTTTAGCAATGTTGGCATTCTTATCATTTACATGGAGTCCTTATTCCTTTCTTGACCCATGAAAGCGGGCCGCCTTGAGAGCGTGCTTCCTTTCTATCTTCTAGACTTTTATGGTGGGAGGAACGGCGCTTTTCAGGAAAGCGACCGGACTATGTTGGCAATGCCAGCCAACAATGAGGACGGCGTAGGAAAGCGGTAATAGTGTTATCCGTCTGGATGGCATGATTGTGTATAACGATATCAAAAGGTAGCAACGGTGGTTAATGGCAGAGGAATGAGAGGACGGAAGTGAACTTATGTGGCCCGTAAGCATTCGGGCTGAGCTTTGGTATGTGGCATGTGCACCATCTGCTGTCCCGTGTTCCACGCCGCAGCGAGTGGATTTCCCAGGTGGGAAATGGCGCTACTGCACGGAAGCTATGACCCTCGAACTTTTGGACCCAACTTCGTGATGCATCCCACTTTCACGTTCCCCTTGCACCCCTCGCAACGAAATTTGGGAGTTTAGCCTTTCGCCACGAGGAAAGGAGGCGCTCGACGGACGCCAAGCTTTGAGAGCTGGGAACGATAGTGGACGGCCGCTGCCCATAAAGCGCCCTGTTCTAACACGCGCATACGATTGAACCACGCTCCAGCCATCATGGCGCCTACCGCCTCGCCAACGAACGACTCTCGAGACCGAACGCCTGCAAGCTCCGCTCGAATCGGTCCGCACCCATCGTACATCGAAGTCGCGAAACCCTATATCCTGCAGTCGGCGATCCAGAGATGTCTTGTGGACCTCGCCATGTCGGATGCGAAAGAGGATGCAGTCCGGTTACAGGGCGTCGCATACATCGACCAAGTGCGGCGAGCGCTGCAGCTGCCTGTGCGCACCTTCAATACGGCCGTGATATACTACCACAAGTTCCGGTTGCTGCATGCGGAGAACGAGTACAGCTGGGAGGGCGCAGCGGCAGCGGCGCTGTTCACTGCGTGCAAGATTGAGGATACGCTGAAGAAGAGTAGGGAGGTGCTTGCGGCGTATTATAACAGCAAGGTCGGGGTGGGGGAGCAGCTGAGCAGCGATGATCCGGTATGCGCGCTTCGCTCTGGAGATGGGATTCAAGCTGACATTTGGTTTGCAGCGATTCGAGAATCACTCCAAGCTCATACTAGGTCTCGAGCGCCTCATGCTTGAGAGCGCCGGCTTCGACTTCCGAAATCGATACCCGCAGAAGGTCATGGTTAAGCTGGCGCGGGCTTTGCGCTTTGACCCCGGACGCGAGGCCGCGACGATGTGGAACGTGAGTCTCGACATGTATAGGACTTTTGCGCCGCTCAAACAGACGACGCCGACTATGGCGATTGCGTGCATCGAGCTGGCTGCTCGTCTCCATGAGATGGATACCAGCGAGATCGTTGATGCAGGAGTATGCCGGTACAGCAAGTGGAACACAACACGGGCTGAAATCATGGGTGAGTGTGGCAGATGCACATTAAAGTGGATTGGCCTGTTTTCTAATGATTGTGCAGAAACATTGCTTGATCTCCTGGATCTATACACGCACCATCGAGTCAACACCGCGCTCGGCCCGTACTACTCTCTTGAAACGTTCATCAACATCCGAATCACACTCAACAACGAAGCTTCCGCAGCTAAAATACCACGCTACGCCACCTACGCCTCCGAAGCAACCAGTTCCGGTCCCAAGAGCACCAACGGAACCAAAGCGCGGAATGGCATCGATCCGACATCACCCCTCGCTCCCCTTACACCCGCCACCCCCGGAACCATATCACCAGGAACAGCTCAGCCGCCGAAAAGCGCGATCGGGAACCGTGGACAGAGTGGCACTGTACGATTCATGCTCGACGCGAAGCGCGCGCAGGAGGAGAAGAAAGCGGTTGATAAGTACTGGGTTGTTGAAGAAGAAGAGTATGAAGTGGAGGTACCGAACACTCCCGAAGTGCGCGACCGCGCACCGGATCGAGACCGCGAGCGTCCCCGCGAGCGTCCCCGCGAACCACTCCGTGATAGGGAGCGCGAACGAGAGCGAGAGCGCGACAGAGAACGGGAACGGGATCGGGAAAGAGATAGAGACTGGGATTCCAGAAGAGTGCGTTGAGCGAGAGTACCTTGTTTTTGGTTTTGTCTATTTATTACTGCACGAACTGATCTCCGGTAAGGAGACGTTTCATTTGTTCAGTCCCCATGCGAGTGGCAAGCAGTGCTGACTTCGTGCAGACTCCGATTCCAATAGACAGACCTGTACGCGCAAATTCCAAGGGACTAGCTCCTTTCGAGGCCACGCCAAGCTCAATGTCTAGTCCGATGTGGAGTGAAGAGCCTACACGTCCTGTGAAAATCGGCGTAGATCGTAGTGGAGGCTTTGGTCGTGATTACGGTCGCTCGCGCGGAAACGAGAATGCCCGTGCTCGTGGTGGCCGTAGCCTAGCGGAGCGTATCACCCGCGACGATGATGACCGGAACGGTCACGAACGAGCTGGTCATCACAACGGTAGGGGACGGGGTCGAGGAAGTGGAAATGCAGGAGACAGGGGCGGCCGATTTGACCAACGTGGAGGCCGGGAGCTAGGAAGGGATCGAGGAAGTAGGCGGGGCAATTGCCGTGGTACTTAGAAGGCATCGAGGTCCCCGTCCCATTCTGAGCGCAGGGGCAGTCAGTGGGGTGGGGAGTGAGCATGGACATCGGGAAGGAAATGTCTATACGGGTGGCTTGGCAGTTGGAGACGCGGTATCGCATATATATATGCAACTGAATTGTGTTAGTAGACGTGGCAGCTGGAAATTACCCTAGTTCTCCGAGCTACTTCATCCACCACTGTTACAGTGAACTACTTCCTGCCCTCATTACATGGAGAGGAGGGTGAAGGCTCAGCTTTAGGTCTGCAGAGATTCATAGGAGAATTCAATCATAGATGTCATGTTTGCACTATTGAAATGCATTGCCAGACCAAGGCGGATTCAATGACTGTGACTACGATGAGATAACAAATTGATGAGAGCACATATAATTATCGCATGATTGTTGATATCATGGTCTGGGTACACGAAGCTTAGAACGTAAGGTCTTACGTGGAGCACAGGCATCTAATTAGTGACTATTCCCAATTCTTGAAGCCGTCGTCCCTGGTACAATTAGACATGTTGCACGATACGAACTTGACAGAGACTTACGGCAAGAAACCGCCACTCAGGGGTTTGACATTTTCGTTCCACTCATTAAGCCAGTTCCTCACTGTCTCTTGTGAACTTTGTGCGAATCTTAAACTGGACTTGTAGCTGCATCAAAACTTACAAGGAACGGTCAGCACGCCAGTCCCGTCTACATTGCCACATCCCATCCCGTTGATTTCGGTCATTGTTTTAGGGTCGGGCAGTTCTTCGAAGCGAGTGTGTATCATTTACTAACGGCCCTCTTCATATCAACATAAGATTTAGTGCGGGTCATGTTATCATTTTCAAACTTTTTGACATAGCCGTCGCGGCTCGGAGTTACGACTTTGACCCACTGGAATCGTTGCTCGTCCAACATATTGTACATTTGTGGTCTTAGGGAGGATTGCTTGTTAGATTGAGAGACGTTATTCGGCCGTTACCTGAAGATGTCCCTTTTGCGCTGTGTCCGAGACATTTGCATTCGAAAGCTCATGGTACTGTCTTCATCCACTTTAATACCCACTCTTCGCGATATCTCATTATCGGAACCAGAGAAGTGAGCATAAAGACTTTCCAGCTTCTTTGTTGGGAAGATCGCAAGGATGAGCATTGTTTTAATGAGTCTCATTTGTTGGGTGTCAGTGTGGGCTCGATGTCAAGCAGAAACACTTGAAATTGTATGAGTCTGTTGCATTTGTTTTCAAGGAGTTGGTGATATGCGTGAATGCATCGAGGTCGCGGCCGCCAATCAATTGTGATGTGTGGCGATCTCGCGGACTGTAATGCTAAACATATGGCATGAAATAAAGGGATACTCTGTTACATGACGTGAAAGAGTTCTTTCAGTAAAGCAGCGTGGTAAAGTCGAGATATGTACCTAAAATTAGGTTACTGTAATGAAGTGATGCATGTGATAGTAGTGCTCAAGTAGCTTACATAGTTCAGTCATGTCTTCCCTTCGCGTATCTTAAAGGTACTAAATGCTTCAAGAAGCAGTTCGACAGGGCCTCGGGCTACTCACGGAACACCTGGCAAACGATACCGCTTCAGTATCAACCGTTAATTTGGCCATGTCACTGGGTTCTTACTCTATCACAAGAGTCTGTAGACCTCGACTTAGTAGCGTGATTACTGTCGTGAATGGATAGAAGACGCCCCACTTTTAGCTTGACGTTTCTTCATAGACACGAGCTCGACTCTTACCACGCACAAGCCCTCAACAGTCGACATCGATCTCTCGATCGGATGCTTGCTCACGACGGCACCAAATTACTAGATTACCGAAATACCGAACACACGACACGTACGCCACCACGCCCCTCTCTCCATACCAACTAATCAACTCAAACTACAGCTCACGACAAATTATGGGCCACAAACTCACCTGCCCCGAAGGCCGCCAGCCCACTTGCTAACGTCCCTCCACGCGTAGCGAAAAACCACCTGTGCCGAAAAATGAGAGGGATACTTGGACTTCTCAGAGTTATACCTCTCGGATATACTGTGGCCGATAAAAACTGCTTGACTTTTATTTTGTATGTCTATTTCTTAAAGTCATGCGCCTTTCAGCTCCCCAAATTACGCTTTCAGTGGTGCGTTCTCGCCTGATTCGCTCAGTGCTATCTGTTGTGGCAAAATATTGTCCCTTCCTGTATCGCCCCTCCGAAGCTCCGGCTTCGCTCTAGCATTGATAGAAGACACTATCTTCGGTAAAGAATGTTACAATGTCACTTACAAGTTGTAACTTGCAATGTGTCGATATTCGCGCACGAATCTTTGCATCGTCGCTACCCCTGTCAGTACTTCCGTCTCAAGCACTTACCGCACTCGGTTAGCTTCATGCGTACGTAATTGAGGTTGCGTAATTTAACTCATGTTCAGCTATTCACAGAAGCCGCTTGGCAAGCCAAGTTTGTGGCTGGTGTGCCTGTGGCACTGCACTCCACCAAGACATAGTGATTAGTAACTTATTAGTGATAGTTCACCATGCCGCATCTTGCGCTTTCTTTGCCGTTTAATTACAAGTGCTAACGCTCTGCCCTACTCGTGGACTTGTAGGGCAAGTTCTCTTTCGAACCGCCATAGAGTTATAGCACAATATCTGAAATGGGTTGACATATGAAAATGCGCTGTGCGTCAGGCTTCAACCAGATCGAGCGACATGAGAACCTCTTCCCCGGTCAGCCTGCGCCATAATGCAGCCTCGCGAGCTGCGCCTCTACAACCACCACTGCACCACCTTAACATGATCCGTCCTCTAATACCTGCTTCGTTATCGTCGACCCTGAATACCTCACGCCGATATACTAGATAAGCCGCACGATTCCCGCCTTCCATGCGACCCCACCCGACCCTCTGCCATGGCCCTCATACGCCTCTTGCAGCGCAAACCAGACGGCGAACTCGTCTTTCGCGAGCCCACTAGCGGCGATGTCCCTGCCTACGTAATATTGTCTCATACATGGGGGGAAGAGGAGGTCATCTTTCAAGACATGGAAATCAGCGCAGATAGGAGCAAGACTAGGAGCAAGGCTGGGTGGAAGAAGATACAGTTCTGCGCGGACCAGGCTGCAGCTGATGGACTACAATACTTCTGGATAGACACCTGCTGCATCGACAAGAGGAATGCGGTCGAGCTTGGCGCTGCGATCAACTCCATGTTTCGGTGGTATCAGAACGCTGCACGCTGCTACGTCTACCTTTCAGATGTCTCCAAACCCAAGGGATCAGATGGAGAAAGAGCGTGGAAAGAGGCACTTAGGACAAGTCGGTGGTTTGCCCGGGGCTGGACGCTTCAAGAGCTCGTCGCACCGAGGGTGGTTAACTTTTTCAGCGTAGAGGGGCGGCGGCTCGGGGCCAAACTATCGCTTACGACTGAGATACACGAGATCACAGGTATCCCAGAGAAAGCCCTCCGAGGCGATGCGCTGTCAAATTTCAGCATTAGAGAGCGGAGGTCCTGGGCCGAGCGTCGCAACACTACTGTTGAAGAGGATGGAGCGTACTGTTTGATCGGAATCTTTGGTGTATCTATGGTGCCAAACTACGGGGAGGGCAGAGACCATGCATTCCGGCGGCTAGGAGAGGAGATTCACAAGTTACACAAGGGTATACTTCTGCCTAGATGTACTAATAACAAAATAATACTAACTACTATAGGTGTTAATTTTGAGCTATATGCTGTCGGACTAAACCTTGCATCGCTTCCTGAAGCTGCACAGTTCGTTGCTAGAGAGGAAGAACTCTCGAAGATGCATGAGCTGCTACACGGTCATAGCAACCGATCCGCAGTAGTCCTGTACGGGCTTGGAGGAATCGGAAAGACTCAACTCGCAATTCAGTACATTAAAAGGCATAAAGAGAAACACACAGCAATATTCTGGCTAAATGCGAATGATGAAGACTCCCTCCAACTTTGTTTTCGCAGCATTGCTCAGCAAGTCCTAAAGTACCATCCGTCCACTAGAGTGCTAAGTGAAGTAGACTTAGAGGGAGACCTTGATCGAGTGGTTAGTGCAGTGAAAGTCTGGCTCGATCTCCCAGACAATACACATTGGCTGATGATCTATGACAATTACGACAATCCCCGAACCTCCAATGCTTCTGACCGCTCGACAGTGGATATACGTCGGTATCTGCCAGAAAGTGACCAGGGCTCGATCATCATTACAACGCGGTCGGCAAGGGTTACCCAAGGTCAGCGGCTCCACATTCAGAAGTTGATAAGGCTAGAGGAGGGACTCAAGATCCTGTCAAATTTGTCTAGAAGGGAGGGTGTTGAAAATGGTATGTTACTAAGCTTTAAACAATTTAAACGAGTTAAATAGGGCTGATAAAATAGATTCTAATGCAAAGGCGCTTGTCGTAAAGCTAGACGGCCTACCACTTGCTTTGTCTACGGCTGGGGCGTATCTAGAGCACGTGACCATCAGCTTCGCAGAGTATCTTCGGCTATACGAGGCGTCTTGGTTGAAACTCCAGAGGCCGAGTCCGAGTTTGAGCTGCTATGAAGACCGATCATTGTACACAACATGGCAGGTCACCCTAGATCGGATTCGAAAACAGAACGCAGCATCAGCCCAGTTGCTCAAGCTGTGGGCGTATTTTGACAAACAAGACGTGTGGTTTGGACTTCTTCAACATGCATGCTCCGCAGATAATAAGTGGATACAGAAGCTTACTGAGGATGAGTTAAGTTTCAACGAGGCAGTGCGACTGCTATGCGAGTACGGTCTAGCTCATCCAGAACCCTCACTTGGACAGCTCACTAGGTCTTCAGGGTATGGAGTGCATAGTTGTGTGCACTCATGGATAATATATGTTTTGAACAGCGAGTGGGACGATGGCCTGACACGGTTGGCTCTGACGTGCGTAGCATCTGAAGTTCCTAGTACGGACGTAGATCAGTGGTGGCTCCTTCAGCAGCGGCTGCTTCAACATGCTGCAAGACTTGAACATTGTATCACAGATGGTAATGTGGGTGTTGGGGGAACAGAGTGGGCACTACACAAACTAGGCTTGCTCTACGCCAACCAAGGCAAGCTGGCCGAGGCGGAGGCCATGTACAGTCGGGCGCTGCAAGGCAAGGAGGAGGCACT